CTTACCATCGTTCGCCTTTGTATGTACATCTACCCTTGTGTTCCATACGCGCATTTGTCCTCGTTCTTTACATTTCTCACTTGTGGTTTGGATCTCGATAACAACAAAATCGACTGCTCACATTGGACTTTGTCTTCACATCTGATTCCCTCACAATTTCCTTACCATCGTTCGCCTTTGTATGTACACCTACCCTTGTGTTCCATACGCGCATTTGTCCTCGTTCTTTACATTTCTCACTTGTGGTTTGGATCTCGATAACAACAAAATCGACTGCTCACCACATTGGACTTTGTCTTCACATCTGATTCCCTCACAATATCCTTACCATTGTTCGCCTTTGTATGTACAACTACTCTTTTGCTCGTTACAATGTACTGGATCACGCTTGCTCGATGCAAACATGGTTGCTCCGCAAATATGACCCCTTCCTTCGTCGATATATTTTTACATTCGTTTTGCTTAGTTAGATTGCACGACAACTCATGCATTCGGTTGTCGCCATTTTTTACTTCCATCTTACGCGCCCACTTTGTACCCGTACTAAAGGTTACGGACCCGGAACAATATTATTATGGTTATGAAGTGCATGGAAGTCATGTATCTTGCCTGCATGTAAGTAGACTATGTATATGATCATGAGGAATTCGAATGGTCATTCGCTAAATATTCCTGGAAAATCTCCTCAATCATAGGCCCAAAATCCAGCTCCTCCCTGTTTATCCTGCCGACCGCCATCCTGCGATCGCCTGATGCTGCGCTTGTGCCCATTCCAAGACGCTCCCGGAAGACCTGATGAATCATAGGTTCAAAATCGACTCCCTCCGCGTTTCTTCTACCCGCTACCGCGGTACCATCGTCGGCCGCCACAATGCTCTCTCGGACGCTTGCCATCAAGAGTACAATGTCAAGACCGAGGCGATCAGCATCTTCCATGGTCAGTGGCTGAGGCCGTCTTGCGAGAGCTATTAACGCGGTCTTCAGCAAGGGCTTGTTATCCAACTCGATTGCCAAGATGATTTGATTGAGGACATCCTTGTCATACACATTGGGGTTGATCAATGGTCGATAAGTGTACGCGCGCTGACCAGCTTCGACGTGTTTGTTTTCTTCGGCCACGAACGTATCATGAACTCCGTGACTCGGCGGGACCAGTGGTTGACGGAGTGTTACCAGCTCCGGATGATTGGGGGGTGGTGACATTGCGAGACTGATCCACAGGCACGTTTTGAACAAGAGGAAGCTTGAAATCTAGAGCGTTGACTGACTCGAAGTCGCTTCCTTTCTTATAGAAGTTATCCGTATACGTACAACCTCCGAGGACCAGCCTTCTTCGCTTTTCTTACATAAGTCACCGGCATTGGCTGATCCGTATGCAGGAGTAGTGTCACGCCGGGTGCGGTGCGTGGAAACCGAAGAGCGGCGGAACAGCATCAGGAAAATGACAGGTGGATTTCCCGACATTTCCCAGTGGGAAAGTGAAAAATTCTGGAAAAGAGCAGAGACGTTGTTAGAGTAGGTTCAAAATCTGGTAAAGTCGCTCCTTAATCTACGAGCTAGTCTCCTCGACTCTCCTAGCATCGGAAAGGATCATTTTCGACATTCCTGGCTCTATTGAAGCGGGAAATTCACGGTTCACTCGTGAGAAAGCAAAATAAATCTATTCATCACCGGGATAAAATGGGGGAAGGTTGTGCAGAGTCTAGCAGTGCTACGGAAATCAGGTCGTAATGTCATGAAATGCGTAAGAAAAAGTCGTGAAGAGGCGTTCTCAGCAGTCGTTGCTAGTCGTAAGAAGCATCAGGGTTCATCAGTAATCATGAAGAGGAGAAAACAATGTACAGGCTCGACGACCGAGAAGTATATGCGAGAATGCTGATGATTACGAATGCTAGGGTCGAAAGAAGAGCTTGCGAGACAAGAAAAGAGATAGATGACGAAGATGATGGTGGCCGCGACGTTGTCAGGCGAGCTCAATCTAAGGTGATTGTTAGCGTGAGACGGCACAAGCGATTGGGGGACCTACACCTGATGCGGCGGAAAGCGCGCGCATCGAGTTGAAGCCCGGTAGTGTTTGTGACTACTTCGCTCGCCGAGACCTTGCTTCGGCGAGAGGACAGAGCAAACCGGGCCGAGCAAGCCAATGCCTCGGCGACACTAACCCTTGAGCAACGCTCGGTAATGAGATGGCCGTAGTTGAGGGTAGGGGCCTTGTTGTGATCCTTCGAGAAAGGCGGGGCTGAGGGGAAGTCAACGTCGTTGTCCGCGTTGTCCTCGTCGTCCTCGTCCATGTGCTCGTCGAGGGGTTCTGCGTCCTCGGTGGCCCTATCTTTTGAGGCAGCAGCCTTCTAAGTTCTCTCTTGCCCTCTCCCGCTCCTCCCGCTCCTTCTTGATGCGCTGTCGCTCCTTCGTCTTGTAGTTACTAATCGTCTTCTTCGTCTTATTGACGTTACTTAGGTTCATCAGAAGGTTGGCGTCAATGCCCTTGAGCGCGGGATTAAAATCTTCGAGGTCGCCATTGTCAGCAAGCTTGAGGGCACGGTAGCACTGGTTTAATGGACGGGTAACCGTAGTCAGTAGGTAATTTGAATGGAATGATGAGCGGGTGCTTACTGCAGATGCCGCGAGAACCGCCGCGGCGTACGGAGCATAGACAGGCTTTACGATAGCATCGAACTCCGGGACATGGACCCGGCCGGTAATCGCGGCTTGGTGACACGAAAGGACGATGGTAAAAAAACTCGCCTTTGAGCATTCCGTATGGGCCTTCGTCGTCCCAGCCTTCGTTCAGGAAATACTAAATAGTCTTCTTCGAGTAAATCCTGGACAAAGTCTTGCTGCGCTTCGAGCGTCGTCAGCCCTTGCTGCGTGAAGGATAACATGAGGGCAGCGATGGCGGTGGTGCCGAATGTGCTCCTCCATTCGATGAGTTTCTTCTTGAGCTAGAAGAAGATGGTCAGAAGCGACAAAGATAGCAGAGGATACAGTGAGCTTACCAAAGCAAAGGCAGCACCATTGATGTTCCTCTCGCTTTCCGGCAAGGCAGAACCATAGACGGCGTGCCAGCAACTCGCGAGGGTGTTCATGAACGCATGATTTCTGTGTCCGACCAGTTCCAGATCCGATTCTTCGCACTGCCAAAATAGTGCATTGCCGTCGGAATGAGTGTTGACTTCCAGCGATCACCATCGTTAGCACCGTTCGGAAGGTCGTCGATTTTCCAGATCTGGCGCTTTGAGGAACTGTCGTCACTGGACGAGCAGCCGGTCTTGATATGCTTAGCTTGTGGCTCGATTGATACGCTTAGCTTGTGGCTCGATAGTCGAGACTGTAGTGTTCATCTAGATAATTAATGTGAGTAAGGAGTAGCAGGACAAAATGTCACTTACCGTCTGAGTTGTGGTGGCAGGCAACGCCCGCCAGCAGCGCGGGACGCTTACATAAGCCAAAAACCCCTATCTTGTCTGAAAACCTGTCACGAACTCACTCTCGACATATACCGAATTACACAGACGCGATCCGCTTAGAAACCACATAGGAGCGTCTTTTATGTGCGTATATAGATGGACAACTCAGATATATAAGCAAAAAATAAGTAACTGTGCGAGATAAGAGCATTATATCTTGGCAAGTATCTTAGCGTCTAATACCTGGCTTTGGCAGCACAAAGGTCGCGAGACAGCACATCTACACGTCTGGAAAGGAATCAGACTTAAGCTGGGGGAGTTTTTGAAAGTTATGAAGAGCCCATGAGGTAGTTCACATCCTCGTCTCGTGTCTCACGGGCCAACATAAGCTGCTGCATTTGCGGGATCTTGATGTTGCAATCTATCGGCCCATACATGAAAGTAAAATCGTCTAAACCCTTCTTATTTATTCTTTCTGAGCTGATTCAGGTTAAAACATAGGTATATAACCAATGCCGGGCCTATCGTACCACGTTTGCCTCCGTCCTGAGGCTGTTACTGCTGTCGCGATGACTCCGACGCGCTCATTTGTGATCACGTGATCTTAATTTTGCGCGTTGGGACCGAGATCTCTGGTGCATATTCCGGCTCAGCAACTTCAATTATTACCTCGCGTTCTCGAGTGAAGTCAAGCTAATTGGCGTTTCAAAGTTTGTTACAGAAGGGGTTTGCGAATTTCCGAGTTTTAAGTATAGATATTGACTCAGCAGTAGGCATATCTCATGAACAGACGATGGGATTGCCTCAAGCTTCTGACAAAGTATTATATAGCACTTTTAGATCATTTAGTCTCACCCAAGTATGAAGCCAAAACGCCTGGTTCCCTCTGTATATTTTGTGGTCGTCTGTCGGGCATGGTCAGGGGCTACTTGCTTATGTCAGCGCTCCGCGCTGCTGGCGGGCGTTGCCCGCCACCATGAGTTGTGCGACCTGCATTGCCTACTCCGGTTGCTCCGGTTGCTCAACTGCCGGTTCTGGCACTGTATCCTTTCCCGCATCCTTACCGCCCTCGGTCAGGTAATCGCAAGAAATTGCCATGACTTACCGTGCGGCTGGGCAACAGATGTCATGACGATAAGGAGTGAGAATTTATAAGTAATGTCCGAGCCTTTTTCCCTAAACTAATCATACAAACTGAACATTGCGAGCTTGGCGTCCACCTCTGCTCATGCCTCTGCTCCAGGTCCTCGAGCCTCACATGGTGGACAGTCCGGATGGGGTAAACACAAATCACACGCCACCCGCGAGCCTACGGTCGAAAAGGTACAGTAATAGTACATATCGCCCGTGGTGTAGTGATCAGAGATAAGATGAGATAAAAGATTAGTAATGCTGTGCGGCATCCGGTTCGGGCCGGAACGCTGCCGTCACAAGTAGACTGCCAGGCATGCCTGGATCCGAAGTAACGCCCTAGAGCTCTCACATGCGTGCTGACCTGCCTCTCAACCATGTCATTGTGAGTTCCCACTAGTTTGCGTAACGGCGTCAACTCCCAGTCGCTCGGCGTTCACGTTGGGTTCACCCGTGCTCGACCTGCGTTGTTTTATCCGCAGTAGCAGCCAAGGCTACTGCGCTAACGTGGGTAGGAGTATCATTGTGGACGCATCGAAGGCAAGTTCCGCTGCGCAAAAATGCTCTCTACAGCTGACGGAAGAGACATAGGAACTCTATAACCTCCTGCTTCCTCTACAAGGCGAAGTGCTTAAGGAGATGAAGAATGGGGTAACGGCCCGAGAGATTTATCAGACATCCATTGACTTTGTCCGTTCGAAATCGTAGGAACGCCAAAGAAGTTTGTCAAGAACACCGGTGCTAAGGTATGTCATACTCCATCCGAACGAGCCAATGTGATCACAGTTTTAGGCTAATATTCGTTTATGCACGTAGACGGTGATTGGGTTCGTAGCCCTGCACACTTGCTCTCACTCTCAAGGAATCTCATACTCTCCGGACCAATGATGTTTAACCTCACGTTAGGCTTTTTCGACCTTGTTGATGAGGGCGGAAAGAAGTGAGTTAACCAGTCCGTCCTTCAATGTGCCTGATTTTGACGGCGAATAGATACGCTCCTCATTTGGTCGACACCGTCCGAGTGAATGCTAACAAGGCTTGGTCGATGACGGAGGGCGTGCGACCCCCAAGGGCACGCTTCTCTTCCTCAGCCTGAGCATGAGGATGTGTATGAAGAAGAGCTCTCGCCTAAAGCCAAGGGTAACGCTCCTACCGAGTCGTATGCCAATGGGTCGCCTGTGAAAAACAAGACGGCCGGTGGCAAGGTTCTTCACCACAAGACTCGCAATACTGCGCAAGAAGAAGTCCTTCCCAATTTCAACAGGGATGTGCGCACCTTCCCTGTATTGAGGTAAGCAATTCTGAGTTTCTTCAATTACTATTCTAATTCAAGTGTCTGGTCTACAGAGTTTCATGGCGAGATCGAGCTTTGTGATCAAGGCCCTGTCGTTCGCCGACGATCGACGGTGCCTCTACTTGTCGCTTATTCTTGTGACATGGATTCAGGGCATAGCGACACGGAACCCCGACGAGCAGGTGATCGGGAGGCCTGTCACCCGTGGCCCTGAGAACATTAGGGAAGCGGCCTACACTTTCGGCATTTACTATGAGCTGCCTCATCGCACTTTTCCACATCTTTTCCCTCCTCTTTTCTTTCCCTCATCTTTGTCGTTTCCACGTCGTTTATGCTGCTTGCTGCAAGCCACTCCTGTCGCATCGCCATTGCACGTACTTGCAAGCTATAAGTTTCGTCGTATGTCTGCTTGTTATAAGCCGCCTTGACGCCGCTTTAGACGATCCCGCTTTCCATGGGCACCCGGAATATCAAGTTGAAGGTTAAAGATACGTCTTTAGTCCGTAAACGCTTGACATAATATTAGGCATACAATGTACCGGGTGTTGTTGGTATCGAGTTGGCTCTGCCAGTGTGTCATCAAACAATCTGATCATGAACTTTCCCAGACCATTCCTTCAAGTGTCGGTCAGGCTATGCACGGCGGGTATCTTGTCGGTCTTGCCGTTCGACCACCAGACTTTTGGTCCAAGCATCCTTGCAAGTTCACGCCCTCAAGTTGTTGAGGCCAGCGAACTTCGTTACCCATCTACTCGTGACGAATATTCTCGAGATGTTCGTTCAGCAGGATCATGCAAAAGCGGTGCCCAACGAGGTGGGCTGCTCTCCGTTCATGTTCACGAATGAAGGACCGGCTAACACTGGCGTTTATCCGCTCAGTATCATGCTTTTGCAGCCTCGATAAATCTCATTGCACGTACGTAAAACCCCTCCTTCTCCCGCTCAGCAATTCAGCATTTTCAAATACTTACTTTCATCAATCCTATCCCATGTTCATGAACAAGCATTCGGCCATCGGTGCTGTATCATGCTCTCACTGAGGGCCCCATTTCGACAATAGTTCCGAGAGAGATGAAGGGGTGGTCATAAATTGTGTTTCCAACGCAAGCGGTAACGCCGACCTTTTGCCTTTTCTCTGTTTAGAACTCGAACCCCGGACTCCTGGATAGGGACCGAGGTCTGAATGTCAACCCTGCAACTGTCGATGAAGACTTCGAGTAGGTAAGTCTTCCCAGAAGCTACACCTCTGTATACGTATCATCTTGTTTGGATCATCCAACAACGGGTTCGTAGACTTGGCGCGATTAACATGCCCATGCAACCTGGCCGACCTCACGGCGCTTTTCCTTCAGGCAAGTTCAGCGAACACCGCAAATGGCCAAGTTAATAATGTATGTACAAATTCATGATCATGAGTGCTTCTAGTAGCCACGAACTGATCCGCGTTCATTCGGCAAATGTATACGGAAAAATGAGGTGGTGACTGGTAAGTTTTAGTGATCGATCTTCCATCGCCACGCTTAAAAATAATATGCTGGTCAGGGATGTCGGCCAAGTTACTTCAATGACTCCGAAGAATTCGAAGCATCCCCAGGGATCAACAGGATCATCAGCGAAATATGGAGGAATACCGCAGGATGTTAGCGAGCACGTTGGTGCTGGCGACCCTGTGAAGGTTAGTTGGACGATCAGTGTATCACTCGTTATGTGCGCGAATCCTGACATCCTCTCTTTATTGAGGTCGTTAATATCAGACCTATTTTTGAGGTTGCTTGGAAGAGGTCGGCGAGGGTCGCTGACAGGCGCTTCGACTGGACCATAGACGACGTTTGTCATGTTCGTAGCATGTAGGTTAAATGAATGCTTGCCAGGTTTCCTCTAATTCGGTGCTGTGGCCGAGGGTGTCTGGCGATTTCGAAAGCTCGCACATCCTTGTAGCTCAGTCAAATGTCGTGTCGTCTCACACCTGTCCACTTTTACGGATGACTTGCTCCCCATTTTGTCCTTGGCCTCGACTGCATCTGCCAGTCGAGATTCTAATCACGATAATACCCAGGCGGTCTCAGGCATCAATCAGTGCTCATGTAATGTAGAGACAGTCGGTGTAGCATAATAAGCCCTGGAAACGTAAATTTAAACAAGCATTCATCTCGTGCTCCTGCTGCGCTCCTCTCTTTATACCTACCTACCTCCTTGCATACAGATCGTGGACCGCCATGTACTGCAAGTTCTTCCACAGTAATGCAACCTGCATTGTTAGCAGCGCCGCGGCGGCACGCGCCACCCGATGTTCTGCATCGCTGATCTTTTACCCCAAGTCCTCTGTACTTCGGTAGAATTGTTTTTTAAATTTTAAAATGCAATTATGTAAACATTGGGAGTGAAGAAGCCAGGAGCCGTGGTTTCTAATAACAAGGGTAAAACAAAGGAGGCAAATCGAGGTGATTTTTGGGCAGTATCAAGGGCAAGATCAAGGGTGATTCGCAGTAACAGACGTTAATTTGTTTCGTACATTGACCTCTAGCGCTCGCCGTGGAGTGTGCATGACTTCCCAGGAGTTATTTGTATGCGAATTCATCAAGAGAATCCACAAGACGTAAAGGATGTGAATGATTTTTGCGCATCCTAGAGCTAGGAGGGGTCCGAGAATTGCTCGGCGTGGCAGGTAATTACCGAGTTCTACGATGCCAACCCACTAATCTTGGTGAGTATGCTAATACATAGTAAAGCAAAGCAAGGCCTCACCTGCTTGAATCTACCCTCTGTTTCCGTGAAAGGTTTCATCAATTGGGGGAACACTGGATTACCGTCTGATGACGCTAGAATAAACTCATCCATCAAGGTCCTCTGTATCCGGACCTTTTTCGAAACTGACTCCGCAGCCAGGCCCGAGAGGAAGATTTCTTGTTTGGCTAGGCCATTTTCTGGTGGGCGCACTTGTGGGCTTAATGCCCGTCCTTGATCACAGTCTTCCCGGCATTCCTGATAGAACTCATGCAAAACAGGTAATGAGCTGGTTAAGGTAACAGACTTAGAAGTAGGAAATGTACCGGTGTGTCCGTTTGAAGTTGATGACAAGTTGTACATGCTACGGGAAGGGGAGAGTGGAGATGGGTTTGGCGAAGAGAGGCAGCATGGGGTGGCTGGCCCAGACACCAGTAGAGATCCTCAGATAGATACCAGAATCGACAAGCAGGACATGGAGCCAGCCTGTGTACAGGTGCTACCGTCTCTAGAACAACAGCCTGAGAATCTTTGTACGCTGCAAAGAGTGCCATAAGTTCCTATTACAATTACAGGCTAAACGCAGAGTCACTGATTCTGTTGTCTTCTACATCTTGCAGGCGACTGCGGAAAGCCTTGGCTCGGAGTCGCTCCTCAAGCAGTTCCATTCTGTGTTTCAGGTCAAAGACTTCTTGCTCTACATCTTGCAATCTCTCTCGGTTAGAAGTCTCGTGAAGAGGGATTAGCCCCCAGTATAACGACCTTGCCTGTCTCATTTCTCTCACCTCGTCACTTCGAATGATAGCAGTTTGCTTCGCTACATTTGCTATTTCTGCCTTTAGCTCCTGTGTGCGTTCGGAGCATAGTGACTCATGCTTCCACACTGTCACCTCAAGGTGGGTCAAGTCGTCGGGTCGATGAACCATCGGCTCAGGGATTGAATCGGACCTAAAACATTTGAAACCTTGCATGTAAATACATTTACCAATCGTCGACCACCGTTGTTGTAATCGTATGGACAAAGCGATGAGCAATGACCACTTACCCTAGATGTAAGAGTTGCTGCGTTTTATAACCCAAGAATATAGTAACGTTAACATGAATAGACTGATCTCTATATATAACGTTTCTGAGTTACATTCTCCCACGATATCATGATCAATATTAATCGCGTGCTCGGCCCAGTCACGAGCTTCTGCTATATTTGTGGACCTCAGAATCTTGTCAGAATCTATCAAGCCACATCTACATTGACTATCTCCCTTGTCGTCTCCCTTTTAGCAATCCATAGTCCCAGAAAACGAGCAGCACAAGGATTCAATCCATAGCGCGTATAGCGCATGGGCATATTTTCTTCTGGCTTGGCTCCCTTACTAGTAGGGCGACAAGCTTCTTACGGTCTGAGTACTCTCGCGTTTGCCCTCCCTCGAGTCGCCGATGGCGACGATAATCCTCGCATCTTCTCTCTTCGATTCTCCTATACGCAGGTCTAAGACAGGTCTCATTGCTCTCTCGATAAAAAGTTTGACATCCTTGCTCGTCATCCGTCCCGTTATAGGCAGGTGTTTGGGTGATGGTAGTACGCCATGACTCCCATAGTAAGTATCACCCATGGACCTCGCTTCATCACTGAGAATTAGCTTGCAGGTTTCCTGTGTTGAGCTTTGTCTTCCGCCGTCAATCGCTTTCTATACTGACCCTACCAGGTGCTTTGGTCGAGACCTAATCAGGAACTCCCCTTCAGCGTCATCACCGAGCATATGATCGACTACGCCCTCCCCCGGGACGTTTACCATATTGCCGTGGTCATTTATAAAACATACAGCCATGACTAAAACTTAGCCGCTTTAAGGAGGTATCGCTGCTTGTCATGTTAATTATCAGGCGGCTGCAACTGCTGTCATGGTAAGCATCACTCAATTTCTTGTCGTAGTTTCCCTCAACTCTCCATTTTTGCATAAATGTCTGCTGGGGTGCTCCCGTCACGTCCGGACTTCCCGTGAATCCTTTGTATGATTGCGTGCTGCTTACAAAAACACTCGATCCTTCTGTGTAATACATCGGCCAAAGCATTTAGCGGTAATCGTCGATGCTGGTAAGTACTTGGTGTTCCCAGCCAGCCGACACGACCAATATCGTTCGTGTTTGCATTTTAGAATCCAAATATTCAAGTACAATGTTCCACCCGGATATAGCACCTTATACGGGCCGAATAACAGCAACATAATATCGGTAGGAATGTGCGTACGGAAATATCGATAACTATCTGGCCATCTTACACCAAGTTGGATTGTAAGAGAGTGAGAGAAATAAATAATATAAACGGAGCCAAAGCTGCATAGTCTAGCTATAAGGAATGCAATTCATGTTACATCGAGCTAGCCTATTAGACTATTGACCTCCAGGTCTCGTAGTCATCTGCCTTTGTATGATTATTACCCTTCAAACTCTCTGAACGAGGCGAGTAACTTGACCGCCTGGTTACATGAGATGTTCACGGATACCGTGGTCATAATCCTGTGTAGGCTTGGTGCAAGCGCGAACAACATCGTGAACGTCTCGTTCTAAAAGTGCATCTTCCTTGGGACACCTTCAAGTTTAACACACGGCGCAGCGTCAAGCCTGACGACTCGGATGACTCAGCGACCCGGGAACAATGGGTAAAGCCTGAGGAAGCCCGTTTCCTGTACCGATTGTTAAGTGACCCTACTTGCTGTCCTATAAGAGTGACCATGGACTCGGAATCCTTCGGCCATCAGGCCTCAGGCCTCAGACCCAGGGCCGGTATAGCGCAGCTCATTTGGGTAAGAGATCGAGAACAAAGGAATGACCCGGCGACAAGGACAGATGGGCGAGGGGGCTACGGGCCGGTAGACGAGGCAAGTCCATAGGAACTAAAAGGCTTGTAACCGTTTCAGTAAATATACTACGCGTGGTGCGGCTCTTGGCAGAGGTTGGAGTAGTGTGTAGTAATCGGTGAAAGACAGTTAATACTGCCACTCTAATATTACAGATACCAACAAGAAAACATGAACGAAAGCAAGCGACCCAAGTCTGACCATCCAAAGAGAGAATGATAATAGTGAAGGTGACGAAAGCAGAACAGTGTAAAGAGCATAGCAGATTGCGAAAGTCTTCATGCAGATAATAGACCAACTATGTCCCCATTGCGTCACGAGTCAACAGAATCGCCGGAATCGCTACCACTGTGAGATGGCTTGAGTTTAAAAACACGCGACGGTCCCGTCAAGGTGGGCATGGGCTCGCTGCACTCGGCAGCAGTAGAAACAGCTCTGAGGCAGGTGCTGGCGCTACAATCGATGGTGTCAGGAACGTCGGTCAGATCATTTGCTGAGGGGTCTGGCGAAGCTGCCGCAAGAGGACGAGGCGAATGGGTAGATAGAGGAATATTCCCTGCTGTCCCATTGACGGACCAATCAACTATAGGAATAGAATCATCCCTCTCGACGGCCAGGACGGTGTCTACATCTCGTCGAGGAGCTGTAGTCGCTTTGATATCACGGAAATCTGACGGTACGGCCTCAGGGCTGTCTTGGCCCGGTACAAACGAATATCTTGAGCCGAATATTTGCCTTGAAGAGTCAGATACTTATGCATCTGTATTAATCAGACTTTACTCACTCATTCCACCATTCCATGGTCTCGCGAACCCATGGATCACCTTCGTTCTCAAAGAGCGATATGATCAGGCCAAAAAACGTGTCTAAATTGAAAGCGCCCATAACTCCATCTGTCCACATTTCGGCCGTACTCAGGGTATAGTATATCTTTATTCGAGTAAGCCAAGTTAAGTAGAGAAGGTCTTGGAATCAGGAAAATACCGCTTACCACAACGGCTACCCAAGCAATACTTCGATGGCTGACATTAGTCAGCCCATATGCGATGTTCTTTGCAGGTTTCGCTTGCGACCCCACAAAAGCTCCAGTTGCAGCTGCTTTCGGTCCAACAAAAAGGTGACGGTAGAACTTTGAGGAAGGTCATCGTCGCAGCCCCAATGAGCGCATTCTTGACCAGATGGAAAACGGAAAGAAACACACCCGAATGAGAATTTCACTTCGAAAGAGCCCAGCCCTTTTATTATCTGGATCGTAGATGTGCTCTGGATACAGAAATGAGGGCATTCGCTCATGTGTCGCAGGAATTTTTCTTGATAATAATAGCTGCCGTACTCTCGAGGAGCGTCATCATCACGAGCACCAGCTAGTCCAAACATTGCTTACTGTTCAGGATTGGCGTCATATCTATCCCGTTCGCTCCGAGGACACAGTAAGCGAGCGGTAAGGGGATGGTTGAAGCCGCGATCCGACTTTGACTTCATTCCTCCTCCTCCAAAAGGAGGAATGATAGGGGCATTTATAGTGGTCGTAATGTAGCTGAGGCCGACATACTTAACGGAACCAAAGTCTTGAGATCTCCCTGAGCAGGTGCCAGTCCAAATCTGAATGCTAAGTAGTCAGCTAACGGTGAGAACATTCGGCATCACTTCCAGCTCACCAAGCCACAGATACGCTTTAGCTCGCCCGATTTCTCTAAGCATTCAAGGCGGTCGCGAAGTCCAGGAATGAAACCCAAGATGCCTTCGTACACAGCCAAATGGCGTTTGAGGGCATCGGGCGTCCTTGATAATAACTTGAGACACAGCCTACAATAACAACGAAGAGCTTACGGTTTATTGGTGTGTGGACTAGTCACGCCGTTATCCAACATCATCCCTTGTTTGAATGCAATGTAAGGGTGTACGAAGGGGTCAAGTAACCAAACCGCGCGCTTTCCTGCTTCTAGGTAGACTTGATCATCAACAACATTGCGTCTACTTCTACATATAGATTGATCAGTATAGACACGCTCAGATTAACGTCAGGCAGGGTTGCGTACCTTCTCGGTCGCTTTGTGGGAGGCTCGGGGCTAGGTGGTGAAGTCGATAGCTCATCGTGGCTGCGTTTCAGAAAGTTCGAGGAGCGCCTTGGCAACAGCCCAGAGGAAGAGCTTCGAGGCATCGTCGACACCTGTGGTGGAGAGAAGTAACTCTTCGGTAAGCGGACGGCGCGGAACAATCGGAGTTATCCGAAAGGCTGTGATTTTTGCGCCCTATATATATGGGCTCCGCCGCTCTAACTCATTGCACCATTCCCTACGGCCCATAGAAGCAGTAAGCAATATCTATCGATATCCCATATTGTGAGTATTCAACTGAATACTATCACAGGACTTTCTCACCCGACGGAGATATTGATAGTCCCAGCCTGAGACATGACTCTCAGCGAGGGTTGGAATCAGCATAGGTATTTATCAGCTTGCAGCGAGAGACAAACTCAAACGAGCGAGAATTCCTTATCCAGGTCACCCTCTCTGCATTCGCCCTCGATGTCGGATCTCGCGTTCTCCCTACACACTATCAGCGCTTTTGTAGCTCACTGGACCATGGGCTACAGAGGACCCGACAGCAACTTCAAGTTCCAGGAGGATCGAATGCGTGCCCGTGCGCAGCCTAACTCTTCGAAGGCCTTACACACATTATATGGAGACATGGCGCTTCAGGTGGTTATGGGTAAGGAGATTATCAAGAAGATACGGTCCCTGCCTTCACCACTCAAACGAACATTATCATCGGACTTTCAGCTCACCTTCGAGCATACTGTTGATTTGGTTGGGGTAATTACGGAAGAGGTCCAGTTTTGCGAGGCTATGATTAAAGAGTATGCACCACTCACCCCGTTCCCTGATGAACAGCAAGCGTGTGATCTCTTGTCATTTGATACTCAGTAGCATACCCGGCCTCGGCCCTCATTTTACATATTTTTTCCTTACTTTCAATGGAACATCTAGCGGCGTCTCTGGCCCTCGTGAAACCCTTCCCTTCCCCTAGCTGTATTTGCCTCGCATGCACCTACATACAACCGATGTCCTTAAGAGTAAACGCGCCCTGTGCAGCTATCCAGTTGTTCGTACCCTTCAAGTTACCTTTCGCGCCAGCACACCGAACGAGCTCGCCCCCACTAACGCCATCTTCCTCGCTGACCTGGTCACTACTTCGCCATTAGACCTACATCAGAATGAAAAGAGACGATATAACGAAAGGACGCACATCAAACGCCTCCTCAGATCCGGCGTGGGCCGCCAGGCAGCTTCTTCGGCACCTTGCCCAGGTCCTGTCGCCTTGTGGAACAGGATCAGGTGTTCGGTAGAGTTGTACTTGCGAGAGCGTCATGTTCATTGCAGCCGGGATCTTCCTGAGCACGAGCTCACCCTTGTCCTTCCCGGCGCCGAGCTCGATGATCGTGTTCCAGTCCTCACGCGAGACGTAGTGTTCTTCTATGCGCTTGATGACACCGTCCACTGCGTTCTGCATTCCCGGAATACGTCAACTAAGCTCATTTCACATCATGCGAAGCATAATATGTTCAACGCAGCCATCGACTTGCCGTTACCTCTGACAAATCAATTACCAGAATTCCCAAAGACAGGAAAGTGCGAGAACGTATCGGTACCACAGAGAAGATCTCAGACATGCTACGCAAGCTCGAGTGGGTCAGAGTAAAGATGCTTTATTAGTATAAGCGAAGCACAACAAAATCCATGAGGCGAACCATGACGTCTAAGCTTCTCCGCGCACGCGAGCTCATGCACATTGCCGCCATCCTCGACGGGCGTTGCATGCAGAATGGGATCACACCAGAGTGTGAATGGCTCGTTTACTGCTCATTGCCGCGCAAATAATAACACATATGACCCATCAGGTAGAAAACCTCGTCAGCGATGCGGCCCACGCGAAAAGGAACCCCACCTGGCCTGAACCCACCCATATGCGTCGACCACGCCAGATGCTTACAGTGCTCCGATTTTTGCGCATCGTACACAGGCTCCAAGGAACCAACGTCCTCGTGAATGTGCGAATAATCGCCTCCAGCTTAGGTACGTCCCGTTCGTCTGATTCTGCATGAGCTGTCCTCGCCGCTGCTACTCTCTCTTGTAGGTCTTTGTAGAGTGGAATGTTCACAGACCCAAGTGCACCGCGCATCCGATCCAAAATGTTCCGCATGAGCCTCGCGGGCCCAGGCTGTTTTCCGATCTAGTATTCCGCCGTGGACATGGGGCTTGCGCCATGACGTAACGCGCCTGCGCGACGGAGAGGAGGAAGCGTACATGCGTCAGGTCGTCGAGATGCTCAGCAAATCGGGTAAACGAGAACGGGAGCACGCTTTTCCTGCCTGAATGAGAAAGCGCACAAACTCAACGCACGTTCGGAAAGGGTTGGGCGGGGGCCGTTAACTTACGCATTCGCCAGTCACTAGTCATACGCGGACAGGGTTATGCGCATGACGTGATATGAGCCTACGATGTAATGAATTTAAAGAGCACTGCAGGATTGAAAAAAAAAAACACCCTAAAGGTCTGACCAGATTCGTGAATCCCTGAGTGTCCCGCCACTGCACATCCTCAATGATTACCTGCGCAACCAGCTCACGGAGTGAAGGTGGAGGAGGACCGCACAGCAGCGCCTCGTCCTGAAGCGTACTTTGAACGTTCGTCAATACCATCACACGTGTAGATCATACGCAACGCTAATCGTACTTACTAATCGCACACTTGCTCTTGCCATACGGACGTGATGGCGTCCTCCATCAGGCACCAGGGGGTTAACACATCTTGTTGTGACATGACAAATGACAACAGCCACCCACCGGCTGCATGCTCCAGCGGAGCCTCATCTCTTCAAGTCCGGGAATGTTCTCGGGCGGTGGATTAGAACCATGCAAGCCTAACAGAGCTGGGGCTCGTGGAGGAGGTGCTAATGTTGTTGATACGAAGGAGAATCTACAGGCCGTGTCTCAGCTGGACCTTGCAGTTGAAACACGAACGGCTCCGGATCCTGAAACATCTTTGAATCCGGAGGGGACCACGACATCATCGAGCGCATAGAGGTAAAGAATACAAATGTGGACGACTCGGAGTTCAGGAAGTCGTCGAAGCCGACTTCACGATAAAGCATGAGGTTTTGGCGGAGGTGGGAGATGATGAACGCCGACTTCCAGATGGTTCGAGCCTAATCCTCTTGTTCCTGCCTGCGCGCGCGTCAAAGGATCGAGCTGTCAGACAGAGACGAAAGGGGCAAAGGGGCAAATGACGTACGACGCTCCAGAAACTGTAGCAAAGAGCATGCCGCTATCGCCTCGTCACTGTCAATATGTTGAGAACCTTTCCCTTCCGCGCGTGCTCGAGCGCCATGTCCGTCTACTTCTCGCACGCAGCCTGTCTCCGCTTCCCGAATTCGTACGTGAGTGTCGATACGACAGGCATGGGGGTAATCAGGAATGTAGGATGGAGGCGGGGGTGGCACAGGGCCAAAGAGGACAGGATGCAATGGAATGCGGGAGCCAATCGCGGCGACTGCGACTGTGATGGTCTGCGCGGAAGAAGGGAGAAAGGCGAGACGTCTACCGGACGATTCGAAGCCGTAGATGCAGGGGAAGAGCCGCGCGCGGGGTAGGCGTGAGTACACTAGGCAGTGGGGCGACGTGGGTATAAGGTGTAAGACAACGGGAGAGATGAAAAGAACGTACGTTGCAGCAGGTGTGCGATGACTTCACCAGAGAACTCGAGGGCGACTATGTAACGCGTCATCTCGTCAGCAAGAGGCAACAGGGAGAATATAGTAGTTATACGTGCTCACCTGCTGGTCAATAAGTCGCCATCTTCGCACTCTTTACATTGCATGGGACCTTGCCGAAACGCTTGACGTACGCGACGAGCGTGTCGGGGTGGTTTGACATGTGTATGGAGTATATGGGAAGGCCCTGCCTGAGGCAGCATTCGGATATTCGGATCGAATATCGCACCGCGGTGCCGGTGCTGCGGCGACACCCGGACGCTGGTGGCTGTGCACCATCGCGACGCGACATTATGGATTTGGCCGAAGCCCCTATCGACCCATTCGCTTCGACATCCGCCTCACCAGTAGCTCATAACCATGGCCGTCGTTCCTCTACTTGACCAAGAACTTTTCGATAAATGGGTCGACGGAGAAATTGGAGACGACGCGATTCTCGAGGCGCTGGGGATGGGACAGGGGACCTGGACGTCAATGAAGGTGAGTACCGCACCCTATATAGGTTCGACGATCGCGATCTGTCGCGACGATCGTGCCTTGTGCCTGGAAACGGTGACGTTACTTCATTCTATAGGCGTTCATTGACCAGGAGATCCACGGATACCTCGACGTCAACGCCCCCTTGTTTCAACAAGATACCAATGGAGTCCTTTCGTCGGTACGTATACGTCACGCGAGCCTTTCAGCTATTGATGCTCCCTCAGGTGGTTCGTGTCTGGCCTTGGATGGCCGATTGGGAGCATCAGTGGCCGGTGACTATGTACGTGATGCGATTCTTCCGTGAGCTTGGCTTGCTGGTACGTGTTATACTCAGCATGTTGCGCCGCTTGACGAGTTCGTTCACAGCGTTAAATCGGCAGCGTGATGATCCCCCAATCTGAAGTAGGCGATCCAGATCAAAGTTTCTGAGGTTCGAGAGTCTGCATGTACGACTAAAAAGCATTCAGTGTACTTTTACCGTTACTACAATCAAAAGCTTGGAATCAGCTAGAAATTGAATCGGGTTTGAGCTCGTTTATTCGAGTCTAGTCGGCCCCCCTGGTACACGCACGAGCACGGACATGCCGCAGACTTCCGTTGAAGTCTTGCCTGCCGTGCCCTCGCTTCACGATGTGACCGCAAGAATACGGCTGCTCGCGTTCGACAGGCGAGTACGGCATGCCCGAGAGCACCGATGCAAGGTACGGCGACGTGGCGGCGCGCGTGGGCGTCGCCTTGATGGATGGTGCGCCTCCTGCTTTGCCAGCATGCGCGGGTGGCGGAGGATGGAGTCCATGAGGATCTTGCGCTGGATGAGCATCGAGTCGAGCGAGGACAGGTACGAGTTGTACATCCAGGACACCGCGAGCGAGCCGACGAACAGGATCTGCCCGAAGAGCGTGCCGCCGACCCTCCGACGACATCAACCTTGGACGACGACGCGGCGGTGGATGTCAACCCTCGTGCGTCCTTGCTCCCCACATTCCCCGCCGGGTCCGTGCCAGCATCCACAGCCAGACGCGCCGCCGATGTATTAGCATCCACCAGACGGGGGTGCTTACCTACAACACCGATCCGGTAAGTCGACAGCTCGTTGGACAGGAGGCACACCTCTTGTTTGTGTCGGGCTCCCGGGTTGCCTCCTGGACGTCGCAGCGGATCTATCATAATCACAGCGTGATCAATCGCGCAGGCGAGGGACCGAACAGATAATTGCAAGATGCTCGCTGAGGCAGAGGCCGAGGCTTCACGATAGGGGCAAGGTAGCGATGTATAGGGCGCGGTGTTAATGACCATATCTCCTAGCTCAACTAAATAAACGATCCGCTAACTGATAGGTTTAGGCTCCCAATGCCGTGACCTATCAAAATATCGATCAGTCCATCATTAGGGCAGAGAAAACGGACCAAAACCTAGGACGTACCGAACCCGCTCTCCTTAACACCCCCAAACGGAATCAAACAAACGCTGACCAGCCTTAAGCGCCTCCGCGACACACCCGCCCCATATCCCGGCTGAAGTAGCCCGCGACCGACATCTGTGTCATTCGCGAGCGCAACCTCGTTCTCCGTCTCGAGCCTGGTGGACGCCACGACGGGCCCGAACGTATCCCCAGCATTGAGCGGTGCGCCCACGGCCACTGTCGCTCATCAACATGAGCGCCCAGAGCGTGCCAGCAGAGGGAAAGCGTTGACCGACGACAAGGGCCTGCACGCCACCCACGATATGCCGATGGACTTTCTGGAGAATGATCGTAGATCAGGGTTTTTATATTCGACAAGAGGAGCTGTAAAATCGCTGACCGAATTGACATCCTCTTGACGATCCTATTCTCGCACAACCCACGACCGATGTTGCCCGCGTTCTTGTATGTTGTCACGACGTTGATCAGCTAGTCCAGCACGGCCGGGCACTTAGCAGCCGTAGACGAATCTCAATAGACGCGAATCGCCTCCTCGATCACGATATGTCTACACACATTCATGATATTCCAAACTCTCAAATAGACCCACGAAATCACTAGATACACAGCTCATTCAGCATAGCCTGATGCAATGACATGACAGAAGCGCTCACCTCGACGAACAGCGAAAGAGTATACAGAGGCGTAGGGAGAAGATAGAACTGTAGATTTGCCCAAAACATACCTCCCACTCAGCGAGGGTGTTGCCGACTCCCAGCGGCTTTGCGACGGCGGCAAGAATGAGTGAGTGATATCACGACCCACGATCATCCTGTCTAGGTCGTCGCAGTGCTCTTCCATGAGCGAGTGTCATGACGGTGGTGTGGTTATAAAGGAAACGTGTTGCAGGAGGAAACAGGAAACAGACAGCGAGGGAGCCATCTCACACGCCGCAGGGATGAATATAAGGATCCAGATGTTTCAGGTTCAGATAGCAAGCCGAATGTCGCTGTGCCCAGGACGTATGTTCCAAGCCATATGAGTCCGGTTGGGCAGTGGGGACATAATCAAGCGATGAGAGTAGGCTCGAAGAGGAGGTTCCAGGGCCATCGATTGCGAGCAAAAGTGATTACAACTCCGGAAGTATTCGGCTTATAGTTACGTAATCGTGACATGAACGGAACAGGCCCCAACGGTGCAAAAGAATGGATCGAACACGGGGCGTGGAGAAGGCCTCATGATCACCCAGATGTCCCTCTTTAGTTCGGCTCTGCGGTCCATCGCGCTGCTCACGCTTCTCCCCAATTTTAGAGGTGTTCAGAAAGCGGACTTATCGCACACAACGCTAGTGTCGACCCTCTACTGTACTAAACTATCGTAGTTAGGATCCCGAAACTTCAGACTGACACTAGGCTGTATGTACCTCCATGTTCTGCTCACCCCCTTATACATCTGACACGGAGGACCCAGTCCTCCTCGCGCACCTTGCCCCTGCCGCGAAAACGCTTCGTAATCCCTACCGTCTGCCTCTACCGCTGCACTTCCTACTTTTGCGAAGCTCTTACTCCATTCTGGTACGGGAAACCGTTTCACACCCATCCTTGGAGACCCTTGGGCGAAGACCCGATACGACCGGGACAAGCCAGCAAATGTACATGCACCCCTCTTGCCCAATCAGGCCGACCGGCATCCGCGAGCCCATCGCGGACATGTTTACCATCCAAGTGCAATGGTTCTTTTGCACTGGTTCCACACCCATTCTGGCCAACGCGCCTATCCTAGCGAGCACCTGTCTATACCACGCCCCCGGTTCTTCAACTTCTGCGGCCAAATAGGCGCGCGTCTGGATGCCGACCAGACGGTGTACTACAGGGACAAGCGGCGGCGCTCCATCCTGCTGCGCATCATGTCGCCGTTCCTATTCGGCGCGCCGGACGTGCACATGAAGGCGCTCAAGACGATCTGGATGGACCAGCTCGTGAACCACATCCCGTGGAAGAAGTTCGTGGACAAGCTGAACGACGAGTGGATGGGGTACACTTTGTATGTGCGTACCCATGTTCCCCTCTTGTCTGTTCTGAGTGTATGGCGGGTGCTGATGTGGTGTGAACGGTGGTAGTCGACAGTCATCTTGAACTCGAACGTGGCTTTTTTGGCGCTTATGAACGTGAGTCCACAAGCGGACCAGAATGCGCCGGCAAACGCGCCGTATCCCCAGACCCCAGCGCAGATTGCAAGCTACGTCTCGACGGTCGCGAGCATGGGCTCGGTCATCGTTGGCCTGCTGCTGCTCAGGCAGAACCGGACGAAAGGGCGTGCAGTCTGCCGAGGATGCTGTAAGTCGCGTTGTCTGCTCTTGGGTTATTCGGGACAAGTGAATGTTGACGTGTAGCGATAATAGGTGTACTTCATGACGACGGTGACGAACACGATGTTCGGAACTGAGACTCTTGCGATCATATACAGCCTCCCGTTCGGTCTTTTGCTCTGGGGGTATGTGCCCTCTCCCACCGAGTATACCCCAGTGTGCTGAAAAAAACTTATCAGTATGGTCTTCTTCATCGTCGCCTTCTGCTTCCTCGCGCTGCAGTAGACGTCGCTCACCACGCGGGGCACCGTCGGTGCTGCGGGCGTGCTCGTCCTCATCTTCGTCCTCTGGTCCGTCACTGCGGCGTGGGAGTGGCCCCCGTTGGCTCACCGCGCACTACGGGTGGGATCTCGTGTCCGAGTGGATCAAGACGATCGCGAAGCTGCTCGGTATCGATGCGAAAGCACGGTCCAGCAGAGGGCGCAGTAGAAGTCGGAGAAGAAGTAGGAGTCAAGCCAGGAAGGCCGGGCCGGTGGCGGCGTCGAGTGCAGGGGCTAGTGGAAGTGCTGGTACTTCTGGGAGTGATCAGGGGGATACCACGACGCCCCGGCCTTGAAGGTGAGGAAGGGGGCAGGTTGAACGGGACGGCGATCCCCGCATTCCACAGTTTCAGTCACGCGGTCCAGGTGTATGCGCCTCTCGAGCGTTTCGATCTTCTTCAAGGAGGGGCCTTTATCGCTGCGACGCGTCCTAAACTGAGGGACGGTTTGTGGATGGGCTGCATAATGGGAACCCTGATGCTACAATTGAGGTTAGATTCTTATCATGTCCAGCGGCACGCTCAGGCTAATGACGGCAAATTTGTGTCTGATGCCGGGCGTTTTCTCGATGACAACCTGTTGAGCTACTCAACTTCGACACCCTCATTGACGACGCAGAGATAGACGATTGGATGAACGAGAACGGACACAGAAAGATTGGAGTTCGGTGTTGTTTGATCTAAAAGTAATTGGTGTCGACACAGCCTTCAACGGCCCGCGACCCCTTCTATGGGCACGAGAACGCGGCGCGCCTCTGTGCGCGGTTCATCACCCACCTCTTCGCTTGCCCCGAGTACCCTCCCTCGTCGTCGGGCTCTACTGTGAAGCTACCGTACTTCATCGCCTACGCCCTCCACCAGACGAAACTCCACGCATCGGTTACCTTTGCCGCCCTCGTCCTCCTCCAGCGTCTCAAGGCCCGTTTTCCCACTGCTCGCGGCTCATCTGGCCACCGTCTTTTCGTATCCGCGTTCATGATCGCCTCTAAGGTGATCTGGGACGACACATACTCCAATAAGAGTTGGAGCATCGTCGCACAGAGTATGTTCCAGTTGGGCGAGATCAACCAGATGGAGAGGGAGATGTGTCAGTACTTGGATTGGGAGCTCAATGTCGACCCCGTCACACTGCAGGAGTTCGAGGCGATGATCCGCAAGGACTTCGCGGGCCCTGGACCCTATCCCACCTACATCCTCCCATCTCCTTCGAAGGCGACTCCTCCACCCCCCTCCACTCGTCGACGCCCACTCCCGGGCCCACATCGTCGAACTCGTCGACACCATCTCCCTCCCCTTATGCCTCTCAGTGGTATCCCTCGCCTCCGAAGCCGGTGCGCCCATCACCCCCACCAGCGGCCCCTCTCGCGCACCCGCCTGCTCCCTCGTACTCGCCTCCAGATACTCCGGAGACCCCCTCCCCTTCGTACTCCACCTCGTCGTCCCCTGCCTCGACAGCGTCTCCCAAGACGCCTCACGGCATCGAGGACCACACGGCGCGGATCGTATCGGCCGAGTCGTCGCCTGTGTCAAAACACAACGCGATGCCGGTCCAGCAGCAGCAGCATCAGGTGTCGATCGGCAAGTCGAAAATGTTCGCGTTCGCCATACCGTCGGTATGGTAATTTATTTACTTCTTTGCTCCTACTCCTTCGCTCCTCTCTTCGCATCTACTCTCTCCCTGATCGTATTATGGGCTGGATCTCGACGGCGACGCGGCTAACTCTGCACATGCATATCTATCGGACGAAAATAACTTTATACCCGTTGCTTTCATACCTCAGGGTGTCGATGATGTGCACTCGTTTGCCGCCCTCGTCCTGCTCCAGCGTCTCAAAGCCCGCTTCCCCACTGCTCGCGGCTCTTCGCCGGCCCTGGACCCTATCCCACCTACATCCTCCCATCTCCATCGAAAGCGACGCCCTCTCCCCCCTCCACTGTCTTCCCCTCGTCGACGCCATCCCCAGGCCCACGTCATCAAGTTTGTCGACACCATCTCCCTCCCCTTATGCCCCTCAGTGGTATCCCTCGCCTCCGAAGCCTGTGCGCCCATCACCACCACCAGCGGCCCCTCTCGCGCACCCGCCTGCTCCCTCGTATTCACACCCATACACCCTGGAGACCCCCTCCCCTTCGTATTTGACGTCATCGTCCCCCGCCTTGACAGCGTCTCCCAAGACGCCTCACGGCATCGAGGATCACACGGCGCGGATTGTATTGGCGGAGTTGTCGCCGGTGTCGCCGATATCCTCCATCCTCTTGCCCAGCGGCAACATTAGCCGCAGCCTCGGGTGAGGGCAGCAGCGCGACACTGTCAACGCGCTCCTTATCCTCTCCTCTCCGGACACAAAGCCTGTTTTGATAGGAGCATGGACCACACGGCCCCGATCTCAGCAGCCACATTCAAGAATCGCCAACGCGCCGTTCTCCAGACAGCAAACGTGGTCTTTCCTGTCGTGGATTGGCATCGACTCAGCTTGGGTAGCAAAGGGATGTGCGGAGACAAAATCACTGTGATTCGGCTTATGCACCTAAGTACAACTACTGTATGTTCACTACAACATTTACGATAGTATGATTATGCACTTTTTACTGCTTTTTGATTGGTTTCGTGCCTTGTTTCTGTCGATTAGTCTTTTTCGCGCTTTTGGGGCCATTAGGCTTGTTACAACCCACGGTTGCCACTAGGCCCCACATCGGAGCTGGTGTGGGCTTCCAAAGCGGCTTAAAGCGGCTTACTGTAAAGCGGGGAGAAGCGGCCCAGCTAGCCAAAATCGCTGAAAAGTCGCCTGTCGATTTCCTGATGTGGAACCTGTCCTGCGTAACCACCGGTACCAACATATGAACATGCGCATTTTGTATGACGCTGTTGAAACTCTCTAGTGCTTAGCGTCTGTCACCATCTCAATGGGTGCCACTTACCTCCCTTACGTCAGTCCGGTCTTACAGGTGACTGCACAAACATCGTCCACCGGTCTATGCTGTAGTATCAAGAATATCAACAGAACCCCGACCTTTGCAAGCTCGACATATCCTTAAGCTTCCACTTGGGTGATTTTTAAGATACCGACGAGGACGACGAAGAGCTCGACGAGAGCCGACGTTGGGTCAGACCGGCTGTTTGAGAACTTGAGACTAAAAAAAGGCTCTTTGAGAACCCAGCGCTGCGGCTGCCACGCCGGTCCCAACAAGCGCCGAGATTGTGTTATTGCTTTGCGGAACTCGTCTTTGAGCTCTGCACGGACGGTCTGTCAGCTTTTCAGCTTTTGTGAATTAAGGAAGCCGAAGTTATTATACCTTTCGTTGCCTCGTGGTCCTTATCACGAGCTTTCTTCCACTCAGTCTTGAGTTGGTCTCGGAGCTCATGGATCATGTCCGAGTCTGACGCCGACGTCTCCGTGGAAGAGGAGTCCACTTCGACCGCCTGAGCTTGAACGGCGCTCTCGTTCTCAGAAGAAAACGCACTCTTCGTCTATACATTTGGATGTTCAGCTCTCAGTCACAATTTGGTCACAATCCTCACGAGCGAATGGCGGCGATTTTACCTTCAGCAGTACCCCTCCCTTTCAGGTCCTCCGGACTCGGCAACTGCTCGATCTTCACTTTTCCCTCCACGGGAGCTGTCACGAGCGTATCACCAAACACAGATCGCCGCCATCTTGTTCTGCCGGAGCAGCGAGCAGTGTACCTCGGCGGAGATGATGATCGGATACGGCGAAGTAACGAATGCGTACTTCTTGATCGCCTCGCACACCTCGCGGAGCCCAACCTTGGGCGCGAGCGTCTTGCCGTGGAAGATCTGCGGCTCGTTGTCGCCATAATAGATGTCGAATGTGAGTTCCGGTTTGTTAGGTTTACATCGTCCAACAGCGATGTATGTAAAGTCACGTACTTTCGATGCTACGACAGCTATGTAGGAAGCTTAGCGCGGATGTACCCTTCGATGATACTTGCACCGATGAGCTGGTTCCCGATCAGATAGGTGTTGTTCGATGAGGAGGTCAGGTACTCCGAGAATGGGCGTGCCATGTCTTGATAGACCTTTGACTGCTGATCACAGAAAGCGGCGCTGTCGGCAGACATGAAGGAGGTAGATCCCTTTAGCGTGAACATATCAGGGTTGTCGGCTTTGGCTACGGAAGAAGCAGAGGCGGTAATGCAGCTATTGCATTCTAGAAGCATAGTTGTCGATAGACCCGGTGCGGAGGCAGAGGCAGAGGCAGCCTGAGTGGATGGCGTTGGTCCGGACACAGCTTGCACGGATGGTTCCGTAGATGAGCGCTCTGGAGCGGGCGTTGTCTGAGCAGGGGTCGGCAGCGCTGTTTTACCTTCGGCAGCAGATATCGGCCCTTGCGCACGTTCCACGCATACGCAGAAAGAGTTGTCGAGCCGTTTCTCTGCACATCTTTGCCTCATACATAGAACTGATGTCTCAGTCATCAATATCTGATTCACAGTTTCAAAAAGACAGCTCTCTCTATTTCCTGGATGGCACCATCGTCATTGCGGCTGCTGTCCAAGACTATGAGGATGGCCTTCTTTTTCGCGTGCATAAAACGCTGCTGGCCACGCATTCCCCTATATTCGCCACCATGTTCACTCTACCCACCATGCCGGATGAATATATGGACCCAAGCAACGTATTTGAAGGTGTACCTCTGGTGCGGATGTATGACAAGGCGGATGATGTCCGTGATTTGCTCAGGTTCTTTTACCATGCGCCGTGAGTGGCAGTTTCATTTATCCTGATTTCCTATTGGCTCATTTATATAGAACATTTACACTCACTCGTTACGATCCCGAGACCCCCAAAAAGGTCGGAGGAATTTTACGTCTGGCAAAGAAATACCAGATCGCCTCGTTGTGGGACAGATTAGTCAAGCAAATCGAAACGGACTGGCCGCAGACACTCTCGGGATGGGATCGCCTTGAAGGCGAGATAAACCTTTGGAATCAACATTGCGTAGAGGAAGGCGAGTCTCGCATTCCTTGCAGTGATATAGTATTCCCCGAACCGGGCTCGGCTGCACAACTCGCACGCGAATTTGACCTTCGCAAGATCACGCCTGCCGTTTTTTATCACCTTTCCCGCCTCGAGATATCCCGCAACCGTGGACACCTGTACGACAAGCAAGTTGCGGATCGCATTGCTGAAGTCCGATCACTCGGTGGCCGTACCGCAAACTGGTCGCTCCTGACCCTACCCGATCTCAAGTGTTTGTTGCTTGGTCGAGAGCGCATCCAACAATATCTGGAGAAGGAGTTTACTCGGTTCAGAAATTCACCCCAGTTCCACTATTGTGACCCCCAGTGCAACAGGAAGAGCTTCGAAGACGGACTCCGAGTGCTAATCCACTCGTCTGACATTTTGAGCGATCTGAAGATACTTGTCTCTGAAGATCTCGACAACTGCGGAACAGAAACACTTTGCAGTCCTTGTCAAGAAAAAGCAAAAGCGACAGTGCGGCAATTGCGTACGGAGATTTGGGATCGCCTCGCTGAGTTTTTTGAACTTCCAGTTCTTTCTGATAACGAAGACGATGATGGGGACGGTGATGAGGACGAGGGTGATGACGAATATCATGACAGTGAATGAGCATCGCTAGAACTCCTCGAAGACTGCTCGTTGTGTAGCAATATATAAATTCAATAAACATCTCTGCAATATCTCAACCAAGGTTGCACCCCTACCCGAGCTACTGTACACGTCTCTGCAAGCTCTAACAACTCAGGTACGACACAAGGACCCAGATAAACGTCGTCATTGAGAAACAGCTCAGGAGCCCAACGGAATGATCAGCCATACATTGCGGCACGTCCCACGAAAGTAAATAGCTGCGCTGCGGTTGCGTGGCAGTCATTATGGACTTCTGCAAAAGGAAAACAACCATCGAAAAGTCGGTATTTCCGGACCAGATCATCGTGACGGCTCGCTCACCTGTCTGCTAGTCGCTACCACCTAGAGCACCGTCGTGAGAGCATCAACTTGAGGGCTTATATTACGATTGCGAATTTGGGGTGCTGCGTTGAGGAGAGCTGTCGTGACAGCGACGGCGCGATCGAGTTCATAAGCGGACTCGGAACTAGCATCGGCTTGAGCATGTGCAAATAAGGTTCGGCACGACCAATGGGCGCGAGCGCGATATGAGCCATTCCGGGCTAGCGCGACAGGGCACGCATAGAACGGCTTGCCCGATGTTGACGGTCGGCATTTCGAGGCCGATGAGGCACGCCGCGCAGGTTGTCATCGTCGTAGAGCCCGGTGCCATTCGTACCTGGTCGCATTGTTAACCCGATGAATTTTGGATGTATGCACACGCACGCGTACGACGCATCTGGCCCCGTGATCGTTGCAGCGGGAGAGCTCGTATCGTCGATTCTGCGCTCGCAGTCGCTTGCGAACTTTTGCCTATGTCCACACTCGGCGTACATGTGCTCCCCACTCTTGTACGCATCGAAAAATAGAGGGCGAGAAGGAGTAGCGGCATTGAGGCGAACCATGGCTAGTTCCTTGGCGAAGTGATCTCGTTTGGACGGGGGTACTACGCATATCGTCATCTTTGGTTACCGTTCGCAGCCGAACCTACGCTCGAGCCCCTTGTCGTAGGGTGGTATGGTGATGATTCGCGAAGGGTAGTGAAGACAAGGAAGCCATGTCAGATCTGGCGAGGTAGGGAGCTTCTGCTATTGCGCAGAACATGGCTTATACCTAACATGGCGATGTACGGGTGGTTTTAACGCGAGAAACCGTGAGTTAAGCCTAGTAACAGAGCGCAAACATGAACTTACATGCTCACCTTTATCGAAACCCCTAGGCTGATATTCCCGTCCGGTCCAAAGTCGAGCGACAAAGCCGAGTAACATTTCGTCCGAGTTGCTCGCCCTCAAGTAGTTCAGCACCTGTCTGTGAGCCAACGTGATAGCAAAGAGCTCGCAGGACATGGGCTAGAGGGTAGAGGGCAGGCGAGCTCGCATCGCGATCAGCCCGGCGCGGGGCTGTGAAAATTCGCTGGCAGGTAAATGCGATGACAGCGACAAAGAAGTCCGCCCCACGAGCTCGTAGAGCTCCTTTTTCTCTCCGTCGGGCACCTCCCAGCTCTCACGCGGGACGAGATCGTCCCTCGGAGCATCCACCGCGCCTCCATCTCCGCTCGGTTCGCCTTCGGTAGTATCAACACACGCACCGGCGTCCTCGACCTGCTTGAGTCGCTTGTTGGGCGCCTTGTTCTCGTGCTTTAGCCAGTCCATCGCCTCCCGCCGCAATTCCGTCCGTTGCTGCGCCAGTTTGTCCCTCAGCGAGAGCACACGAGTTCAATGGTGTTGAGGTGCATCTGGGCTGTAGCGTGAGCTTCTTCGAGTTCTGCAGTGTGAACCAAGGAAAGTATCATGTAAGTGAAGGTGGATCACAGAGCAATGAAGTAAGAATGATGGATGTATCCAGACTTAAAGTAGTAGTAGCCTCGCGCTGACGTTCAAGCTGGTCGAGCTCTCGGGCCGGACACCACCATTCGGAACACGCCGATAGCGCTCGCGACAAGAATGACGGCGCCGGGAAGGGCGTGGGAGAACACCACCTGTACTATATATTAAAAATATATGATACATAGTTAACATAGTTAATCTATGTTTATTTTACCTCGTGGTGGGGCGCGCCGCCATCCGTCCTGATAGGAGGCGTTTGCTGGGTTGGTTTGGTTGACGGGCGCTTAATTGGCATTTGGCGAGCGTTTGATTGCCGTTTGGTTGGTGTTTGACAGACGTTTGATTGCTGGTTGACGGGTGTTTGATTGGCGTTTGATTGGCGTTTGACTGGCGTTTGACGGGCGTTTGACGGGCGTTTGATTGGCGTTTGACGGGCGTTTAACGGGCGTTTGATTGGCGTTTGACTGGCGTTTGACGGGCGTTTGACGGGCGTTTGATTGGCGTTTGATTGGCGTTTGATTGGCGTTTGATTGGCGTTTGACGGGCGTTTGACGGGCGTTTGATTGGCGTTTGATTGGCGTTTGACGGGCGTTTGATTGGTGTTTGACGGGCATTTGATTATCCAATGATATTGGGTTATTGTTGGCTCGTTTGTTATTGGCCTCGCTGGCTCGGCAAAATCGTGATTGGCTCGGGGATTGAGCCAAAATAGACAACCCGATCCGGTTCATGGCTCGGCTGCTATAGGCAGTGCCTGGAAATTATTTCAAATATCTGATCACAGGGTATGGAAAAAGTATTTAAATTTTTACTCAAAATACAATGGGTCCACTTCACCCACCTATTGCCCCCGCTTGACAAAATGTATTTTAAATACCTGTCACCATTGCCCGCAGAGTCATAAACATACTTTCCCAAAATTTATTTTGAATAAATCTCAGTGCCTGGATCGGATAATTTTCGGAAAGGTATGCAAAGGTTATTTAAACTACCCGGTGAAGGTATTTAAACTAAATTGTCAAAATTTATTGGAATATTTTTCCAGTGTCAGCGATCTCGATGAATTTTCTGCACCTCAGTGTAGGTCGGCTCATAAATTGATCATCGGTAAGCTGTGCATGTATATTGATTCTGATATAGACCTTGACGTTCGCCTCCGTAGTAACCTGTATGGATCATCGCGTCGAGTAATTCCTGATATCTTATTTAGCTGCCAAAACCTGACGATGTTTCTTAGCCCAATAAAGATATTCGGACTAAACCCCGGAGATGCCCACGTCATCCGTAACGCGGGTGGTCTGACGTGAGTCCCTTGCCATACGGTAGCTGGAAGTCTCAACTGAACTGATATCTTATCAGTAGGGAGGCTTTGCGCTCCATCATTATCTCCCAGCGCCGTCTCGGAACCAAGCATATCTACGTACTCCAGCACACCAAATGTGGAATGCTGGGGCTCTCCAACATTGATGTCAGTGCCCAGATCATAGATGAAAGTCCTGGGGATCCCTGTGTCGCCGCGGCCGCAGTAGAATTCGACTTCAAGCCGTTCCCAGACCTCGTCAAGAGTGTCAAGGACAACGTGCAGTTCTTGAAACATCATCCACTCGTCGAAACTCGTGGCAGAATTCAGGGATATGTGTACGACGTTGAGACACAGAGGAGGCCCCCAAAGTTAGTAGCCTGAGAGGTACTATGCGTAGTAAGGACTTGGAGTAAAATGAAACATTGATTGATTGTACGATGCTTCGTAATTCCCCTCGAAATACTCAACTAATGAAGCGAACTCTCCATACGATTCTCAAAGCTTACTAAAACACGACGCTCAAATCATACAATGTGCACCTGATTGTTACCCCTCGCCACTCATGCTGGTCCATACTTTACTCTACGGCGATATACTATAGTCTAAGTCGTACAATTAAAGTGAATTAAGTCGTAGTTAAAATCCCAATATTGCGAAAGTTGGTTTCGAACGCTACATACTCGAGAGACGCACTGCTGAAGATGACACAAGGTCAGAGTGGTATGTTGAACGGCGCCGTGTTTCTACCACTGATTTTTCTTCCACTGTGATGTACGAACCCATCAGCTCATGTACAGTATATGTGCTACATGCACATCTGAATGGCGCTGACCGAGTTCTCCAAGATACAATGGCTCGCGTCCCGTCAGTTTTCCAGGAATGCGGGGGCCTCTGGCGTGTGCGCTAGAGATTTATCAACTGATGTCATAGATTAAGTTATGAGCACATGCTGGAGTTGTACAATTACTATCCAAGGTATTCCTGCGGCGTGGATGATCCCATTTGCGCCCTCCTCCGAGTCGCACCGATGGATTGGGTTGGGAGAATGAGATAAAAATGGGGTTCTCGATGCCCTAGATTGGTCTCGATGCGTTGTCTGCTCCCCTAGGATGATCCAGAACCCCAGACACAGTTCCCCATGTGGTAGGAAGCATGTTATCCAACGCTTCTCTAAATTAGTGGAAGCGCATATCATTCACGGGGTGATCACATAATTAGACGTCAGCGCCACTATCTTTAGCGCATGAAGTTTCTAGTGATCATCGCAATCTAACGCGAACAAGGAAGCTGATGAGTGTGCCACTGAATACGTGCTAATTTTTTTTCAAATGATGTGATAAGGCGGTCCTTTAGGCGTCTGAGATACCTCGTACAGCAAGTCTAGGTGTACCTTGAATAACCAGAGTTTTGTATAAGCTATTGTAACCCAATCAGACCATGGCACGCGCTGACGGCGCGGCAGCTTCACTCAGTCTCAAGCCTGATCATAAGGTTTCATGGCGCTAAGAAAGAGGGGACTCTCATACTAAGGTTCAATCTGGGGACTCGAGCATCTGCTAAGTGCGGAATAGATCTGCGCTTCCTACCTTGGTAGGATGTGCGTAGGACACTGCAGCGATTCCGAAGCCATGGGTGAGGAGCTGAAGGGGTGAAATGCCCAAGGGTTTTCAATAGTGTTCGAGGGTTGTAAGCAGTAAAGTTGGACTTCCCTTACGGATATGTGCATTCACTTTACGCAACCTTTTCGACCCATAGCACCTATGCCAAAGATATGAGACACCCGCCCAGTGCACGCGTTCTTACAGATTTTCATAGTATCGCATATCAGAGTGGGGACCAGAGACAGATATTTGTATGATGATACAACAGAACTGTGCCCCATTCTCTGCCATTCTACCAAATCTCTTATAATAAAATGGGACTCTCGTTTGTGAGTGGTCATAACGATCACCTGAGAAATCACTCCGCTCCATGGATGTTGAGACATATTGTAGCGTTACACGTATTAGCATCGCTCACATGCGGGTAAGCCACAGCCCTGGAGATAATAATATCGTGTATGTTCACCAGACGTTAGCTGGCTTCTAGTCTTCACAAGATCAGCTTTGCTGCCTTTGATTTTGCATGACAGCTTGAATTATGATGCTTAGCGCTGAAGCGCTGAAACACGACCAATTGGTTAGAAAATTGTATTATTTGACATCTGAACCCGAGGCTTCTCCAACGTCAAGTCGACCCAAGTACTTTGACTTCAGCAGCCCATTATGACCTTGTGGTGGGAGTCTCTGTTGCCGTAGCTAGCACTGGGAGATTGGCCTGGGGATTTGAGATGCTCTACAGCCAGCTTAAACAAACATTGATATTATTACGCACATGCGCCCTGGCTAGAGTCCTGACGAGTGATGGACTTCGGTGAATCTCTAGGGAGTATCCAAGTTCTAGCCGCTAGTGGTGTACGGAAACTGCCGTCATTTTCTCATGGTCGGAGCCTTCTTGTGTTCCAAGGGATCTCAAAAGGATGCCTTCTAACGAAAAGGTACGTTCATTTGTTCTGACAGAAGCTGACATGCTTGTTGAGGTCTGGACAATGTAATATGGGCGCGGTAACGCCCACCCGCTAACAACGCGCTTCCCACCAGAGAACAAAAAGCCTTCCTCGGCGAACGCCGACCTCAACAATAGGCCCCTCCATGTCTCCAGCTCTACGCCCGACATGATGCTTGACAAAAAGCTCGAGCTGGATAGTGGGCTTACCTTGTCTCGCATCTTCCTTCCTTGCGTCCTGTACGGTTGTGCTTAGACCTGTTTCCCACTACATCGTTTCGCTGACGAAACCACGACAAGAGCATCGGTAGACGTGCGCTCTCACTTCATATTTCCTATCACTTCAAAGTCACCATCCTCTCGCTGGGCGAGCCCTCTCCTTTCATCACGTCATCACTCGTCTCTCTGCTCTTCTTCACCATCGCATCATCCTTTGCTGTATCCGTTATCCCCCATTGCATCTAATCAGCTCGTATACATCATGTTTCAATCTGCACGATTCCTGTCATTCAGTCACGACACGCCTTCCTCCCCATCGCCCTCCGCAATCGCCGTAGAAAACGAGGAGCGTCAGCAACACTCGAATACCAAAGCCAGCCGTCTCCTCGGTGCACGGCTCTCGCGATCAGCTTCACTTGGCCTCGTACGCGTGCGCGCGCATGTGCCTCCTCCGCTCACCCTTGTCCCCACTCCCCCTCTCCCGCAGTACGTGATTGCATCTGCGAAGGGATCTCCCCCACTCTCGCGCTCACGTCGTTTCACCCGGATGTTCAAGCGCTTCATTTCACGGACCTGCAGACGGAGTTCACCCAAACCCACCACGAACACGAACCAAAGTACGCACGTGACCGCGAATGCACCCAAGCGCCCAGAAATGGTGAACCGCACGCGTACACGTACAGAGGACATCACACACGCAGCGCTCGCAGGTTCGCTCGACTATGCCAACGTCAACGCGGACGTACTTAGCGTCACAGATGTCAACCTCGACAGCCCTCCCCCATCTGCTTTTACGTTCTCAACCTCTCTTCCTACTACCCCCGCCACTTCCGGAAGCATATGTGGTCCAGGCTTCGGATTTGACTTTGCACCCATGAGCGAGGTCCTCGACGAGATGCTTGGCTCTGTCGCAGGGCCAACCTCTAGTGCTAGCGACGGTCTTGGATTGGTATCTAGCATTACGTCCCCATCCTCCCCCGTTTTCGCTAAGACTCGGATGCGCCCTCCGAACAGTCGCTTTCAGTGGGACAACCCCGAGCCGTTCGCGTCCAGCGCCACTGCTCAAGCTCGCGTCGAGGTCGAAGAGGCGGTGGACCCAATGGCGCGTCATATATCGATGTACGCGTGCGTTGAGAACGCGGGTCTCAACCGCGAAGAGGATGATGACGAGGAGGCAGAATCCGAGGAGGACGCTGGGGACTATGCTTCGGCGTATGGTAGCATGGCGGGGAGTGTGCACACCTTCGCATGCGCGGCGGACTTCTTGCCTTCTCCATCGGCGGAGACGACCACCCCTTCCCACTACTCTCAGTCGTGCTCTCATTGCTGTCGCTCTGTCCTCGCGGACGATGTCGCATCGTTATCCGACGCCGCTTCCGACCTCTCCTTCAATTCAGAGTTCGGCTCTACTGATCATGCGTCTGACTTCGGCGCCGAGACGGACGCGACCACCCTCCCATCCTCGTCGTCATCTCCTTCATCGTGCCCTCCGACTCCAACTCTATCCACCACCGACCTTACTACTCCATTGTCTCTCGAGGAGTTTGGCGACGTCCATTCATACCTGAGAGGCCGACAGAGGAGCGACGCAGTGCGCTCGCAGCGCAAAACGATGCAGGTTCTCGGCGTCGAGGCGGCCGTCGTGCGCAACCGAGGACTAGTGTTCCGTCCTGTCGTCAACTAGGGTATTACCTTAGAGGTTCTCAGCGTCGAGATGCTGGGTCATCTTGGCGATCATGTCTCCATTTTCCGCTGGACATGAACCCTTACGCATACGCTTACATTGTAATACACGTTCATTTTCTTACACTGTTCCACTACCTATCTTTGTACCCGTCGTCACTGATCAAAACGCATACCATCGCATCATACCACACGCACGTCTCTTACATCCAATCTGTCACGTACGATGTACACTCACACACGGCAATGCAATTGTTCTCCATCCCGAAACACGTCAGAACGATCGAGACAACAGGAAAGCCGTAGAAAAGTACAATTGCCGGCATTCATAATTCTCACATAGAAGCCGGACAGCTACATTTATGTTTCTAGAGCTTCTATATCTATCCTTGTCTGCTTTATTCCTTCCTATCTCCCTCCTTGTCCTGGTCCAGGGTGATATACAAGTGCCTTCTCGTAGCGAGGGCCCGCGCACCAGGGACAACCACGATCGTCTGCGTATCGTCAATGATCATCGCTGGCCCCCTCACCTCGTCCCCAACATCCAGCTTATCCAGCAAAAACACCGGTGTATCCTCCACCCTCCCGATCTCATCAAAGTACGTGCTGTGCGTCGCGTCCGCCTTGTCCTTGCCCACCTCGCGCCGCTCAAACGACGGGTCCGAGACCTCGGCGAACACAGAGGGGCCGAGCGAGTCGAACGTCTTGCCGATCCCGCGCACTTTGACGTCGTCCACGAGCACGCGCACTCTGAGCAGGAACCCGAACTCGGCCTTGTACACGCGCTTGAAGGCTGCCTCGAAGTCCTCTTTCCCGTCGCCGTCGTTGGGGGTGGGGAGGACCATCAGGGCGGTGTCGGTGCCTTCGAAGCGCATGTTGAGCATCCGCTCGGTGGTGATTTTGTCAGAGGGGAAGCCTTGTGCTTGCAGCTCGTCGACGACGCACGATGCGAGCTTGTCGAGCCGGGCGGAGAGCTCGGGGAGTGTGGAGGAGGAGTAGAACGTCGAGGAAGGTTCTTGGAGCTCGGGAGCGCTGCAAGTGGTCGCAGCCGTACGATCAGTCTACGAGGTAGGCAATGGAGGAAGAAATGAGGGGACGTACCGGTCGGCAAGGGCGAGCCCATACGCACTCAAAATCGAACTATGCCGGTGCACGAGAATCGTCTTGATTCCCAGCAACCGCGCGATCTCGCACGCATGCTGCCCACCGGCGCCTCCGAAGCTCGCGAGCACGTGTTCAGAGGTAAAGTAGCCCCTGGCTTCAGTAAGCGCCCTGATGGGCCTACACATCGTCTCGTTCGCGACTTTGATGAATCTGGCAAGTCAAGGCGTAATTTGAGGGCTATCGGTGAGAACTACGAGGCCAAAGGAAGAGTAGAAGGTGAGACACACCCATAAACGATCTCATCAAGCCCCATCTCCGTCTCTCGCTCGCTCTGCTTATTGATATCCTTCGCCAGCTCCTCGAACGCCTTGCGCGACGCCTCGGCATCGAGGGGCTGGTCTTCGTTGGGTCCAAAGATCTTGTGGAAGAAGTCGGGCACAAGCCGACCCAGCAAGAGGTTTGCATCGGTGACAGCGAGAGGGCCTCCTCTCCTGCACTTGATATGAGTGCGTGTTTAGAAATGGTGGAGAGATCGGACGCACCGGTAACATGCAGGCCCGGGCTGCGCACCCGCGCTCTCGGGGCCGGCAGCGAACAAACCGTTGCGAAACACGAGACAGGACCCACCGCCAGCAGCGACGGTGTTGATGTCCAGCTGCGGGCTCTGGATGGTGATGCCTGCAGTCGTGGTTTCGTATACGGTCTCGTAGTGGCCTGAGAAACGGGAAACGTCTGTCGAGGTACCTCCAACGTCGAGTCTAGTTGAGCATTCAGGACGAAGTCAGTGAGAATCGTAGGAGATAATGTGGGTATCACATACCCAATGATTGGTTGCTTCTTCTTTTCGTCCCAGCTCGTCAGTGCATACCCGACCACACCGCCTGCGGGACCACTGAGAATGCTCTTCAGACCCGAGAAGTTCTTTAGGCCGACCAAGCCTGTGCCAATCATCCGTGCATGTAATCAGCTGCAGCGCTCGTGACGGAGAGATAGCCACAAAACGCACCTCCATCACTGCCCATGAACTCGACTCGTGGAACCCTCACGTCAAGGTCACGTAGACTTTCATCGAATCCAGAGAAGAACCCATCGAGATACTCGCGTAGCACGGGTGTGAGGTAGGCGTCGGCGCTGGCGCTAGTCCCACGCGGAACAAGGCGAACCATCGGCATGAGGGCTGCACTCTCGCTGATCTGGTCATAGGTATGGTCAAAATCGCATTCACGCAGAGTAGAGGGGAGACAGATAGGGAGGAATAAAACTTTGCGCACAAGTTGGTACAATGCATACCTGAGAGAACCCCGTCTTCCGCGCCAGCTTGCCGATCTGCTGCTCATGCTCCGGGTACATGTAAGAGTGCAGCAAAACGATTGCGAGCGAGTCGTATCCATCATCCCGTAGTTTCTGTAGATCTTCCCTGATCTTCTCTGCATCTGCATCGTACGAACGACTTAGCCATGCAGAACCGATCAGCCCCGTTCATCACGAGACGGCCGTCGTGCGTGTATGATCGAGCAGGTTAAAGACGGCGACGGAAAGTGGAAGAAAGGCTCCTGCAAAAAGGCAGGGCGTCAATGGTTTTACCCCTCGAAACGAGGAAATCAATAAGCACAGACGAAGCCAGACGGCTAAGCATGCAGAGCAGGGAGGTCAAGCTCTGGTACGAACACAGGCATGGATGAGCAAAGAAAATGGGGCAAAAACAAGGACAAAGGGGCGCGAAAAGACGAAGACAAACGAGAGAGACGGATGCGAAGCTACGTATGATGATGAAAACGAGACTGACCTAGTCGCGTGCAAATGAAGAGCGTCTGCACAGTGTATGAGCAGATGCATGAGACGAGCGTGATGCCCATGCACGTGCACGTCGCCCACTTGTAGACGTGCATGTATTTCTACACGCCGATGCAGATGCGATCTACGAGGGTAAAACCGATGCGCTGTAGGCGCCGGAGATGCGTCGGACGTACATGGCGAACGCGAGAAGGCTATGAACAGAGGCCTTGCATGATGATGAGCGCAAAATGAGGCGAAAGGGTTCGATTATACGAGATATAGTGGGTGGTATAACGGGTAGAGAAAGCGAGATGGAAAGAAAGTCGTGAAATCTACCGTAAGCACCAGCCCACAGCATAGGAGCAAGGAGCCACGACGCACCATTTGTGAACAAACTTGACAGGTGTAGGCTGGGAGAACACCTGCCATTAGTCGTTCCACTGGTAAGCTATCCGCCCCAGTACTCCTTTTCCATCTCCCCCCGCCCTTATCTTTCGCTCGATGCAACACCAATAGATTAAGGCGGAGGAGCACGCTCGCCTTCAAAGTCCGTGCTGGCGCTCGGCGGAGTGTGACGCGACGCTGAGGGTGCGAAGAGGATGATTGACGTTACGTATCGTTCGGCACTAGGGGTTCTCAGAGGAGTTGAAGGCGATTGTAAGGGCGAACATAGGGGGAAGGTCATGGTTGAAACATTGACGCACAAGTTTAAGTGAACTTGGAGGTGGTGTTAAAGGGAGGTGTTGCCGTTTGGAGAGGCTGAAACCCTGGGGAAGCGGGAGAGGGTGAACAGGGTCCGTGAAGCGAGTAAGGTCAATGTTGTAACATTGAGCGCAGCGTTCCACTTGAACGGAGATTGTGAGAACTCGGAAAGTCGGAGCGCGACAACCCGCGATATGTTTCCTCGGTGGCGGTGCCTCATTTTAGCCGACATCCGACAGTGGTCACCAGTCTCCCTGTCACCGTCGATGATCCTTGCCGGCCCTTACCACTTGCTGCAAGCGTTATTTTAAAGGAGAATGATGAGGACCGTGTAATGATATGGGGTGCCGCGGGTAATGTGTGAAGGGCATCATGGTCGCTAGTGAGGTTTGAGGATCCGGTTAGCTTGAGTGACAGGGTGAGACCAAGGCGTCTATTGAACATCTGTATCAGTCCCCCCAAACCATCAATTGAAGCAGACGTGCAAGGGTATTCTCCCGCGACTGAAGCTCTCCAAGTTGTGTCGCCCGTATGTCGGGTAATTTGACTATTATTACATGCTTCCATCTTCATGTTCATTCTTGGTCGCGGCGAAGCTATGGGAGGTGGCCATAACGAGAAACAACTGAAACACAGGTGTCTCAAAGAATTCTGGTTGGAAGATAAGCTTGGATCAGCAGGCCACAGTGGGCTAATTCCGTCGAGCGCTCCTATACACCATGCATCGCCGAGCACCGGTTTTCCTTTTGCTATTAACTTCGCCATGAAGACACTAAACGAGTGCAAGACATCAATATTATAACAAAATGTCTTTCACCACTAGTACCGCAGTTCATCTCCATATCACAAGGGAACTCGTCAGCCGGTAAGTCGAGCCCAAGAATCCGGCCAAAGCTTCTCACAAGAGTATCAACGTACAGGACACGCCGCGCTACGCTCCGGCACTTTCTATCGAAGTTAGCAATATTAACGGGCTCGAGCTCACACCACTACAGCATATCATAATTTTCCCGAGGGCTTAGCCGAGGACAAAACCGCTCCATAGATAATTGCACGTATCACCAGCAAAGTGTCGTTCTACCACGTTCGGGATTTGTTCGGGATAAGCATGGCAGGCCAAGATCAAAAAGGAAACCCTCATATCAAAATGTCAAACAAAGGTCAACAAAAGCCTACCATAATTTTGAAGATACGAGTTATTATGGGCGTTTGCATTGACCAAAATAGCTAGTACTAGTACTTGCGCCTCACCAAATCTCAGGGTGTGCATCAAGATCAAAAGAATCATTTCGCCTTCATTGCACCCAAACTAGTGAAAGCGTTGTGAGAACTGATAGACAGATAGACGCTCTCAACCGTGAGTTCTGCTCCTTTCTTCGAGGCCCTTGACTCTCTCTCTCTCTCTTCGTGTTGTCGCCCGCATATCCGTCGACTCCAGCTCACTGCTCTCTCGCCAGAAAGCAACCCTCAGCCTACGTACCACAATGGCCGATTCGTCTCCGTCCCCGGGTCCGATGCTCGATAATAACAATCCAAGCTCGGCTTCGCTCGACGAAATGTCGAAAATTCGCGCGACCTGTCCCGTTTTCCGAGTCCTTATCATTGGAAGAGCGAATGCGGGGAAGACAACGATCCTCCAGAAGGTGTGCAACGTCGACAAGGACACCGAGCCGGTAGTGTACGACGGAGATGGGAATAAGGTATGCGATCAGGCTGACTACTGCTGCTACCGTCGCCGCACGCTTAAATCGCATAGCTCGAACACTGGAACGCCCCATATACGCCGGCCACGGAAGTACCAAGCCTCGAGGCGAGTGGCCTCGCTCAGTTGGCCAGCTACTTGTTTCATTTGCTTGTCCCACAGATAACAGAGCCAAAACGCGAATCTACGCGGTCAAAGTTTAAGAAAATTCTTCACCGTCCATCGTGGATGGTAAGGGCTTGTCATAGTTTGCTACTCTGACGATGGCTCTTAACTTGAGCCTACAGAAACGCAACAAGTCTGAGACTCGAACGAGCGACGCAGATGTTAGCCAGCAGAAACGTCTCGAGTCAGATGCTCGAATGAGTGACACCGACATTCTTCGGCCTTCAGACCAGGTAGCTACACTTTGTTCCAAGTCTCGCTATCTAACCGTTGGCGACAGCGCGGACGCCATGACATCACGAATCAGATCACGTACCCGGACAGCCGCTTTATATTTCACGATTCAAGGGGGATTGAGGCTGGCTCGGTCGATGAGTTCCAGATTATACACAAGTTTATACGTGAGCGAGCGTCCAAAACTTCGCTAGCAGAGCACTTGCATGCCATTTGGTGATATACTTGATCGACTACATTCTTCTGAACATGCTGATAATGGGATATTGACAGGTTTTGTGTCTCGATGGACAACACGCGTCCGTTGGTTGAGGCAGAGCTCGCCTTTTTTAACGAGGATACTGCAGATGGTATGAACCAGCATTAGCATGTTCGAAACAGGCTTCATTAACATGACACTCTGCAGTACCGGTGGTAGTTGTGTTCACGAAATATGATGCACTGCTGGATCGGGTAGCCAATGACCTCGATATTATTGACATGACAGAGCAGAGCCAGGTCGATGTTGACAAGGAAGCAGAGGCCAGATATCAAGAGCGCTACCATGGCCGCATCATGAGGACTGCCAATCCACCGAAAGCAGTTGTAAGACTCCAGGGTAAGCAACTATCCTGCATTAGTCAATACTACTACTAAGATAAGGCAGAAATGGACAAAGTCGAGACACAGTGCCCAGAGCTGTCTGAACAGACAGCTGTGGCAATAGACGATCTGTCTTTGCGCCAGCTGTTTGTCTCTGTGCAGCAGAATAACATATATCTGTGCATGCAAGAAGCGGCAAGGCAAGTGCATGTCTTGAGTTATATCTGTTATTTTGTCTGCTCATAGTGAGTCAGATTTTTGACACAATCAGATGTTGATGTTGTCGAAATGATACAGAAAATTTGGCTCATGTATCCACATAACTGGGTATGTGCACTGTGATATTTGTATTGAACACAAATTAACTGAAATTTTGTACAGGATAATGACCAGGCATGGAATTTACCTCAGTCAGAAACCTGTTTAGTTGACCTCATTTTTTTACTGTGCCAGGTTGAGGTAAATATATGTGGTACTAAATACCATGGTTATGCTAATGTGTGCTATGGATATTAGCCCAAAAAAGTAAGTGATTATATGAGTTAACTGCACAAAATGACTTCATTTCCAACAGTGGGTGAAGCATGCAGAGGGAATAAAAGAGGTACAAGCTGATATGATACACCCTTGTAGACTCTGTACTGACAGGCTTTATTGCTTTAACTTATAAGGATGTGAGTGCTGGTGTCATGTTCTGCATGTGGCTGATGCTCATCTGACCACTCTTATCTGCCAGGGGGTGAGTCCTGGTATCATATCTTGCATGTGGCTGATGCTCATCTGGCTACTCTTATCTGCCAGCCGGTGAGTCCTGGTGTCATGTCCTGCATGTGGCTGATACTCACCTGGCCACTCTTATCTGCCAGTGGGTGAGTCCTGGTGTCATATCCTGCATGCAGCTGATGCTCATCTGGCTACTCTTATCTGCTAGGTGGTGAGTCCTGGTGTCATGTCTTGCATGTGGCTGATGCTCATGTGGTCACTTACATCTATCAGGAGGTGAGTCTGTATTTTATACCTTTTAATTGATCATGGTATATAATATTTACATTGGATATGAAAGGATGTAAGCCTTAAAGCCTTGTTATACATCTTCCTCACATTGATCTGGCTACTCTTATCTCTATAGATAGTGAGGTCTATCTAAATCACTCTTTACATTATACTGATGCTCTTATTTTACTAGCAGGTACTGTCCTCCATTTCTAGATACTTTCTTAATCATACTGATTACACACTATGATAAAACCAGGAGGTGAGCATACTTTAACCTATACCCCTTGTCATCTCTACTCAATCCCTGTTATTTTAGGTGAGGCCATCCCTGTACACAATGTGACTCCTGATCATGGATTGAAACCGTGCAGCTTATTGAAGTGAGGTTGTTTTTCTCCTTTATATTATTGTTTTGCTAACCTGGGTGATATAGCTGGTATGCAAAAGTTTACTGCAAGTAGTGTGTTGACATCTGATACCACTTGTGCTGGTGGGGCATGTCCATCGACCCACAACACTAGTATGGAGGGTTTGGAGTAAGTAAACCAGTCTGGTTGTGGAGTTTCACCAGCTGATCCTTTCCTGTTAGGGAGCGGAAACAGCGAGAAAAGAGATCGGAGCTGGTATCCATTTTCACCTCTTTGACACTGATTACAACTCATTTTCATCATTCGAAGCCGCTATTATGATAGGTGCAGATTCCTTCCCCATGTGGAAAATAGAAAAGAACCCATGGAAATGGTCTTTCGAACGCTTCAAGAGGTCACCTCAAGTGAAGAAGTACATTCAAGACATGGTTCATCAGCAGTTTGATGGAACTGCAGATGCGGAGGAACAGGCTCAGGTTATCTATCGGATTGCCGTTTCCGCATCAGTATGTGTTCGTTGTTGTCGGCTTCTCTGGTTTCTAATTTTTGTCCAGGAGGAGTTGAAGAAAGCGTGCGGCAAAGCCCCTGCTCGTGAGGGCCAGGCGAGCACTAGCAGGATTTAGAGTCCGATTTTGTACGGGGGAAAAGAGTGAAGACGAAACTCGGGTCGGGTGAAATGATACTGTGTATGAATAGTCATGTGGATTATTGATAAAACGCGCATTGGATTAGAAGAAACGCATGCCGTTGTTGACTGCAGTGAAACATAAATGGTACAAGGACGGCACTAAGAACATGGTACAACGGGTCGAACAATCGCTTACTCCATGCTCGGCGGCCTCGCGAGCTCCTCCTCGCCTTTCTCATTTTTCACGAACATCCACCACCCAGGCACGGGCCTCACCGTATCCCTTTCGCCCGACCCCGACAGCGCCTTGTCCCCGCTCGACGACACCGCACTGCCCACACCGCCAGCGACGAGCAACGTGCGGAACACCTGCCCGTTGTCGTTCAGCTTCACGTCCACCTCGACTGTGCCCGGCGGGATCTTGGTGGTGTCGACGTGCGGGTACGGCACGCCGTCGAGCGTGAGGTACAGGTCGCCGATGAAGGGGTCGCCTTCCGGGTGCGGGACGAAGTGTTTCGCGGCGAAGGCTTCGCCGCTGAGGTCCGCGTAGCTCTTGTCGGAGGGCGACGAGGGCAGGTTCTGCAGCCGCGGGCCCTGCCACTTCCCCTCGGCGGTGAACACACAGAACGCGGTGGCCCAGCCCATGAGATAGGAAGGCCCGCTCCCGCCGCTGTGTCTATGCGCGACCTTCCCCCAGAAATCTAGGTTCTCGCTCCCGTGCGGATCATCGAACGCACGCACGAAGCGCTCGACGACAGGCTTGAGAAGATGGAACCACGCCGTCGTCTCCACACCATACTCCTTCAGCTTCCCGATCCTCTCCAGAATCGCGGCCCAGTCATCGCGCGTCCCGTCGAGCGTGACACGCGGAATCCCGCACATGAGGCAGAACGAAAAGTCGAAGTACGCCTTGGTCGTCGCCATTAGCGCAATCGCATACACCGTGCTGTCCGTGACCGTGCTCGTGCTAAACCTCGGCGTCGCCCACTCCCTCAGCTTCGGATCGCTCACGTTCTTCTCGAGCTCGCCCGCCATCTGCCGCGCCATGCTCCCAAAGTCGACGCTGTACCGCGTTCCGACCGCCGTGACAGTCAGCTCCTTCTTGCCCTCGTGCGCAACGAAGGAAGAGCGCAGCTCCTCAGCGTGCGCGTTCACGAAGAACGAGAACTGCGTGAGAATCGGGAGCCACACGTCGTCCGGGCGGAGCACGAGCGCGCGGTGCCGGTTGTACGCCTCGAGGAGGGTGTGCACGAGCCCGTTGCGCTGCGGGATGAGGCTCGCGCCGCTGAACGAGACCTCCTTGGGGATGGAGGACTGCAGCAGCTCGGTGCATTTCTTGTACGGGTTCGGGCAGGCGTTGCGGAGGAGGGTCTCTGCGGCCGACTCGGGCCGCGATGAGGTGCTGTCTTTGAACTTGGCTGTGTAGGAGGGGTCGAAGGGCTCGGCGGGGTGCGAGGCGGGTGTGAATGTCACGGATGTGGGTGCGACGGTGACGTCCTAGAGTTGAGCGCTGGTAAGGCTCTGCAGAGCGGGATACAGCGAGAGGGGAAGGACGCACAAAAGGGCTTGTCTTGTCTTGCATGTTGGACATGGTATGTGCTCGCTTCTTTCGGGAGAATATGCTTGACCAGATGCGTGATACTGACATTGCTGATGAGTACTAAGTCGCGATAGCGATGACACCAGCGGACACGACGACCGGGGCACTCACCAGGACAGAGTCAGAGTTATCAGTGAGATGCTGATGATGGGTCGAGAGAAAGAATGAAGACAAGACGAAATCCACCGCAGCCTCCTAAATACCTTCTCCTGTGCCATTGACTCATCATGGCACCGGCACTGGCACGAGTTCTTGGAACCTGTCATGTCAAATTGCAGAGCGCAGCTCCATCCGTCCCACTAATCGGCTCGGGTGATGTAGTGGATAGGTGTAGCGTGTTTCTTAGGGCAATGACCTCGTATGTCGCACGCTAATAATGTCGAGGGAGCCGCGAGCTGAACGCGCTCGAGTACGCAGCTGAAGGTGACGATTATGAGAGCGAGGCAGAATCAGAGCAGAGCAGGCCGCGAGACGGCTCCGAGACCGGGTTCCGACTTAGGGGTAACTCAGGGGCAGGCCTGTACAATGCAGTCGTCGGGTGTGGATATCATACTCCTCGCTTTGTAGACTTGCGATCGACGCAAACGCCGAGAACATCGCTGACATAGACTTGTCAAACAACGAAGATTGAGAGTGATAATCTCGTAAATACGCCATACCATGCCACAACCCTAAACACGTATGCACTACACAGCTATCGATATCGATACCGAGTAAATCAAGGAGTTTTGGTGAAATAATAAGTTATAGACGCAGACGAAGACGAAGAAATGGAGAAAGTTGGATGGACGGACGGTGGTCATGCGAAGAAATAAAGGAAATAAAAAGTGCAAAGAAGATACGAGTAAGCGAGTACAGCCCCTGCGGTGCCTTACCCCAGCCCTGTGCGCCGAGTGCTCGACAAGCGCGCCTGGCTGGTGCTCTATTTCGAACCGACAGAATTCACTGACGTGCGCGAGCGCGACGCTGCGGAGCGTACGCCGAGGCTGGCGCCTTGTTTCTGCTTTTGCTCGGTGCCGAAGGAGGATGCGTTGAGGGCTTTGATGACGCCACTGTGAGGGAGAAGGGAGACGGGGAGGATGAGAAGGAGAGTTAGAGTTAGCATCGTCTAGGCGGCTAATCGATAGAGATAGTGTACACAGCGCAAGGTGGTGGGGTGAGGAATGTACAGGAGGTGGAGGGGGCGAGGGAGTGATGTACAAGGGGTAGGAGGAGCGAAGAGAGAAGTGAAGACTCGCCGTTGCGTCGAGTCGAGGTAGTCGCTGCGGTTGTATTGTTTCGTTTTCACCGAGACGCCCTTGTCGGAGATGTTGATGCCTTTGTCTTTTAGCCTGAGGAGCGAACGATGGGTATCAGTTGGAGTTACGACGTAGGGCAGGAAGGCAGGGAGGGCAGAGAGGCGGGGAAGGCAGGGAGGCGGGGAAGACAGGGAGGCGGGGAAGACAGGGAGGCGGGGAAGACAGGGAGGCGGGGAAGACAGGGAAGCAGGGAAGGCGGGGAGGCGGGGACAGGAAGGCGACGGTGCAGTGCGCGCCGACTTTGCCTTGGCGCCCGCTCGAAATATGTGTTCGTTTGCAGGTGCAGAAGCTCAAACGGGGAGAAATGCAGTGAAAGGAAAGTATGAAGGATGACGTGGACGACAACTCACGAACTCTTGGTTGACTCCACAGCTTGAGAGATTGCGCGCCCCGCGTATATGACGCCAATGACGACGCCTACAAACAGGGCGGTTGTCTGTTGTAGTCATCACCGGACCGATGTATACGAGAGTATGAACACGGGCATCAAGGAAGAGTGAGCTTCATTGAACACGAGATGAAGGACGTGAACGAGACGCACGAATAGGAGCGAGAAGAAGTCGAGCCTGTGTAGATGAATGACAAGCCACACGTTTATAACGTTAAGAGTTATAATTAGGGTACCGAGGGGCCACTCACCAGCCAGCCATTTCGGGGTTAAGGAAAGTTGCGAGTGCGAGGAAAAGAGGGAGCTCTGGAGAGGGCGGGGTAGCGAGGGAGTGTGAGAAGAGGTGGGCCGTGGAGCGCGAAAGGTTCAAGTGATTGGCGGAAGACGAGTTTCAAGCGGTTTACAGCGTGGTTTGTGCAGTAGATAGAAGCGTATGAGACAGCGGCGATGTGTGAGAGTGCTAGAGAGACGAGAGAGAGGAGACAAAGGACGATGGGCGCAGTTCGTTTGACATTCGGCGGGGCGCTTGGCGGTGACACAGATTCCGCCGGCTGCGTCAAGATCGCGCCTTTATTTTATTTATTTTCTTTTAGCCCAAATATGGACATAGCACCCCGTCCGTCTCGGAGACGCGGCCCACTTGTTCCCGCTGTCGAAATTTTGAGTCGTTGCTTCACTCACTCCAGGATGCAGACGGTCGGACGGACACTCCCCAGGCTAACCAGGTCAGGCTCCTTGGCCTCCCTCACCCTACGCTCACGCCTCGCACGCCCCGCCCCTCTCTTCCGCTTTTCTACCCTTTCTTCCCGCTCCCAGAACGCCGCCCTCGCGTCTGAGCTCCGCGACCTCCGCACACAAGTGCGCGCCGCGTCCACCGCCGCTGCACTCAAGACAAACACCGCGCCAGATGCCGCAGCGAGCGAGAACGCATCGGCGTACCAGCTGACCGAGACGGACGTCAAGCGGCTCAAGTTTCAGCGCAATATTGGCGTTTCTGCCCATATTGACTCGGGCAAAACCACGCTCACGGAGCGCGTGCTGTACTACACCGGGCGTATCAATGATATTCACGAGGTGTGTATCTCTCCGCTCTTGCCCGGAAATTCCCCCATGCTTTTGGTTTTCTCCCACACGCACTCCAACCGCGCTAACACACCCTCAGGTCCGCGGTAAAGACTCCGTCGGCGCCAAAATGGACTCGATGGACCTCGAGCGCGAAAAGGGCATCACCATCCAGAGCGCCGCCACCTTCTGCGACTGGGAGGCCACCTCCCCCACCACCGGCGAGCGCAACAAGTACGCCGTGAACATCATCGACACCCCCGGCCACGTCGACTTCACCATCGAGGTCGAGCGCGCCCTCCGCGTCCTCGACGGCGCCATTCTCGTGTTATGTGCTGTCGCGGGCGTGCAGAGCCAGACGACGACGGTGGATAGGCAGATGAGAAGGTATGGCGTGCCGAGGATTTCGTTTATTAATAAGATGGATCGGTGAGTTGCGTTCGCTGGTGGATTTTCTGTCTTTCCAAGTGTCTTCCCAGACCTGGTGCGAACCCATGGCGCGTCATCAACCAGATCCGGCAAAAGCTCAAGATTGCCGCTGCCGCCGTGCAGGTCCCCATCGTCGAGAACGACGAGCTAAAGGGTGTCGTCGACCTCGTCCGGTGGAAGGCCATCTACAACGAAGGCCACAAGGGGTCCGTCTTTCTCCCCTCACAGCGCACACATCCCGCTCATCCACGCACAGCATCGACATCGTCGAGAGCGACGACATCCCCGCGTCCACACTCGCCCTCGCCCAGCGGAAACGCACCGAGCTCCTCGAGCAGCTCGCCGAAGTCGACGACGCGATCGGCGACGCCCTCCTCTGCGACGAAGTGCCCTCCCCGCCCGAGCTCGCCGCGGCCATCCGGCGCGCGACCGTCTCGCTCCGCTTCTCGCCCGTGTTCATGGGCAGCGCGATCAAAAACACCGCCGTGCAGCCCTTATTGGACGGCGTCTGCGCGTACCTCGCCTCGCCCGCCGAGGCGCGCGTCGTCGCGACGGACACGGCGGCAGTCGAGTCCGGCGCCGCGGAGGAGGGCACGCCCGAGGCGGAGGTGGAGCTCGTGCCCGCTGCGCAGGCGCCGCTTGTCGGGCTGGCGTTTAAGCTCGAGGAGGGGCGGTTCGGGCAGCTGACGTATATGCGCGTGTACCAGGGCACGTTGCGCAAGGGCGGGCACATTTATAATGCGAAGAGCGGGAAGAAGGTCAAGGTGCCGAGACTGGTGCGGATGCACAGTAATGAGATGGAGGATATCGAGAGTATCGGGCCGGGTGAGATTTGTGCGATTTTCGGGGTGGAGTGTTCGTCCGGGGACACGTTCACGGACGGCTCGACGAGCCTGTCGATGGTGCGTTTCTTCCTTCCTTCCTATGCGGCCCGCATAATCCCGCGAGCTGACGCACGCACAGACACCCATGTTCGTCCCAGACCCCGTCATCTCGCTCGCCGTGAAACCCGCGGGCAAAGAAACACCCAACTTCTCACGCGCGCTCAACCGGTTCCAGAAAGAAGACCCGACCTTCCGCGTGCACCTCGACCCCGAGTCCAAAGAGACGATCATATCGGGCATGGGCGAGCTGCACCTCGAGATCTACGTCGAGCGCATGCGGCGCGAGTATAATGTCGAGTGCACGACGGGCAAGCCGCGCGTCGCGTTCCGCGAGACGATCACGCAGCGCGCGGAGTTTGCGTTCACGCATAAGAAGCAGACGGGCGGGCAGGGCCAGTTTGCGAGGATTAGCGGGTATATTGAGCCGCTGTATGATCCGAACGAGGGGCCGTCGTCTTCGTCTGGGAGTGGTGGTGGTGGTGGTGAGGCGGAGGGCGATGGGGGTGATAAGCGCAAGATGGCGAAGAAGCCCGGTGGGGGGAGGAAGGACGCGGTGTTCGAGAACGATGTGATGGGCGGGACGGTGCCGAGCAATTTTATCCCTGCGATCGAGAAGGTGTGTCTCCTCCCCCCCCCCCCCCCCTCTCCCTACGCTCTGGCCGTGCTAACAGTTTACGCGAACCTATGTGCACAGGGCTTCTACGAGGCGCTCGAAAAAGGCACACTCTCCGGCAACCCGATCACCAACGCGCGCTTCGTCCTGCAAGACGGCGCATACCACGCCGTCGACTCCTCCGAACTCGCCTTCCGCCTCTGCACGATCGGCGCCATCCGCGAAGTATACGCCAAAACGCGCCCGGCCGTCCTCGAGCCGATCATGTCCGTCGAAGTCGTCGCACCCGCCGAGTTCCAGGCCGCCGTCATCGGCGGGCTTAATTCCCGCCGGGGCACGATTGTTGATTCGGAAGTGAGGGACGAGGAGTTCACGTGTACGGCGGAGGTGGCGTTGAATGAGATGTTTGGGTATAGCGGGCAGCTGAGGGGACAGACGCAGGGGAAGGGCGAGTTTAGTATGGAGTATAGGGATCATCGGCCGGTGTTGCCGCCGCTGCAGAGGGAGATGGAGGAGGCGTATAAGCGGTCGATGCCGCAGGCGAAGAAGTAGGTGTGGTGCTGGGGGTGGAGCGCATGCTTTGCTTTGGTTGGGCTCTATTGGTGTGGAGGCTGGGGCGGCGCGCATGCTTGCATAGATTTATGGTTTTTACTGCATACCACGATAAACTGACTACATACATAGAGTAACATAGTTGTAATGCTTCCCCCGTAACTGGGGCTGGGTAATGGGATCGCTATCATCACTGCTCTTCTCACTTGTTTCGAGTTCCTGTTTCATGGATGAGGGGTGGTAAACTGACGGCGATGTTGGAGTTAGTGGCATTATTGTCGCCTGCTTCAACACCACAAAGGTCGCCCGTTCCCGAGAAGACACTGGGCAGTGATTATCTTCCGGTCAATGTACTCAGCCCTACGATGAAACGGGGCATAAAACTTCCGTGTCGGTGTATAACGCATCTAACCCAACCGAGAACAAAGTATACCCGAGAACGATACATGACAACTTGAAGCTCAATGAAAGGAGAATTTTGGCACAGTTTTTTTGAGGTTATGACACCCAGTATCTCGGAACTGATTTTAGTGAGGAGAAATACGTGTGTGTACACTCAGGTCAAAAGCCAATCTGAAATCATATCCGCACTCCGATAAATAAATAGGCCAGAGATCGACTATGTGATTCCTAAAAAGTTGCCAGGCGTCTTACAGTAACTCATCTCTTCATCAAGGCCCGCCGTCTTCTGGTCGAAGCTGTTCATCGCCCCCTGGTGCTTCCGGGTCACCAGCAGCCGACAAATGCCTTTCAAATACAACTGCGCTGACCGTCCCATCCCTGGTGCCACCTGACCCGCCATTTACCTGATTCAAGTGATTTTGGCGGATGGACAAGATCAACCATGGTCCCAGCATGCACAAAAGTCCTACTTGGAGGACCGTAGTGATGCCGTTAAACACAAGCAACGCTGCACCGTTCTGGAGCACCAAAAATCTCTCAGTCAGCGCTTTTAAACTATGATTGCATACGTTGGTCTGCTTACCCATGGAAAAGCCGATGGAATTACACTCACCGCACTTAGCGCTCCGCATGCGACTGCCCTGAATTTAAAGTTCGATTCGTCTCCCAGGGATAAAGATGTGGACTTACCATACAAAATAAAGCAAACCTTGTCGCATAAGCACCCCCAGCAACCCGGTTGGCCGCAGCTTATGATGTTGTTTTCGGTGTTCTCTCAAGTACAGCACTGAGCGGTGGGCAAGGACTGCGATCAGGACCATGTCGTACGCGCATACACTTCCGTTGGAGACAATATCTAACCATAATGGTGACACGGTGGAAGCAAAAATTAAGCATCTACGGACGCCGAGTAGAATGACCTCTTGGGCTGATATAAGGCTCTGATCAGCTAGGGCCAAGTCAGCGATACTTTAATTACGCACAGAGAGAAGTAAATGGCGGCAGAGATGCCACGATGACCAATGAGACATTCAGAAGCTGTACAACGGCAAAAGTACTGCCCAGCGATAGCTTGACTCTCTTTGAATTTTCGTAGAGTGCACAAGCTCTGACAGACATTACACCTGCGAGGTAGAGTCATAACGGCTGCGTAAATGGGTGACAACCGATAGAACCTTGAATAACCATGGTGATTGTGGTGGGCAGCGCAACGCCGGTCAATATATAGAAAACGCCACCTCGAAGCCATATATGTAAACGAGCTAGACAATGTGAATGTCACTTACAGCTTTAATTGGCGAACCCATTGTTCGGCATTAGTTGGCATCGAATTGGTAGTAGAATTTGGGAAAGGAGAGCTGACTCACGCCTATTAGAATCACACCTGTCAACGTCAAACAAACCTCGTTATAAAATGAGCTTACTTGGTCCGATAGAGTGATTGATAAATAGAAAACTAAAGCGGTGCTCGAATCAAGTACTTCTGGAGGGAAAATATTATTCGGACACGCACGAATGGAAGACCTGATGAAAAGACTGCGTTAATAATTTCAACGACAGGCGGAATGAATAGAGGCTCGTCACAGCATACACAGGGAATAGAAGTCCGATATAACGAAGCTGAATAAAGAATATTTAGCAAATACTCAGGGCTTTACGGAATACTGACAAAGACATAGCAATACGTTAATGGAGACACTCCGTACGTCTGAAGAAAACGAGGTCACCACAATTACATTAGAATCACCTTGTCAAGAAGTTTCCAGTGCTCACCCATATCAGCTCCACCTAGCAGGTATCACTTCAGAGGGCCACTCATCATTCACACATGGACTTCATCTCACCTCTTGGCTTAGATTGAGGACTGATTGAAATAAGTCAGAGGCTAGTTTGATGAGGCAAATTTCAACTGACCATAGTCATAGACTACTACTGTAAGAAGTGAGACTACAGGATGCAACACGGAGTAAGAGTGAAACGTTTACATAGAAGCGCTCCTGCTTACCAGTAAAATAGTCATTCGCTTGGTTTCCGACAAGATATGGGATCAGCACCGGAGAATTCGAGACAAGGGGCATGTCAATTATCTTTCCTTGACGTGGAGTACGGTATCATCGATGGGGGTTGTGGCTCACCTTTTATCTTTGCACCCTGAAATTACCAGTGTTGATGCGCTGTGTCGCCAGCCGCGCGAAGATGACGTTAGTGTGCGATGGCTCTCACGAATGTCTGAAACTCTGATTGTGGTGGCATCCGTTTAGGTACCAATGTTCCTGGTGGACATTGTACGTATTCCGTGCATTCTAGCATCCTTAGGAATGTATTAAAAAGCCTAACTGGCGAGACTTTGTAGCAGCAATGTTAGAGAAGTCAGATAATGCGAAATGGAGTGCACCGTGTCATCGCATCGATCTTGAATATGGCCCAAAGGGCTGGCCGGCATTTTGCTCTTCCGAGGTGTCTATGCGATCCGAAACAGGGCCGTCAGCAGATTATCGTCCAAAAATAATGAGCGGGCAGTGGGCACAGGGCGTTGCAACGAAAGAAGAAGAAATCGTTCCTTGGTTAATTGCCAGCTTGCGAGTAAAATGAATGGTTTACCATGCTTAGCTGTATTTGAGGCATTGGAAGGCAATTGGATAGAGGTGTCGTCTTGTAAAGCTTTACAGTTGGTAAGTTTTAGCGTGAGGGCTAAGCGCTTAAGCCCCTGTCACAGGTGAAGGTGTTTTGGACCCCGCACAGCATTACTCGCCGGAACTTGACTGCCGCGTGTTTCGGCCCGGGTGGCTGTAGTGGGTCGTTGTTCATGTGCATAAATCCTTGCCTACGTTGTTCTCATTGAACTCTGCCAACACGCTCATTTTGTTTGTAGCTGCCCCTATGAGCCATCTTCCAGAATGCGCTTCCCGTGCAGCTTTGCGTTCATGCCTCAGGCCGGGTGAACCTTTGCTCCATCTTGACCTAGTCAGAAGTCCAGTCCGAGGTGTCTGGCCACGCAGAATGCAGGACCAACGTTTTGCCAAAACACGGTCTTTGCGGCAAGTCTAATATAATCTCTAACAAACAAAGGACAGTTTCCCACGTGTTTCTCTCCGAATCAGCTTCAAGCCCTCAGCGCTTCAGCATTGTTTACACGTACTCGATATCTCAATGTGGGGTTACCCAGCGCTACTGATTATCACAGGATCGTCAGCACGATTATGCCAGGCTGACGGTGGATCACTAATCCACCCTTCGGCAAACGCCGTGGCTTGATGCGACGTTCGCGCGTTTGTCAGAGATTCGTCAGGAACTGACGCAGACCCACAAAGCTCTCCAGGCAATCAATACCTTTGCTCGCAAAGCGACGACGTACCGGAGCATGGCTCAGGCCGAAAAGGGTAAGGATCTTTGCTAAACGCCTGATGGGACCTTATGCTGCTTGATCATTTACGGGGCCAATATGCGACTCGCGTGACTTTCCTGCGAGCTCGTCTCCCTCTCACTGATCGTCACTGTTGCCAACAGATACGAAGCATGGTGCTCATGGCATCGTCATGACGAGGAGATTATGTGGCCTCTCATTATAAAGGTGAATGCTGGAAGAGATCATTCACCAAAACTAACCGCCAGATTCAATTTCAGTTTCCGCCTCTGAACTCTACAACTTGACTAAAATATGTCTTCACCACAGCTTACTTTCTATGGGTTCAAGGTTGGACTGTTTTCTTGTATATCATCTTTACGACGCCATAAATGCTGACTTTTGTGTCTCGACAGGTTAGCGCCAACGCGATGAGGGTATGCTGAAGCTCGTCCGGCCGCACTGACGATCACGCTAACGGAGTGGCTTGGTGGACTAGGTCGCTATTGCTCTCTCGCACGCCAAGGCCGATTTTACATTCTGTAGCATCGATCTGATGAACAAGCCTGAGTGGTTTGTGTCCCAGGTTAACCCTGCAGGCAAGGTGCGTTCACGTCTTGGGCTCCTGAAAATGCTCGCCCGTGACCCACTGTTCCCGTTCCCGATCGGTGTTCTCACTGGGACGCATGGTATAGGTTCCTGCCGTAACCATTGGCGGTCCTATCGTCCCGCCGGACCAGCCATCCCCTGAATCAGCCAAGATCGCAGAATCGCTGGTTATCCTCGAGCTCGTTGCGGATCTATACCCGTCATCGCGGCTCATGCCCTCCGACCCGGTCGAGCGCGCCAAAGTCCGCTTCTTCATGCAGACGCAGCAGACCGTGTTTGCGAACAACTACTTCCCGTGGTACGCGCTCGGAAAAGCCAACGGGTGGAAGGACCTGTACGAGGGCGCCAAGGCGCTCCAGGCGCTCTTGCCCGAGAACGGGACGGGATATGCGGTAGGTAATCAGTTGACGATTGCGGACTGCGCCTTTGCACCGCTCTGGGGGAGGACGAAGGTGTGCTTTGAGCGGTGCATCGGACGGTTCGATCCAGAGGAAGCGAAGCTGTTCAAGGAGGCCATGGAGGCCCCCGAGATGGCCAAGTTTAGGGCGTACACGGATAGGCTATTCGCGCATCCAAGCGTGAAGGAACATTGGGATGAGGTGTGTGTGCTAGTTAATCATTTAAGCTCTCTAGACACAGTCATACTGATGTATTGGCTAGGAATTCATTGCCACAGCTTCGAAGGGCTTGGTTGCAGTGTTCGAGAAACGATTTGGTCCTAAGCCGTAAACCACCTGAATTCTTTCTTCCCTATATCTGCAGTGGATCATTTGTATAATAGTAAATGTGGCCCCTGACAACAACGTCCGAGTACATAAACGATTTGCACCAGTCTCAAGTGGCCGAGTGGCGCAGTAGTGGCGCAGATTAAGAATGCATGTAATGCGAACTGATAAGATGCGGGACTCCCGGCCCGTCTCCGTGAGAAAACAGGCTACTCAGCTTTTCTCGCCGCTTGCTTGACTTCCACCTTCCTCAGCTCAATATTTCAATACTGCATTACCCTTGGAGAGGTATTGGCCGATCGCATTACAATCCTGTGTTTTAAAACACTTACGTTACTATAATTGTTTTGAAACGAAGTTGATTATCTGGGCTACACTGGCTATTCAATATTCCTGCATCAGGTTTCACTATCCGCTTTGTGGGTCGTAACTGAGGATTGGTTTCAAGGAATCCAACACTACTTTTCCCGTCCTCGACGCTTAGTCTTCAGTGCCGAAATGGAGGCTAAGCGTTCATCCACCCATTGCGTTGTGAATACAAATTCTGGACACGTACTAAGCGCCCATAGTGATACATTCCAACGGCTACCATACTCCTGATCAGAGCCACCGCCCTGAAACATAGTAGGGTCGGAATGCAGTCGTAGTGGCAAAGCATCCACCAATAACTGCGATCTCCAAATTCAGAGTTGGACCCCCACAAGACTTATAAAAACGGGCAGTATGTAGCACCTGGCAGGCTGGCACATATCTTCCTTCGAACGATGTCCCTCGTTTACTCTACTAGTGCATTGTTGCTTGCGGCAGTGGCGACATGGAAGATATCAAATACTCGTAAAGAGCGAGATGGCAAGACATGCCCGCCTGGTCCCTCCTCTCTACCTCTCTTAGGAGTCGCCCACCTCATGGATGCATCCGCACCATGGGAAACATTCACCGACTGGAAAGCTAAGTACGGTACGTATTACATTGTATTTTATGCATCAGTACTTGTTTGTTGACCATGATTTTGATAAGGCGATGTTGTATACTTCCGGCAGTTCGGTCAAGATATCATCGTACTCAATTCTGAAGAAGCTATCAAAGACTTGCTGGAGAAAAGGTCAAGCAATTACTCTGACAGAATGTATATGTCGACCAGGGAACCGTACGTCTTCGCATTTCTTGCTAATTCAGGCGAAGCCTTACAGTATTTAGCTACGGTTTGAGCTTCGACACTATTTTTCACGCTCACGATGAGACGTGGCGAGCACATAGGCGTATTGCGCACCAAGGCCTTCGCGAGCACCATGTAGACATCTACCAACCGACACAGCTCCGCTTCACCGAAGCGCTTGTCAAGAACCTGGAAAATTCGCCTGAGGACTACCACAGTCATTTCCAGAGGTAATTGCATTAAGTGTTCTGTACTCGGCGCCTCTCATGTCATGTTCAGATTTGCTGCCTCTGTCATCCTTTCGGCTATATATGACCACGACGTGGCCGATGAGAACGATCCAGTTATGAAGGCAGTGATAGAGGCGTTAGATACCTTGGTCCTCCTTCAAACGCCCGGAAACGCCATTCTATTCAACGTTTTCCCGTTCTGTGAGCGACTCTGTCTTTTACCATGACGTTTCTTATCCCAAGCCCTATAGTGAAGTATACTCCTACCTGGCTCCCAGGCGGGTGGCGCAATATCACTGACGCGCGAGTGAAGATAGAAAGGATGCTGAACTTGCCATTTGAGTATCTCGAAAAGAAGATGGTGCGTATAATATTCTTCGTCTCTGGTAGTGTCAGTGCAAACTTTTCTTCCAGGCAACGGGAAAAGCGGAGCACTCGATTGCCGTTGAGGCATTGGAGAGGTTCGGAAACACCGGCAAAGTTCACAACTTCGAGGAGGTCGTTAAGGGCGCGTGTTTCAGCCTCTACGGAGGTAAGTCCATGAACTGGTTGAGACCTGCAATTTGTCTCTGATATGCGCGTTAAATTTTAGCTGCTTCGGAAACGGTATGTACTCTCCTCATACACTTTGGCCTCAACACAGTCTTATGCTTCTCGGTTACTATAGACAGCTTCTACACTAATGATATTCGTTCTCGCTATGGTACAATATCCTGACGTTCAAAAACGGGCGCAGGAGGAGATTGACAGGGTTCTGGGAGACAGCCGTCTGCCTGAATTTGAAGATCGGCAGTCTCTTCCTTACATCGAAGCGATCTGCCGAGAGTCGCTGAGATGGCACCCTGTGGCGCCACTTGGTCAGTACTAGTGATGAACTTTTCGGTACACTAATCTGACTTGCTATTGTTTTGATTGATAGGAATCCCTCATTCAGCAACCAACGATGATGTCTACAATGGCTGGCATATCCGTAAAGGTGCGCTATACTTCCCTCGAGCTGCTGGCTAAGTGCGTATCTCTTATGCCCACGAACATAGACACGGCGGTGATAGCAAACATCTGGTAGGCAATAGCTGCGAATGCCCTTTAGACTACTAACTTCTTGATCTTCGTATCCACCCAGGGCACTATCACAAAACTCTGAGAAATATCCCTCTCCGTCCTTGTTCAAGCCCGAGAGGTTTCTTGACGAAAAGGGTGGGCTGACGGAAGACCTACTCACGTACGCATTTGGCTTTGGGAGACGCATCTGTCCTGGGCGCCACTTCGCCAATAACTCGCTGTGGATTGCAATTGCTCGGCTTTTGACTGGTTTCACATTCGAGTCCGATTATGTGCGAGGCGGCGTGGAGGTGAAGTGGCATAATGTATTAACTTCGTGAGTAATTCTGTCCATTCTCAGAATGCCGGTATAATTGAAGCTCTTATAACCATCGACCATTAGTGCTCCTGAAGCATTCCCTTGCCGAATTACATCCAGGAGGGACCACTAGCTTTTTGTAACACATACGCAGCTATTGGGTCACATAATCTTTGATCCAACATCATCGTTAGGATTTGAACGAGATACAGAACAAGGATGTCAGTCATGTAATGTAGCACTCCGACCCTCGTATTTGATACGGACTTCGGATAGCCGCCCTATTTCTATTTTAATCCGTGTAATGGATCCGAATGTCCAGCTTCCTAAACTTAGTCTACTTCTGGACAGAAATATGATTTTTTCACTAAAAAAATCTATGCTTTTTCTCGCATTCATGTTTATGTGCAGTTGGCTGTACGGCGAGGGCGCGCTGAAGGCCAGGGTCTCTGCGTCATCACAAATGAAGTGGAGACTGCATGACGTTGGCGCAACGTCGGCGTAGCTTGGCGTTTCATCCAGGCGCCGCTCGCCCGTCGCGCCCGAGCCGGAGCCGCGATCAAGACATATAAAGAACGGGCCACATGCAGTGTCGTGCGAATATCGTCTCAGAACATGTCTCTCGCTTATCTCGCGGGCGCGCTGGTCCTCGCAGCAGCAGTTTTATGGAAGGGAGTGGAGACTCGTAGGAAGCGCGACGGCAAGAGATACCCTCCTGGACCATCGCCTCTGCCTCTGCTCGGAGTGGCGCATCTCATGGGTGGCACTACGCCGTGGGCGGTATTCACTAACTGGAAAGCCGAGTACGGTATGCTTTGAGTAGCCTTTGGTATCCCATCATACCGCTAACCACTTTTAACCAGGCGACATCGTTTATTTCCGGCAGTTTGGTCAAGATGTCGTGGTGCTGAATTCCGAAGAAACCATAAGAGACTTACTAGAGAAAAGATCAAGCAATTATTCGGATAGGATGTATATGTCCACCAGGGAACCGTACGTTTTCTCCTTGCTCAGTAATTCGGCCAAAGTCTCAGATTGTATAGCTACGGGTTGAACTTCGACACCGTTTTTCACCCTCACAATGAGACGTGGCGTGCCCACAGGCGTATCGCTCACCAAGGCCTTCGCGAGCACCACGTGGACATATACCAGCCGACACAGCTTCGCTTCACCGACGCACTCGTCAAGAACCTAGAGACTTCGCCCGATCACTATCACAGTCACTTTCAGAGGTAAGCCGCATTTTCATACATCTTCCGGTGTTCAGCATCTCACGCTGCCCAGGTTTGCTGCCTCTGTCGTTCTTTCTGCTATATATGACCATGACGTGGTCGATGATGACGACCCGATTCTGAAGGCAGTGGTCGAAGCGTTAAATATCTTGGTGCGGGTGCAAACACTGGATAACACTATCCTCAACAACGTTGTCCCGTTCTGTGAGAATTTCGTTCGTTTCTCCAAAGCAGCTCTTACCATAATAAAACCAGTGAAGTACACTCCTACCTGGCTCCCAGGGGGGTGGCGCAACGTCACGGAGGGGCGATTGAAGACAGAAAGGATGCTTAACCTGCCGATTGAGGATCTCAAGAAGAAAATCGTGGGTGAAATGTCTATCATGTATGGTAAAATCATGGTCGACGTTGCGTCTAGGCATCAGGTAGCGCGGGACAATCAGTTGCTTTGGAGTCAATGGAGAGGTTTGGAAACACCAACAAGGTTCCTGGCTTTGAGGAAGTGGTCAAGGGTGCATGCTGTAGTCTCTATGCCGGTAAGCCAACAGCTCCTCTGAACCCACTATCCCGTTCTGAGTTGCCGTGTCTCCTAGCTGCCTCAGAAACGGTTCGTATTCTACTTAACTTCTCCGGCTCCTTCCATCTCATTTGCTGCTCGTGCACAGACTTCGTCTACACTCATGATCTTCCTCCTCGCCATGGTGAAAAATCCTGGCGTCCAACAGCGAGCGCAGGAAGAGATCGACCGCGTGCTGGGTCCCGACCGTCTTCCCGAATTCTCTGACCGGTCATCGCTACCTTACATCGAGGCTGTCTGGCGGGAGACATTGAGATGGAGTCCTGTGGCACCGCTAGGTTAGTAACGACCCACTCGGTGCACATCTAATCCTACTAACTGCCACCTTTCGTTAGGTATCCCTCATTCAGCGACTAACGATGACGTGTACAAGGGGTGGTGCATCCCAAAAGGTGCGATCTTCTTTGTTCGAAAGGACGATCAATTTCCCGTCTCACTCGTTCGTGATCGAGTATAGGAACTATCGTAATAGCAAACGTATGGTGAGGAATATTCGTGAATACAAACGCTATGGACGAACGCTGGTTTTACATTCTTCCTAGGTCAATTTCACAAGACCCCAAGAAATATTCCTCTCCAACCTCATTCCAACCTGAGAGGTTTCTCGACGACAAGGGCGGGCTAACAGACGACCTACCCGCCTACGCCTTTGGCTTTGGAAGACGCATTTGCCCTGGGCGTCACTTCGCTAACAACTCGCTGTGGATTGTAATCGCTCGGCTTCTGGCTAATTTCAAGTTCGAATCCGATTTCGTGCGAAGCGGAGGGGACGTGAAGTGGCTTACTGCTGCGACGTTGTAAGCTGCTACATTTCCCTGCCAGTATAAAGTTGAAGGTCTCACCACAATCTACCGCTAGCGTTCCTGAGCCTTTCCCATGCCGGATCACACCTCGAAGGAGTCACTAGAATGTCGTATCATATTTTAAGACAATATATGTATTATAAGATCCAGCATAGCAGTGCAAGCTAACACGACACGAACCGAATAAATGCTAGACAAAAGACCCCTATTCCGAGTGGCTGTGCAGTGAAGGTGACGGTGACGCGAGACTGACAGCGGACCGGTCGCGAAAGAGTTGCACGATGTTGACCACAACCTCCGAATCCGACTCTGTATGCTTAGGCATGCTCACCAGCTGAGAAAAGTTTCCATATTCCATATCAGCCCTATCAACGCCACTATCTTAACTTTCTCCTTTGCCTTACGACGACCTTTGACGATGTCCAGCCAGTACGACGCCGAAAAGCAAGTCGCCATCTGCGCCGTCCGTCGCGCATGCGGTCTCACGTCCACCGTGTTCAAGAACCTAGAGCGTATCAAGGGAGAGACGCTGACGAAGGATGACAAGTCACCCGTTACCGGTACGCTTTGCAGCTGCATCGTCCTTGGTACAGATCGCTCATGCGATCGGTAGTTGGTGACTTCGCCGCCCAGGCACTCGTCAACACGATTCTCAAAAACGCCTTCCCAGACGATGTCATCGTTGGCGAGGAAGACTCGGCCGACTTGAGACCCGAGAACGCCTCTCAGATGCGCGCACGGGTAGCTCAGCTTGCGAACGACGCGATTACCGCACCACTTGTGGAGGGCGAAGACGCTGCTTGGGGCCTTGGGCCAGGAAAAGAGCAGACGGAGACGCAACTGCTGGATACTGTCGATCGAGGGAACCACCAGGGAGGGGTCAGTGGACGTGCGTATCCCATGGAATCTCTACGTTCAATACTCTTACGCGATCGCTCAATTGTAGGCATGTGGACGCTGGATCCGATCGATGGCACCAAGGGCTTCATCCTCGGCGAACAATACGCCGTCTGCCTAGCACTCATCGTCAACGGCCAGGTCAAACTCGGCGTTATCGGATGCCCGAACCTTCCTAACTCCCCACACCCCGTCTCGCTTACCGCACAAGGGCTCGCAGCCTTGCCCGACGACGCGAAAGGCGGAATCTTTGTCGGCATCGAGGGCGGGGGCGCATGGGAACACGACCTCCAGGGCCTCAATCCCAAGCCGATCAAGGTCAGCGACAGTCCTCAGAACCCGAGGGTGCTTGAGTCGCGCGAGGTGAAGCACTCGGACAAGGCTTTCAACGTCGCGGTTTATCAGCGGATTACGGGGACAACGGATGGTACTATTCCAGCGATCCCGATGGACAGCCAGGCCAAATACTGCGCGCTTGCACGGGGGGATGGAGACCTGTACCTCCGTATGCCTGTAGACCCGAAATACAAGGAGAAGATTTGGGTGCGTGCTTTGCCTCTTCATCACATGGTGCTCGTGATCTAAGGACATTTTGTCCAGGATCACGCCGCAGGCAACGTCTTGGTTACGGAAGCGGGCGGAAAGGTGACCGATTCACGGGGACAACTCCTCAACTTTGGTCTCGGACGCACGCTCGGCGAGAACTACGGCATCGTTGGTGCAGTCAAAAGCCAACACGCTGACGTCGTCAAGGCGGTGCAGGGGGCGCTAGAAGCAAAGAAAGCAACGGCGAAGGCCTGATGTTAGCACGAAGGTACAATACGACCTTTGTGCCCCTGTAGCTCATCCTGTACTCTGGTACGTTGACGTCGCAATGCGTATAATGGCTTGTCATTGGTCGATGCGTTACAATATTTTATGGTGCGGTATGTGGACGTCTGCAAACTCGCCAGTACTGGTATCAACAAAGAAAAATGAGTCTGAAAAGAGCACATCGGTCCCTGGGATATTAACAGTGAGAATTTCTGACACTAGATTATATGATGCCTTCGTCATCCAGCCTATTGATGCCACCCTGCTCCATCCTCTTGGGCGCCCCTCATGTTCTACTTCGTCAGAAGGTCGATGTTCCCCATGACTTGGGCGGTTACCAAAGCTTCCGAGAATGTAAGTAGCCAGCGTTGGCGGTAAAGCCACTTGCGACGTGTGAACACCAGCTGGAGTTGGGTAATAGGTGATTATCCCGAGCGCAAACGTGAGATATGGTCGCAAACGTTTGACGTACAACCTTGGTAGTTCCACAACAACGTTGTTGAGAGCAGGACAGGTGTACGATTGGGGCGAAGAGGGTACTAGGGGTAAGGCAAAAAGCCTCAAATGCAAGCCCTGCGGAGCCATAGACATCCCTAGCGAGCTAGCAAGCGGCTCACTAAAGATGTTATGTGGGGTTCCATAGTCCCAGTTGATTTGTACATGCCTACGAGGCCCGAAAGCACCTGGCGAGCGCGGCAATGTCTGTCCGCAAAACTGCAGCACACTTGGGTCATGAAGCTCGTTAATGATGGCTTCAAGTAGCCTGCGAAACGCACGATCTCCCCCTTCCCCGTATGCGCTTTGTATGCTGACCCCAAGCAAACCCATTAGGGAGTACGCCATATCTTCTCTTCGCGTCGATACTCGACCCGCAGCCCACACTAGCTTATCAGCAACTGGAGTTTTATGGTTGGAAATGTCATCTGAGAAGAGGATTTCTGGGATGCGAGTGACGGCTGAAACTTTTTGAATAAGTGTATACTTCCGAGGGTCCACCTCCAAGTCCTCGAGATCTCCGTAAGACGCTCCTGCTTGCGGAGGGGCACCCATATTAATCATTGCATCCACAGATTGGTCAAGCTTTCACTCACATCTCACGATAAATTTATCATTTTCGTCGTCAGTTAGGGGAATCCACTCCTTATTCAAGAACTTGATGCACCAGGGGGCAAGAAGCTCTTGGAGCGTCCACGCCCGCCTGAACCACTCGTCTTTGCTGATGTCGTCCATTTCGACCGTCTGCGCGAGGTGTACAATGCAGAGCGCCGAGTTCCTGTACCATCTGAACATGGATCGGATTGCCTCATCGAGTTCGGCACTACTGGTCTTATCAATGCAACACGTATCCGACCAAGCCAGCGCGAATCCGCGTTCCGAAGCTTCATTCAAGAACATCTTGAGCTTTTGGTAACCGGGAGAGTTGCCTTTGAGCTTTTCCAAGGTGTATGTAGGCTCTCCCTCCCCCCAGCGGTGAGAAAACATCACATACGAAACGTTGGTCCTGATGATGACTTGGAGATGAGTGAGTAGGATGGTGAGATCGCCATCGAGCATATTTGACAGGTAGCGAGTAAGTGGTAGTATGCTTTGGTGTACGGCGGGACGAAAGTGGTTGAAGATGAAGGTCTTGTCGACAAGCCTCGCCTTTGGCACATATATCAGTCGCGTTGGAATCTCATTCTGGATGAACTGATTAAGAACTTCGTCGACTATGGCGCTTAGATGCTGTATCTTGGAGTCCGGTGAAGTGATATCCAGTGAGGTGACATCTATTGGCATTACCTACCGAAGATCATGTTAGGCACTCGTGAATTAGTATTGAGAAGTAGATCATCACGGTAGAAACGCACTATTTGATCATGAACGGATTCCATGATCACAGACCGAGGAAACTCTGCTTGCCTATCTAATAAGGCTGCTACGTGCATCATCTCCTGAGTCGAATGAGGACTGGGAAATGGGGATAGCAGGGTGGGGTGTTCCGTCATTGCTGAATGCGCTGAACCACAGTGGATGAAAGCGAGTTGATACACCAAACTAGGCCAACGCTTCAGGAACACGCTGAGCAAACCAGTGATAAGCGCTTAAGCTTCGGGAGCGGCGCGGGTTGCGTCTCCGCGACAAAAGTCGGAGTTTCAGTGAATATCTACTCCGCTGGATCAGGTGTTGCGGGTAGCGACCTTCTGCCAATGCGGCTCTATCTAGCTCAATCTCAATGCTCCTACTATGGTTGGTCATCTCACTGCTCACATCTATCACACCCAACAGGACAAGGTTACAGGACTAAGACTACAGATATACAGCGTTCTACATATATGCGGATGTAACCACGCGCAGTTGCAATGAAAACGCAGAATGTGGTTCGATGCATCGGTTCCTTACTCCGTTTGATAGCCTGGATACCCTTCCTCAACCTCCTTTGCAAGCTCATTGATGTACGCGGGAACTCCACCCATATAGTCACGGACTGCCCGCATCTTGCCAGGTATGTTTGCACCCAAGTACCAACTATTGGCTTTTAGCAGCAGCGGAGGCGCGATCTCAGACACATGACGGCCATATGTCTCTGTAGCGGCAGTCTTTGCGACCACCCTGGTGACACTGCGATCCCGTAGATGTTCGAGTAAAGTCGCAAGCCAGTCGGTCTGGATCTCCACGACAACAGGCACTGTGTTCAGCGCTACCGGGCCATGGGGACCATAGATGTACCATAGGTTCGGGAACTGGTCGATGGACGTCCCAAGGCTATTCGCGCTCAGCTGATGGTACTTCGGGGTGCGTTGAGCAAACACTCACTAGCTTCTGATTCCATCTTTCCAGTGTTCCTGAATTGTCCTGCCGCCTTCGCCTCGGATATCGATCTGGAAGAAGCCTCCTGTGAATGCGTCGAATCCTGCGTCCATTGGTGACGTAAGTCCCTTCTTTGCTAGCTATCAAGTATAGTTAACGCACCAGTCGCCAATACCAAGACGTCGAGCTCGTATTCTCGCTTCGTCGTCCTGACTCCCGTGGCCGTTACCTCGATGATGGGTTCCTCGTTCATGTCTACAAGATCAACGTTACTCTGGCACATGACTTCCCAATAGTTCTGCTCAAGCGAGGCTCTCTTTGCCCCTATGGGATGCGGTGGGACTTCGGGTGCGAGGATAGCACGCTTCCTGTCGTCGCTGATTCGCTCAGATACCTTCTTCCTCCAGAACGCATATAGCAAGTCATTAGCATGTTGCGACTTGAGAACGTCGGTGTACCCTCCAACTAAGGTGATGTGAACATGTAAGCCCCGCTCGTCTTGAACAGCGAGTCTGACTCACGAAACGGGCGAAATCCTCCCAAGGTCCATAGCTCCTCATAGAGTAACTCTCTTTGTTCGTCCGTGTCCTCGAGCGTTTCGCGACCATTCATATCGTAATCATACGTTCCAAAGGTCTGTCGACGCTTTCTGTGAAAGTCCGGATACGAGGCGCTCGCAAGTAGCTGGTCTTGGGAGTTTAAGGGGCGTTGCCGCATAGGTACCGCCATGTTCGGCGTCCGTTGAAAGACGGTGAGCTGGCGGGCCTGGATGCCGAAATGAGCTCATCTAATCAGCCTACAGTTACATCAAACGCTTGCCTTGGTACCAGCTTCCTGGACGATTTGGACGCCGCTTGCCCCGGTTCCGATGAGGCCTACCCGTTTACCTTGGAACTCGATACCTTCTTTTGGCCATCGCGCTGTATGCGACCATTTCCCCGCAAACTTGTCCAGCCCCTTGATTTTGGGTACATATGGTACCGCCAAATTTCCCTGAGATCGTTCGCATACGTGAGCGCTCGACTTGCTGCACCTCGACCACGGTACTCACCACACCCAAGATGAAGTAACGGCTGTTCGCTTTGTATAGCCCGGTATTGCCCTCGGCGACCACATCCCACGAATGCGTCCCTTCGTTCCAGTGCGCACTCTTGACCGTGGTGTTGAACAAGCAGTGCGGACGCAAGCCAAGTTTGCGATCAAGATGTGCAAAGTACCTGTAACGTGAAGCATACATCAACAATTAAATCGCTATAGATAATACGAAACACACGTTAACAGATCTTCTCCGGACGGATAGGCATCCTTCCACTCCCAGTCCTTCCACACCTCCTCGAGTGAAAACTCGTACCCGGGGACATAGGTGTCCACACGTGCACCGGGGTACCTGTTCCAGTACCACGTTCCACCGAAGTCCGACCCTTTCTCAATCAACTTGCATCGGAAACCGCACTTCGTGAGCTTGTAGAGGTTGTAAGTCCCTGTGAAACCGCCCCCAACGATGATCACGTCGTATGATTCTTCCGCCATCTTAATGCTGATGTTAACGGCACGTTGATTGCGAGGTCCTGCAGGTATGAATGGAGGGAAGGTAAGACGCCTGAGAACCCTCCGCAGACAAACCCTCGCTTTATATCCACGAGGCGAGTCCCGGATCTAGTATTCTTGTAAGGCGAGCCCATTACCTGAAGAAGCGCGTGCGGAGAGCTCACACGTAATGGAATGCAGAGTCTGTCAACCCATGACGCCCAGTGGAAACGTGCTGTGCTCAGATGGGTGGGAATCCGGGCGGATTGGTGAATCGAAGCATATCTCGTGGTGCTTCTTTGATGCACCGATACACACCAATGCGAACCCATGGCTGGACTGTTCACCGATTTTTTGGTGTGAATTCATGATGCCCATTGGCTGAAATCCGGGCACATCGGTTCGTATCGGTGCTCGTATTCACAAATTTGGGAGCTCAGTTTATCTAGTACATTACCATAAAGAACACGACGAGATCTGATCTACATTCAATCGGCTCAGGATCTGATCTGATCGGGTCTATTCGGGTCTGCAAATATAGAACAAATCCGTTTTATTCGGGGCACTGCTTTACAAAGCGTGTCTAATTATAATACACGGCATGGAAATCGACTAAGTCCAGCGAGCACAGTGAGAGCAAACGATAGCACGAGGAGAACACGCGTGAAGGCAAATGGAGCGAGAGTCTGCAAGGAAAGCACTTCGAGGGGCCAGACAGTGAGAGAGCCAGAGCACGAGGGCGATCGATTGAAGAATAGCCTAGTAAAGGTCACCGATGGCGACGTCCTTGAGTGACCTGCGCGAGGGTTCTTCCCTCATCTGCCGAAACGTAATGGGTATGGGTATAAGCGTAGGGATCACGAAGCATGACAATGAACTTCACCAGTCTTTGTACCTCCTCGTCGTATTTCTATAGGCAAAGACAAATAATGTCAGTGATAACCTCAATGAAAGGCTAGAAACACTCGCCTGACGCTGCTCCTCCGTCAAGACCTTTTCGTACCAATTCGCAAAGTCGGTTTTGTCGACCTTGCTTTGGTCTTGACGAGTGGTCCACCTCCACCCAGCTAGAGTCCTTGTAAAGCGTGTCAGCGAGGACTGACGCGACATACAGCACATACCGGCCATTGAGTTTGGGTCCTGGGCGATACCCTTTCTTTATAGGGACGCTAGTAGTAGTCCTGTAGCCGAAAAGTGAGTGCCTAATGATCGATGATATGAATGGAAAACTGACTCCGTATTGCGCGAGCGAAGAGAGCGCAAAGCGTTCCTTGCCCCTGTACCTGAACCGGTTGTTGAAGCAGAAGTCGGCGCTTGAGGCGGGCCCATGGGCGCTGCATCTGTCGGAGTAGACGGTGTTGCGACTGCATCTGTACCTACGTGCTTCTCCGGCGTTGGTCTGGCCCAAGGAGCCTGCGAAGGCGCAGGCGTCGAACTTGGAGCAATGGACATTGCCCGAGGGGTCTCGCAAGGAGCCAGATGAGCCATAGGCGTCAGTACCTGCTGGTGAGATCCGTAGTATGCTCCGTATGCTCCTGGATACTGAGATGGCCCCACAGAGGACCCTAAAGCTCCGTAAGAAAAAGCAGGAACATACATTCCAGGCGAACTGCTGAGCAATGAGCCCATAGGAGGTCCAATAGGATGTTGGGGACGCGCAGTCGGGGCGTTGTGTATCATGTCGACTAGGGCTCCAGGCGACTGCGTCGGAGCTGTATGAACCTGGTGGTAAAAGCCGGCATGCATTGTCGGTACAGTAGAAGCCCCAGGCGGAGTGACGCCCTGAGCAGGCGCCATCGAGGCATTGCGTGACATGTCAACAAGGCCCGCGGGCGACGGCGTAGGAAGGACCTGGGGATGAGGATCGGCGTGCATCGTTGGTACAGTAGAATCCCCAGGAAGAGCAACGCCTTGAGCAGGCGCCGTCGAGGCGTAGCTTGACATGTCAGTTGAGCCCACGGGTGACGGCGTAGGAGGTGGAAGAACTTGGTGGTGAGAGCCAGCGTGCGTCGCCTGTACAGTAGAAGCACCAGGGGGAGTGACACCTTGAGGGACGTTTGCGAGCAATTGGGTGGGAGCCAATGCGATAGGTGGAGAGCCCGAAGCCATTGGCGCAGGCAAGGGGGAGGCATGAGGAACGCTTGCAGGTGGAGGGGAAGCCGGGTCGGTTGCCTTGGCGTCGTTGGAAACAGCATGTCCGTGTAGTGCCTCGCACGCCGGCGTCTGATCCATCGAATAGAGGTCGGCCATCTCCTCCTCGGTGAGCGCCGAATGACGCTGTCTTTGCTCTTGAAGTGACACTGTATAACGTGCTGAGAAGATCATACTGCTCATATGCGTGAATTATACTCACCCTTCGGGCGCTTCGCACTCTCGCTCTGTTCCACTGGCGTAGCGTTAGAACTCTCCTTGCGTTTCCTGTTGCCCTCATCGTCTAAATGCCACCGCCTATACTCCGGGAACTCCGTAGTGCAGAAATGCTCGACTTTCCAGTTGTAGTCGCAGAGACGAAAGACTTCGTAGTTGTCTCGAAGAAACTTCGCTGTAAGGTACAGCCCATGGAGAGATGTCTGAGCCCACTTGAGGGACAACTTCTTCTGCTCGGCGAGACCGTGCCAAAAGGAGCGGACTTGGTCGCGTAGCCGCTTTGATTCGTCGTGGGTGAGGGGCTCGCCGTTCGACTTTTCGAGGTAACCCAGTGTTCCGCGATCCTTCTCGAGCTGTTTGTCGGATGATTTGTCCCATGCAACGAAGGCATCTTGTTCCCACCAACGAACGCCGTGGTGCTGACGTTTGAACTCGGGAGAAGGAGCCTCGTAGAAGATGCCGACGTCGATGTTCTCGCCATAGGTAGGAGCGTTGTCGGAGAGCTTGGATGAAATCTTCTGTACTAGAGCACCATAGCACTCCCTAGCACCGTTTTTATAACCAGTCACAACCGTAGATCAGGAAATTACGCACCGTAAAGTCCTGGATTCAGTACCGGAACGAAGAACACCCACAAAGGGAAATTCGACATGCCATTCCAGATTTGATCTGCACCGGTGCCTAGTGACGTTCACGATTTTAAGAATGATGTCATTACTAACATTCCAAACATACTCTTTGTTTCACAAAAAATTAATAACATGAGGAACGTCTCAATTTTACAGTACAGACAGCACAGAGTAGCAGTGTGATAAGCCTAGCAAAGGTACCTAACGGATAACGCGTGCAATCTAATCAAACCTCAGGGGAGGCTCTGTTCTTAGCGTCGGCGCTCTCCTTCTCTGAGCCAGATGTTTCTGACTCGGAGATAACGTCCATGTTGTCGGCGCCATAGCCGTCCTCCGGCACTGGAATCAAAAGGTTAGACAATATGACGAGCATAATAGACTAACTCACAAGTTCTGACCCTGCCCGAAGGGTCAACGAGCCAGGAAACCCATGGCTTACACACGCGCGTCCATCCGGGTGGAGTAACGACCTCAGCTGCCATCTTGCTGCCAGATGCAACAGGCTGAGCGAGCAGCGCCGTCTTGCTGCTTGATGCTACAGGTTGAGAAAGTGTCGCCGTCCGGCTAGTCGATGCGACCGGCCGAGTAGACTTTGTCGGCTCACTGCTCGTTGGAAACGGTGAGGCGGTCCTCTTGGCCTGACGAGGCTTTGGGCGCGGCTTCGGACGGGTGTTCAGGACCTTGGCAAGCTGGATAAGGGTGTCAGATAAGACGGACAAGTCCTTCTCAACCTTGAGACGAGTCGCTATCTCGTCCAAGTTCTCGCCGAAGCCGGGATCCAAGCGATGCTTGCAATCGTCGAAGGCAGTTTGAGCATCGATCTTCACTTGCTTGATACGAGCATCGAGCGTCAGGAGGGCCTCCTTCCTAAGGCTTGAGCGATTTTCAGCCTCTACTTGATAGAGACGTTGATATTCGTTGGCGCGGGCCACGTCCTCGGGTGTCTGCTTAGGTAGCTGACTGGACAAGCACTCACAGACCTGCGGGAAGCGTAGGTTCGTCTGCACAGCACGAGGAGCAAGCATGAAGAGGCCGGCGCGGTCTGATTGGCGGCGCATGAGCATGAGGCTTGGCTCAGCGACGACTTCCATGGTTGAGGCACCCGCGTTAATGATGCGCCATCTACGTGATAATATTCAGCGCACACTTAGAATAAAGAGAAATATGCATACTCAGGCTCCACGGTTGCGGGAAAGGATGGCCCAGAGCGGTCGAACTTGTCTTCGTTCGCGAAAACACTCTGCTGATAGCGACGTCTGATCACAAGAGTCTGTATAACAAGATCAGCATGATACTACAGTGAGAACTTGAATAGGAGGCTTACAATCTTTCTGTTGGCTTCGACCGGAGTGAACTCAACAGCGAAGTCTCTATCAAAGGATCCGACTCCAGTGTTGGCGTTTTCGGCCAGGTTAACAATGAGAGTTTCCTTGTTGAATATGACATTGTGAAGGCACATTTTGAGAGGTTGTTTTTGAAGCAGATGGTTAAGAGCAGCGGTAAAGGATCGAGAGCAGCGGTGGGACTCGGAGCAAGTAAGAGAAAGTAGGACGCGGACACGGACTTGCAAGGGGAAGATTTTAACGTAGCATTGCAGGTACAAAACCAGACGCACCGGTCCGGAAAAGTGGAGCTATGAACGAATACTAGAGTTGGAATATGTTACGTCGGTGCCTAGCTCGGATGGTGAACCGGTGAGTCGGAGCGACAGAATCACTTCATTGGGACTCTGGAATTGTAAGGTACGCCTGCAGGTCCTCGTCACGTCAACTGCAAAGAACTAAAGGGCCAAAACTACAACGTACACATTATACTATCTACGGTGCATTGCCGCTTTCTTCGTCCTCGGCTTCATCATCTATAAAGTCATCGTTGTCTACAAACCTCGTGACGTCAAATCCTGGTTTTTCAAACATGAAGAACCGTTCTTCTTCTTCGTTTGTGGAGGGGATAGTTGGGTGATGCGGAATCATGGCGACAATACTTGTTATCTGTTTGACATTGATGGCAAATATCTCTGACTCAGGGAGCAGAGTGCACGTTACGAATCCACCATAGGATAGTCCTAAAAGGTCGCTATCCGGGTCAGAATAAGGACGAATTATAGCAACACCGTCACGGTGTATGATTCTGTTTCCCTGCTCGTCTGTCGTGCTGTAGGCTAGGTGTGTGTAATGATCAACTTCACCTATCCGGGTCTTCGTGCCATCAAGAAACTAACATAGGGATTTACTTGGTGTGAGATTCGAGTGGGCATTATCAGCTAAGTCATAGATAGCGCACCTTGACATTTCGAGATATTCTCGTAGCTTCCTGGACTCGCAGGCGTTCTCGCCATGCAGAGCGAGCGACCTGGCCATTGGGGAGCTTGAGCCTGGCCCAGCGATGGCAGCGTCGTGGAGAGAGACCTTCGCCCAGGTACTTGTCAATCGCATCGTAGAAAACGCCTTGGGGGATCGTGTCGTATCTGGACTTTGTATGGAGTAACATGAAGCCGTCGCCGAGATCCTCACACACACGGGGTGGAGGCGGTGTCTCGCTGGGATCTAGTTCTGGTATCAGAGCCTTCAGAGCATTCACCTGGCATCGGCGTAAGCCTTCGCGTGATAAATTCTCGTATATATGCGATGGCTGGCGGATCTCCCGTCCCAGATTTCCGATGGTGCGCTCCATTGTCCACTGCGCATATATGATGGGAGGACCTTTAGCATAGACCTCGGAGGCATAGTGAGTAAGTTGGTGGATAATATGGCGCACAAAGTGAAGGCGATCTTCGCGTCGCTCATAGTATAGCTCTTCAAATTCCATGACCCAAGAAGAAAGGAGACGGTCCGCCTCTTCAAGATCTTCACGAGATATCCGATATTGACAGAGGAGCCGTAACGCACGAACAAGTTTGCAGAGATGTCGCCAGTACTTCTCAGGTAGAACTTCGTATAGCAGAGCCACTGCGTAGCCTAGACCATAAGTCTCCCACTCGATTGACTTGTACTGCGAGTTCCGTTTTTCATATAGATCGCGCGGCTTGCGTTCGTGCTCAGCAGAGAGGTGTCTGCCACAGTCAGCGACATCCTGCCCGTGTGCCTTGAACACGTCTAAGTCAAACAAAACCCCAAAGTCCCAGAGCTCTGGTCTGTCGCCAAAAGAGGCCAATTCACCGCGCCAAAGAGACACGAGGAGGGAGAATAGATTGCCAAGTTCGTGCATCATATCAATAGTCATACAGCGGGGGATAGGGAGCGTGTGCGTTGATTGAAGTCCCAGTAGGATTGGAGGCTTGACAATTCCAGTTTCTTTGCGACGGCGTTCGTATTCTGTTACACTTGCGGACGAAACCAGGTGCTCAAGATTGACCGAGTAATCTGCGCAGGCTGGCTGGGGGATAGAAGCTAGGGGAATGTCGTCATGATCACACCCCTGGACATGGTAGTGGCCCTGAGGACGAAGCATCGCTGGGTAGTACCGAGTACCTGTTGCCTTTCGCCGTCCCAGGATGCCACAGTAGAGACGGCACCCATTCTTGCCGCAATACCCGCACATGCCGTTATAATATATCAGACCTTGTGCGTCAGCGAGTGGGAAGAGATGATGTACACGGGACAGATACTTCCTGTTCTGGTATGCGTTCCATATCTGTAGACCCTCCCGTTGAAGAGCAGATACGTGGTGAAAGCCTGGAAATAAGAATGACTCGAGATTCGAAGGTTTGTTTGGTCCAGGGATAACTCCTCCAATGAGAACACGTTTCTTCTTGTAACGCTTGTCAGGAGAGTAATCGAGGATAATCCAGACATAAATTGTAACGTCGGATTGCTGGGAGTCAATAAGCTGTGCAGCATCCATCGAAGACATGACCACGATGTCGTTGTCCTGTATCTTGGCGTCCAGAACGCCCTCAAGATAGTCAGTACCGTCGATATAATCTTCAAAGGAAGGTATCTGCGTCTTGTTGTTGAAAAGCCGGTCAAGAAGTTCGTGCGTCCTCTCGACGCGATAACCTAAGTCTTTGGCATTGTCCCAGTCGCCAAATGCTGCCTGAAGCTGTGTTGCCAGAGGATACGTGTAAAACTTGCGAGACTTCCGTATCTTACCACCAGTTCTGTTGAGGATATCTTGGTCGTATCTGGGCTTATGACAACGAGAGCATGCTTGCAGATTTGCATCCGGCCCGGTAAACCCCATGCACGAGTCCCAACACATGTCGTTTTCGATTGCTTCAACGCCCGTGAGCTCGGCGATCGACTTTTCGATAGAGTGAAAGGAGGGAAGCTCGCATTTAAGCGTCCTCTGCAGTGCCCGGCGTATGTCCTCGTACGAGCGCCTAGAGGAGTGTTCCAGCGCGAGATAAGTGGTGATGGCAAGATCGAGTGTCGGACTCAACGGAGGGAGAGGGTGACAACGAGGATTTCGAATGCGTTCGAGTGTTTCTGGACCAAGCCTCGAGATCGGATCATCCAGTGTCGCTGTACGTATCATCTTGATGAGTGCGATGTCGTCTCGAATGCTCTGTAAACGGGCAATACGCGCGAGATGGTCTAGGTCAATATCTGGAAAATGGCGTCCTGCTGTGAGCTGAAGTGGTGGATAAGGGCGATTGTGTGGATCCTAGCATTGAGTGTGAGCCGTCAATTAGACTAGTTAAGTCAGATAAGCCATGCAACTTACATTGTGAGCATGCGCGTGAGTTACAGCCGCGTTGTGATCAAGCATTCGAGGGGCACTAAGTGAAACAAGGTCGTCCAAAGGCCTAAAGTCAATCTCAGGTTCGGGTTCATCGACACGAGCTCTCTGGGTAGGATGGCGGCCAGTCTCGTCAGCATCCTCATCAGCAGATCTTCGCGCAGGCACGCTCGAGCCCTTGACAGTGACACCAATTTTCTTAGCATTGAAGAGCAATAGGTTTGTATAAATCCTACCTCTTCGCTAGCCAATAAAGCAAACATCCGGTCGAGTACTACACGGTCGCCTCGAGAATATAGCCGCACTCGCTTCCGTTCGTGCGGGCATTCGATCGCCTTCAAGTGCTCGTAGAATAAGCTTAAGGATGTCCTATGCGGCTTTCCTCCTTGAGATCCCCGGCAGACACATTCAATTCTGGGCCCTTTGTGACTGTTGCGTGAAGACATTTAGGAAGAATCGCGAGACTGAGTATGTTCGGGTGGCCAGCTGTAACGAACTTTGCTAAAGAGATCGAGAACATCTGCCGATCGTTCCGGCCTGCTGTCTAATTCCCGGACTGCCCAAACGCGTTGAATTCCTTACTATTCTCGCAAGATCTCATCGCGCCAATGTCACGTGAATTGATTTCTCCAATCTGCCCGGATTTTATTGATGGGAAATCGACACCGTGCTTCCATAAGTTCCGAAAATTTCACGATTCACCAATCCGCCCGGATTCCCACCCATCTGAGCACAGCACGTTTCCACTGGGCATGACGCGCCACTTGACGCAGCAAGTTACCGGTATAATTTAATCGAGCTAACCCGTGCGTATTATGGCATACGTTCTTGAAGCGCATAAATCTTCTGTAGAGCTTGGTGCACCGAAGTACACGGCTCCGTGATGTTGCAATCTCGGGGAGCTTTCTCTCGGATTTCACACACTTTGTGACTACATTTTCCCATCCGACCTTAGCCTTGTATTGATCGACGCACGCCCATCGGGGATGAGAAAGTCGCGCTAAAGGAAAGCTTACATTGTATCTTTAAAGGAAAGGTTCATACATAAGGCTAAGCTCCGGTGTCAGGTGCTAAAACGCTTAAGTGCGGTCTAGCGCTTCTAGAGAGACACAGTGCTCCTCGGAATCCGTAATATGCGGAAGTATTCCCCTTTACAGACCTTCCGCCCTTCGTTCCTGGTCTCCTTTTTGGTCCTTGTAGACATTTTGCGACAAGTGCTGGGTGTGCTGTGCACACCGTCACTCGGCGTTCGGGGTTAAATTTCTGAACCATCCTACACTCGGGTCGAGCAATTATCCGGCCTTCAACGTCGTCGCCTACGTGATGATTTGGAAGCTTAAAACGCTAATCTTCAAGGCTTCGCGCGCTCAGACAGAGCTGCTTTGTTAACTCATCTGCGACGTGGTCAAACTATCCCCGTGACTATAAACACGCATGCGTCATATCGTTACCCTCTGTCAATACATACGGGCGAGAGAAGAAGCCGGTTCCACAAGTCTGAGGCATACATAGATTGTGTGCCATTCCAATTCGAGACTACAACACGCTGAACATTTAAGCTCTCTCTATGCCAAAGAAACAGCGGCGCTCGTATCTTTGACAAAGCTTGAGTACTGCCTCTTCACTTCTCCCTCAATCTCTTGTGTATAGGCCGGAACCCCACCCATATACATCAACGCCTGCTTGCGCTTTCCAGGGATGTTCGTGCCCATAAACCAGCTGTTAACGTCACGGAATAGTGTTGCATCGCAAATCGCGTCGACGGCGCCGGAGAACCTATTTACTGCATCCGGTTTAGGTACGAACTTGGTAATGTTGTTTTTGGTGAGGTATCGTATGGCATCGACGATCCATTGTCCCTGGATCTGAATGCACGTCGGGCCGTTGCAGAACGATGCTGGACTCTGAGGGTCGTTGAGGAAGAACATGTTGGGGAAGCTATCGGTGGTCATCCCCAGACTAAGCCATCGGAAATAAGGTATATTAGATTCTCTGACCGCTTCAAGTGTCAAAGAACTTACTACGTATTGACGCCGTTACCCCAGTGTTCTTGAATATGTTTACCTCACTCTCCTCTGAGGTCAATGGACATCCAAGGACCCGTCATATTATCATAGCCTGCAGCGAGAGTGAGATGTATGACTAGAAAAAGCATGCGATATTCACCTGTCGCCAAAATAAGTGCGTCAAGTTCAGTGAAGCTGTCTTCCGTTTTGACCCCATTCGCAGTAACCTCGACAATCGGATTCGCCTTCACGTCAATCACTGTGACGTTTTCTTGATCGACAACTTCATAGAAGCGTTGCTCGAGGGAGACACGTTTTGTACCAAACGGATGCGGAGGCTTTTCAGGTGCTAGCAAGTCCTGCTTTCTGGGGTTTTTGATACGCTCCAACGTCTTTTTCCTCCAGAACTTATACGCCTCGTGGTTGGCCTCCTTGTCGAAAAGAAGATCAATATAGCCCCCAACTAATCTCATCTCCGTGAGTATCCGTTACGTTGAAGAACAAGAGAACACTCAACGCCAAAAATTGAATCCCCCATTCTGCCAAAGTCCCTCAAACACTGCCTCTCGCACCTCGGGTGGATCGTCCATCGTCTTTCTCTGAAGAAACTCAATGGTGAGACCTGCGAAGGTCTTTGGCAGTTTCTGATATATCTCGTTGTAAATCGGTGAGAAGTGTGCCTTCACCTCGCGGGGCATTGTATATTGAACCATGGGAAGCGCAAGGTTGGGGGTACGTTGAAAGATCGTCAAGTGTTTTGCCTATCTCACCATGTGAGTTATTCCTCAGAAACATCGGCTTAGCAAGCTCTCACCTGCGGACCTAGCTCTTGGATGATCTGTACGCCGGTTGCCCCCGTCCCAATCACTCCAACTCGCTTGTCCTTGACGTTGATCCCTTCTTTTGGCCATCTAGATGAGTGGAGCAATTGACCTTGGAACGACGCAAGCCCGTTGATATCGGGCTTATACGGCTCCGTCGTGGGCCCCTAACGTGCATTTAGGTTTCGAGATCTGCATATTGGGTGTAAATGTGGTACTGACCAAAGCCATGATAAGGTACCGAGCCGTTACCTGACGGCGTTCTTTCTCACTCTCCGTGGTGACGTTCCACGCATGATGGTTATCGCTCCAGTGTGCGGCAACAATGCGGTTTCCCATCCAAGAATCTTTGGCGAGGTCGTACTTCTCAGCCACATAGGCGAAGTACCTGGAAGCAAATTGGTGAGACCATGAGGCCGAGATGAATGTATACGGGTCAACCAAACACTTACGCGCGCAGCTCATCCGAGCCAGGAAAACGCTCGGACCACGTCCAGCCTTTTGGAAGGTCGTCGAACGAGAATTCGTATATCGGGACTTCCGAGTCCACTCGAGCACCTGGGTACCGATTCCAGTGCCACGCTCCACCGAAGGCAGATCCCGGTTCGATTAGCTTGCAGCGATATCCTAGTTTGCGAAGGTGGATCAAGTTATACACACCCGAGAAACCGCCACCGGCGATTATAACGTCGAAGTCTGTGTCCGCCATGCTCACTGGTAGACTGCGCTGGAACAATAGAACTTGGAGGGGGATGTCGACCAACTCTGCATGGTCAATGGAAGGATTATATACCCTCCTAGTAGGATCCTTACAAATGTCGACCCCCGCACTCGATCTTATGTAGAGAATACTCTCACGTCAGCTTAAGATGATGAATGATCGTACGACGTCCATGTAGTAAGCGATTGGTATTATGTGGTCAGCTCAACACGACGTCTGACTATCATACGATATGATTGGGCATGCATCAGTTTTGGTTCCCCGCTCAGCCTCCACGATGAACTCTATACTACCCGACAAAACTCATCAGCATCAGCTGGCTACGATATTTCTTACGGAGATCGTCCTGCGTATCCATCTTTGTGGGACTCGGCGGTGGACAGTAGTGACGCGTCTCACCATATCTCGACACCCACAGACAATCAGTCAGCCTCAACATGATTCATCTTGATCACAGGATGAAACCATCCCACTCATCGGCTTAGTGTTCATGCGTGCTTCTGAAATGGTGTTCAGGGTCACTACCACTCTACAGGTGCATCGCATGACGCGAGATGACTCAATCTACCCCAAGCACACAGAACGCACTGGCGAAGAAGTTTGGATTGAACCCAGATAGTACTAGCGACATACTCAGCCCGAGACATGTTTATATCCAACCATAAGATAATCTTCAGAACATGCACCAGCAAAAAAGAGAAATAACAAACACTCACACATGATGTGTGAAAATGATCTCTCGCATTAATGTTGTTCCGCGCGACTTCTGCGCGCTTCATACGGATTACAACGACCAAATATCCCCAGAAACTCATATTCATATTAGGATCCGATGCAGACGACAAATAGTGGTCCAGAAAGGACGTATCGAAACCAGATGGTAATTCGGGGCGGGAGCCCACAGCGCTCGTGCGAAAGTCGGAGTTTCAAACCCATCACGCCCCGCTAACTGGACTTCACACTTTATTCGTTTCTCTACCGATGCTCTAACCACTGTACGTCATCTAGCTTATCACCTGATGATCAACTTTACGGAATACATCGTGCAGGTATATGAACTGCGGAAGCTACTCCATGTTACTACAACGAAATCCCACGGCACGTAACGACGCCTCAGCTTCAAGTTGTTACCCTGTCTCAGGTCCGGACGTTTGGAAGCCTGGGTACCCTTCTTCAACCTCCTTTGCAAGCTCACTTATGTATGCGGGCACCCCACCCATGTAGTCTCGGATCGCCCGCATCTTACCGGGGACGTTGGCGCCCAAGTACCAACTATTGGCTTGGAGCACCAGCGGAGGCGCAATGTCGCACACATGACGGCTGTATACGTCCGCAGCAGTAGATTTTGCTACCGCTTTGGTGATACTTTGGTTCCGTAGGTGTTCAAGTAAACCTGCAAGCCAGTCGGTCTGGATCTCCGCGACGACAGGTGCTGTGTTTAGCGCGGCTGGCCCGTGAGGACCATAGATGTACCACAAGTTCGGGAACTGGTCGATGGACGTCCCAAGACTGTTCAAGCTCAGATAACGCTACTCCGGAAATGTTCTGACTAAACACTCACTAGCTTTTGACACCATCTTTCCAATGTTCCTGGATTGTTCTGCCGCCCTCACCTCGGATGTCGATCTGGAGGAAGCTTCCCGTGTACCCATCAAACCCTGGGTCCAATGTCAACGTGAGTTCATCCTCTGCTTGTTATCAAGATCGCTTGACGCACCCGTAGCCAATATTATTACATCAAACTCATATTCCTGCCTCGTCGTCCTGACTCCCGTGGCCGTTACCTCGATAACGGGCTCCTCGTTTACGTTTACAAGGTCAATGTTACTCTGACACATGACTTCCCAATAGTTTTGCTCGAGAGAGACTCTCTTTGCGCCAAAAGGATGTGGTGGCGTCTCAGGTGCGAGGATAGCACGCTTCCCGTTGTCACTGATTCGTTCGCAAACCTTCTTCCTCCAAAACGCGTACAACAAATCATTAGCGTGTTTGGACGAGAGAACGTCGATGTACCCTCCAACTACGATGGTACAACCAGGTTAGCCCAGCTCATTTCGAATATCGATTCCAACTCACTCAAAGGGCGAAACCCTCCCAAGTCCCACAGCTCCTCGTAGACCAACTCTCTCTGTTCGTCTGTATCGTCATTTGTCTCGCGTCCGTTCAGGTCGTAGTCGAACGTCCCAAAGGTATGGCGGCGTCTTTGATGAGTTTCTGGATACGAGGCTTTTGCGAGTGCTTGATCATTCGACTGCAAAGGGCGTTGCCGCATAGGTACAGCCATGTTCGGTGTCCGTTGAAACACGACAAGCTCTTGTGCCTAGATGCTGCATTAAGTTCGTCTATATCGGTAAGACATCAAGCACCTGCCTTAGGCCCAACTTCCTGAACGACTTGAACTCCGCTGGCGCCAGTTCCGATAAGGCCGACTCGTTTATTCCGAAACTCGATACCTTCAGCCGGCCACTGCGCTGTATGCGCCCATTTACCAGCGAACCTGTCTAACCCTTTGATTTTCGGTATATACGGCGTTGATAAACTTCCCTGGGAGAAAATACACGTGTAAGCACTTGACCTGCTCAACCTCAATCACAGCGCTTACCACACCCAAGACAATGTGGCGGCTTTTCGCTTTGTATATCCCGGTATTACCCTCGGCGGCCACCTTCCACAAGTGGTTGTGTGCGTCCCAGTGCGCACTCTTGACCGTGGCGTTAAACAAACAGTGCTGGCGCAAGCCAAGTTTCCGATCAATGTGATCGAAATACCTGTTGCGCGAGTCATTCGCCGATTATCTGATAGCTTCAGGAAATATAGAACGCACGTCAAGAGATCTTCTCCTGAAGGATATGCCTCTTTCCACTCCCAGTCCTTCCACAGCTCCTCAATGGAGAGCTCGTACAAGGGGACATAGGTGTCCACCCGCGCACCAGGATACCTGTTCCAGTACCACGTCCCACCAAACCCTGACCCTTTCTCGATCAGCTTGCATCGGAAACCGCACTTCGTGAGCTTATAGAGGCTGTATGTTCCCGAGAAACCGCCTCCAACGATGATCACGTCGTATGTTTCCTCAGTCATCGCGCTGTTGTAAAGGACGGGCTAACTGCGAGGTCTTGCAGGTACGTGGGAAGGAAGGGAAGATGATTAAGGGTTTCCGGCACACATCTCCTTAGGTTATATCCATGGGAGGAGTCCCGGATTCAGTACAATTGTAAGCCCATCAACTTATGACGCACCACTTGACGCAGCGAAGGCGAAGATTGTGGCGTAGAATCTTGGTATGGACCTATCTTTGGGGGCTCGGCGAGTCGAAATAAACGACTCCAGGCCAGGGCAACCTCAAGGAGCTTTCTCTTGTGTTTCTCACGCATCGTTACTTACCGTTCCCATCAAATCTAGGCTTTATATCGATCTACATGCACCCAGAAAGGTAGAGTCAGCCGCCCTGAATGGAAAATCTCATTAGTTGTGGTTTATAAAGAACTTCCGGGTAAGGATATATTGCGGCAGGTCCTAACCGAAATGCTGCCCAGCGCTTCCATAGAGACACTACTTCTCAAGGTGCGTAGGATGCACCTTCCGTTTCTGGTCTCCTTCCTTGGTCATTGTATGTTATCTGCAGCTATAAATATCGGTAAGTATACTTGGATATGCTGTGAATATGACAATCGCTCAACGCCAAATATTGAATCCTCTGTGCACGTATGCAACTTCTCATACATCAGGCAGATCATCTGATGCTATTCGTTCAATGGGCTCGACACGGAACTTGCCAAATCCCTGAACTTAGGGACCGCTCCAGAACGGAGAAAGAGCGTTGCAAGTTATCTAGATTCATACGCGATCAACTTCCCACCCGCTTCGCTTGCGTCAGACAATTATTTGCTTTACCGTCGCATATGCATCAATTGAAGGTGTTACCAGAAACCTGAAGTTGAAATGTAATCTACCAAGGCTTTGCATGCTCTGACAGGGTTACCTCGTCGACCTATCTACAACATATTCAACCCTTTGCATGTGCTGAATGACGTTGTTCTTCGTTTCGGCATCGTTGCTGTTCCTCCAAAGATTAGATCTTCCGTCATGCTGATCGCTGTGACGTTGTCCTAGTCTACGAGCTCATGAAATCGTTGCTCAAAGAAACCACGTGCTTCACCGATGGAACACGGAGCTTTGTCATGCGCCGGCGAGTCCCACTTCCTGGGATCATCGACAAACGCAGGTGCCTTTGTTCCCCAACGCTTGTATGACACAATGTCGGCCGTTTTATCGAAGAGAAGGCAACGAAGTCAACAGCTAAATTTCCCGTGAGCTCGGGGCTTACTGAAGAAGGGAATCGACACTCAATGCCAGAAGTCGAGCCCCACGTACTTGGACAAGTTGCTCATCCCCTCTGTCTGTAAATCTATCGTCGTACTGACCAAGGCTTTTGGTAGATCCAAAGTAAGGTTTCTCATTATCGGACTAAAAATCCGAGATCTATGTACAAAATGAAGCGAATATTCCAGCACTGGGAAACGGCCCTCTCGCCACATTATGTGCCACTGCGCGTACTCTGCTGAACCTGAGAACTGAATACACCTACGACCATCTTCGTGGTAGGCACCAGCTCCCGAACGCATGGTACGTCGTACTTACTTTGTACGTGCTGGATGAAAGTCGCCATTTCTTTTTCGGAATCATAGTCGGCCTTTGACTCAGTCCCAGCGCACTATTTACTAGTTCAGCTCAGCTTATAGGTGATGGCGTCGACACATCGCGGGCCAGTGGATGTAAAGTAATAAGTTTTTCTGGCCGTCTCTGTCGGCCTCTGCTAAAATTCATAGAACGAGTGCCTGTTAGGTGTATTTATGGAGCTTGTTCTTCCACGGAGGGGATCATGGCCGCTGTGTGCGGTGATGGTCGTCACTTCCGACCGAATTTTACTGATGCTGACACGTCGAGCTTGTTCTGCTCATGTTCGGCGTCTAACCTTCGAGCCGTGTTGTTCGCCTGAGTGTGGAAATAGGTGACTGAGGTGAGCGTGCTAAAACAAATGTGAGGAGACGACCCACTCCATCCGATGGAATGATCGCAAGCACCTTCAAAACAGCTTCTCTCCACCTGCCCGCTGTCGAGGTCAAATTTACTAACGCAAAAGAGCGTCGACCGCCGACGGCATTCCAGCGAACATGATTCCTTTTGCCAACTTGGCTCCGCCCGATCAAGCCGAGAGACTGCCGAGTTTCAAAACGGGAAATTGCCTCTGTTGAGGTTTATTGTGGTTTGTTGTTGGACTAAAAATAGTCTCGATATGACGATGATGATTGGCGGGAAGGTCATCTGTGTAGCTATTTTAGACGCTCGCTTATCTGCTGGATCCGAAGAGGACCTTCGGGGTGCTCGGAAGACATTAATCTTCTTGCCATTCACTCCCGGAAGCGACGTTGCACTCAACTCGCCGTCTCTTAGCACATGCAGAGACTCTGACAGGTAATGCATCGTGAACCTACTGGCCAGCTTTTCTGCTTTGCGATGGGTCTGGTAACGAAACAAGGGTCTGAGCGCCACACAGGTTTACAGGCTAGTTACCGGCGCATCAAGGCATATGCTGGCAGCTCATTGCGGTATGTTACACCATATCCCTGGCAGGCCACGTCGCAAAATGGAAAGACATGCGTCTCCCCTCGCGTGCCGTTCAACGGCATGCTTCTACCGTCCCTTCTTTGCGCGCTTGACAGTCAACGGCTTTAAATGCCCATCCCCGTCTTTTTCAGGTCCTACCCCTTCCTCTTTCCCCCTCCCCCGAGCCCTCCTAGCTTTCTCTCCTTTACGCTAGAATGAGATTTTTCCACTCTCCGTCCTCCCTCCGGGCCTTTGCGCTCCTGGCCACTCTCGCTGCCGTCGAGGCCCAACAGCCAACCGATGAGGCCAGCGAAGCCGCCATCTCGGGTGAGTCTCAGCGATCCTCGTCACCGGACACAATCACCTGCCTTCTTGCACACGATATAGTGCTAACGGCCCCTCTTTCCCCTCTGTGCCTGCAGACCCTGTCGCCGAATGCCAACCCTACTACTGGGCGCCCAGCGGACAGGCCTCGTCGCAGTTCCCGACCAACTGGCAGCCCGCGCAGATCGTAAACGGCGACCAGGATGCGGAAAATCTCTGGAACAGCATCCAGTCGGTGGTTCCGTCGGACGTGGAGGTCAAGGGCACCCAGCCCGCGTCGCTCATGGGCGACTTCTCGGGGTACAACTACGCGTCGGACGACCCGGACTGCTGGTGGACGTACAGCAAGTGCGACACGCCCAAGCACCAGGGCATCCCAGCCGATATCATCACCGTGCCCGAGGTGAGTCAATCGTTTGTCGTCTCGTTTGATGTGCGCGACGCGCGCGGAGAGGATGTTGGTTGCTGATGATGATCGTTTTGACTTTTTGACGCTCGTGCCCCTGTTCCCTGCGTGCCTTTTACATTGTTCGTCCTCGTGCCCGACACCGTTTCGGATGCATGCTTGCCGCGATAGCCCGATACGCTCGGCTATGGTTTCGACGACGGCCCGAACTGCTCACATAACGCGTTCTACGACTTCCTCGAGTCCAAGAACCAGAAAGCCAGTACGTGCTGTACCCCGCATTCGCATCGCACTATTTGTGTCCTTCTTCCGCCGGTCCCGATAGACTTTTGTCGCAGCCGTGCGGGCGTGGGCATGGGCAGGCGTGCCCGTGGTGTATGCTCTGTGCGTGTGTGTTGATCGACGGATCTGTTTATAGCGATGTTCTATATCGGTAGCAACGTGCAAAACTGGCCGCTTCAGGCTCAGCGGGCCGTGACGGATGGCCATCAGATCTGTGTCCGTACGTGGCGGCGCTCTTCTTCCTTGTCCTGTGTTTCAAGCTCATCATGACCATGAACTTTGTCTTGCAGACACATGGTCGCACCGATACAGTAAGCATCTCTGCATATCCACTTGATGTTACAGGTGCTGATGGTGATGGGCGATGACTAGTGACTTCTCTCACGAGTGAAGAGGTCTTTGCTGAGTTCTACTACAGTAAGTCATACCCGGCGATATGTATCAGTGGTGGGCAGATGACTGACGAGTACATCCTCCGACAGCTGTATGTTTATCTTCTGATCTTCGTCCGCCTTCCGCGGCGCAATGTTGACACCCGATGCAGAAGAAGATGATCAACCTCGTAACTGGTGTCACCCCGCTTTGCTGGCGTGTACGTTCCATCCACCCGGGTCCTCGGACCTCTCCGAACCTTTACTGATCGCCCCTATATTCCACCAAAACAACAGCCCCCGTACGGCGATGTCGATGACCGCGTGCGCGCGATCGCCAACGCGCTCAACCTGTCGACGATCGTCTGGCAATCGGACTCGTTCGACTGGGAAGCGGGCACGGACGGCTACACAGACCAGATGGTGTACGACAACTACGACACGCTGATCGCGCAAGCGCAGAACGGCACGTTCAGCAGCCAGGGCACGATCATGCTCACGCACGAGCTCAACAACTTCACGATGCAGACGGCCGTGGACTACTACGACAAGCTCGCTGGCGCGTTCAAGCATCTTGTTCCCATCGCGGTCGGGTATAACCAGACGGATCCGTATGTGGAGAGCAATGTGACCCTGCCGACGTTTGAGCAATGTATGTTTTCTTCCGTCGTTGTTGCTATCCTTCGCACGCTTACTATACCGCGAATCTGAAAACACAGACGTCAGCGGCCAGACCACTTCATCGGGAGGGTCAGGATCTGGTTCGAGCTCGAGCTCGAGCACAGCTCCCAGTAGCACTAGTTCACCTGATTCCGGCTCGGGCTCGGGATCGGGTGTCAGCACGGGCAGTTCCAACGGCGCCGCGTCTGTGTCGACGCACGTCGGCATGGGTGCGCTCGTGGCGGCGAGCGCATTCGTTGGCGGCCTTCTCGCCCTTGGCGCATAACCGCGCATATGTATACACTCTCCCCCACTTGCGTTGCAAATGGAACTTTTCGAGACTGTAGAGAATCTCGAATAACAGGTTCCTCAGGACACTCTGATTTTTGGACACTCGATAGCCTTTTTCCTGGGCTCTGGTCTCTCTTTGTGCTTCTCTCCTCGTGTTTGTGCCCGCTGTTTGTTAGTCAGTTATACCTACATATCGTGCGCCGATTATGCGCGCGTGTAATTGCCTCCGCTTGTGCCTGCTACTTATGCTGTCTTTACGGATATCGGTTACCCTTTGTTTCTTGATATACCTGGTACTTTGTGGACTTTGTGCGTTGTAGACGTGCAATTGGACTGTTATTTACGAGTTAATGACAAAAATGTTTGCTCTTGGTGTTTATTTGCTTCCCATCTGGTTCTCGACTTCTAGCTGCATACATCCTGAACACGAGATGCTAGTCCTTGTTCTATCAAACGAGACGGCCACAAGATACGTTCTTCGCCGATCATGAAATCTCTCAGCTCTATCAAGGTAGAGAACAATCATTGTTTCATTGGATGATATCGCATACTTAAGTTCCGAAACACGAAGTATTTATGGTGCAAAGTATATTCGCTTCGTACGTGTGGTTGCGCCACAGTCGGTGGTCGACCATTAGCACGCTCACATCTCTGGATTGTAGCTGTGTACGCACGGGGCTGGGGAGCGTAGTGTGCACGGAACTAATGTAGGTATACAATTCAGAGACACGAAGGAAAAGGTTGAGAGACTAAAGGTAGCGGCGGCGCGCGCAGGGTGTGGGTGGGCGGCGCTAAGAACGTGGAATGAATTGTTTTGTACAGGCGATGTGCAGGGTTTGGCTTTAAATTTGTAGTACTTTTACCCCTGGCACGCGGTCTACGTGCGCCAGATTTATTCTTGAACTGAATCTCACTCGCACCGTTTGACGTTCCATTCGTTTCGATCGTCGACGCGTTGCCTTTGTTTCCCCGCGCTCACTCACTTGTTTCAACGCTCACTTCTTCAACACTAACGGCTGCTGCTGGTGAAACAGATCACCCCACTCGCTATCGACGTCGCAACTGGCGACGTCGATCCCATGAACGCCGCTGTGTCAGCAAGCATCGGCTCCGTCTCGGATGCAGGTAAACCAAGCTCGGTAGGATCTACAGGGGCTGTGACACGCCATATCGGCGCAATCAGGGACGATGTGAACGTAGGCGGGGAGGACGGCAGCGGTGTGCATGAGGGTGTCCGTGGCGCCGGGATCGGGAGCGACGATGACGAGGAGGAGGAGGAGGAAGATGAGATCCAAGACGACGAGCTGCCAGTGGGATTCGAGGCGGACGATATACCCGTGACGGGCTTTGCGATGTCGAGCAGCAGGCGGAACGCTGACTTTCATAAGCTGTTTCCGGGTATTCCGGAGGATGATTATCTGATTGAGGGTGAGTCTCTCTCTCCCCGCGCGGCTCTTGTGAGCGAAAGAATGCATGTTGATTAGTGTGTGGTGGATGGATGGATGGGTAGATTATAGCTGCGCGCTCCAGCGCGAGATTCTCATTCAGGGACGGCTCTATGTCTCGGAGAACCACATCTGTTTCCACGCGAACATCTTCGGGCTGGTTACAGACGTGGGTCTCCCCTAGTCTTTCTACCCCCCCGCGCATCTAATCTCGCTCTCCCTCTTCCAACCCCACAGCTCAGTATCCCCATCTATGAAATCACGTCCATCGAGAAGAAGATGACCGCGCTCATGATACCCAATGCGATCCAGATCAAGACGCGTCAGGCACAGTACACGTTCGCGTCCCTTCTCTCGCGCGACACCACATACGACGTCATTTTCAATATATGGCGCCTCGCACGCCCTCAAGTCAAGGAGGAATCGAGCGCTGGCGTCGATGATGCCAACTCGGGAAACAGGTCGGTTGCGGGCGCAGGTGCCGACGAGTCCAACAGAAATCTTGTCGAGACGATCAAAACTTCGACTTCCCAAGAGGGAACAGAGAATGTCAAAACCACGGCAGATCACTCAGGAAAGACACAGAAGCCGATATCTGGTTTACCGGTGATAACAAATTCTGGATTTTGACCCATTTCCCTGGCTCATGTTACGCGCACAGACATCGGAGTCGACTGATAGTCTTGGGAGTTTCTTGAACGTAGGTCTTTCCAGTAAATTTAGGGTGTCAAAAAACTAGCGATAATATTTCATTTCGCAGAGGCCAGCCGTCGTTACGAACAAGAATAATGGGCAGAACTGGGGCGCCTTTTTTGACGAAGCTGAGACCAATGATGTAAGTCCATCCATCATTGGCAACACTGAAAGAGATTGTATGACACACATCAAGAGTAACCAGCTGCCGATGAACTTACCGGAAGATTACTCGCCTCAAGATATGCAGGAACAGAGGCCAATGACTTTGGGTGTCAGACGGGTTTATAGCCAGCTGCTGGAGCGTTCAGCGAAATGGTTTAGTAACAAGTCGGATGATGTGCGTGTACTCTACATTTCACTCTGCCCAACTTTTTATCGACTTCTGTCGCTGTCGTTGAACGAACAACTTTGAACCCAATCTCCCAACAATCAAGGTTGGAGATCTCTCCCCTGATGGTCGTGTAAACAGGGTTACAAGCACAATGCGGCGAACATGGGTGAGTACATCATTACTTTGCCTTTTTGTACTGAGCACAGCTGTTTCATGGAACCTAATTTCCACACCTTGATGTTTTTCTACAGACACGGGTCATGAGTACATGGGAGAGCGATACTGACGGACAGAATGGTGCTGCAAGGCCAGATTTTCATCGTATGCGCCCTGTCACCCGCGTATTCGCCACAATCTTCCCGGCATACGCCCGGCCGGTACGCAGATCCAGTCAGTCCTCTTCGAACATTTTTGTCACATGACCTCCTTTCAGCGTATTGTGGCGGCACGAGATACCAATGAACGACGACGAAGAAGAGATAATGCCACAGCTGACGCGGACGGGTCTGACACTGATTCAGATTCAGTGGGATCAAACGAGGGTGGTCAACGCAGTGTGGCCGACGAAGAGCAAGTCGAAGTGCGACTCACAGGAAGAAATCATCCTGTCATCGACGCCCATTCCAATGAGGCAGAAGTGGAGGAGAGTTACCGTCCATTCCACTATGCACTCTGCTGCTACATGTGCACTTTCTCTTGTACTCGACGACAAACCCGATCTCGTTCCACACGTAGGGCAGAAAATCCGAGACCCGCAACTAAACCAGCCATAGTTCCAATATCGGACGAGATGAAACCGTCTCAGTCCGTTAGCGGGGACACCTCTGCAACGTTTCCAGCTGGGCAAACGGACTCGAGTCCGGTGAACACAGAACCGGTCACCGTGGACAGCCATACATATCCGCCTTCTGCTCGCGCACAGAATAGGAGGGTGACTTTTGCTAAAGTGCCAAGATCAAGCAAGTTCAGTTGATGTCCAGACTGCCGGGGTTGGTACCCCTCGTAGCATCGAGAAAGAGTCGCTTTCCTCGTGAGCCATGCAACAACCTTGTCACCCCCCAGTACTATACTATTGGGAATGGTCGTGTGAATTATGATCTTTCAACGTCTTTGCACTTACATGTTCTTTGCTCACGGAAATTTGTGCTTCGTTCAGCTTAGCTGGTTTTGGCTGGACATATTCATGAAACCCTCCGAGCACAGGGCGCTGATACTCGCGCACCTTAAGTTATCCTATTCATAGCGTAGTTCTATGTATAGGCCAAAAATCCAGGCAAGGTTTCGGCATATGCGGCGTGGAGGACATGTGTCCATACCAATGCCAAACCGCCGGGTCGTCGTACATCATGTATGAAGGCATGAAGGCAAGTGCTGTACCGGCGACGAGCTCCTGGTAAGCATGAGCATCTTATACAAAAGAACTTATATGCTTCGAGTCATATTAAATGCTTCGTTCTTCTCATCTCTCGGAGGTTGTTGGGTCGGATAGGAGGCGGTGTAGTAGGCCGCCGCCGCCTAGAAGGATGAGGTGAGGATGGGGGACATACCTGCGTGCTGCGTTGAGCGCGGATCGTTTGAGGCGAGACGGGACCGAGCACGAGAGATACGATCCGTTAGGCGTTAGACGAGGATGGCTTGGCAGGGGATGGGACGGGATCATGGGGGACGGTGGGCAAGAGTAATAGGCGTGAGACGCAGAAGGGGAGGTCGACGGCGATGGGGTGTGAAAGCTGGCTGGGGGGGTTCGCCGTGGACTGCCTTGAATGGCGACTTCGAACACGAAGCACGATTAATCGCGGAGGTACGCATTGGCTCGAGGTATTCTTGGATGCGCATGTCTCACGAGCATGACGGAAGAAGTTTGTTCACAGTGACGAGTTTCGGAAGGCTACCTGGCAGAGGTGCGCGGTCAGTCATACCAGTGGGGATGCGACGGAAGAGACGATGAGAGCGTGTCGTGCTTGAAGTGTCGCGATGCTGTAAGATGCATGGTGGTGCGTGGGCTGCGCACGTCGCGAGCCCAAGGGAGGGTCCTGGCGTGGTGCGAAGAGCTGATCCTGCGACGACCAATATGTCGTGTCGGGGTTCAGGAAGCTGGCGGAGATGAGCTAGAAGATAGCTTGGATTGAATGGGTGAAGACCATGAGTTCGAGGGTGATGTGGACTAAGTCGGATCTAGAATCCTGCAAGGCAAAGGCTCGATGCATGTGGATGTGGGTCCGCCAGGGAGGATGCGCTCGTGACTGGTCCGTGCGGAGTATCAGCGCCCTGGGGGCGGGAGAAGGTGGGACCTTGTCAGGCAAACGTGATGAGTTGCGTCAGAGGTGAGCTGAGGAAAACACGTTCAGTAAAGTGCCTCTTTCCAGGTTCTGCAGGAAAATTGTTTCCCTTGACATCACTGCCATGCTTTCCGTCGACAGTCCAGGAATACGACCTGAGAACTGAGAAGCGACATGTTGCGGGACCGGAAGTCTGAGAAAGGGCATAAGGGTGTTCTTCCGGGTGTTCCGCGACATTCCAGCGGGGCGGAGGAGGCCATGATCTATTTATAGTCTCATTCAGTTGCAGTAAGGCTGTACTCCCAAAATAGGACGTATGCGATCATAACCCTCTGCTGCATGGTGGGACAAGTGGAACTCGAGTATGGAAACGCCAATAAAGGACCAGGGCCCTCAGAACACTCCAGCTATTCTTACCCTGCCTCTTCCTTGCTTCCCTCCGTCTCATATTCAATCACCAGCGCTCCAGCTGCCTCTCGCGAAATAAGAGACAGCCAAAACACTCTCCTTCAGTTCGACAAGTCGATCCTTGCGCTTGTGAGACCTGCTTTGCAAGAATGAAGTGGTCAGTCAGATCACTTGTTTCCGCCTGCCTTCTCGCCTCCACCTTGGTGGCCGCTGCTCCCCAGGACAGAACAACCGAGCAGGGCGAGGCACAAATCACTGGTGAGCAGTCACATCGTGTTCTCACAGCGCCTATCGCCCTTACCACGCCACCACCTTCCTTTCACGCGCCGCGCGTGCCTCATGCTCTCATCCCCCGATGACCAACAACAGACCCCAACGAGGAATGCACCCCCTACTCCTATGCCCCCGTCAGCAACGCCAAGTCCAGCTTCCCCGCCGTCTGGCCCCCGCTCAACGAGTCCGCGACGATCGTGCCCAACGACAACGAGGCCATGTCCATGTTCCAGGCGCTGAACTCCTCCATCCCCAACATCGCGCCGCACGGCACGCAGCCCGGCTCGATCGAGGGCAACTTCACGGGGAACAACTACACGGCCGCGGACCCCGACTGCTGGTGGACGTGGGCCCACTGCGACACGCCCAAGTACCCCGGGCTCGAGCCCGATCTGACGCGCGTGCCCGAGCCGGACACGTTTGGGTATGGGTTCGACGATGGCCCGAATTGCAGTCATAATGCGTTTTATGACTTTTTGGCGGAGAACAACCAGAAAGCGAGTGAGTTGTGTCGGTTTGGGGTTGTGTTGAATGGTGTTGGCTGACAAGGGGATGTGAAGCGATGTTCTTCATTGGTAGCAACGTCATGGACTGGCCGTTGGAGGCGCAGAGGGCTATTGCGGATGGGCATCAGGTCTGCGTTCGTGAGTATTCCATGCGCTTATGTTGTTTCACCATGAGCTAATCCTGCTTGGTAGACACATGGTCACATCGTTACAGTTCGTATTCTCACTTCTTGGACCACTCAACGTACTTAGCGCATCTATAGTGACTTCCCTTACCAACGAACAAGCCTTCGCCGAGTTCTACTACACTGTACGTCTCATCCCTCGTCAATCTACCACATACTCATCCCGAACAGATCAAAGCCCTCAAGCTCGTCCTCGGCGTAACCCCGACCTGCTGGCGCCCGCCCTACGGCGACGTCGACGACCGCATCCGGTACATCGCCAAATCATTTAACCTAAGCACAATCGTCTGGGAATACGACTCGAACGACTGGCGCGCGGGCACGGGCAACATCACGGACGCGGACGTGGACGCGAACTACGAGGACCTGATCACGGCCGCGCAGAACGGGACGTTTTCGACCGAGGGCACGATCATGCTCACGCACGAGCTGAACAACTTCACGATGAGCGAGGCGGTCAAGTTTTATGATCAGCTCAAGGGCGCGTTTAAGCATCTGGTGCCGATTGCGGTGGCGCTGAATGATACGAATCCGTATGCGGAGTCGAATTATACGATGCCGACGTTTGAGCAGTGTATGTGTTTCTTTTCCTGTCGCTGTTCTATTCCGTGTGGGATTGTGGATTAACATTGTTGATAGATACGAGCGGAACAACTACCACAGGCTCGAGCGGCTCATCGAGCGGCAGCAGCGGTGGCTCTGGCTCGAGCGGCGGCGCAGCGCACAGCTCGTGGAGCACGCTCGCTGCTGCGCTTGCTGGCGCTGCTGCGGTCCTTTCCGCACTCGTATGAGTGCAACCCTCCTGGGTCTCCGCATACCTCCATCAAGCACCTTTTCCCAAAACTAATCATCCCCTCCCCGTTGGCTTCCGTTTACGACTACTTACGACTACGCTAGCTATGGCCCCCGATTCGACTCGACGTGGGGGTAATATGTGCTTGCTTGCCTTCCTGTGTTACCGGTTTGCCCTTATACTTACCCTTCATTGACCATATCCTATGGCGACTTTGAACGATGGACCTTTTTCACGACATGATAAACTGCGCCGGTGATTTGTGTTTTGAGTTCGGTTTCTGTACGTATATATTCCCGATTGTAATACACATACCTTTTGTATTCCCTTCGCTTGCTTGTGCTGCCGTGGTCGTTTGTTGTACCCTTCCTCTGCACAGCTCGCAATAGCTAGCGTACGTATTCTGTACTGTTGCTCGACGCGCACGTTTATACACGCAGGGCAACTGATTGTCTCGCTCAAGTTGTCCTCACCAGCGGGCGGTGCTGTTACTACCATTAACCATAGATTGTGATTCTGCGGCAGGTGAGTGAGGCGTTTGTTGCGAAGGCATGGAGCAGGCAGTGATGCGCCTTGAAACTGGGGTCCTTCGATTCTCCAAGTGAAAACTGTGCTCCACACCGGTGATCGTGACGTGCTGGCGTGTTCGCTTCGGTGATAACAGCGAGACTGGCTTGATGATCGCAGTGCCCAAGCACCCGCGCTGGCTCGGAGTCGAGTTGGCTGTTAGCTGCTGGCAGATGATTCCGACGCTTCGTGTACTGTACGCGGAACGGGTCCGGTGGGGGTCGGTTCAATGCGGTGCAAAGACACCGTCAGTTTGGGCTCACGCTCAGGCGCTCGAGTGTGAGTGTGGTTTAAGCAATGAACGTATGGCCATTGTGGCCTTCGCGAGGTCACGATAGCGGGCCCGTAGCGGACATCGTTTGAAAACCCCGCATGTTAGGTACCAAGCCCCTGAATTGGGCGATCGAGGATGACGCTTTAAAGGGACTCTGGAGAAGATTTAGACTTTGCGGCGCTCCATCTCCTACTGTATGTGGGTTTCCCATTTCATTATGAACATACGTGCGCCAAGGAGCTTGGCAAGGAGGATCAGCGCTGGGGCAGAGGCTGACGGGACGTGTCTCGCGTAGGAGGAACTTGACCTTGGCATGCGTGCTTTCTTGTATGTCCTCGTCGCGGATGTATTTTTTAATCGATGTTGCGATTAGGCGAGGCGAGGCAATTTGGCGCTGAGGGGCAGAGGTGGATTTCTGGTCGTGTGCCAGTAAATCTACCTTCTTGCAAGTTGCAATGATGGGTGTTCTTCACACTGGCTCGGAGGTGGTCACGCTCCGTTGTCGGCCGATGGCTAATTCGGTTCAGGCGGGCCGCATGCGCGTGTTTGGAAGGAAAACGCCTGATTTTGGTGATGCGGCCTGCTGGCGGGGTATCTATTCTTAGACGCGCCGAGCTCGGCGGGAGTCTGAGCACACGGGGGATGGAGTGGCGACGGTCGTCAGCGATTGAGTCAGAATTCGAAGAGGGAGGGTCTCTGTGAGAGACCATGAGGGGAGCCTGGAACGTCGTCATCAATGTCCCTCGCGATGAAGGAAATTCGTAAAGCCTACGGTGGAATCAGGTACGAATGGACTTTGGTGACTGGCGCTTGCTGTGAATGGTACCTGTCTGTACTAAGCCTGCGCTGCAGAACAAGAGCATCCTGGACAGCTAGCCCCCAGCTTAGGTCGCAACCATCCTGAAGAGTTCGGATGGAGCGAAACATTCGCGCCACGCCATGCGACGCCAAAGTGAGGAAGAAGAATTGAATCGCGATCAATCGGGGTCAATAATTGGGCCCTAGAAGGAAGGATAATTGGCGGATCTAAGAATAGTAACCGTCGGCATGTCCGGCATCGAGCTGAGGCGTAAATAAGAAACGACAACGGATGCCTGTTTGGTTCCTTACCGTTTTCTCTTGTTCGTCTCCCTCACCGTTGTCGACGTCCGCCCCATCTGCCTCCTGCTCGAGCCATTCTTTTCTCGAGCTCTCTTGCTTGCTCACCGGATTCGCAGCTAGACTGTCCGCACGCCAACTCGCCCGGGCAACGCTCTTTGTAGACTCGACCCGTTGCATACCACAACTCTGCCCAAGTGACAGGATAATACCTCAAATTAGCACCACTCACACACGCGTTTAAAAATGCGTTTCGCATCATTCCTTACTTCGACTTCGCTCTCGGCCACGCTTCTGGCTGGCTCTGCTATTGCTCAGCGCACCACCGAGCAGCAGGAGGCTCAGATCAACGGTGAGTTGTTATCTCCCGTACCCGTCGTTGGGGCCGTTGCTACGCCCTGTCCCAGCGCCTATATGCGCCCTGTCCCACCCCTGGAGTGACTTGTGCCTGCCTTGGCCTCTCCGCATCCTCTGCCGTCGCATTGTTGTTCGAACTGTTGATGCTCACGCAATTCCACTCTAGATCCCACCCAAGAATGCACGGCCTACTACTACCAGCCGAGCGCGTCCCAGCTCTACAACTTCCCCACCATCTGGCAGCCCGCGTCCATCCTGAGCAACGACACGGACGCTCAGGCCAAGTACCAGAGCATCCAGAGCGCCATCCCCAACATCCAGCCCAAGGGCACCCAGCCCGCGTCGCTCATGGGCGACTTCTCGGGCAACCAGTACTCGTCGAGCGACCCCGACTGCTGGTGGACGTATGACAAGTGCATCACGCCCAAGATCTCGGGGCTGCCGCCCGATGTTGCAGCTGCGCCTGAGCCGGAGACGCTGGGCTTTGGGTTCGACGATGGTCCGAATTGCTCGCATAATGCGTTTTACGACTACCTGCAAACTAAGAACCAGAAAGCTAGTGCGTGTTGTCGTTTCTTTGGTTTGCTCGCTGGATGCTGATGATGTGTTGCAGCGATGTTTTACATTGGTTCCAATGTCATGGACTGGCCTCTTGAGGCTCAGCGTGGTCTTGCCGACGGTCATGAAATTTGCGTCCGTAAGTGAAGTTGATCGTTTCGTTTTGTATCGTGTGTGCTGACTCGTTGGGTAGACACCTGGTCTCACCGCTACATGACTTCCCTCACGAACGAGCAGGCCTTTGCCGAGCTTTACTATACCATGAAGGCCATCAAGCTTGTCGTTGGCGTTACCCCCACCTGCTGGAGGGTAAGTTTGCGCAATGTTTCGTCACATACCAATGCTCATAAATCGTGTTCTTCAGCCTCCCTTCGGTGACATGGACGACCGTATCCGCTCCATCGCTCACTCTCTCGGTCTCACCACCATCGTCTGGAAGTACGACTCGAACGACTGGCAGGTCGAGGCTGGTCAAGCCACCGTGCAGCAGGTCAACCAGAACTACCAGAACCTGATCAACGGCGCCAAGAACGGCACATTCGCTACCTCTGGCGCGATCATGCTCACGCACGAGCTTAACAACTTCACCATGACCGAGATGATGACGTACTATGACCAGCTCAAGGCCGCGTTCAAGTACATTGTCCCCGTGCTCTCATCGATCAACCAGACGCAGCCATACGTCGAGACCAACTACTCGGCGCCTACCTTCGATCAGTGTAAGTTTTTGCTATTTCTCAAGCGTTGACATTTGAGCGTGTTACTTACGATGTTTGTGTTTAGACATCAGCGGTACTGTTACCACCTCGGGCTCTCCGCCCAACCCCAGCACGCTCCCTGGTCTTGCCCCCGCTACGACTGGCGCTTCGGGCGCTGCGAGCACCGGCGGTGCCAGCTCGGGCAAGAACGGCGCGATGGGCGGTATGTCGTCGAACATGGGCGCGTGGGCCGTGACTGCCGCTCTCGTGGGTGGTGTCGTCCGCATTATGCTCTGATGAGCAGGGCTTATCGCATGATGGACGGACGGACTTGGTCGTATTTGATGGACTTGCCCAGTGTCACCGTCGCTGTCGTTGTCGTATTGTGTCACGTCGCGTCGTTTGACTGCTACATCCTTTCACATCGTAGCTATAGCTAATGTTTCTTTTGTTTCTATTGCATTTTGCATTTTGCATTCTGAGTTCGTAAGCGTTTGACGTAGAGTGATTTGGATGAGTTTTCGTTTTGTGTCTTGGCGTGGTGGATTGAGGTCCAATATACCGTAGTTTTAGCAATGCATACCATTATCACCGATGGGCGATGAGCTCTGCTGTGTTTCGGTGAGGTCTTTATTCAGTCGATCGAGTTGTCGTACGGATGTGGTGAGCGAGATGTAGTCAGTGAGAATGAAGGTGGACAAAGTTAGCTGTTGCGTTTGTATGTGCCATGCTGGCATGTAGTTTGCGGTATGCTTGCACCTGACGCGATCGATATATACATTTCCCTCGCCTCCCACTGGAACTTCTGAATATGTTTTCAATTCATCCTCTGACTGTTAGTCGTCGCTTCCTTGGGTGTTTGGCCGGCGTACACAGCTTCTCAGTACCCTCTTGCTGTTTTAGTAGATGGGTCAGGCACGTAGCAATGCGAAGGGTATTCATGAGTATACATTAACGCAAGGTTGAGGATACAAGAAGTAGAGTAGACTGCTTAATGCGCGAGCTAAGAAGAAATCGTCGCTGTCGAAGCCAGGCATAATCGAAGCTAATGAAAGAAGAAACTTGAAAATTTGCGAGATCCTATTCACGGACAAGAAAATTTGGCACCTAAGCCTATAGTAGAAGAAGCTTCCGAGAAACCAGTCTCGGGATGCTGTTTGGATGGCCCTGCGTACGGGTTGTGCTGTCGAGAGAGACGAGCCAGAAGCGAAGATATCATAGTTGAGACGCCCCCACTAGGGGAGGGTTTTGAAACAGTCGTTGGGAAAGAGAAAGAGGTATCGCTGTGATTGTTGCTGGTAGCAGAGATGTCCCTCAGCATGATGGCCGGACGGGGGAGAAACCAGTCGCAAAACCGGACGACGGGGACCTTTCTTCTGATATGTCTGCGAGGGGAACGTGATGCCTGTCTCGGCGTCGACGGTGAATGGAAAAAGCATGAATCCGAATGCGAATACAAGGTTTGACACGATCCCTCAAATCCCGTTGTAGAGTCGACCACGAAAGCGATGTCGGCTTCGTGGGTATACTCGAAGACGTCTGGCGGATGGATAGATGTTGCCTGAGCCTGAACATGCATCTGCGAATTGGAATGAGGAGCAAGCGAGGGATCGCGATGGCGCCTGAGAAGGTCGGAAACGGAGGCGACGGAGCTGAGCGCGAAGAGGAGAGCAGCGTCGCAGGTATCGTCTTCGCCGAACTCGAAGAGCTTGGATGCGAGCTTTGCGCGTTGAATTGGTCGTTTGGTGCGTGCCGAGGACAAGAATGTAGGGAACGACTCGGGATCGGCGTCGAGTTGAACACTTGGGAAAAGTTCTTGCGGAGAGAGGTCTTGGGAACGCTTACAGGCGGTAGGCTGAGGGGATGCTACGTCCATGACGGGCTCAAGGGCGGCTGAGGAAGAGGGGTGTCAGATTCAAGCAGCGCAAGATCCCACCATGGTACTCACTTGCGCCACGTCCCGCTTCTCCTCCTTGGATTACCCACTCAATACTTGGGGTTAGGGGTGGTTTCCCTTCGTCCTTTCTGAACCTGAATGCGCGCTTGGTTTTCTGAACGAGCGAGGTGACACAGACTCCAAACCGCTTGCGAGGCGAGGAGTACGAGCAGGAAGCATTGATGGTGTCCCCACCTTTAGACTTGAGGTTGAAGGCAGAGAGTTTCATGGTGTAGACGAAGTGTCGTAGTACAGGCTATAGACGGGAAGAAGTGATAAAGAGAGTATGAAAGGGGAGTTAGGGGCTCGAAGAGCGAGCATTTATACTAGGCCTGGCATTGAGACTGGCAAGCCTCTTAGCCCTAGGCTTCGTTGCAGACGGCATTCCCGGTGGTTTGATTTACCTCTTGACCAGTCCAAATAGTGACTATTGATCGTATGCCGGGTCTCATTCTCTAAGAGAGCGCTGGAGGGCTGGTCCTGCAAAGATAGAGAAGCGTGGAAACGAGTAGGATATGCTTCACGCATGCCGAGTTTAGAGTACTGGAAGGGCAAACGGAAAGGTCTTCATGAAAGTGAGAACGCTGCATGTATCATTGAGCTCCGAGCTCCGACCGGATGATGCCGGCACCCGTCCCGAGCTTGGGTTTCTGCTTGAGCGCTTAATTAAGGTGCCCTTGGTTCAGTGAAACCTGCATCTACACCATCCTTGCACGCGCGCATCAAGCTGTTTCCCAACATAAAGGCTCGCATGGAGCATAGGGAAACGCGTCATCAAGATAGTGACAACATCTGAGCAGCAATACTTATGCCCCGACAGCTTGGGCATCCCTGTGTGTTTGATTCAACGGACCTTTATCACTTGACGGGTCGCACGGCTGACACAGGCTCCTACAGGCTCTTTAACCTGAAAATCAGGGCAAAAGCTAAGGGTATGCGACATCATACGATGTGTTGCAAGCCTGTGTCGGGCGAAAAAATACCGGTGTGGGGGTCAAGTGATGACACGAACGCGTCAAGCGCATTGCACTTGCCCATGAATTACCAATGAGTGTGTTCTGAACGTTCTGAACCCTTGCATTTCCTTTAGACAATCCCAGACAATTCCCCACTCACTCCATTGTGCACAGGTTTTAGAGACGCGGTCATGACATCGTGTACGGGAGTATTCTCCGACGCGTTGGCTCAGCTGATGTACCGAAACCTGATGTCATATCGTTGAACAACTGATATATGATGGTGCACATCTCTTGAATCGACATTATTTTGTTGGCAATGACCGCTTTCTAGGATCTATCGTTCACAATGCACATATTACGCGCTACAAAGGTCCACATCTTCCCCGACCTTAAAGTTCCGGGACGTTGGCGAAGATCATGGCTAAGTGACGCCGATTTTTCTTGTTATGTCCATCATCTCCGAGTCATGCGTACGAGAGACTATCCCAAAATCGTCCTCAACGAATACCACGATGTCAGAAATTTTGGAGTCCCCGTACACGAGACGTCCCAAACGTCGTTCTTGCTCCTCTTTTATCGTCATCATGGACGGCCACATCATCGAACCGAAGATGTAAGCCATGCATATGGTTATTGGAATGATTCCGCGTTGACACCAAGAATGTTCTAGGTATCTAGCCATATATAAGATCAACGAAATCTAGCATTCGACATCTCTCAGCCCTCTGCGCGTCTCTCTAGCGATCACATCGTCTCTCATATTTACAACATGTCGGGAATGCTCATCCCCATCCTGAAGTGGGTTGGCTCCATGGCCGCCAAAGCGTACTGGAACGCCATCCAGAGGGGAGCCGCTGGACCGCCTGCCGATCGCATCGACGAAGTCCTGAAAGGTCAGGAACAGATCATCACCGAGATCGAGAATCTCTCAATCAAGATCGAGATCGTGCATGCTATGAAGCTTATTCTTTACTGGACGAAGCGTTTGGGTGAAATCATGACGGAGATGAAAAAGTGCGTCATTTCCATTGTCCCGAGCTTTCGTCGGCCCCTTAGTACGACTTATTGACATACGAGTAGATCCGGCAAGATTAACGTAGACAATCAGAATTACCAGGAGCTTCTCCGAGCTCTCCGAAGTGAAAGTGACGGTGTTCGTTACCAGACCTTCTCTATCCATACGGCGATCATGGGTACGCCAAACAACCCCTTGGGCGGTGACGCTCTCTCTACTTGGCACAAGCAGGCCTACAACAAGCTTTCTGACCAGTCCAATTTCGACTACCACATGTCTGACTACGTCAAGGAGCTTAACGGTCGCATCACACCCGTAGCCTATCTTCTTCGTCAGGCTCTTATCCTGAGCATGTTCACAGCCGGCAGTACGTGATTCATCGTTTGGCATCCCCTTCTACCGCTGATGTCCATCGTTATCTGACAGCCGAGGATGACGCTGAGAGCCTCAGAGCTGAGTGCCAAACCCGATGCAGCCAGATGGTTGACACCTTGTATGGCACGCACTACCCGCCTGCGCTCCGCTTCCTCAAACCGAGCTTCGAAGATCCTGGCAAGCAGCTGGGCACACAGTACTTCTGGTTTAAGCAGAAGGACAAGGACGGTTACTATCTCGTCATGCAGGATTTCTACATCCCCAGTCTCGGCTCCTTCAACCGCGCCATCAACCGCAAAGATCCGGAAGTATGGGCATTCACCCTCAAGCAGAACGCGCACGAGCTTGGCCCGATGCAACTCATCTCCGCATGGGCGAACCACGGAAATCAACGGATCAGGCGTCACTGGCGCTGGGCGCAGGAGGGATGGAAAGGCGCTTGGGAGTACGAATTTTCTACGGACAATAGTAGCGACAGTGATGAGGTTCTGTTCAAGCTGATCCCGCTTCAGGCTAGCGAGGCAGGCTCGGAGCCGGCTCTTCGGCTAATACCGTACTCCACCAATAAGGCGGCGGTCAGAGATAAAAACGGTACATTTGATTTGGTCTTCATACCATCCAAAATATCTCTGTAGAATCGTAGCTGACCTAAACTTCATTATCTTGTATCCCCCGTGTACGATGAACCTCATTTGCTTGTCATCTGCGCTAGATTTGGGAAGGGTAGAGTTCCTACAAAAATCTAAGATGATGATTCACTCCAGTGGACGTTTATTGCGTCCTCGCAAAGTGCAAGAGTCTTTTGAACTCCGACCGAATGCCGATCCGTCGACGCGTCCCTCCACCTCTTCCATCCAGCTTCCATCCTCAAGCTCAAGTGCTCGCATCTCAGCGCTCAGGATTTGACCGAGGTCAAGCGTTCGAATCAAAAACACCGCCAGAGAGTATGGAATCATAACGCCCCCGCTTTAGAGACGGTCTCCAGTCGGCATGAGCGAGTTGGAGAACACGCCGAGAGTGAACACGTGCGGACTGGGGTTGACCATTTCTCGAACTAAATGGTCCGCAACTCAAGTTAGAATGCGCGCCCATCACCTTCAAATCGGACTAACACAGCCATCTTGCGTAACTATTCTCGGATTTGCGCCTATCGGTGCCATGGTCTCACCAAACAGCAGCTGATCGCTCGATAGTCAAGACATGATGGGCTATCCCACAGGAGTATGTACAGAACCTCATGCAGTCAGGATGATGTCCTGCGATATCGCGCCCCAGAGATAGCGTACGTATCGCAAACCTCTATCTACCTCTATGTGATGGTCGATGATCACCCGTGGTCCGTAGTGGGTCCGTGTGCCACTGATCTTTCCATGGACCACGCTGTAAGTCGTCACGTTTCAGTCTATGCTGTGCCCCTTCTGTGTACCAAGACGTCTTAGGTCAACTGGCTCGATCAACAAGCCACGCCGCCCATCCCGGCATGTGACACACGGACTGCGTTTGGGGCGATGATGCATATCGTTCAAAGACGAGCCCCACAGCAAGGGTTACATGGTTTGACTTCTAGCGCGCCCTTTCTTACCCCCAACGTTTTACCGCCAGATGTCCGACTCGCTTTCTGACGCTGAGTACGTTTACTTTCTGCAAACAGGATATGGAGCGCGTGAGTACCTTATCTCTACCTTCCAATCAATCACTTTTTCTCACAACCCTTGGAAGTCGCCGTGTTCGCTATCGTGGTTTATGACTACAGTGAGTGAGCCTCTTGATCGCTAAGTTGTACTGGGACTAACGATTGTAGCCCTCACTCTGAGTCGCGAGGTGAGTGATTTTCGGCATTGAGTGAGAGCTCTCAAAGCAGACATGTACGACGGTACCCAGGTGGATCTGATATGGGTGAGCAAATCTGTTATGTGACTCAAGCTGCAGCCTGGCTCAAACAATTACCGGTGCAAGAAACGACGCTGGACCCTTGTAACGTGGCTCTACGCCATCGTGAGTTTGTTCACCAATGCCTAATGTACACGCCTTAATCAATTGCTGCCAATAGTCGCGCTACTATGCTATGATCCTATCTCTGTAAGCTCCTTGCTCAATTAAGGAGGTAGATGGAAATTATTCATGAGAACTAGGTTTATCACAATTCGTAAGCCCACGTCGCCTGATGTATGGAGAAGCCTGCACGTTAAAATACCCCAGTTTCCGTTCATACACCACCAATGTCCTTGATGGTGAGTTCTCTGCCCTTCCCGCCGTCGCCGCCTCTCACTAATGACCTGTTCTAGACGTGGGTCTTGCTCGTCTTCTAACGTATCTCGCCGCGTTATTGATGACTAACGATGTGATTTTACAACTAGCTGTGAGATCCATGTACCTGTATGGTTTATTTGGTGACACTGAGACACCGCAGGTACGCGATTATCCCAGTTCACGTCTTGGTCTAGTTTCGTCGTTTCTCTCGCATCTCATGGTATGTTCCCACTTTCTTCTGTTACTGTATCTAATCAGAAGTATGTTAAACTGTCTTACGTAGGAATCATGGTCATCCGGATCTATGCCATGTTCTTCAAGTCGAAAGTGATTTTCGTGCTTTTGCTACTCAGCTTCTTGGCTGTGTCTGTGTGCAACGTCGTTGGCCTGATTCCGACTAGTACAGGCAAAGATGGTGAGTGCTTCCTACCGCCATGGGGATATTTCCGTGCCAGGCGCTAATTTCAAGTAAAGCCACCACTGTCTATGCGGACGGCATATTTCTCTGTGGCTTGTCGAGTGATTGGAACTACGCATTGTTTGCGAGCATAACAAGGATACCGAGCATGACGTTCGCGTTCCTTCTCTTCGCTTTGGCTCTATTTGGGCTCTACAAGCATGCAATGGAGCGCAGGCTGATCCATGGAGGGTGGTCAGCTAACCTGTGGATGAAGCTGCTAATGACACAGAGCACCATATATTTTGCTGCGTATGTGTCCCAAATATACCAAACAACGGATTGACCTTACCTTTGAACTGGTAGATGTGTGGCATGCGATGCGATCGTCATCGCGTGTGCATGGACAGATAACGTGAGTTCTTCCCCAGTCCCCTTTTACACCGTCAACGATTGCTGAATTACACACAGCTCACGCTAATAGCGTTCGGAGCGTCTTTGACGACCCTCAACATATATCTATTGGCGCCGCGCCTCCTGATCAGCTTCCGTAGCTATCACTCGAGGCACTCGCGCATTGGATCTGCTAACAGCTCGCTGGGATTGAGTTCACGTTCATCGATCGATAGAGATATTCAGCTGCAGAGCTTCGGCAGAGACAGCAGGACCTCGTCAGTGTTGAAGCTGCCGATGGGGACTTGGGAGGCGATCACCGGGTGAGAGAGGGGTATTAGCGAAATTGTGTCAAACATACTTTCTGCGTAGGTCTAAGCTGCATGATATACTGTAAATTAGCCCGCTAAATATACCCTAGCACGTTGTGCGCATGTGGGACATCAACTCATGAAAGTGCGCTAGTACACGCGCTGAGTGTTCCGATCGTCACCCTTTCAAGGAACACAGCCCAAACTTTGAGTACATCGTTGGCTCGTATCATTTTGAAGGATAAGGAGCCGCATCGGTACGTTTTGAGTACCTCGTGTAAGTACCGCTGCAAGCTCTGGAGAGGTAGGAGAAGGTTTCCCAGCAGCGATATCATCCGAGTCCGAGGAGACCAACTTCAAGCTCAAGATGCCGCTGGGGTCGATTCCCACGGGTTACAGCCTCCCTAATTCCGAGAAACTCGGCCGGATTCAAGCGCAGGCTTTTCATAGACGTCGACCCCTGTTCACAATGCGTAGGCCCGGTAGGGAGAACCTTGTCTAACGGTCGATGAGCGCATGCTCCTTCAACTTGCTTTCTTGGGACGAGCACAGACCACCCCTCTGGTCATCGTAACATGACGGCCACATTCAAGCAAGACAAGGCGCCTCTGCCCATAATCGACTTTGCCAGCTTCAGCGTTAACGCGGGAGACTTTGAGCCAGTAAGCCTAACTACCCTAGTTGTACGCTTCACCCGGCTGGGATAAGAACTGTATAACTGATGCTGCATACTATACTTATCAACCCGGGTGCAGGAAACTCAACGGATCGCAGACACCTTCTATGCCGCGTGCAGGGATGTCGGATTCGCCTACCTCATCAACACTGGCATCGAGGACGAAGACGTGCAGAAGATGTTTGAGTGGGTGTGTATAGTGCCTATCATGTCACAAGGCTATACCTGCTAACCTTATGGGGTGCTCAACGTTGCTTAGTCTAAGAAGCTCTTCGCGCTACCGCTCGAAACCAAGATGAAGGCGAAGCACCCGCCCGAAGGTTGGAAGCACAGAGGGTACAGCACCGTTGGGATGGAAAAGGTCTCCGAGGTGAGCTGACTTTATAATCTTCCTCCGTATGTTTGCCATGCTCATCCCCATGCTAGTCCCTCACCCTGTCCCCCGACCGTATCTCGTCGCATGTCCCTACACACGACCTCAAAGAGTCCTTCGACATGGGCTCTGACGCCCCTACAGCACGCTTAGAGAACGTCTGGCTCCCCGAAGAAGATCTCCCCGGGTTCCGCTCCGCGTCATGCCACTTCCAGAGCCTCTGTCGCACCTTCCAGATGACAAAGCTCCTGCCTGCGCTCGCGATGGGTATCCCTGGTGTGAATGATAAGGCGTTTTTCGATGGGTTTCATAGGACAGAGGACAACCAACTGAGGTTGCTGAGGTACCCAGGTGGTGAGGCGGAGGTGTTTGGGAGGGAGGGACAGGACGGAAGGCGGTGTGGGGCGCATACGGTGTGTTTGTTCGACTCTCTCCTCTTCAGGGATAGGAAGTATTGACGGTCTGGCCACACATAAAGGACTTTGGAACATGTACGCTACTTTTCCAAGATGCCGTCGGCGGACTCGAGGTCGAGGATCCGCATTCACCCGGGACGTTTGTGCCTGTGCCGCCCGTACCTGGTGCAGTTGTGTTCAACGTTGGCGATTTACTCATGCGGTGGTCAAACGGTGCGCTTCTCTCAATGCTTTCCTATTCACGTCGCGGCCTTCCCTTATGACTCCTCTCGACCCGATAGATACACTTCGGTCGACGCTCCACCGCGTCGTCGCACCAAGCTCCGTAGTTGGCAAGGGTGGACGTGTACCAGAGCGGTACTCGATACCTTACGTGTGTTTTGCGTTCCTCCCATCTCGCATTTATAGCCCTGCTCACAGCGTATTCTTTTCGCTATTGCGAACTCGCAGTTCATGGGCCCAGACGCCAAAGCATTCGTCGAGTGTCTTCCCGGTTGTTCGGGCCCGGATCGGCCGGTGCGGTACGAGGGCGTCAGCGTAGAGAAGTACATCGACGACAGGTTGAACGCTACGTACTGAACGGCGAGGACGTCAAACGGCCAATGACAATGATGGCGCACGGGTGTTATGCTTTTGTTGTGATGATATATACCTGCTATAGTATGGTTAACGATGCTTACGCCAGCCCTTGTGTCTCTAGTAATCTGTGGATATTTGCTGTGACGAACGCAATCCAGTGCGAACCCCTATCTGATATGACTGTGCAATGCGACCAAGAGTCGCTGGGGACCTCTTTCATTCCAACCATGCCTTCGTCCTAAGCTCACTCCCGCTTTATGCTATAGGAATCTTACCAAATAAAGCACGATATGGTTCAGCTGCCTATTCTCTCTGCCCATGGCCTCCGTACTCAACAACCTCGACCGAAACGCGGACAATTAGGTGACTCTGACTACCTGAAGGACTCTTGCAACTCTCCCGTCAACGGATGCCTAGGCTCATCTATCTCGCGGAGCCTCTAACGGTAGTCGTTTTCCCTCCTGCTCGGGCATCTGCCCTTACGCTGGTGATATCGGGCCCGCGAGCTGGACTCCGCCAGCCTGCGGCCTGAGAACGCGTGCCCCTTCGAGTCGTTCGCGAGTAGCCGGGCGAGAGAACGACGCGTGGTCGCTGCATACTTCGCATATGGTGGCAATACCGTGTAGGGAGCTGGTCCACATTGGAGGAGAGGGATGTACGATATGTGATTTTTGGACATGATCGGAGAGGTCATCAGGGCGAAGCCAGCGCGTGCGTGACCTGTTCTACCACCCTCATGCTCACTGTTTTGGGGCTTATCTCTCCCGGGTAGTGGATACGTTGACGCTCGATGGCCTTGACAGAACTTAACCTTCTTCGCGATCCTTAATGAGTGATACGCCGTCTGCCGCGCGCTTACCGATGAGTCAAACTCAGTCTATCGGATACCCACCCCATCACTCCCTCGTACAGCAGTTCGTCTCTTTGTGCCAAGAACCTCACTATGTGCATGCATTGAGGGTGGAGGAACTTGAGTACATGACAACAGGGGCCTAGTATCGAGCCGATAAATTTTAGCGCCCGGAAGGCCCTCGGGTCCAGCTGGCCGAAGCATTCACGCGGTGCGTTAAAGTTTGAGCTCTATCTTTGGCATACAAGTATCACTGACGATATTAAATCCTCCAGCTGATTTGAGGGGTAGCCTCGGAAGCACTGTAGTTACGTCCTGGAGTCGGGGAGAAGGTCATCGGTGGCCTGTACATCCACATGCTGGTCTACGCGAATGGCAAGGAAAACATTTTGGTGCGTGCTCTCCCTTCATGGAATCACACTCGTAACTGAGCTGCATATATGTAGGGTCACGCGTTGGGCATGGATGGCGACGCAAGGGGACTGAAGCCCCGGTGCGAAGAACAAGGCGAGGAACGTGGTGTGAGGGTAATTCCACTACTATAATCAATGCTGTGCCCTAACAATCGAAGTCGTGGAAGGTATCAGAACTCTTCTTATCCCATAAAGCACTCATGTGGGATGCCTCGCGCTATCCGCCATCGCTATTCGCATTCCTGGCCAGCATGGAAACATATTATGCGTTTACCTCATAATAAGTGTGTCCCGTTTCCGCTTCAAACTGGCTTGTCCCTGATCAAGCTTACCACGTCCAACAGCGCCTCACCGTGCGATTTCAGGCTCCAATGGAAAGCGGGCTTGGGTAGATACTCATTCCAACACGTTCGCAACGTATCGTCTATCTTCTAGGCAGGGACAAAGATAACGCTCGCTACTCTTTCCTTGGTTGTCTGATCACGGAGCCATACCAGAGCAAACCATAGTGATTCTCTCCAAACTCACACACATTCGACAGCAGGACCAGTATATCTGAGTCTCGAACTAATCCTTTGAAGTAAGTACGACTCGCCAGGACTCAACACCACTTCTCTACGTCTCTTGCTGATAACCTCCGGCTTGTTTTAGGTGTGGCTCGAAACAGAAGCCACTTAATGCCGTGCGTGTTGGAAAGATTGTCCGCCCAGCGTCTTACTGCTCTAAATTAGAAGACGACGCCGAACTTTCCTTGCGAGGCGAGTGGTGCTTATGGGCGCTTGACCTTGTCCCTCATTTCGTGTCTTGTGCACGAGGATGCAGCATCAGATCATCATTCTGCGCAGCATGACCTTTGCACGATCCAATACTATTTTTACAGTCAACGCTGTGCTGCAATGCATTTCATCTGTCGCATTCTTCGTTTCCCCTGGGAGCCATGGTGTCCGTGCAACGTGAGCGACAAGCCCTTTCGGTAGACTGTGTGTGGCTCGACGGCTCTAAATCGACGTGCATGATTTTCTCGACCAAGGCTTGGTCTTGCCTGCGCAGTGAAATGATCATCCGTGAGCGTTTCGGTATCCGGTCATCCGACTCGAGCGCCCCTTCTGGAGGCTGGTGCTCGACAGATAGGTACACTGTATTCATTCAGCTCCACGATGTAAAACACCTTGCTTCTACGCGTGGACTACCAATCCTATTTTGGATGTCGGGGGTCAGCAAGCGATACCATTCGTTAATTGATTGGTCCTGATTCTAACTTTGGTCAGCTGGTGGAGTGAAACACAGAGGCCGGGTAGAGGGGCCGGATAGAAGCTTGATATTGACGAACGCTGTCGCTGATATTCCGCGCCAGACGTTCAGGACGGAAAGATACAGATTTTCGTCAAAATAAAGACGCCATTCTGTCTTTGTGAGACCCGAGGTGGTGCGGGCCTTGGCACTACCCTTCGTTGCGCACAGCATATCGTTAGGCTGCATGAATGCATACCGAAGTGTCCTACGTTCTGTATTTAGGCTACGGGCGTCACGTCTAAATGATACGTGCCGAAGGTCATTGTCGGCGTTCCAAGGTCCGAGGTGTATCACTGTGAGAGTGTATAGGGCTGAGTAGACGCGCTAACCCAACCTCTCTCTTTATCTCCCACCTCGATTCATCCCCGCGCGTTGCTGCCCTTAGTAGAGCATTCTTGTCACTCTCCTGAACGTCAGAGCCTACGAATTCACTATGTCAGGACCCGCTGAAGATGTTGACATCGACGACGTACGTGCAAGGTGCCCCGTGTTCCGAGTCCTAGTTATCGGAAGAGCAAACGCCGGCAAGACAACCATCTTGCAGAAGGTCTGCAATGTCGACGAGGATACGCAGCCGGTAGTCTTTGACGAAAAGGGTCGGAAGGTAAGTCTGGCACAAGTTTACTCATAACGTATTGCGGCGGCTCATCGCCAACAGATAAGCGGCATGTCAAAGAGTCTTCGAGTACGTGAACGTATACTCCCGCAAACTCTCATCTTTGTCTCATCTTGTACTAGGGAAGCATGAGCTATCTGTCGAACAAGATGAAAACCAATGATATTCTTCGACCGTCTCAGCAGGTGCGTCCAGCAACCTTTCTTTAGCTCGCTCCCTCAACATAATTCACGCTTGCTACGGTAGCGGGGTCGGCACGACATTTCTCACCAGGTCATGTATCCTGGCAGCCGCTTCGTGTTTCACGACTCCAGAGGTATCGAAAGCGGAGCCGATGACGAGATCAAAACCATTCGTAACTTCTTACGCGAACGGGCATCCAAAGTGTCTCTTGCTGAGCAGCTTCATGCTATTTGGTAACAGGCGGCAACATTCAACTCATCCTACCATGCTAACCTTCTCGTATCACTAGGTTCTGTGTTCCGATGGACAACAGACGCCCCTTTGTTTCTGCGGAGCTTTCGTTTTTTAACGAGGACACTGCCAAAGGTACGGTGTTCCCTGTATTTAAACCAAGCTAACAGCTACGGCAGTCCCGGTCGTGGTGGTGTTTACCAAATATGATGCACTACTTGACAGGGTGGCCAATGAACTAGGGCATACTGACATTAACAGCAAGAATACAGCTACCGCAGAGGCAAAGGCAGAGGCCATATATGAAGAGCAATATTACCAACGGGTTATGGGTACAGCACATCCACCAAAAACTGTTGTCCGACTTAAAAGTGGGTGATCACATTCTCTCTTACAGTAGGGATTTAACACTCATGGCTCAAAATGTGCAGAAATGCAAGACCCTGAGATAAAATGCCTTACACTATCTGAGGAGACAGCTAATGCAATTGACAACATTGCGTTGCAGCAGGTGTTTGTCTCTGTTCAGAAAAATAATTTTGATCTCTGCATGCATGAGGCTATAAGGTGAGTGCCTTGGTAGATTGTCCGAAAATCCGGATTTAGTGCTTGATATCACAGGTCATCAAAAAAACGCTTCGAGAATAGTAGTACAGTACAGGTATTACAAATCTGGCAATGGTTTCCCCACTACTGGGAGGTAATATTGATTCTCTATTGCTCTACTGGACATAGTTTAACTAACTATTGGCTTCTTGTCTATCAGTCTAGTGATTCTGTGAATGTAAGCTTTGATTATTAGTGGTTAAAATGCAATACTGATTTAGTTCAGATGAACAAGGTAATGGTACACTTGCGTGATTCTTGATAGGGGGCTGAAAGAAATTAGCCAGAAGATGTGAGTCAATGTCAGGAAAAACCAGACTATTGTGGACTATCACAACAGTGGATGCTTCAAGTACAGAAGGCAGCTAAGGTAAGCTTTGACAGTCATTCTGACTAACTCATGCTCATCTCTCTTTGCATCTTCAAGGAGGTAAGTTCTGGTAATCATTTTGAATGTTACTCATGCTCATCTCTCTTTGCATCTTCAAGGAGGTAAGTTCTGGTAATCATTCTGAATGTGGCTCATGCTCACTCCTCCTTTCATCTTCAAGAGAGTGAGTTCTGGTGGTCATTCTGGATGTGGCTCATGCTCACTCCTCCTTTCATCTTCAAGATAGTGAGTTCTGGTGATCATTCTGAATGTGGCTCATGCTCACTCCTCCTTTCATCTTCAAGAGAGTGAGTTCTGGTGATCATTCTGGATGTGGCTCATGCTCACTCCTCCTTTCATCTTCAAGGATGTAAGTGCTGGTGATCATTCTGGATGTGGCTCATGCTCACTCCTCCTTTCATCTTCAAGTTTGTAAGTTCTGGTGATCATTCTGGATGTGGCTCATGCTCACTCCTCCTTTCATCTTCAAGGAGGTAAGTTCTGGTGATCATTCTGGATGTAGCTCATGCTCACTCCTCTTTTCATCTTCAAGGATGTAAGTTCTGGTGGTCATTCTGGAGTGGCTCATGCTCATTCCTCCTTTCATCTTCAAGGGGGTAAGTTCTGACTGTAAACCTAGCTGCAGGGTTTACTATCTAAATTGATATATATTAGGCTGTGAGTTTTCAAATTTTCCAAGTTAGAGGCTTTACTAACAACATTTGGATAATTTAAGAAGGTTTGGCTTTTTACTGAGTTTTATTCTCACTGGTCATAATTAATCTTGAGCTTTACAGAAGGTAAGTGTTGATTACATCAGCTGTTCAGAGTATGATTCTCATCTCATGATGGATCCAGGTGACTGTACATTTTGAGACAGTGGTTTGTGATTAACACCTAGCTGCACTTTAGCTTGCTAAGGTAGGATGCAAACCAGTTATAACTCATGCACTAGTTCATCTTGTTTCATTCAGATGGTATGTTCCCTCTGAGCCTGTTTCAAGTATACATTCACATGGTTGGGGGTGGTGGTTATTCTGGTGTTGTAGTATGAACCATACAAGGTAAGTACCACCAGTGTATGGGTTTGAATGAGCACACCTTGATTATGCTTCAGGAAGAGGAGTTGACCCAAGTTCAGCTTATAACTGGTATTTTCCTCAAAGCACCTTTGATTAGTTGTTGACTTTGTTTTATAACAGCAGCTGCCATGATAGCTGTGTACTCCTTTGCCTATCACAAGGCACATGGTTATGGTGTGTGGAGCTGGTCTATTGGCCAGTACCAAAACACTCCCAATGTTCGAGAGTATATCAAGCACACCATTATGGAGGAATACAAGAAAGAAGCAGAGGAAGAAGCAAGAATTGAAGTCATTGTAAGGACTGCAAAGGCAGCGGCGGTGAGCATTAATTCATCACCTGTAATCAATGTCCTTGTCACTCAAACTGTCTCAGGAAATGCTGAAAGGGGTGTCCAACAATTAATACCACAACCGAGGATAACCTCGAGCAGAGTCAGGCCAAGAGTGGAGAGATTGTATGATTAGTGCCGAAAATGGGTGTAAACAAGTTTTGTCCGTGTCTCTTGTGTATGTACAATATCCGATGCTTCCGCTGAGCATCCGCAACTACCGCCGTCTTATGTGCCGTGAATTGTGATCGTCAAACAATGACTCTGAATCCAGTGGATAACGCGCTAAGTTTCTGTGCCCACCATCCTGGTACACCGAAGCGGGCACCGGCACGATACTACAAGCTCGAACGTGAATGGTACACGAATAAGGGGCTGAGAGCAGCGTACTGGGCAGCAGGCCGCGGGACGAGGGAAGCTCACCTGCGTAATATGACAGTACGCTGACATTATGATGAGGGTTGTAAATATCGATATGCGTGTACGTTAGTACGGTAAACAGTGACCGGCCTGAATACGCCTCTCCGCGTCATCTCCTGACCTCTAGAGTTCACATCCATCTCCGCACCATCTCAGGTTCACTTCCGTGGGCCAAACTCGAACCCGCAAACCCTAGCGCATCACGGAAGCGCCCAAAAACCTCACTAGTATTTGCGCACAACGGCGACGCAGCGCGAATATCGTTCGCTTCCGCAATCATCGACTCGAGGTGCTACAAGTCAGTCATCAGCATCTCCATAAACCACCCAGAAACGAAGGCCAACGTACTCTCATCCTCGTCTCGCTCGTCGGATGCGTCCTCAGAAACTCGAACCCTCCCGCGCCTCCAAGGTTCGCCTTCTCGTGCCTCCCCAGCCGCTCGTGCATCGCGACGGCCGCCTCGCCGGGGTAGCACGCCTTCGCGGCGAGCCGCACGCCGATCGTGTCGGCCTCTGTCTCCTGAGCGCGTGAATTGGGCAACTCGAGGAGGAGGGTTGTCAGGAGGTTGGAGATGCCAAGGTCCACGCCGAGGGTTTGGAGGGCGAAGGCGAAGAATATGAGGACTTTGGAGGAGGAGTAGCGTTCGGGGCCGTGCCGGGCTACTTCGTGGCCGATCTCTGTGGATGACGTGAGTAAGCGGGGAGAGGACGGGGAGGTGAGAAAGCGTACCGTGTCCGAGTACGGCGGCGAGGCCCTGCTCGTCTTTGCATATCGGAAGGATACCGGTGAAGACGACAATGTTACCTGTTAGGATGCATGAGCAATACCATTCGATCGGGCGTACATCCACCTCCCGACACCAGGGCCGAGAAGGGGGAAACGAGCAAACACTCACCGAACGTGACCATAGCGTTAACGACGTTCCGATCGTTCACCACAATTAAGTTCCACTTCTTATTCCTACCCGCACCTCCCGGCCCCTTTCCACCGGCAAATCCATCATCGCCAGTATGACCAGAACTCCACACGCCTTCTCCACCCTGCCCGAACCCTCCTTCCGCCCCAGCACCGTAGTTCCCTCTTTCGTCGTTTTGGCCTCCCCCGAATATCCTGCCAAAGGGTGACGAAGAAGTGCCGGTGCCAGCAGCCGAGTCATGCTCGAGCGTGCCAAGGCCGTTAGCTTCGAGGATGGCGGACGCGACACGGTGCACGTGTCGCGTGATGGGGTGATTTGGTGGGAGTGTCTTGTTATGGAACTCTGCGAGGAGCTGTGCACGGGCTTCTTTGGCGAGCTATACATGTGCGAGGGGTACACGAGTGAGACTTGGGGCTAATGTATGAGAACTTGATCAAGACGTGCCTTAGCTTCGTACTTTGGTGATATGTCCATAAACCGCCAGCGGCCTGTTTCTGGGACCTGCTCTAGACTGACGTACAAGTCAGTTTAGCACGCATATACCCTGAACATGAACCGAGTAAAACGTACTGAACGACGTAGTAAGCCACACCTCCGGCAGCGACATACAGCACCACTTTCGTTCGCGTGTCCAGCTTGCCATTCGGATCCTTACGTCCAAAGTTCCAGCCGGAGCCGCCGCGCTTGGGCGTAGGGTCGCCGAACCGGACATAGTACTGTTGACGTCGAGGTGATGATGTCGATATCCGGCGTACGTACAGTGTCGATGATGCCGTATGAGTTGGAGGAAGTGTCGAAAGTAAGGGCAGCGATCGTGAAGGTAGCGTCGGCGTCGACGGTGCAGGCAATCGTGATGATATGCCTAGGAGTGGGCTGCCACGAGGTAGGCTTCGAGCAGCGGCTGTACGTATGAGAATGCGAGGGAGCATTGGGATTGGTCTTAGCGGCCACTGAGCCCAAGATGTCGAGGTTAGGGAGGATAGAAAGACGAGTTGAAGTGGTGAAGATCTGACATGACGCGGACGAACGGCGTAGGTTGTGCCGCACGGATGACGCGGAGGACGATCGTGGGAATCTTTCTGTCGGTTCTCGGTTTGTGTTTCCCTCATGTCTTTGTTCGCTCACCATTGCATCGACACCTGTTCCACTCACGTCTTCTCTGAGACATCACGTTTCGAAGCAGTGTATCGCGCTGATTTGAAGTGTGATGTATCAGAGAATCCATTTATACCTAAGATAGCCTGTACCGATGCCCGACATCAGCCATGACTTCAAGTACGTTGACAAGGCCGCGTTTGCATTCCTACAACCCTCAACAGTATCTTTCGTTGTGATATTTGGTACGGCACTCGGTGACTTTGTGGGTGTATCAGACTCATATAGCTCTCGGTCAGACATCAGTTCATTCCCCGACCATGATCATCTACCCTCATCTGCCCCATGTCTGCAGTCCGAGTCGGCCTCTGCAGGCCTCTGCTTTGGGTAAACTGAGGTAAACTGGCTGACGTTGCATCACTAATACACCCTCGGCAAGCACCGAACGGTGCCTTTCCTCGCCATCTCCTCCCTATAATTAAGAGGGGAACAACAGTGAACTTGACGAACATATTGCCGCCTTTCCCATTCACCTTTCTCACAAACGCGGGTTAAACATGTCACATCAACAGTTGACATTCTATGGATATAAGGTCGGATCGCCCTCATGCTCTTTCCCTGATGCTAAGATCATCCGCAACAGACGAGCGCCAATGCCCTAAGGGTAGGTGGACGTCGTAATGAGTATTTGAGCACTGCGTGATCAGCGCTCCTTCTTTTGGTCCCTAGGTCGCGATCGCTCTCACCCACGCTCGAGCCCAGTACACATACCACGACATCAATCTAACGAACAAGCCCGAGTGGTTCACCGCTAAGGTCAACCCGGCCGGGAAGGTACGTCTCCCGCATCACCCAAACCGCATGTCATTGTCACCTGCCGCTGGGTGCGAAATGATAAGCGCTGAACGATCAAACCCCAGATCCCAGCCATCACGATCGGCGGCCCGCCCGTACCCGCAGACCAGCCCTCGCCAGACTCGACGAAGCTCGCGGAGTCCCTTGTCCTCCTCGAGCTCATCGCGGATCTGTACCCCTCCTCGGGGCTCATGCCTTCGGACCCCGTCCAGCGCGCCAAAGTCCGGTTCTTCGTGCAGGCCCAGGCGGAGCTGTTCTCGAGCAGATACGTCGCCTGGTTCATTCAGGGAAAGAAAGACGGCTGGAAAGACCTGCTCGATGGAGCTAGAGCTCTGCAGGGGCTCCTGCCTGAGAGCGGGGAGGGGTATGCAGTGGGTGATGAGCTGACGATCGCGGACTGTGCGTTGGCGCCGTTCTGGGCGAGGACGAAGGTGTGCTATGAGCGCGGAATCGGGATGTTCGACCCGGAGGAGGCGAAGTTGCTGAAGGATGCGATGGATGCTCCAGAGATGGCGAGGTTCAGGGCATACACGGAGAGGCTGATGGCGCATCCGAGTGTACAAGAAAACTGGGACGAGGTGAGTGTCATAGACTCGTGTAGGGCGATGCAGCGTTTGGTCTCATGAGCTATGACTAGGCAGGGGCCGTGGAACGCTCTCAGTGGATCGTTTCGTTTTTCAAGCATAGGATCGCGTCAAAGCAGTGAAGATATCAATCTCGCGTTCGTCTGCTCTCGAAATACACGTCATCCTTGTAAAACTGTGATTATCGGAGTAGAATCATCTTCACCTTGATGCTGTACGTACTTCATCTGAGGATACACTTCCCAACACGTTGTCGATTTGTTCTTTCCTGCATTGTGTTTCGTCTTCGTACAACTGGATCTTCTTCGGCAGCCTCGGGGACGCTGCAGATCTCGGGCTATTCGCGTTGAGTTTCCCCAAATATTGGAAGCCAGCACACGCATACAAGTCCATCTCAATCAATTAGGAGGCAAGTGCTCCGACATCGTAAGCGAGACATGGTGACGAGCTTAAAGATGTACTCGGTACAGTGTCTCCAAAAGTGTCTCGCCATATGAATCCACCTGAACCCTTACTCTTGGTCTAGGAACTGTGTCATTAGACATCAGCAAGAGTGCCGTTTCGTCCACATCGACGGTCTCGTCGCCTTTGTTTCTCACTACCATAAGGCTGAAGGCGCAAACATTAATATTTAGTCTGGGCAGTGAAACACCACGTTTCATGGCGCGTATGTCAGCTTCGACGAGTATACAGTAAGTAGAGCGCCGAATCCGTTCAATGAGCATAGTCACTGACTATAGTTTTGCAGACCGTCCTGAAGGTAGGCCTGTGTCCCGATTCATACGTTGTCCCTGAGATATGGTATCTGCGAGCTCTATTTATGTAGTGCGTCATAACTCTGAAACAGTCATTGCTTTTTCCCAGACTGGTCATCCGTCCCATGCCTGCGCTCGGCCTCGGCGTTGCATCAGTAATACACCTTCGGCAAATATTTGCAAACACCGCACCGTGTCTTTAAGACTCTTTCTGAGGCGGTGTTTGCGGTTTCGTCAAGAGACATTAGGTGGTCCCTCGAGCTCAGATGTAAGTTGTCTGATCCTCGCCATGGCTGACAGGGTCTCACGAATGCGCACCAAGCATGTCTAATCTACAGCTGACTTTTTACGGATACAAGGTCGGTTTCTCTGCACATCTTCCTTACCCAAAGCTGAGACGATGTGCAACTTTAGACGAGCGCTCATGCCCTGAGGGTGAGCGAGCGTCACGATTAGTCATGTGAGCTCTGCGTTGACCACTTTTATATGTCATAGGTTGCAATCGCTCTCACGCATGCTCAAGCCCAGTACACGTACCAGGACATCGACCTCATTAACCAGCCTGAGTGGTTCGCCGCTAAGATCAATCCCGCAGGAAAGGCATGTCCTCCGTCACCCAGAAACCATGTCATCATCACCTGCATCATCTTCCACGGGCGCTAAGAACTGAACAATTGCACCCGAGGTCCCCGCCATCACAATAGGCGGCCCGCCCGTCCCCCCGGACGAGCCCTCCCCAGAATCGACGAAGCTCGCCGAGTCTATCGTCATCCTCGAGCTCATCGCGGATCTGTACCCGTCATCGGGGCTCATGCCCGCCGATCCCATTCAGCGTGCCAAAGTCCGTTTTTTTACGCAGATGCAGGCTGACCTGTTCTCGAGCAAATACGTCGCCTGGTTCATGTTCGGGAAGAAAGACGGCTGGAAGGATATGGTCGAAGGCGCTAGGAATCTGCAGGCGCTCTTGCCCGAGAGCGGGGATGGCTATGCGGTCGGAAACGAGTTGACGATCGCGGATTGTGCGCTCGCGCCATTCTGGGGGAGGACCAGAGTGTGTTTTGAGCAGGGCATCGGGAGAATTGACCCGGAGGAGGCGAAACTCCTAAAGGAGGCGATGGATGCTCCGGAGATGGAGAAGTTCAGGGCATACGCGGATCGGTTGATGGCGCATCCGAGCGTGAAGGAAAACTGGGACGATGTGAGTGTCATAGACTCGTGCAGGGCGCATGCTGCGTTTAGTCTCATGACTAGTCACCAGGAAGGAGCTGTCGAACGTTCGAAGACCATCGTCGCTACGTTAAACAGAAGGTTCGGTTCGAAGCGGTGAATGCTCCAATCGCAGGTTCGTCTACTCCGGAATCCTTGTCATCGGATCACAGCTTTAATTATCGCTGTAGACGCAGCTCCTTCTCGATATTGTTGTACGTACACATCCCTAAATGTGTTCTTGCGCCACCATTTGCTGTAAACTTACTTCGATTACACACAATCGGACCTTCGACAGCTTTGGAGATACCGCGCTACGACTCCACGACTATACCCGACCCCCTCTTATGGGTTTCAAGTCTCAGCATAGTTCGATGAGACATCCTTCACTAATCACATATGCAACATCATCATAAGCGAGACATGACTATGAGCTTCGAGGTCGTACCTAGTGAGGTCCGAAGGGTCTTCAGGAGCATCTTACCATAGGTATTAACCCAAATGGTTATTCGGGTTCCAAAACCAGTGCTATCATAAGACAGCACGAACAGTGCACCATCCGCACTGACGTCGACGTCTCATGCGAGGTTCAAACGGCACAAATAGTACAGACAAGACACGCCGAGCTACGCTCCGGCACTCTCTATCGAACTTAACAATGGGCTCTCACATTGCTACGGTATATCAGAATTTGCCCGAGGGCTTAGCTGAGGACACAAAAGTACGATAGATAAATGTATGTATAACCAACAAAGTATTAGTACATACTATAGTGTCATACGCGTTCGGCATTTGTTCGGGATGAGCATCGCACGCCAAGCACCACGGGCAAACTGCTGTTTTTTGCTGGAGGAAAAAGAGAGAAAATGCGTGGAGGTGAAAACCCCCTTCGCCGAGTTTTCACCGCGAGAAAAGTCAAAGGAAAGATAACCATTGCACCCGAGAGAGCGCCTTTTCCGGGCGAGAAAAGGTTAACAATTGCCAGAGTCGGCAATACTTACCAAATCAGGCATCCATAATTGGACATTTAACCTTTTCTCACCCAGAAAAGGCGCTCTCTAGGGTTCAATGATAATCTTTCCATTGAAATTTCTCGCGGTGAAAACTCAGCGAAAAAGGTTTTCACCTTTCTCTCTTTTTTATCCGCCCAAAAATGGCAGTTTGCCCGTAGTGAAGGTTAAAAAGGAAAACCCCATCATATCAAAACGTCAAACAAAGGTCAACAAAAGCCTACCATAATTTTGAAGATACGAGTTATTTGATCTGTGCAGTGGGGCAGGTACCGCTTTTTATGTCACGTTCTAGTGGATATTAAATGATGTCAACGTCGACGGCGCAAATAGAGCACCGAATGTCGGGGATGATGTTGATGAAAACCTCCCGAGATCAACAAGCCAACGAGAAGGGCTGCCTTTCGTGTAAAGTTTGGATCTGTTTGCAGAACGTGTTAGACGCCCCACGTTTTCCATATCTGTCCAAACCCTTGTCCGACTCCAATCAGGTGATCCTACGGCAGTCCCTCGCCGTTTGCATTGCCACAAGAAGACCAGAAAAAATCTTAACTGTAACTGAATGCTTCGGTGATAAGTTTTACATAAGAGTTTATCGGACATGGTCAATGATTGTAACTCCACAGGCGGTGCCGAACTAGGGAGTGTCCGGAATAGATGTAATGCTCAACAAACTACGATCAGTGCTTCCACAACATTTGAGCGACAGGATCACGCAACAACAGGTCGCGTGCCCCGCAGTCATTGTTAGAGCGCTGTTGTTAATGATTACACGCAAGTGTGTATTCTTGGTATCTCATGTACAACAACATCGTTCGCTCCGCCAACGTTATATTCTTCTATATGTGAGTACCCAAAAATGATCTCCATCAGGAGGGCCTCTTCCACCTTTTGCATCTAGAGCTTAAAACAATATACCGACAGCTCTGTGGGCTCTGAAGGCTTGACATTGAAACGGGAACGGCGAAATGATCCGTATCACAGACGGATTTACAACGAACGTTCTGTACTCCCATCCACCTTTGTTTCTTGACACCGGTCATTCGTGCATCCCGAGTCATACCTGTGCTTTATGCTGGATTGATGCACTTACGGGAGGCGAACTAGCGGTTTTCATTCAATACACACTCTCTCGGAATGTCTGATATCCGGTATTACTACCGTAAGAGGAGACGAGCGTTGGAGACTCGCGGCCACGTCGAGCGTATAAAAGGGAAAGACGTCAAACGGTGAGTCTTCAGTTTGAGCACCTTCGTCCCCCGACCAAGCACATTCCACATCCACTCAGTTTATCATGCCAGCGATTATTCAAGCTGAACCTACTCCCGTCAACGGACTGAAGGTAGGCTCTGCGCATATTTTCCTCCGCTTATTCTGACTAACTACCTGACACTTGTACCGCTCCTTTCATTGTAATTCAAAGCCCAAGTGAGTGCTACTTTTCTTACCGAAAGCCATTCCAGCTAAACCACAAAAAGCGGTGCTCCCGCAGTCTCGAGCAACGGCCGTCCAGGTCCTTACATCCCTAAAGACAACAAACAACGCATGGTCATTGCAAATGCCGAGGTAACCCTCGAGATAGACTTTGACGTTGCCACGTTTCGCGTTCATGTACCCAGCATCAATGTCATCACTTCCTCCGAAGTTCGGGTTCACGGTTACGGCGGCCCGGCCGGCCAAGGATTCCTCAACGGGGTCTTCTACCTGAAGGCAGGCTTAACGGCAGACCAGTTCATTTCAAAGGCGAACGGCGCCGAGCTTTCAGTTATCGGCGTCGATGAGGAAGGTCAAGGAGCGTTCAAGGAGGCGACTATCGTCTTCTTCGAGACTACACCCACAGTTATTGAGAATCCAAAACTCAGCACATTTCTCGGCAAGTTTGTCGCAACCCACTCCGATACGCCCGTAGGATCTTTCAAGGGTCTAACCAACTGGGTTGAATGGGAAGGTACGCGTTTACGTCGTTCGCCTTCACTCGTATACTGGTCATTCCCTGATCTTCCCTCGCTCAAATACTGACAAAGTCTCAGGAACTGTGCATACACAATATGCAGCATCGTATTCTCCAGGCGAACATGAATACTTGGTCAAACTTCAGAAAGGTGCGTTTGGAGCTATGGTTTCATGTCATGTCTACCTTACATACCATCCATAATCAGGAAACACTGGAGGGATAGTGACCCCAATTCCATCCGCGACGTACACCATCGAGAAGGATAACTCGTCTCACTCCATTTTCATCCAATCTTCCGAGCGCGCTGATGGCACGCCTGAGCCTGTCGATGGTCCTCGCAAGAAGATACCGTCACAGGACGAGGCTGAAGTGCAAGGGCTCATCGATGAGCTAAAGGCCATTCTCGGTAAAATTCCTGGACTTGACCAGATGCATCTCACGAGCAAGGATATCTATGGTACCGATATGAGCGTCACGTTTGATAGCGACAAGTTTAAGTGGTCTAACGTCGCGTCTGGTGGATGGCCCAACGAGAGTGAGATAACCCCGACGGAGGAGGACAAGAAGCAGTTTGAGTACGTAGCGGGTATTGTTAAGGGGATCTTCGACAAGTGGTATTAACGGCCAAAGTCAACATACCGCACATTCAGTATATTTGGATAATTACATTGTATATGACAATCTACCACACACATGCGTCTTTCCCAGCAATTTATATCAATTGATATAACCTGAGGCATATCCATAATTGGGTCATTGGCGCCTATAAATTGATAAAGACTCGCGTTATAGGATCGTCGCCTTCTTGAGATTCATAAACATCGATCAATGTCTAGATCAGATCGCGATCTCCAAGAAGTGTAGGAACGGTTGTAACCTATGGGCCGCGCTTTTTCAGAGACAATAAACACAGGAAGTTTGATCGTTATACAACCACAGACCTCATGGCCGACGAAGCGTGGTATAGAAATGGACATATTCGCCACTCGTAGGCGGGTAGGCATTGGGTCAATGAGCTGTCCTCCCCGGCGACGATTTGCGAAAGGCCGCCTCCGTGTTACATAGACAACGTCATTACTTAGTATACTCAAGTAAGATGGTATGTTAAGATATAATAGAGGCTCGACAAACCTTCCTGAGACTCTTGGATGCAAATAGCAAGGCAAATAGCGACATTGGTGAGGTTGAACGATGAAATTGGTGGGTGTGGAACATCCGTGTGAAATAAGCCAAAATGTTCCCACCCATTTTCGCGGGACCATCATGCATATAGCCATGGTTCTCGAAGCCCTCTTAGCACGTACCTCGAGTCTGTGGCTCGCGGGCTCACCAGCTCCTACCATAGACCCTCCAACTTCCCTTTACCTTTCTCCCCGCTTTATTGTCAAGTCTGCTTATCGTCGCACCTTGGCCGCAACTACCAGTGAGCACTCAGGACATGACCCCGCTCCATTCGTCATAGATGGTGTACTATGAGATAGATCAGTAAAGCATGGGCAGGGAATTTCTGTGGTAATTGGCAAGTTTCATACTATATACGTCGCTTGCTGCGCCGGGGGTCTTTGTCGGTTATGTTCTCGTGGCCTCCTTTTCGACAGAGATTAACTGACGAGAAGAACCCGCGTAGATCACGTTACTCGCCATCGACGAGAATTTCCGCACCAACAAACAGGCAATCTCGATGACTCCTTTTGCTCCTTGGGAGCGCTGCTCTTTACTTATTTTCGACCCTTACCGCTGCGGGTGAGGCGTAGTTGCTCGCTCCTCACTCAAGACATTGGATGGTGATGCGTCAACTAATAATAGACGAACTTGGGAGTATATAGGTCTCCGCAACGCTCAGCCTGTGGCGTTGCGAAACAACGCCCGTCTCCTCTTTGAGTTCGACCATGGAAGTTGCACAATCCAACTTTGACTGGCTTCGATCTCTTGTTACCTCCATCGACGACCCAACCATTCGCCTCATCGTCGCTGGAGGCTCGGTTCTCCTCTTGGGCAGCGTCATCTCTGCCGTCCGCACTCGAGGTAACATCACTCGCCTCCGCGGACCGCCCTCGGAATCGATCATATGGGGCGTCGCGCAAAAGGTCCCTCTCACCGAACAGTCGGCTGTGCAATATACGGCCTGGGAGGCAGAGTACGGTCCTGGCGTCTATCGCATTCCCTTCATTTTCGGCAAGGAGAAGATTATCCTGTTTGACGCGCGAGCGGTAGCACACTTATTCGCCATGGACAATACGGTGTATACCAAGACAGAACAACAGCGCAGCCTTATACGGAATTTGGCTGGGGAGGGGATTTTGTGGGCGGAGGGAGACGTGCACCGAAGGTGAGCTATTTCTATCCGATATGTAGCGGTGAGCGACGAGTAAACAAGACTAACGTATACGGCGTTTTCAGGCAGAGGAAGGTGCTCAGTCCCGCTTTTACCAACGCTGCTATTCGTGCCCTCAACCCGGTATTCTACACATGCTCTTACAAGGTATTGTAAAACTCCAGTTTGATGATGATCCAGCTGGCTCATCTTCATGGAGTGCAAGAATACATGGGACTCCCTCACCGAAAAAGGTGGAGCAATGATTGCGGTCCAAGATTGGTGCGCTTCCTAAGAATGGTTCACCTTGACGTCTGGCATACTGACCATGTTCTTGTACAGGATGAACAACATTACGTACGTATTGGCGATTTGAAATTCATCATTGACTTCGCCATCTGATATGCATGCAGTATCGACATTATAGGCCTGGCTGGTTTCTCACACGATTTCCGCACTCTCGACGGGGACCGCGCCGCCGCAGTGGACGCGTTCGACTCCACTGGCGCGTCCGCCCCGTCATCCGTTAGGAACATGCTTCCATTGCTTCTTCTCGTTTTCCCGTGGCTAGAGAAGCTGCCTAGTCCGACGAAGAAGCGCATGAATGAGTTCAACAATACTTTGAATGAGCTCTCGGACAAGATTTGGTCAAAGCTGAAAGGTGAGGGAGCCGGAGACGTCGCAGAAAAGTCCATTGTCGGGAGGTTGCGTGAGTACTACTACGGCTGCCTGAAATGCATTTCTTAGCTCACCCAAATATCGAACAGTACGGGCTGAATCGTCTGACAAGAGCTTACACCTTTCTAAACAAGAGGTGATCGACGAGGCGAGTCACTCGCTGCCTCGAAGAGACCTGGTGCTTATGCTAATTTTCCCAAAGATCAAAGTGCTCATCATCGCTGGCTATGTCACCACATCCAGTACGATAAAACCCCATTTCCTACACCATGCAACGCACGTAGCCTGACCGTCTCTTCTTTACAGCTAGTCTCACGTGGGCGCTCATCGAGCTAGCGAAGAACCCGGACGCTCAAGCTAAGTTACGGGCTGAGCTTAACCAGTACGGGGACGAATATCCGTCTTATGATGACCTAGTGGGTGACAAGCTGCCATATCTCGACGCCGTAACGCATGAGACCCTGCGTCTGCATCCATCTGTGCCCGAGCTTACACGCATTGTACGTCCCTTCCCTACACAGCGTTATTGGTGCTCACTCTCGAAACGGGATCAAGGCCGGCACCGATGATATTATCCCGCTCTCAGCCCCGATCACGGATGCGTACGGGCGCACCGTTGACCGAATCTCTGTCGCGAAAGGTACACTCGTCGGCTGTCCCATCGCCGCCATCAATCGCTCGCCCACATTTTGGGGCGCCGATGCACTCGAGTTCCGCCCCGAGAGGTGGTTCGAAGGCGTCGAGAAGACCACGGCGAAGGACCTCACGGGGCACCGACATCTTCTCACGTTCGCCAGCGGACCCAGGACATGCATAGGCAAGGGATTTGCGATTGCTGAGTTCAAGGCATGCTGGTTTTTCATTCTTTCCCAGCTAAGCTAATCCCGCGCTATGTTGCACAGACTGTGATCTCTGTTCTGGTTAGGAGCTTCTCGTTCGATATCGAGGGTGGCAGGAGCCACAAGGTCACGATCACGCGTGGCTCCAGCCTCCCTGGAAGGAAGATCCTCGGCAACGATGGGAAGCAGCTCGCATTGAAGGTTTCTCGAGTGACCTGATAAAATAGCTTCTACTTGTCGAATTTTTCCAACATTTGGTAATTATAAAGGCTGTCGAACTCTGACAATGACATGTCCAATTTATGCATCAATGCGAGCATTCCGCTGGCACCATTCCCCGAACGTTGCATGGTTAATGTACGTTTGAAAAGTTCAGAAAAAGTTTCGGATACGGGGAGTCGAACCCCGAGCTGCCGCGTGAGAGGCGGCAATGTTAGCCGTTACACCATATCCGATTATATCGGAGTTCCCTCAGCAAAAATATCACGTTCGAATCCTCCCTTTTCCTCCGTCAAGCCCACAGACCTTTAGGCCCAACTCGAGATCAGTTCCTCTCAGCCTTTTCGTCATTTCATGGCGCGTATCACTGATTGTGATTCTTATGTCAAGTGGCCACAGCTCGGTGCTCAGTCAGACGTCAACCAAAATGCAGTAGAGTTGAGAATAAGTACACTGTACTGTAACCGCTAGTACTGGGAAGGATTTGGAGCAAGTGTTTGGTCTGTTCGCGAGTAGATCTTACACTATTTCATCATGATAATGGACATCTACAACCTTAATACTGTACATATGTACGCTCCAAAGAACCCCAACGATAAACGAGATACCCTCCACAGAGCATCTAGTCACGCTTTCGTATCCATCTTCCCATTTCCGCGCACAACACTCGGCGCCGACACAACCTGTCCTCTCCCTTGACCGCGACCTTCCTCTCGCCGGCGGGAAAGCCACGAGAAAACGGTGATCGTCGACATTGAGAGTATCGTCCACGCGATGAGCACCCCCGCGTTGGTACCGAGTTGAGAGAAGGCGTTGAACGAGATCGTACGGATTGCAGACGAACTGGAAGTAAATTCCAGAAAGCACATCAGTGAGTGAATCGGCAAGATGAACATTACCATATGATACGCACAGATTCCTGCGACGTGAGAGAGCCGTCAGCTAACACTCAGAGACAATCGAATAACAAGGAGAAACAAGGAGACACGTACCACATCGGAAAGGCGACACTGTACTTGTACAGTGACGGCTGGAGCTCGTCGGGCAAAGCCGCAGCTGAGAGGTTCACGATGATCTGGAAGGGGAAAATCGATTGTGTTCAGGAGACGTCGCCGAACCAAGGCATATCAGAAGACGTACGAGCAAGAACAAGAAAAACGGCAAGAACCGCGGCGTCAGGACCGTGACCATAGCTTCGAGCGCAAGGCCGAGAGCACAGAGTCCGAGCCAGACGTAGACCCAGAACAGCACGAAACCGACGCCTTGCCCATATCTATCCCGTGTTTGTGTCAGTCAGCTCAGAAAGAAATGATGTAGAGGCTCATATACGCACTTTGCGTCAAAAGGCAGTCCAAATGCGAGGCTGACGAGTGAGTAGGTCAGCGCGAGCGGGACGTATGCGGCCGTGGGCACGACAAGGCGGAGCACGGTGTAGGAGCGGAACTTGAGACGCGGGGCGATATGCGCACGGGCGGTCGCGTTGGCCATTGTCTGCCAGAAGAAGAAAAACTAAGATGAGGAGGGATATCGAGAAGATAACGGGGGGAACGTACGATGATAGACGTGAATATAGCGAGGAAGATTTGTCCGACGAGTATTACGGCGGTTGCAACCGGTGCACTGAGCGCGACCGCGTTAGCATCAGATATGATTCTATGAAGAAAGGGCATCGCAGAACTCACGTCAGCGGACGCAGGTTGATCTGACTAAACGCAACCCCAGGAACAAGCGTTTGTGGGGCCCGCGCGAGCATCTGAAGTGCAGTTGTGTTAGGTCGGCCCTGCGCGTATACACGCATAAGGTAGTCCTGCGCGGACGTTGTTGCGTAGGCGCCCGTCGCGGCGGATAGGGCAGAGGTGAGGGAGGGAAGGAGGTACGTGCCAATCGCGATCTCTTGCCGTGCCTGTTGGAGACCCATCGTTCAATACTGGATGGTAGCAGTGAGACTTTGAACTCGTGAACACATACTTGAGCATAATACATTGTTACAAGCCCACGCGGGTCAAACGTGCTATCTCCCGTTTCGCGTGCCGCTGCAAGGCGGCTCGTCGCATTGGACGCGACTGAGTGTACGACCTCGTGAGTTCATGTTCTACATCGAATGCGCATCAAACTTCTGACTCACCAACCACTGCTGCCCATATCTCGTTATTTAACACTGCACCCGTCACCACCGCGTTGCCTTCTTCCCCAGACAGAACCGCATCACCCTCAGAGAGACGCTGCCAGCCGAGCGGAAGCCCCGTATTGTTTGGACCGGATACCGCTGTCCAGAGCGAACGCCCAAGCTGTGAGTCATCCCGGTCGACAAACCACACTGCGAGGTTCTTGGTTCGTTGAGTGGGATAAGCAAGCGCGCCCCAATAGCTAAAGGAACGAACGAGAAGTGGGAAATAGAGAAAGGAAGTGCGGTTCGGTGAGTTCGTTGACAAATAAATCTAGAAACTAAGAGGAACATACATAGGCAAGCATATCCACATGAGCAGAAGGGTGAGCACAAGCGCCCGGAGGACAACCTTGAAGTACGCTCTGCGAGGCGCAGCTAGCTCTTGTGCGAAAACTTGCAAAGAGCAGCGAAGTGGACTGTGAGCAAGGAAGAGAATCAAGCCAGATCAGATCTCGCTCACAGCCGTATCTTTGCTACCAGTTGGGGCTCGGTATGAGAAGACACCTTCGGTGTCGCTTTCTCCTCGTCATGCCCTGCATCCTGGTTGACCATTTCCAGTGACATGAGCGCAAGCTCTGAAACAGCCAGGTAAGAGGGCCTGTCGGAGGTGGTGGACGAACGGAGATGGATGGAACAATGCTGGCCATAAGAATTGAGACGACCATGTATGCAGGCACGAGCGCCTAGTACACAGTGTCCGCGATGGACTATACATGGTTGAAGGATTGCGCTGAGACGAGACGCGTCGTGCGACTCGTGGCCCAGCAGCTGCCACGGTATGAGGATGAGAAGCCGATGGCTCATACGCGTTCGTGGCACAGGTTGAACAAAACAAACACACACTTCATTACGAAAATTAAAATGGATTCGGATACGGGGAGTCGAACCCCGAGCTGCCGCGTGAGAGGCGGCAATGTTAGCCGTTACACCATATCCGATATACAATGCGGCCGAGACATTGCATTTGAGATCTGTTGCTTTGTACATACGACCTTGATGACCGCCGTCCTCGACTGTCCACTACCGTCCACCATCAAGAAGCTTCAATACACAATTATTAGTGCCTCAGGCTGAAGTGCTATGAACTATTTGTGAAGGATGCTCGCTGGGTATGCAGAAATGACAGTAGCAGGAAGATGAGGGACGTGTACCAATTGAGCAGGAAGCGATAAGCCAGTGGGTTTATACATTCTCCCTCCACGCATATTCCATAATCTCTGCTATCTTCAATGCCGTATCCCGCCCATACCGCTCACTTGCGATGAACAGCGCCGCATCAATCCCACAGCTCACCCCGCCCGCGCTGATCACCCTCACACCATGCGCGTTCCTCCCAGCATCCACCCATCTCACTCTCCGTTCTTTGCCCTCCACAGGTCCCACAACCGTCGCGCCCTTCGCCGTCCCCGGATTCCTCCCCTTGTACCCCGCGACAATCCCCTCCAGCAAACTATATGCACTGAAATGCGTCGTGACCTTGAGCCCGTCGAATAGCCCCCGATACGCAAGCTTCAACGAGCCAGTGCATACACTCAGCATCACCCTCTCCGTCCCGTCCTCCATCGGCCCGAGCCTGCAGAACGCCTCCGCGATACCCAGCAGTCCATCAAAGTGCGTTTCCCCCTCCTTGAGATACGGCATGATGTGCTCGGTACCCGCGCCGGGCACGAGCAGGACGGCGAACGAGTTGATCGTGGCGAGCGCATCGGCGTGTGAGATGTTCCGCTGCAGCGCGTAGCCCTCGCCTGCGCGCGTAAGCTCGTCTGCAGCGGCGATAGTAATGCTGAACGGGAATTTGCCACCAGGGTATCCAGAGCTGCCGAGCACCTCGATCGGGCCGTTGAGGTCGAGGGTGTCGAAGTTGGGGAAGGGGAGGCAGAGGACGCGGAGCTTGTTTTGTGAGGACATGGCCGCCACTGGTGTTACGAGGATAGATGTTTTAGATGGACACGAGACGGCAAGTCCTCGTAAGAAATCGGGGTTTGCACATTACTCAGATGGGTGATGAAGTGCTGATTGATAACCTAAGGCCGTATATTTGCCGGACAGCAGGCGCTCTTCCAACTCGCGATCAGGCAAGCATAGACTTCGCGCCTTACGATCTTTCAGTACTAGCGAATCGCCCGAGATTTTACATTTACGACATTTTTTTACATCGGAAGCTACCCATAACCACTGACCCCAACATGCGCCCGCAATATTATTGTCCAGACCTCTCCTTCTAGTCACCAGAACGGCCGGAGTTTGTAAGGGGCAGCTAATAATCATCAGCTAGTCTGGAGACACATTAGCTAACTGTCAGCGACAACTCAAGGAGGTCACTCACTCGAAGTCCAGGTAAGTTGGCTCGCGCTCCCAGTGAAGTTACCCGTGCCATGCAGGTCCGTCCCGCTGAACGTGCCCAAGATATTCGCGGCTGTGATCCCAGAGCCCTGGTTCTCATACACCTTCACAGTCAACTCCCCGCTCGACAGCAGCGTCACCTCCGCCGCATTCGCATTCGAGATGAAGTCCGATTCCGTCTTGCCCGACACGATCGTCAGGTTCCCGCTGACGGTGCGTGTCCCGTTCGAGCCCGTTCCGTTCACCTTCGCGGGGGCCGGCACCGTCTTCGCGAAGCTGGTGACGTAGATGGTGATGGTCGCGTCGGAGTAGCTCGTGATGTTCACTGTCGCAGTGCCCGCCTTCGGGCCCACAGGCTTCGGACCACCCGTCCCTGGTCGCAAAGGTGAGCATGGAATGATAGAGCGAGCGACAGAGAGGAGTACTCACTGTTCCAGGTGACCGAAGCAGACCCAGTGAAGCTGCCCGTGCCATTCAGATCCGTAGCAGAGAACTTGCCAAGGTAGTTGTCCGGCGTGATCCCAGACCCGCTGTTCTGGTAGAACAACACTACAGCGATCCCCTCCGCGCTGACATCGACATCCGCCTTGTTCGTCTTCGACAGGAAGTCGTCCTCGGTCACGCCCTGCTTGAACACTAGGTCGCCCTCGATGTCGGGCCGCGACCCAACGGAGCCGGTGCCGTCGATGCCTGCAGGCGTCGGCACGCTATCGGCGAAGTCGGTGATGGTCACACCGATGGTCGCGGTGTAGAAGTTGGTGACGGTCAGAGCGACCTTGGCGGCCTTGAGGGTGGAGACGTTAGCGTTGAAGGCGACGTCCTTTGCGTGTCTGGCGTGTTCGAATCCGATGACGGACTTTTCGAGGGTGTCCTTCGGGAGTGCCTCGAGCTTCTCCTTGGGGATGCCGCTGTGGAAGCATTGGGTCAGCATCGATGGTGACAATGAACGAACGAAAGGGATCTACATGAGGTGAGAGATGTTCTATAGGATTTATGTGAGTTGAAAAAAGGACGTAGAATGGAATGTTAGCATACCTTGAGCGTGTCGTTGGAGATGGCAGAAGGCATGGTTGAGGGAGTAAGTGTTGTAGAGTTGAAAGATTGCGAGTGAAGACTGTGAATGCGGTTCTTGCTTCTGAGGGGTAGCCAGCGCGATGAGCACGCTTTTATACGTTTTGATCTCCTGGTAGTGGCTATTGTGTTAGAATCAGACCTACGAAAGACGAAGAGAGAACGTTCCAAGGTAAGACGCTTAGTCATGCGGAACGTTCTAAACGCTGCAATCTACCCCGCCGTGAGCTAGGGCAATCATTCAATGTCAACACGTCCATTCAAAGAGACATTGTCGTATCCCCACCGTTAAAGTTATGTCAAGTAAGAGAACGTTCTTTGACAACAAGGAGCTCAGTCATATCGTGTAACAATGTCCCTGAACAAACAGAAAAGTCGGGCATTGCTCTCATCCGGCCTGATAACGAACTCTTTCTTGCCCCTGGTCTATCCTTCGTACTCTTCATCTCGACGTATGATTGGATTATACTTGCTGCGATTATGATAAGTCCCTGCGCCATGTCAGCTTCCATATCTGATAGGGTGACCGGCCACTGAGAGGACGACAAGAGGACTTGGAGTCGGAGATTTCACCGGCGGCTAATCGTCACAGCGTGAGTTCTAATCGGTGTCTGAAAGACTGAGGTCAAACAAACTCCGCGCGGCCACAACTAGCCCTTCTCCCCTTTGACGGCTGTTTGAGAGCCTACTCTACCCCCATGATAGCCACAGTCCTCTAGACAGTAATGTTGTCAGCTTCGCTCAGATAGTAAGGTGTCTATACTGGATTGGTGAGGACGTTAATAGCTGTGCCATTTGACTAGGTCCGTTGCCTTATTCGTGCACTCGCTCGGTAGAATCTGCGCATTGCTGTGCCTCTGGTGACTCATCAGAACGTGCTCTCAGGCACGCAACATGAAGCGACGTACCTACCGACCAGGCTTTGTCTATTGATATTTTCCTCATCTGACGAGATCGACAGGGTGAATGATACGAACGAACGGCCGGGAGGACGCCACACCCGACTATTATTGGCGGGGGAACGTTCCGCGGCGGCGAAATCCGACTCCTTGTAATTGCGGAACGTTCTCCGAACTGGCTCAAAGGGCAAACTGGAGGTAGGGAAAGCAGTCCTATGATTCAGTCGTCGATGAGTGCGAATGGTCGGACCGTAATGGTGTGCTTTCGCGAGCTCACAATAGGATAGAGGGGAGCGCTAAAAGCGTTCTGGATGACATTAATGCCTTGTCCGAGAACGTTCCCTCTTCGTTGTTGACACTTGCATTCAGCTCCTAGATTATGGCCAGAGTGCCACAAAACGCATAAAAGCCCACTCGTCCGATCGAAAGCTGCTCAGAACGAAAATCACATTCGCACTCTTCACTTGCAATCTTCAACACCACACCACTTTCATCTTCAACCATGTCTTCTGCTATCTCCAACGACACACTCAAGGTACACTCACTATTCTCATCCACGAATTATCTTACTGATATACTTCATCTAGAACATCTCTCGCCTGATGTAGCCCCCTTTCATTTCTTAATTCTGACCATCAATGCTGACCCAATGTTTCCACAGCGGCATCCCCAAGGAGAAGCTCGAAGCGCTCCCGAAGGACACGCTCGAAAAGTCCGTCATCGGATTCGAACACGCCAGGCACGCTAAGGAGATCGCGTTCGATGCCAACACATCGACCGTCAAAGCCGCCAAGGTCTCTCTGACTGTCACCAACTTCTATACCGCGACCATCGGTGTGACCATCACCGGCTTCGCGGACAGCACGCCGACCCCCGCAGGCATCGACGGCACCGGCTCGGTCGGGTCGCGTCCGGATATCGAGGGCGACCTGGTGTTCAAGCAGGGCGTGACCGAGGACGACTTTTTGTCGAAGACGAACAAGGCAGATGTCGATGTCAGCGCGGAGGGGATCGCTGTGGTGTTGTTCTACCAGAACAGCGGGTCTGGGATCACGCCGGACAACTACCTTGGCAAGTTCTCTGCTACGGATCTGAAGGGAACGGGCAGCTTCACTGGCTCTGCTTCGGTCACCTGGAACAGTGAGTCCTTCTCTCTGTCGCTCGCTCTACCATTCCATGCTCACCTTTGCGACCAGGGACGGGTGGCCCGAAGCCTGTGGGTCCGAAGGCTGGCACGGCGACGGTGAACATCACGGGCTACTCCGACGCGACCATCACTATCGACGTCACCGGCTTCGCTAAGACGGTACCGGCCCCTGCAAAGGTGAACGGAACGGGCTCGAACGGGACACGCACCGTCAGCGGGAACTTGACGATTGTCTCGGGCAAGACAGAGTCGGACTTCATCTCGAAGGCGAACGCGGCGGAGGTGACGCTGTCGGCGACTGGAGTGCTGACAGTGAAGGTGTATGAGAACCAGGGGTCCGGGATCACGGCCGCGAATATCTTGGGCACGTTCAGCGGGACGGACCTGCATGGCACGGGTAACTTCACTGGGAGCGCGAGCCAGCTCACCTGGACTTCGAGTGAGTTCATCGTTAATGTGTCACTGAGCGTTGACTAACATGCTTTCAGAATAAGAGACATATGGGGTGTTTCGACGAACTCACCAATAGTTGGGTTAGACGGATGGTCTTGGTGCACGTCTCTTCGTGGTTTTATCTGAATGATTATGGATATGGCTTGCTTCCTATGTAAGAATAGTTGCGTATGATATGCTTACTGGCGTAGAGCACTTTTTATAAAATGCATTGATTCTTGACCCTTAAGTGGACGTGGATTCCGGTGTGAAGAACAGTGTTTACTTCGAGAGCATGAGTAAAAATCTGAGTCGACGCCCACGATCCCGTCTTGAACGACCAGAGGCATTTTCGATGTAAGGACAATGACATGGGTACCATCGTATTTCTATGAGAGCTGCTCGCTTCAAAGGCTCTTCGAGAAACTTCGACCGCCGTACGCAGCGGTGACACCTACTTTCATTTCCAATGTTGGAGAAGTGCGTGGGTGAGTGATGGATATGGTCGCCTTGAGGTTGCCTAGCCATATAGCCCGGTTCATAGAGGAGTCCATCAGAGGGCCATTCCAGCACAGGACCTCCGAGGAGTGTGAGGTGCGGCGATAACAAAGCGAGGGACACGCTGAGAACATGCGCGGACAGGGCCACGTCGAATGGCCGCTGCTAGAAAGGTCCGGAACACGGTCGAGAACAAGCAGCGCCGCGTTACGCGCGACGCGTGACCAGGGCCGGGCCGCGTTACACCGCGTGACGTGACCCCCATGCGCGTTACAAATTCTACGGCATCCGGCAAAGTTTTTCTGACGCGTTTCTTCCTCCGACGTTCTTCACCTCCTCTTTCTCGTCTGTTTTTCTTCGTCTTCCCTCGTCCCCTTCTCCCTTTCGTCATCAAAAGCGCAATGCACTCTGTCTCTGCTTCGAGCTCCCAGTCCCTCCGCCGCGCTATTGCGAAGGCTAACAAGCCTACGCTTACGCTTGTGCGCGGCGCTCATAAGGAGATTAAGTTCTCCAACGAGGGCCGGGCGAGCATCCTCAAGGGTGTCGACATCCTTGCTAATGCTGTCAGCGTGACCCTCGGTCCCAAGGGTAAGCGTCTGTCTTGTATATATGCGAACGTCGACTAACGCTATATGCAGGTCGTAATGTCATCATTGAGCAGTCTTTCGGCGGTCCCAAGATTACCAAGGGTATGTATGCCCCGCATTCCTGCGCCCGTCCGCCGAGCTGACCTCACCATCCTCAGATGGTGTCTCAGTCGCCAAGTCAATAACGCTCAAGGACAAGTTTGAGAACCTCGGTGCCAGGTACGTGTTTTCCCAAGGTCAAAATTTTCCTCGCACGCTTACCCATGCGTACCCGTAAAGGCTCGTCCAGGACGTCGCGCAGAAGACGAACGAGACTGCCGGTGACGGTACCACCACGGCGACCGTCCTCGCTCGCGCCATCTACTCGGAGGGTGTCAAGAACGTCGCTGCCGGCTGCAACCCCATGGACCTCCGCCGTGGCTCGCAGGCCACCGTCGACCGCGTCGTTGACTTCCTTGCGTCCAAGACCAAGACGATCACCACGACGGCGGAGATCGCCCAGGTCGCGACCATCTCGGCGAACGGCGACACCCACGTCGGGAACCTCATTGCGCAGGCCATGGAGAAGGTCGGCAAGGAGGGCGTCATCACCGTCAAGGAGGGCAAGACCATCGAGGACGAGATCGAGATCACTGAGGGCATGCGCTTCGACCGTGGCTACATCTCGCCCTACTTCATCACCGACGTCAAGTCGCAGAAGGTCGAGTTCGAGAAGCCCCTCGTTCTCCTCAGCGAGAAGAAGATTTCGCTCCTCCAGGATATCCTCCCCTCGCTTGAGGCTGCTGCCCAGGCTCGTCGCCCTCTCCTCATCATTGCCGAGGACATCGACGGCGAGGCTCTTGCTGCGTGCATCCTCAACAAGCTCCGCGGTCAGCTCCAAGTCGCCGCTGTCAAGGCTCCCGGGTTCGGTGACAACCGCAAGTCCATCCTCGGTGACGTCGCTATCCTCACTGGTGGTACCGTCTTCACCGACGAGCTCGACATCAAGCTCGAGCGTGCCACGCCCGACCTCCTCGGCAGCACTGGGTCCGTTACCATCACCAAGGACGACACCATCTTCCTCAACGGCGAGGGCTCCAAGGATGCCATCCAGGCCCGCTGCGAACAGATCCGTGCTGTCCTCAACGACGCCTCCACTTCGGACTACGACAAGTCCAAGCTTTCTGAGCGTCTTGCCAAGCTCAGCGGTGGTGTTGCCGTCATCAAGGTCGGTGGCTCATCCGAAGTTGAGGTCGGCGAGAAGAAGGACCGCTATGACGACGCCCTTAACGCTACCCGTGCTGCCGTCGAGGAGGGTATCCTCCCCGGTGGTGGTATCGCTCTCCTGAAGGCCTCCCTCGCCGTGACGACGAACAACCCGTCGAGCACCGCGGGCGGCAGCGTCTCCCCCAACGCGGACGCAGCTGTTATCCCCACCGCCAACTTTGACCAGGAGCTCGGTGTCAACATCATCCGCCGCGCGTTGACACAGCCCGCACGCACGATCCTCAACAACGCCGGCGAGGAGTCGAGCGTGATTGTTGGCACGCTCCTGGCCAAGTATGGCAGTCCTGCCGACTTCCAGATGGGCTACAACGCTGCTACTGGGCAGTACGTCGACATGATCAAGGAGGGTATCGTGGACCCGCTCAAGGTCGTGCGCACCGCGCTCGTTGATGCCTCGGGTGTTGCGAGCTTGTTGACCACGAGCGAGGCGTGCGTCGTCGATGCGCCCGAGGAGGACAAGCCCGCTGGCGGCATGCCCGGTATGGGAGGCATGGGTGGTATGGGTGGTATGGGCGGCTTCTAAGCTGCTTTGCCTCCTAGGCTGCCGTGATGTCTCCTCTGTCTGTTCTCGGATTGGGTTATGTTGCCGGTGACTCCATTGACGCTTCCCCCTCACATGCATTACACCTCCGCACGCCATCAGTTTTTGCTTTCTCGCTGCATTATCAAACCACTCATAAAGCCAATCATATATACTACAGTAACCTCACGCATACACTTTTACGTACCTAGTCTGTCTCCCCTTGTTAGTGCTTCTTATAGATCTAGTAGGCTTTTACCAGCTGTTTCTTTTTTACTTATAAGTTACGAAGATCGTTGTGTTACGTGTTACGTATTGCGACGAATGCATCACCACTCAGTGCTATTGTTGTCTCATCATTTGAAGTGCGTGATCAAGCTTGCTGTCTGGGTTTTGACATGGGGCGACGAGGAATGGTGTGACTGGAAGGTGGCGTTTGTCGAACGAGGTAGCTGGAGGTGTATATCGGACGACGAGCTGGTGGACCAATCGGGGAGACAAAAGCACAGTGAGACGAGAATGAAGGGTGCAAATAAGACCGAGGAGTTTGTCGCGTTCCCGGTATCTCCTGATGTGGATTTGTTGATTATCGGCCCATGGACAAAAGCACGCGGCGCTCTTATAACGCGTTGCTCCTTGGCTTTGGGCACTCCAGGTCGCTTGCTCTCTAGGTGCGTCCCTTCTGTTGCCCGTCGTTCTCCTTCGGGGGTGTGCACGGTTCTAAACTCACCTGATCTCCTGCTTTCGTGTAGAACACCGATACCAACACTATCTAAAGACCCTCCAAGAAGAAGAAGAAGAAGAAGAAGATGCAGCCGACGAACAAGGCAGACGTTGCTCTCGCAGCTGGCGACAAGAAGAAGGCGCGGCGCGCGCGGTTCCAGCGCGTGTTCGAGACGATGCGGGACGAGCTTATTGCGCATATGACGGCGAACCATATGCCGGACGAGGCGGTGGAGTGGTATCGCGCTGTGCGTCTTTCTTTCTCCCTTCCCTTTCCCCTGTATCCTGTATCCACTTCTCTGTTCATTTTGCATCGCTGTGTCATCTTTCATCTTCGCTTTGAGGCTTTGACAATGGACTGTGATAAGCGACGCAGCTGACCTTGATGCACAGAACCTCGAGTACAATGTGCCCGGCGGCAAGCTTAACCGCGGCATGTCGGTGCCCGACAGCGCGGAGGTGATTCTCGGGCGTGCGCTCACCGACGACGAGTACTTCAAGGCTGCGCTGCTGGGGTGGATGATCGAGCTCGTGCGTTTCTCGTCCTCTCCGATCTCTCCATTTCTCAACATTTGGCGCCCCTAATCCACCATGCACACGGTGACCAACACGCGATCTCTCATGGATGCAGCTCCAAGCGTTCTTCCTCGTCTCGGACGACATGATGGACGACAGCACGACGCGCCGCGGGCAGCCGTGCTGGTACCGCAAAGACCTCGGCCCGAACAGCGCGATCGCCAAGGTCGGCAATATCGCGATCAACGACTCGTTCATGCTCGAGGGCGCCATCTACCACCTACTCAAGAAGCACTTCCGCGCGGAGCCGTACTATGTCGATATCCTGGAGCTCTTCCAGGAGACGACGTTCCAGACGGAGATGGGGCAGCTCGTGGATCTGATCACGGCGCCTGAGGATAATGTCGATCTCAGCCGGTTCAATATGGACAAGTGCGTGTGTTGTTCTGCGCATACGCACGATCGCAGCTGACCTTCCTGCGATCGCGTCCAGGTACAAGTTCATCGTGCGCTACAAGACCGCGTACTACTCGTTCTACCTCCCCGTCGCGCTCGCGATGCGTATGACCGGCGTGCCGGACACATACACCGCCGCGGGCGCGCCCTTTGCGCCGTACGAGACCGCGCTGAAGATCCTGATCGACATCGGCGAGTACTTCCAGGTGCAGGACGACTTCCTCGACTTCCACGGGACCGAGGCGCAGATCGGGAAGCGCGGGACGGACATTGTGGACAACAAGTGCTCGTGGTGCGTGAACACCGCGCTGGGCGTTGTGTCGCCCGCGCAGCGGAAGGTGCTGGACGAGCATTATGGGCGCAAGAATCTGCAGGACCACGAGGAGGAGGCGAAGCATGAGAGGGAGGTGAAGAGGCTGTATGGGGAGATTGAGTTGCCGAGGTTGTATAGGGAGTATGAGGAGAGGATTGTGGGCGAGATTAGGAAGGTGGTGGCGACGGTGCCTGTGCCGGAGGGCGCGCAGGGGCAGGGCGCGGTGCTCAGGCCGGAGGTGTTTACTGTGTTCTTGGACAAGATCGTTGGGAGGTCGAAGTAAAGGGCTGGAGATACCTCGAAGGGATATGCGAATGTAGGATTGGCTTGCGATATGCTGGATTCTCTGTTGTACGCGTTTACTGTGCTTTGATGGCGTTGGTATCTTCTCTGTTTCTTATCTACACTGCTTGTGCACTTTGTAGTCCTGTGCAACGGCGCTTGCCTCGTGGCTGTGTTTTAGCGCCCATTCTCTTGGGTGTCATGGACACGCTTTGGACCGCCTCGTCGCCTCCGCCTTTTCGCCACCTCCAGTTCTGCGTCAAGTATGCGGCTAATCCGTCTCATCCGATGATTGTTAGGGCGCACAAAGTCTAGTGATAGTGCTACTAGCATCACCATCAACTCTGCATCATCCAAGACAGTCGCATCCACCGATACAGTTACAGTGGGTAAGCCTATTAACCTCCCCGTGGCTCCCACCCGGAAACCAACCTGTGATGATGGATGGCGCCTCGGGTGCTATCAAACCAAAGTCCCAGACTCAGAGCGCTGCCTCGTTCCGTCCCTGTTCTGTCAACCACACTACCGGAGTCGCTAGTCCCTGTCCGTCGAGATGATACATGGGTAGGCGCGCACAGGTCCCGCCAAACACGCCCAAACCCCGTATGCGTTATGATGGGCCGGCGCTCGCTCTGCTCGGTTTCTCTCCACTACTGCTGTGCGGTCGTCCCCCTCGCCCCTTCTTCCTTTTGTTTTCGCCTGGGCTTGGCTCCCTTTGTTTTCGTTCGTTTTCGTTGTGCATTTTCGTCGTTCTTTTGTGCTTGTTCTTTTATCTTTATCCCTGGTCCGGTCCTGGTGATTCGGCGACAAGTCTCGATCTGATAGTCAAGTCAAGTCACGATTCGAGAGTCGGATACTTCAGCTTGCTTCGACGCTCAGGCCCTCTTTTTCTCAGATCTATATATTCGTTATGAGTGCGTGTTTATTGCTGCTCTTTGTCTGCACAGCTGGAGCTGATCTTGTGCGCGTTTCACAGGTCTCACTTTGTTCGCTGTTGGAGCGCTTGCGCTGTCTATGCTTCCTGTTGTGCGGGCGGACCTGCACTGTTCTGCTGAGATGTGCGTTATCGTCATGGTTTGTGACCTGATGAAAAGCTGACGGAGAGCATCGCAGTAATGGGGAGAACGTGTGCGATTGGATCAACGACCACACCGGAGTAGGAATCGCCATTCTCCTGGGCATCCGTGAGTTCTTCACTCATTTGCACCACATCGCCTTGAAATCCAAGACTCATCATGCATCACGCCCCTCTGCTCCCACTCCCACTGCATTCACACCATCAGTCGGCACTGTGGTCTTCTTCCTCTTCCTTTTCGCGCACATGCGCGCGGACCAGTCCTCCCGCTGGTCCCTCCCGCCCACCGCGCCCTCGCAGGACTACCTCCGCGCCATATCCCCCGCGCCGCAGCTGCCGCCCATCGCATCGCGCAGCGCATCGCCCTTCCCGTTCGCTGCCGCGGCGGGGTCGTCGTCGTCGCCGAAGAAGGACACGTTTGATGGGGAGACGGTTCGGCCGGGGAGCTATCAGTATGTGAACGTGAGTAACGCTCTGTTTTTTGTGTTCTTTCCTGCTCCTTTGGTTTTACGGGCTGACGGTTCTTTGCTTGGACGATTGATAACAATAGACGTTCGCGAATTTTGGGACGAGCAGTACGACTTCGAGCCTCGTGCGTCCGCCGCCTGCGTACGACTCGCCGCAGATGCGCTCGTCTGTGCAGGCGGGGCAGTATCATGGCTTTGCGATCTAAAGGATGATGTAGGGTACTGTGCCCCACCACTAGTTCGACGGTCCACCACTAGTTCGTCACCCCCCGTTTTTGACCATTCCTCCCTTTCCACCTCCCATTTTTATTAGCAATACGTCATTATCATACTGCTGTCATATCATTTTCTCGAAAACCCGGTGAAAATCGATGCATTTCTGTGTTGTCGAATAGGGGTCGTGACGGCGAGTTTTGTCACTCCTTCGACACCTCGCAAAACATCCGTAGCTGAGTTTTAACCTAGTTGCATAAGTCTGATGTTGCTATTGATATTCTACGCGTGAATGGCCACCGCAAAGCGGTCGTGGCTCAGTGGTTTTGGCGGCATCACACATCATTTTGCTTACGATTCAGGAGTTCGATCCCTCCTGTTGCCATGTTTGAGGCCTCAGCGTGTCACTCTCACCTTAATGCCGCGCTGCCGAGATGTGACCAACTCCGTGATCAAGTGTGACAAATGTGACCGTCGAAGTAGTGGTGGGCCGTCGAACTAGTGGTGGGCCGTCGAACTAGTGGTGGGGCACAATAGAGGAGACGGTGTGGTACGGGAAAAGATTGGCTTGACGACGTCACCCTCGTGCCTTGTCACGACCCGGTATAATGTTATGCGCAACGACAGATATAGATTTCGTACACCACTGTATGTGCGGCGATGCGAACACAAGTATCATATTTGCTTGGACAGAGCGAGGTGCTTGGGCTGCACCTGGGTGCACGCAACGTGTATGAACGACCGTGGGGTAGCAAACTGCGGTATAACCACGTTCATGCACACTTCGTGCTCCGCCGCTTCGATTCGGCGGTGACCAAGCATGTACATGAACATCTGGTTGTTGAGATCTTGAGACTGTAGCCCCTTTCACCTCGGGCAAACACCAAAAACCCAGCTCCGAAAATAACACGGAAAATGGACTGGAAAGAAATAATGTTCTCACGTTTTTCCGCTCCGAGGAAATCGGACGGAAATTTAGCATTTTCCGTTGCGTTTTCGACCAAGAGGTATACTCTATAAATGGTAATATATCCCGGGATATTTCCGGATTGTGGAAAAACACACGTGGCAGCTGCCTTTTCTGGGCCAGACAATCCACCGGAAAAGCCTTCATTTCGGGCCGTTTTCCAGGGTTCGGAAAGGAAGACTTTCCCACGTCCGAAAATTGTTCCGGATACTATACATGTTCATGTCTATTTCCATGAGGTCGACATACAACGGGAACGTAAAATAACCAGTAATGCCACAGTGCGTAAAGTAAAACCTGAGGAAACATGACCTCCCTACGGAAGCGCTCTGCATGAGCCATGGGTATAAAGTTGGGCCTCCGATGTGCGAGTAGGCCATGTCGTGGATGCCGACCGCCGAATAGCAGCATGAAGCATGGCTAGTTCTAGTTAAGGGCGAGAATCACGGATGTATGAGTATAATGAAGTTGACATTGAGGTCAAAGCCCAGTCAGCGAATATCGACTTAACTGTTGCTGGTTAATACCAAACGAGGCGAAGGGAAGGACCTCGTGCCTCGTCAAGGGAGCGGAAACCCATGTCCTGGTGGTAGCGAACGACACATGGACGTTGAGCTACTGCTCAGAGGATGATATGAGCTTGCCGGTGGATAATGTGGCTAATACCCCATGTAATCGTCAGTGAATCGAGCGCACATGAAATACCAGCAAGAACTTACCATCTGGGTTCCAGATCTTTGACGCGCGCTCAGAAGCCGAGACGATTAGTCTGCGTGAACCTGACAGAACTCAAACCAACTCACTCGATGAGGTGGACTAGGTCTGACCTTCCTTTGCCTTCCTTTGGGAACGTTCCGTACGACATGCAATATAGCTAGATCCTTCTAGAGGTGGTCATCGTAACTGAGTGGCTGTAGCCGTGTACGTACGCACAACGTCAAAAACCCTCCGGCACCTTATTCGTTCGCACATGAACTCCCTTCGTCGGATGACACCGAAGGCGTGCATGGTCATCGGGCCGGAACTCGTCTGAGGATGGTCAAATTAGACTAGATGTATGTTGTACGTACGAACGTAGATACGTACCCCTTGGTGGACAAGCTTGGACTGGCCGCTGCTGCGGAGCTTTGAGAGCAGCTTTAGCCTATTGTATGACTTTCCAAGACGAGGTTTGCATGAGTAAGGATAGCGACGAGCGCAGGCACGGGAGAAGAAGGCGGCGCAAATTCAAGGGAACTCCACGCGCACGAATCACAAGGTGGACATCACTTTCCTTATTCGTATGTACCTACGTACAATTCCGAAAATTCCCGAGCAAGATACGGGTCGTACCTACGTACTAACCCGAAAATACCCGAACTGCACGCCAGCCTATGCGGGCGTACGCTTCCGTAACTCATAATCTAACGTGTTTGTGTACTATTTCGTGAGTGCATGACTGTCGTGAACCAAAAAAAAGACGATTCTCGAAAGAAATTTACAAGGTGACTCGGAAATTTCGCCTCATGCGAACCGTGTCCTCTTCGCAGTGCGTCCAAATCCGTGTCTACTCCTCAACCAAAGCGAAGACGGCGTCCCAGTCGCACTCCTTGGGAATAGCTGACGTCTCGCATTCGGCCTTGATGGATAGCGCGTCGGGGTCTAGAGCGGCACGGCCATGCTGGTAGCCCGCGAGCCAGGGGTGATGTTTAGCTCTCGCCAGAGACATACGCTTCGCGGGGTTAGACTCGAGAAGGCGTCGAATCAAATTCGTAGCTGGGAGGCAAAGAAGGTAGGCATCAGGATCATATAGCTGAAGGAGTTTACACAAAAATCACCATTTTTGGTTGCCTTTACGTCCTTCAAGAGTAGTTGCCATCTAATCGTGCGCTCTACGACGCGCTGCTGGACATCGGGCGACGCCCCTTTAATAAAAGGTAATCGACCGGTTAACATCTGGAAGATGATGACGCCAACGCTCCACGAGTCAACAAGTTTATCGTATTTTTTGGCGTTCTTTCGTTTGGCAATCTCTGGCGCAAGGTAAGCCTCCGTACCGCAAAACGTCTATGGGGGCTGTTAGCCATTTGCATGAAAAAGCAAGAGTAGCTAACCTTGAGACCTGACGCGTGACTAATAGCCTTGGCGAGACCAAAGTCAGCGATTTTGACGACGGGCGGGTTTGTAGAAGTAAGCAGGATGTTTTCGGGCTTCAGATCGCGGTGCACGATGCCTTGACTATGAACGAACTGATATGGCGGTCATGGTTAGACGCACTAAAACAAAACAAAAAAGATGGCTTGACTTACTGATAAAGTATCGACCAGCTGGGATGTTATATAGCTAGCCAGATGGTTCTCTGTAAAAGCGTTAATCATCAGGTAGAACATGGAGGTATACAACGTACTCAAACGAACACGAGCTTCTATAAAATTGAGCAAATCCCCGCCATCTACGAGTTCGAGGACGAGACCTAATCGCATATCAGCGACTCATTAGGCAGAAAATCGAGCCAGTTACGTACTAATCCGTGAATTCTCGAAGAACACCTCTTCGAGCTGGCAGATGTTCTTGTGCTGAAGCTTCCCGAGAGCGAAGATCTCTCTTGTGAGGAATGAAGAGATAGAGTCGGCGTGGTCGAGCGTCTTGTCATGGAGGACCTTGATGGCATACCACTGGTTCGTCGTACGTGAAAGGCTGCGAATAACGGTGCCGAATGCACCCTGTCCAAGCTGATCACCGAACTGGTAAAACTCCTCTACAACGCTACGGTGCAGCGCGGAGGCTTTATGGCGATAGATGAAGCCTATGAAGATGCGTTAAACCCCAATACGATTAAGTAATATGGACAAGCATACGGAAATCCTCCAGCGACGAGCTGCGGTTAGCCTTGTATTGTCCAAACGTGATCTCATCGCCATCTCTCAAGATTGCTGTTTGACCCTTCCTGATATCGTTGCCGTTAATCTATTAAACGATTTAGCATACACCCAGCATTGTTTTGGAAATAATATTTACCCAAGTTCCGTTACCCGAAAGGTCCTTCACTGTGACGTGAGACTTGCCATTGCACCGCTCGTCCCACTGTAGTACGCAATGAGGATTTCCTACATCATCCAATGTCAGCAAAATAATGTCAAGAACAGCGATAAACTGAGCATGATACGCACCGATTGTAATATGAGGTAGAACTACCGCGTTCCCTTCAGAAGTTCTACCAATGGAGATGACGGGCTGGGCCTTGTACAGAGCCACGCAGTCCAGCAACGGGCTACGGGGCTCAAGGGTGCCCCACAGGCGATCATCGAAATCATTGGCTGCGGGGTATCCAGCCTCGTCCTGGATTTCGGTCGCTTCTGTACGCGCATCCGCTGAGTATGTGGACACGAAGTCATTGGTGGGCTGCATTCTGGAGAGCGTTGGGACGTGCTGAGCGGTATTTGGATGTCTTCGAACGGTGAAAAAACGACGGCAGGAGGTCGGGCATGGCTATAAACCACAAATTCGATTGTCATGGACAAAAGCTTTGACCGCTAGGGTACGGTTAGGCCTGGAGGGGGGCCATAGCCGCATTGGACTTACGCTTGATCGTAGTAGTAACGGGCCGAACTTCAAGTCTAAGCGTTCAAGCGACTAAGTCTAGACGCTTGGGCGATGGATGACCATGGGGATTACGGCTGCCCTCCCGCGGAATGCTTCGTTTTTTGCCGTTGCTTGGTGGTGTTCGGGGCAGAGGCGATAGAGATGTTTTTGCAGAAACAATCAGAGAATGGAAGAGAATGACCATCGGCGAGGAAGGAGGTATGGGTGTCCAAGGATAGGCGTAGTTCAGCAGGGGCGGACAAGTGCATGGTTCGAGTGTGGAGTGGTAGGGACGAAGGGACGAGGACAAGCGCAGGAGGGTCATCGGTTGTATCATGGCCACGTGACCCGCGGGGTACCTTCTAACCGCGGTCAATTGCCTCTACTAGCTGGATAGACACCGTCGCTCGTAGCATTGCCGCAAAATTTAAGCAAAGGAAAATCAATTAGTATGTTGGAGAATTACATGCTTATTCTCTACGTGACAATATAGCCCTCGCCAACTGGGTAAGAACGCGTGTGGCTCGTGAAGTATAGGAGTGTAACCGTAAACGAGGCGACCCATAGAGCAGTAATAACTTTCCTTGTAGGCTGCAGATGCGCACTTGCAGCCTTCACCGAAGGAACACGATCTCGGATATGATACAAAATCGCAGGTAGAGAGGCTTCACGCACGCTCCCTAAGAAAATGAGCACCTTCACATTCAGCATCTGCGCCCACCATTGCAGTCGACGAGAGACCGTCGAGCTGATGAAATATATGAATCCTTCCATGCCGAGAACCCAGTCCTGGTTCGATGCAGGCTACGATAAGCATAGTAAGCCCCAGCTCCTCAATGAAAACCTAAGACTTACCAACATGTCCGTAGCTCGAGACAAAATGCGGGGCACAATACTGCGCATCGGATCGTAAGTTTCACTTCAACAACACACAGTTACGATCGTCGTAAGTACTTGCCTACTACAGTCTTGAGGATGTTTAGTACAGCCGGGGCAGACGATGCCCTGACTGGCTAGTTCGCTTTGCAGGCTCGCACGGTCTTGAAGGTTCCGGTCCACCATAGAGAGGCGAACTTCGTGAACTTCGTCAGAAATGGAGGAGCATCGTGAATCGAGGTTGGCAATGAGAGAATGCAGCTTGACATTCTCCTCCAAAAGCTGGCGCGTTGTCGAGTCCAACGCGTCCCGAACGTGGGTTACACTGGAAGACAGGACGTCCGTAGATTCGCGGAGTAGTTCTTGTTGCTGACATAGCCCAGTGAACGCCGCATCGGTAGAAGCAACTTGATCCTTGGCTTTGGCTCCTGCGTGTGAGATGTCATCTCTGACGCCGTCAACCTCTTTGAGCAACTGTTTTTCGAAAGCACTCAGTGCTTCTGCAGGATGTTAGTGTATACATGATATGAGAGAGGACGTCACTCTGCGTACCACCCTGTTTCGTTAGCTGTCTCCCTAACGCCTCCTTGAGTCCTTCGACAAGGGTTTTCAGGTCGTTGACTGCCGTCTCTAGTGTAGCCATAGAGGACAAGTTCCCCTCCTAACAAATTAGTATGGGCTAGGTAACTCGATAGCAAGAAGACATATACCTCCTCAGCGTGCGCCTTATTGAGGTCTTGCAAAATCCGCCCGACACCGTTTGCCACTTGCACCAATTCATCTTTGACACTGTAGGATCCCCATGCATCTTCCGAGAAGCCATATATATTTGGCTGGTCAGCATGACCAGTGGCACGCGGCGGTCCATTAGGTATGGTCGTATCGGAAGTGCCGAGTTTTCTAGCCGGAGAGAGTTGGACATCATCATCGACATCATCATAGAAAGGGAAGTCCGTGGCGGTCACGACTTCAAGAGTAGGGCTTGAAGGGCTCTCTCCAGGACGCATCATGGGAGGAGGAGAGACGTTGACGAGATGTGGGCGATGAATGGCTACTGGCCATGTACCGATAACCCTTGTGCCGTTCTCGGCCAACGCGACGCGAGGTCAGCCACTATTGGGACCGGTTGTAAAACGCGTGTGCGTGCGGTCCGATGTGTGTGCGCCGGCCCGACTGAGCCTGTTCCGGTTTGTGAAGTACTCGTTAGAAAACGGACAAGTGCACACTTGCAAGCAGATATATAGCTAAGTGTGCATACATGGTGGTAAAACATGATATATACACAGTATGGATATTAGGGCAATAATATGCATGAGGTGGCCACGACTGTAGAAGATTACACAAGAGATCGTGGTCGTATGTAGTCTAGGGCGTAGACAAATCGAAATCCTCATCGATAATGTTCAGCTTCTCCCGCTGAGCGCGGTTGAGAGAAGTAAGGAAATTGGGGTTGTAAAAATTGCGGTACAGACCTTTGGGGACGACGCCAACCTCCGATCGTGAACTCTTGACGCGGGTGCGGGGCGGATTGCCTGGCACTCTGCGTCGGCCGATAGGATTCTTGTAGTCGTCAATATAGAGGTCGTCCAACATGTGCATGAACGCTGAGAGGTCATCGCTGCGCCACTCTGGTCTGATGATCCTGAAGACCCTAGCAGGGTTTGGATGCCTTTCGGTAGGGGGGCAGGGGACATCGGGATCGGTCTCGTCCCCGCTCACGATGCTTCGCTGCATCATGTACTTGAAGACCTTCTCTTCGTGGCGCGCGAAAAGTCTTGGGCGCGATCTGCAGACCTCCAGGCGGCGACGCAGTAGCTGTAAGCGGTGATTAAGTCTCCGGGATCATGAATAATTTAGCTGTGGCTTACATGATCCTTACGGGTGCCCTGTGCTTTCTTTTTGGAGTCCTCCATCAGAACCCCCAGCGGAACGTCCCTCCGAAACTCCGAGTACTTCTCCTTGACATGATCTAGATGCTTGTCGAGCGCCCATGCAACCTTTGCAACAGTCACATAGCCCGGGGCGATGTTCACGCTTTGAATGAGTTTGTCCTCCCAGCACTTCATGAAGTAGTCGAGGAACACTTGACGAGCAGTTTCATTCAAAAAGAAAGACGCCCAGGGCTTCGACAGATCGATGCGAAAATCGTCGACCGTACAAGGGATCATAACGTCGTTCTTTTCATACTCTTCGATCTCCGTAGGAGTGAGCGGCGGCGGCAATCGACGGAAGTATTCAGGCTTGTAACTGCGGATTCCCAAGAGTTTCTTGAAAAGCTCGCGGACTGCAGTCTATGGATTGAGTCAGACGAGTGGATCTCTGAGAAAGCTGGTCAACCTTACCCTCAAGTGCGGCCAGCTAGCCTTTGTCTTGAACACGGCGGGGTGGTCAGGGTTTTCAGAGTTATTTTGAGTAATATCGTAGCCCGTAGCTTTGATATAAGGCTTCTTGACGGGCGAGGTATGCTCGGCGTCCGGAGATCGAGCCTGGGGAGTTGACTTCGCATTCTGCTTGCGAAGCTCGTCTGTCGCCTTGCCCACGTCGTTAAGCCGCTCCACGACCCGGGCCTCTAAAGCATCTACGCGAGCGTTGAGGGTATTGACAGCCCCGATGACCATAAAACTCAGGCGAGGTGCCAGATCTTCGGCCGCCTGATGCACATCTGCTACAGTAGCATCACCACCACGTCCGGGGACTGCGCATGCGGAACCTGTCTGATGCGAGGGATCCGGGCGGTTTCCTGCCTGTTGGGTATGAAGGCGATTGCGCTTTGTCAGAGGCAAAAGAGCGGGAGGTGAAACAGGGCGCGTTGGCGGGGACAAGGCTCGGAAGCTTGGGTTAGCATGAGATTGTGGCGTTGGAATCTGCTGCCGAGTCGGAGTGTCGATGACCATGGCTCCTTGATCAAGACGACCAGCGGCCACGGGAGGTTGAAGGTAGGGGTTGATAGACCTAACACCGCGGTTGTTATGTCCACTGGGAGGTTGGGTAGGCGTGTTTGGGGACCCAGCGCTTCGACCCATGGAGCCTGTGGGAGCCCGAAGGTATGCATTCGTGTTCACGGCGCCTTGCCCGGGATAGCCTGTATAACCCTGAGAGTATGGATCCACGACCATAGCGTCACGGCCGACATGGTCGCTGGGAGGCTCGACGTATACGTTCATGGCCATGGCACGGCGACCGGCGTGGTCGTTGAGAGGCTGCGCGTGAGCGGCCATGGCCACGGCATCGCGGCCAGCGTGGTTGTTGAGAGGTTGCGCGTGCGCGGTCATGGCCATGGCACGGCGACCGGCGTGGTCTCCGAGAGGCTGCGTGTGCGCGGTCATGGCTATGGCACGGCGACTGGCGTGGTCGTTAACAGGCTGTGCGCGCGCGGCCATGGCCATTGCACCGCGGCCGGCGTTGTCGCCGGGAGACTGAGGGTGCGCGTTCATTACTACTGGAGGAGGACCTTGAGAGTAGGCATTCCAAGCCACGTGTTCGGTGTGGCCACCGGGAGGTTGACGGTATAGGGATTTCGAGTCACAACCAGCACCGGTGTGGTTGACGTGATTATTGATATGTGATGAGTCGTATGGGCCATGCATTTGAGGCGGATGACGTCTGTTGTTCGATGAGTGTGGATGAGAATATTGATGGGGATGCACAACATCGCCGGTGGCCGATGGATCAACAGTTCGCGAGAATGACTGTCCCTGCTGCTGAGGCGGATGACCCTGGACAGGACGGGTGATATTCGGATTGTGAGTAGGCAATGGATTGGACGCTGTGAAAACATGTTGCTGACGTGCATTCCGTGAATGAGCATTATCCTGAGGGTTATACAAAGGAACGAAATTCGCAGTAGGGTATGTGGCTTGCCCAGAGGAAGATAAGGGAGGATGTTGAGCCGAAGCCGAAGGTTCGGGAAAATTAAGAAACTGTTGATGAGGGAGCGCGTTGGAGTGTAAGGCTTCGGAAAGACATTCTGGAGAATGGGGAGCATATGCGGCATGCCGCGCGGAAGTTGAATGCATGGACGCAGGAAATTGAGGGGCTTGCTGCTGGGCCTTGAAACTAAATTCATATTGCTGCGGAGACGAACGAGAGAAAAATGGCTGAGAGGGATTGCCCTGTTGCTGAGGAATACTGCGCTCCGAAGCATCAGGGTATCCGGGGCGGGAAGTTTGAGACTGCTGACTGGTTGATTGCGTAGGAATTGGAAGGGCGGCATAAACTAGTGTCTGATGAGGCGGCGCCTGGCCGGCCAGGGCTTCGGGTAGAGTACTGTGGGCGACAGGCTGGTGCTGCGACGATGATTCCGTCGATAGAGCAGTAGAGACTAGGTTTGCAGCTGGGGTGGCCACCGCCGACGCGGGCACGCTGGACTGCTAACATCTGAGTAAATTTTAAAATTAGGAGTTTTTTTTTTCACGTACTGGTCGCTGGCAACCTTTGGGAGGACGTGGTCCCGATGCATCCAGTGCTTCCTCCGCATCATCTTCGGAAATGCCGAACTAAAGAAGAAGAAGAAGCTCTGTAAGTACGTTTTGCCCGCGGTCTGAATAGGAGAATAAAACGTACCTGACAGTCGCCGTTACCTGTGCCCTGAGTGGCTGCCACCTCCACGATGTCTGTGGAATTTACCACTTGCGTGGTAGTCTTGTGAGGATCTTCAAGTAACTAACGAAAAGTTCAGAATCCGAGGCTCTCCAAAATGAAGAAGGGCATACCGGTTGTCTGGAGTCACCGTGAAGAGAGACCTCGGCATCGGGAGCATTATCAGACACGGTGATCAGCCCAACGTCGGATACAATGTCGCCGCCCACCTACCATAAAGTTCAGCATACGTACATCAAGAAAATAATAAGACACACCAAACGATCTCCCATATTGGCCGTCTGAATTTCCCCCGTAGTTTTCGATACGTGCAAGGGAGCCTGCGGAACTATGACTTAGACAACCCGAAGGATCAATGAAAGGTTCGACACGTACCGTAGGTATGATATCCTTCGAAACTTCGGCCGCGCTGGTCAACGGACGCTCTATTCGTACGGGGCTCGTCAATTCAACTTGCGAATTGACGTGGTTATTAACAGCAGGCTAATCAAGTGTTGAGTATTAGATACTTCAGCACGATAGAAAATACATACCTCATGACTACCAAAACTGACCGTAGCTAAAGCTAAGTCGACGACACGTCCTCCTGCTTGTTGTTGCCCGCCCTTGTTGACGACTCTCGCACGCGGAAGAGGGTTCTTAGCGCGCAGACTCGGAGCCAATTGAGAGCCAGTCGCGCCCTGATCGTCTGCTTCCGGCACTATGACGTCTGGCAAGGAGGCTTCGTCGTCGTCAGTCTCGCCGTCTGCGTCCAGGTCACTGTCTTCAGGCTTGTTGTCACTGTCTACAGGCTTCTTATCGATGTCGAAGGTAAAGGTTCCAGCCCCGTGGTTGAACTATTGATCGAGATTGAGTATGCCAAGATCGACCGCACTAGCGAACTACTCACGCGGGCCAATTTCTCTTTTTTCTTTCCTTCATCGATACCGTCCGAATCCTCCTCCCTTGTCTTTCGCTTAGTCGCGTGCTTCACAGAACCCAGTGAGTCCGGAGGAGTATTTGCAGAGTCCATTGAAGCGGTCTACTGTAGGCGGTGACCGGCGAGGAAAGGAAGGACAAGACAAAGACCCCCACACAAAGGGCTTGGATATAAAAAGGAGAGGTGCCATCGACGCGCATCGACGCATACGACACACAATGGCATGAGCGCGACCCTGTGGCACGTAACTACGCGAATTGTCAAAGGAGTCACAGTGATCCGATCGAAGTACTTACATGCGACCCTCGGTCTAGGCAGTCAAAGCGAGTCACTCTTGCTGAAAGACAATGACTAGGCTGTCAAAAAGGTAGTTCCAAGCGGGGTATACGCAAACGTCTTGAGGGCTAAGTGTCCGCCTATGTAGCACAATAATGGACCCTTGTTGATCTGTAGAAATAGCCGCGTTTTACTGTCAATACACCACTGTACAAGCGTTGACACATACTATAGTTGCCAGACATCGGCCCTTGTGTCTCCATGTTACTATCGTAACAGACCGGTGGCCCTACAAGGGACGTTATAATCAGTGGGTGATGTAGCCGTTCATGACAGGTGAACAAATCGGTCGGAAGAGGAAGACAAAGGAGACATCGGAAATATAAAAACGCACGTCCAGCCTGTTCGAGTGAATAAGACCTCTTCTTCGTCTCTTCACTTGCTCTATTCTCTTCTTCATCCTCGCCTCTCATATCTTTTCGTCGTCTTCTTCGTCATGGCCAGTCCAATGGCAACTCCGGGCGGGATTAGTTACTTTGATGAAGAGGTCAGCGCGGTGCGCGTGAGGCCAGGCGTTCTCGAGACCATAGAAAACATTCGGGTCAGTATCACTGAGCATAGAATCGGACATTGTGAGCGAGCATTGCGTTTTCATCCCGTCTAACACTTACCCCTCTCGCAGACGTTTTTATGCTAAGGTCGGGGCACCACGTGCGCTTCCAGGGCAGCATTTCGCACGAATGGGATCTGCACTCTAACGTAAGTATAGGAGTACAATGGGTCGACAGGTTACTAACCGGGCGTGCTATAGGACACGTTTCGATGGGTCATCCGCGAAAGTGGCTGGGCGGCAGATATGTGGACGTTGACGTTCGCCTCTGAGAGCAGTCATGCACGATTCCGTGCGGTGATGGCCTATTGCCGACGCCCTCTTGCGGAAATTGCCGCGTCGGACTTTACTGCCGAAGACTGGGACGTCATTGATTTGGATGAAATAGACTTGGATGAAATCAACGTGGAAGACAATGACGGTCCCAATATCTCCAGCCTTGAAGATGAGTGGATTACCGTGGACTAGCAGCACGACAATTTCTTAGAGGCAGACGATGATGATGGGGTGGCAGTGCAGGTTCTGACGTATGAGCCATAGGATAAAGTAATGCATTAATCACAACTACTACAGTCGTTTGGACGAACGCGAGATGGCGGGAGGACGACTGCGAGGGTAACTGCGAAGGCGAGTGCCGTGACGAGCTTGTGCTGTCGCGGTTGGTGCACGCGTTACGGTGGTGAGGGCCGCGCAATTGTCGGCTCGCGCTTGACGCATCCGCCGCATTTGTCGCATGCTCGCCGTGTATGCATCGCAGTTGGCGCATGCGGTACGGTGGCGAGGGCACCAGGTCGCGGTCGCTGCAACCATCGCGTTCGTCGCGGTCACTGCACGCTCGCGCTCTCAGCGTCTATTGCGGTGGATGGCGAGGGCACGAGCTCGGGCTGGATGCGTTCGTCGCGGTCATCGCGGCCGTCGTACGCGGTCGACTCGGATTTTTGTTATGCGGATGCCATTGAACGCGTGTGCGACCCACGACCTCGCTCGCCAGGCGCGCTTCGAGATGAGCGTCCCGCACGAGCTGTACGCATACGCCGCGAGCGCCAGCAGAACGACGTCGACGGCAGAGGGGTAGGCCAGAACCAGAACCAGAACCCGTCCGGGGCTGTTGACGCGTTCTACCCGATGACGCTCGCCTGGCTTTCGTTCGAGCGAGAACCGACCGCGAGCATTAGAAAGTGCAGAAGCGGGATGACTGAGTCAGCGCACCTGAGACGACGAGCGGTGGACGGCGCCAAGCGGTGCTACTCAGATACTGAGTGAGTGTATGTGTGAGAGTGAGAACAACTCTCACTCGCATGTTCCGTCTTACAAGCAATAGCATACATTCTAGTTGCGACACACTATTCATCTACAGGCTCTATCAGAATATATAGGCTTGTGATTACAGGCCGGTTTGGCCTGATTAATATTAACGCGCGCTCCTGCGAGCCTCTCAACAAGCCTCCCGAGTGAAATGAGAAGCTACTCCAGATATTGCAACAATGGCACAAAATTATGTACTGATACCGTAGGAACTACATACTAGCGAGCGCGAACTTCTCGCCGTGGACACCAACATGGTATAAGCACGTCGCCGAAGGATCACCCCAGTTATCGACCACCTCAATCACGACGATTCGGAACCCGACACCAAGTATACGATTTTCTTCGGGTAACATAAAAGTCTGAGTGGCCTGTGCAGAGTAGATGTCGTACTGAAAGGTATGGAGAAGGACGAACGAATCGGCCTCTCCTCGAAACGCAGGGCCGGTACCCCCTTCATAATGTTCGTTAGCGACATCAACCAGGCCCCACAAAACAATGGTTCGAGGTGCCAAGGTGAGAAAGGTGGAGGGACTGGGGGGAGCATGTGCGATGGAAATATGGGAAATGACAATTTCCTCAGGCAGGTTGATGGCAATTTGTCCCGACGCAGAGTTAAAACGCCAACAGGTTCCTATTGGATTATTGGGGGCAAGGATGGTTTCGGGGGGATAACTCGGAGGAGGATTGGGGGGAAAGATAGCGTCCAACCAAGTCCGCTTGGTCGAAGCGCCCAGCGTAAGGCGATGGTTTATAGTTGCACCGGCTGCGCGCGAAGCAAAATCCGGGAGATTGACCGACTCCGAAGGCGAGCGTTCTTGTAGGAGCGCTTCAACCATCCCAAGCAGATCGGAATTTGTTCTCTGTAGGTTGGAAACAGCGCCTTCAAGCACGGCAAGACGTTCGTTTGTGATGTTGGGGTCGGTGTTGCAAATGGAGCCGCGGGGGAAGACTGAATCATACTGGAAGGGCCAAAGCAAGGACAAGTCACTGTTATAGATGTACGCGCACCGAAGCAGATATGAGAGACACATCGCACATGCAAGAGCAATGGCAGTGTGTCGAGCAGTCCAGGAGGCCAATCGAGTATCATGAATACGGCTAGCGTTTTGCCATGCGAAGAGCTCCTCGTTGTCACTTGCTTCCTTACTCCTGGCTGGACGGCTGGGAAGGGTCCAGGAAGTCTCACTTAAGACGCTATTGGCGGTGACTTGACGCTGCTTTGATCAGATGCTGCTGAGGATATGCCTGACACTAACAATGCTCACCTGCTGCCGACCACCAGTGCCAGGACCAGGACCAACCTCGTCTTCTCTCCTACTTTCCGACTGGACCATGCGAGTGAGTTTGAGTTTGAATGCGTCTGTAGCCCAAGTTTGCGTAGTTTGTGAGTCTAAAATGAACACGATGAGAAGCGTGGCCTTACCTGGGTGAAATGAGCGATGAGAAATGTAACGACCGCGTTGTTCTTTCACTACACTTGGAGGGCCTTTGCGCTGTTTGGTTCATGTTGACAGACTTCCCTTTCTGGCTTACCCCTGTACTTAACGTTGTTGGTCGACCTGTGTCAATTCCATATTCGTATGTTTCGGCATAGGCATATAGCATGCTATCACATATTATCATATCCACTTTTACCATGACCGTTCCGTAACATAGTCTACTAGTACTACACAAAGGAACTATAACAAGGCTCCCCTTGAGGGCCTGGAGCCCACGAGCCGGTGTGTTCTCCGCCATGCTTATCCCAATAAGACATCACCTGTCCGACAGAGTCAGCTAGGTACCACAACGTCACCCGCCGTAGCTTAAGGTGTGGGCACTCGTCTCTAAGCGAGTATCTCCCTTCTCCCTTCGTCCAACTACTGATAATCTGCCTCTCCTCCTGCTTCCTTTCAGACTCGATGGACGTGGTCACCAGGTTTGCGCGAGTCCTGATCAGCAAACGCTCCAAAGTGTCCAACGCGCGAAGGTCTCGCGCCCAACTCCTTACGTTGCTCCAAGGGCGGACCATCTGTTGAGCTTCGGTTTCATTCTGAAACGTTAAGGTTAAGTTAATGATCGGAGATGCGAAGGTTATGGCAGTTTACCTCGCTCCAAGGTCGCTCAATCAGCTTCAAGATGCGAAGACCTTCAATGGCGGATAGCTTGCGAAGAATCCTTACGTCAGATGGATAGAAGTCCATTGTCAAGCGAGAGATGTGGCTTCCAGGGGGGGTCAACTTCTTGAAGATACGGGTAGGTGACCTTAGGACATTCTTCGTTAGATGCGTTTTGACTTCGTGGACGTGTCGGCTAGGGGAACTCGGGGAGCTGTTGAGAAGCGATGAGACGCACGCTAAGGGACCGGCTACAGTTGATAGGTTTGGGAACGGGTGAGTGCGCAGGGTACAATTCGCCGCTGATTCGCAACGACCAATAGAGATGTCAAATAACCTCGGATGTTCGCCAAGGAAGCTAGCCACAGCCTCATGAGAGGCATTGGTGCTGAACGAGACGAGTCTTGGGAACCTGGCATCGCGAAGGAGTTGAGTGATATTGCGAGAAGAGGCACCGCCGATCACGAGCTCGAGCGTGGTTATGTTCTCGCAGAGAAGAAGACAGTGGCGAAGCTGATGAAGCAGCACCTTCCCGGTGCCGAATCGAAGATTAAGATGCAGTACCGCTGCAGCGAGCTCAGGCTTGTACTGGGAGAAAGAGACGAACTCATCCAGACGTGTTTCGTCGTTGATAGACAGATAGGCCTACGGCAAGTTAGCCCTCAGAGCCGATATTGAAGTCCATGGTACTCACGGAAGGATGTTCGCCTAGTGCATTCTAGCAATCGAACTTGAGTACATGATCCTACATCATTCCGGATGGCTCACCTGTCTAGCATTGTTGCGAGTGTAGTAGGTTAACTTGGATTTTTGCATCATGAGATGAGGAATTTACGGTGCTCGAGTACAGCTTTTATACCAAAGGCTGATCCAGTCCCTTTGTTCGTTTCTTTTGTTCTTCACACGGACGACCCTGACCTGTTGCAATCGCAATCATACTTTCTTGCATCATGCAGAGCCAACCTTGTTCACGGAACAACGCGAATGCGTTGCAAACGTCAAACCTGTCGCTTCCTCACACTGGGTGTTATAAGGTTCCGTATCGCCTCAGCTGAACTTAATCGTATGTTCTTCTCGTACCGGCTTTCGTTGGGGAAGACGTGTCCGCCCACAAGCTACGCGACGTTACGTCTCCTGTGGGTCCAGGGTGCGGTGTTTATAGCCGTCAGATCAGGTACTGTGGGTCCATAGCGCGGCGTTCATGATTCTCAGTTCAGACTGTTGTGGGTCCGCCTCTCGGCTCGGCGACGTCCATTGTTCTCGGCTCCGTCTGATCATTGTACTAACGGAGTTACAAGGCCGCAAGGTGGCTGATGTCGATGATGGCGCCAAGACTATAGGCACCGGTCTTCTTGTTCTGCTCACCAGTTTGTTCCCATTTTGGTATTACCAGGCCCAGCACTTGCTCGTGGAATTGACCGTTCGCCGCCCGTTTTCTTTGTTTCCCCTCGCACCCTCAAGGTCCTCTACAGTCGCTCGCCTTCCATGCCACCAACCTTCAAACGCCATCACAGATTACGCGGGCCCCATGTCGAAGAAATCACCTCTCTGTGTTTCAGCCCCCATCGTACCTTGCTGGCTGCGGCAGGAATGGACGGCAAGATCTCGGTTTGGGACACGCAGACTGGCATAATGGCTTTTATTCTAGAAGGGGTAGTTCCAGCGACGGCTCTGGCCTGGGACCCTTCGTCCGAAGTCAAGTTTTTTATCGGTCTAGGTAATGGAACTCTGGTGTTTGTTTCGATTCAAGAGGTAGGTGGATGACATTATACTACAGTTCGACACTGATGGTTCGCCCTTCCCCAGGACAGGTTAGAAGCCATCGGCTTTCCCGCTCATACAAAGTATCCGATCGAGTGCATCTCCGTCCAAGGACAGTACATAGCAACCGGAGCACACAGAGAAGTTTCTGTATGGCATTTCGACGGGAGTAAGTCGTCTCAGTGATTTCATCATCGCTGTCTCATTAGGTCTCTAGCATTTTGCCGCTTAATCTGCAAGGTCGATCAGCCACCTAAGGTCGTCGAGAACGAGGACAGTGAAGTCATCGCATGTGGCCTACACTGGATCACAACCGACCAATCGTCAAACGTCCTCTTGATTGCCTATATCCATCACGGTGTCGTGTAATCTGGAGCCTTTTGTTCACTGATTTAGCCTGACAGCTTTTGCTTATTAGATTCTGGGATCTGCAATCAAAGTCGTCCACGCCTCGTCATAACGGCGCACTAATGTACGTCCTCAGTTACCGACACGATTGGTCCCCGTACTCAACTGTCGAGGATAGTGGGAGCACATCCATTTCTCCTGACCATCAATACCTTGCGTTGTCAAATATATCTGGAGGTGTCAACGTTTACCGCGTTTCAGATGGATTGCCCACATCTCGCTTTAAGCATCAGCGCACCGGTCAAAGTTTGCGGCGTGCCCCTGTTGCGTTTATCAATGACGGAAAGTATCTTCTCAGTGGAAGTGCGGCAGGTGAATGCTACCTATGGGATATCGACAAAAAAGACAGTGTCAAGCTCTCATCGTGCAAAGGTAAGCATTATGATCACTACGAAGCCGCGACATTAATTATTTCTGAAGAGGGCGAAGTGATATCTGCAGTTGTGGTACGGAAATAATTTAGCTGGCTTCGCCGTTCTGATCTCTGGTGCAGGGTCCTCCATGTTGTACGGACGAAAGGTCCTACATTGCCACCGCAACAAATATGTCATCACGCGATGGCAAGCCGTATATTCACCTATGGCAACAGAACAATGGAAGTGAGTCGCGAAGTGACCTGTCACTATGCTATACTCATTTTCTTAGGCAAATACCTGAAACGTAACACTTTGAATAGAACTATAATAGCGCTTCTTATTGGCGCGTTCCTTACTTGCATTCCCTGGCTGAAAGCTTTTTTGTCGGACGATTTGAGTAGACATTTACCACAGTGGCTGGTGTAGCCTTAGTGCTGTGTTAGTGTAGCAGGAACATGAGATATTATTGTCGTGATCGGCGCCATCAGCGTGATAAACACCTCGTTCCGTGATGAAGTTCCATATTAGGGTTAGTAATTAGCTACGGTTCACTCACCGCCAAGATTCCTTGTCGACTTTCTCGTTCGTCCGCGCGCGTGCGGCCATGCCTCCTCTGGTGGAGCCGATCATCCTAGACAAGGACCGCCTTGTTGAGTGCAAATGTCCTATATGCACATCGGAAGGTCTACGTGATCCTCAAAGCCACGAACTCATCGGAAAATGGATCAAACCCAGCCTCCAGCATAAGCACAAACGAAACTACCACCACCAGATCGACATGGATGTCGATGAGGCTGCCTCGGTCGATGACCAGGCGAACAAAGCTATCCTTTCCGCAGCTCTGCGCCCACAGGATGGCCCACACGAGGAACTACCTATACGAGCGCGGGATATCATATCGACAAGACACGCTGAGCGTCAGGTATAGTGCTACACTAAGGTATGACTCTGGGAGTTCTAACGATCGTCTTGGTAGGCTACCCAGTCTTGCCGTACCAGAGATCCACCAAGAGCAGGCGCCGATCCTACCCAGGTATGAGACTTCCGTCGCCCTATATTCTTGAGATAACGTCTGACGCAATGCCCTTACTTCAGACTGATCGATCTCACCACACAGCCGCAGTGAATGATGGCATAGCTCAGTCGGATACAGTGAGCAGCTATCTTTCCTCTCCAATATCCGTGCTTATTACCGGAACACTTAGTTCACGGGCATTGATTTGAACGTACTTAGCGCCGAGCTAGATCGTCTGGCTCATCGGTCCAGACTGCGAGGCTACAAACTCGTCTTTGATGATGCTGGTCTACACGGCTTATCTACCAACAGAGAAAATCACGAGTTCGTGGTCTATGAAACCTGGCTGCAGCGTACATGCGATGAGCTAAGATCCTCGGCCGAGCATACTGAACAGTGGAATACACTGGTCGGAAGGGTACAAGCCGAGCTAAGTCGACTCGAGGAAATCAAGCAGGCACAGTCTTTGCAATATCGACTCAGGAATACGGTCGAAAGTTTGCCTCGTGATGAGCGCAATGTTGAGGTAGTATCTACTGGTGAGTGATCGGCTACTTATCATAGCAACTTCGTCTAACGTGAATGCAGAGGCGTATCTCGAACGGTGGCACCTTACCACCTCGCGCAATCTTCCCCTCTTTATCGCTTCGCTCCTGGTGATTGTCCTCCATGTTCTGGGAGGCGTATCGCGTGAAGGTAGTAACGCACTTCTGTCGGGTTTGAAGGCGCTGGTCGTAGCACTTTTCTGGTTGGTCAAGTCGTTCTCGAGAGATAGCACTCTTTCCCCGGAAGAATCTCGGTTCTTAAAAGATATACCTAGCGACGTACGTACGGCGCTCAAGGATTTCGATTTGGAACCGGAACTTGTCCATTATGCTTGCTGTCCACAGTGCTTCGCCACCTACGCACCTAACTCATCCTTGCCAGATCTATATCCTGAATCATGCAACTTCGACCCCAACACCGGCCAGTTTATCAATGACCATGATGCTGATGTCTGTGGTGCTCCACTCCTTGTGAAAGCGAACCAGGGCCGAAAGCCGATCAAGGTCTTTGGCTATCAGCCTATATCCTCATGGCTCGCACGCATGTTTTCACGTCCGGATTTTGAGGACCAGCTTTGCTCAGCCCCATCCGATACTAGCCCATCTCAGTGGGCAGATATATGGGACGCCCAGGCGCTGCGAAATCTGGTTGGATCGGACGGAAAGCCATTTTGTTTCTCACCGCCTCACGCGACCCATCTAGTCTTCAGTCTATTCATCGATTGGTTTAACCCTTATGGCAACAAACAGGCTGGTAAATCGCACTCTACTGGCGCCATATACATGATCTGCTTGAACTTACCTAGCCACCTTCGCTACAAACTCGAAAACGTATACTTGGTGGGCATCATCCCTGGTCCTCGAGAACCTTCTCTTCAGCAAACCAATCACATTCTTCGGCCGCTAGTTGACGACCTTATCCGCCTCTGGGAGTACGGGATTATGCTCCCGAAGACGTATCGCTCTCGCGTCGCGTGGCTGATTCGCGTTGCCCTCGGTCCATTAATCTGTGATCTGCCAGCGGCGCGGAAGACCGCGGGATTCGCCGGCCACGCTGCTGACTTGTTCTGTTCCTTTTGCCGCTTGTCCAAGAAAGACATCAAAAATTTTGTCAAAGCCAGCTGGCCCCGCAAGTCCCGAGAGGAACATTATCAAGATGCAGAACGTTGGCGGTCGGCAACGACGGACGCAGATCGCATCAAAATGGTCAGGAGACGGGGTGCTCGATGGTCCGAACTGCTGCGCTTGCGTTACTGGGACGTCACCCAATTCACCGTACTGGACTCTATGCACAACCTATTCCTAGGCGAGTTCCAGCACCACTGTCGTAACGTCTGGGGCATCGACGTCAAAACGAACGAGGCGCAACGAAGTCGAACCCGGCCACATTTCCCAGAGGAACAGGAGAAGTGGCTGAACGTGGCGAAAGCGGGAATCCTCGCTCGATCATATTCGAACCTGAAGCCGGTTCGCAAGGGCTACGTCGGTGCTATCCTCCAGTACAACAATATCCCACTGTCTGGGACCTCAACAACAAAGGAAGCCCTCATCGACACGCTTTTCAATTGGGTATGTCCTTATTCGGTGCTCTGTTGCTGATGATCAAGCTCGGCTGACTGTGATTGGTCGGCGTAGTACGAAACCCATGATCCCATCATCGCCCTGCCGCCAGTGATGGACGAGGCCACAGCTGACTTTGACCTCCCCGAGAATGCCCCTGACTTGTCCCGGTATTGTGTTCTCGGGAAGGACGTCCTTGACGCCATACGATCTGACATGAAGACCACAACGTTTCCGACATGGCTAGGGCGGCCTCCACACAACTTCGGCAGCCCAAACCATGGCAAGTTAAAAGCCGATCAATGGCGGACCGTCTGCTCGGTGTCATTGGTCATTACTCTCGTCCGGATGTGGGGAGATGGCACCGTACCGGCCCGAAAAGCTGATCTGCTGCGAAACTTCGTTGACCTCGTGGTGGCTGTAGACATGGCTACTCGGAGAAGAACTTCACCAGAACAAATTGCCACATACCTCAAGTCCATGACGACTTATCTGCAGGACCTTCGTGTACTATTTCCCGACCATAAATTCGTTCCCAACCACCATCTCTCTCTCCATCTAGACGAGTGTCTCACCCTTTTTGGCCCTGTCCACTCGTGGTGGTCGTTTCCTTTTGAGCGATATAACGGCATCATGCGCAGCTTCAACATGAACAATAGACCAGGTGAGTGCGCGGAATACCGTGTCATCGTGAGTCTGACGGATCGTCTAGATCAATTCGAACTTACACTATCGAGATATTTCTGTATGGCAGGTAACTTGAGGGCGTTGATCGCGCACACGAACCTTCCCAACAGCGACGCGTTCTCTAACTTTATACATCACATCCAAACCGCATTCCCTTCTATTTCTACGATACCCCTGGACCGTGCCATCCTTCACCCGGACGAGAGCCCATGTCGTCCCGAAGAGAATGACACATCGCCCCTTCAACCTCTCCCTCCAGCGGCATACCTCTCATTAATGGCTCTCTTGAACGCGTCACACACCCAGAGGTTTATTACATCAAGGTCGTTGTCCACATCCAGTGATATGGCAATGCTCAGTCCTGAGGCACGTTTTGTGCAAACTGTGCAAGCGGGTGGGGTTCCTTATGGCACAGCTTCGTCCAAGGCCAAAGGGAACTCATTCGTTCTATTCTACCATTCGTCTAACGTACCAGACTCAAGCGCGCAGCTGGGTCAAATCCAGGCTATCTTTCACCATACCCGACGAGAGCGCTTGGAGACGAGATCGGAGACTTTTGTCCTGGTCAGAAGGTTTCGTCCCCTGTCACGCGGAGACGCAGTCCACGATCCTTACCGCCAATTCGAGCATCTCGGAGCCACACTTCATTACAATGAATTTGATGACACAGAGCTTGTGGTACGCCTTAGCGATGTTCTATGTCACTTTGCCTCCTTCGTCTACACGCCCGCCGGTATCGAGAGGGATTGTATTGTCGTTCGGTCACTAGACAGGGTGAGTTCTCCCGTGTGGTCCTAATCCTGGCTGTTTACCAAACTCATCGTTGGTAGTCATGATTCAAGCTACGTTCTTCCGGTGCTAGTTGAGAGGATGTAGAAGGGTGGCGGGCGAGCAGCCGGGCTGGTGCACAACACTGATAAACGTAGACATAATTGTTTATAGGAATCAAGTGAATAACATTGGTTATATTAGACTTGCCGAGGCTGGACAATTGGCGATAATTTATGTCTGTAAACTCTATCCCAGGTACCTTTCTGAACCAACGTCAATGTTCCCTTCTCCGTAATGGCAACGAATCTATCGGGCTCTTGAGGGGGAGATGAACCATAATCCAAGCCAGCCCACTGAAGGGTGCGATTGCGAGTAGTCCATATCCACACTTGGTACATGTTACGAGCTCGGTGGCAGAAAAAGTCGCCCTCGTGAACGTCAGGGGGGCGAGGGGGAGTCACAAGTAGTTGATTAGACCGAGATTCGTATACCCAGTAGTTTTTCTCCGGAAATCCTCGGTATGGATACCGGGTCCGTTCGGAGATCTATCAAAACGTCAGAGACGTGAGGGCTAGACAATAACGTAGCTGTTTACCTCTATATCGTTCGGAGTCTGGTCGTTGACAGGTATATCCGACGGTGGAGCAACACTTTGGCTTCGCTGGGATGTGGGAGGAGCAAGGACAGGCGCACTATTACGAGGCTGATTAGAATCAATGTAACTCGGTGACTGAAAGATGAGCTACTTCTCTTCGACGGGAGCACTTGTGCTACGGAGACTAGCTGCAGCGTGTTTCGCGTCCGTTGCTTCGGTATTCTCAAGAGGCGCACTGGGATAGATATCATAAGAAACTGCTAGTGATGTTGCAAGAAAGGACTAACGTAGCGGAAGCCGGGGGTTCCCTTTGATCAAATGTCCGAGTGAAGGTGGCCTGCTTTCTTATCCAGTCTTTCTTCTCGTCGTTCCAGATCCGGGGCCCTGAGAGCTCAAGCCTCGTAGGCTCGTTACGAGAGGGGCTGAGGGGCACTTGCACCCGAAACAGCCAGTCTTGCGGCATTCCTAGAGGCGGCCACCAAGTAGTATGTAGTAGTGGGTAAATGTCACGGAGCGCTCACTGCAGATGTGAAGAAAGTGAGGGGACGTTCAAGAAGAGAGAAACGTGATGGCTGTTCCCGAGTTTGCCACGTGTTCTGACTGTAGACACTGTTGCACACGGTCTCGGGGCCTTCCTCGCGCTGTAGGCGCCGTTACTCACGCTTCCGCCCACACGTCACTCCTCCCGGCGTTCGTCCTCCTCTAAACCTCGCCCACGATGAACATGAGCGCCTACAGTTATTAGAAGCCCAAACGTTCTCAGAGCTGGGGGATCATGGCACTCTAGGTAAGGCTTGCTTGCTCAACGGCCACCAAACTGAACTGATCGCCTTTCCTACAGTGTTCTATCTGCCCTTTCCCGGACCAACACTCTATCTGCAAGCTATGCACTCTCAAGATCTCAAATCCAACATCTTCCCTCCGACACCAAATCGGATGACAGAGAAGGGCAGAGGATGCAGACGGTCAACCGCCTTGGCGTTAAATTTTTCGTGTACGTCACGTACGTGTACGTCGCTCACTCTAGTTCGTTCTCGTTTCTTCTTCTCAACGCCGTCAGTGACTTACACCAGACGCTATGGATGATGCCCGCTCAATATCTAAGTTACTATTCCGTACATGTATAGCTCATAACATTGACGCATATATTATTAGAAATTTTTAAGTACATCACTGACTTCTGCGAGGACATAGTTGCGGACAGGGCTTGATGTGATGCGCCGACGGCACATCGGACACACGCATGCTAGACGACCTTCTTCAAGGAGGCGACGGACCGTATGGGATTCCACTCGAGAAGGGAGAGGTAGATCAAGAGACCGGTAGTAGTTCTTAACATGATTCTTCGTAAAATCTCGGAAGCAGGGAATACAGAAGCTATGGCCGCAGGACAACCTGACGCGTACGTTCAGCACAGATATTACCTCGGTGCGTAAGTACCTACGTGCATGGTTCTTCCATCGTATTGTGGCAAAAAGGGCAGGTCACGGTTTGCGAGAGCCGCTGACGGAGCTGAAATTCTTCCATTAGAGTCAATTTGGCGAAGTTGACGGTAGGAGCATACTGAGTTTTCGGACCGGTCCACTGATGACGCAGGCTGCACATTCTTCACGGTCCTTGGCCGGGACCTTGAACGTGTTCCGTACTCTTCACGAACAGGGGGCCGATTCCGAGTAGACGAAGATGGTTTATAAGAGGCAGCGTCGCGAGTAGCGCGGCGGCACGGGGAGGAGGTCATCCAGAAGACGTCAAAGGAGCCTAGGATGTGGAGACGTTAAGGCCTCCCACAGCGTCTTTATACTACGGAGGACATTTTGAACAAAGGGCTCGCTTTGACGGGCCGTTGTCACCGGCAATTAGACAACATGTTTTGTACTCTCGAATGGACGCAGTGACACTGATGCGATTCCCTGAGGCTACATGTTCCGAGATGTACCACGCTTGTCGCGAGGCGCAGACATCAGGAAATCAACAGGCTGCTTTTTTAGGGTCATGGTGCTTTCTCGCACTTTTTCTCGCTTATTGAGACTTAGCGATATTGTCAGTTTACCGTACAAAGTACAAATAAGTAGTTTCATGTCAATAATGAAGTTAAAGCGTCGCAAGGAGCATTTCGACGACTAAAAGTCAAAATAAGGAACGCGCTCGAAAAAAGCGATGCAAGTGGCGCAGCTGTATATCATAGTAGTGCTACATATACTCACAGCTCTATTCTCCCGCATGCACTACTACTACATTGAACGCGCCCACGCCCGCACCAATAAGGGTGCAAACCTCCCAGCATCGACTTGCCACCCACAAGTAGTGTGCGCGTTGTTCACGAGCGCCCCCGTGACCATGCGCACGTCAACCCGGGGGAGACGCACGAGGTGGAGGCGTGGGCCCGGGTGTGCTCGCCATCAAGGATAATGCCGTTAGTAATCGACACCGTGACCCTGCGCGGACACGTTCAGTACGCGCAACCCGCCATGTCGTACATGCCCGCGTACACACCGGGGTTGGACAAGAAGGTATGTTCTCAGAGAAGTTGCCGCCCCAGGACTTGGAGGCGGCGACTTCGGGGACGTTATGTGTCGCATCAAAGGCGACGCTATCGAGGCAATGGTCAACAAACCAGGGCGTTTGCAAAATGGAAGTGTGATACGCACCAGGGACAGCTGGCGGGGAACAGCTGGAAGCCCACAATGTTCGCGTACTCCTCAAGGTAGCGCGCCATGACGGCGAGCGTCGAGTTTGTCGAGGGCTCGTAGTCGCCAAAGTTATACGGCGGCTGCAAGCAGCTCAACGTGTTCTCATCGTTGCACGACGTGTCAATGTCCTACCCTGCGGCGCTCTCAGCGACTGCGCCCGTCGCGCGGCACGGCGTGGCCTCGACGCCGCCCGAGCGCTATGCACCAACTGTACGCAATCGTGGGGATGGTGCCATACCCGGAGGTGGGACGCAAGTAGACGTGGGATTTCTGTTAGCAGCGTGGAGCGAATATTGATCAGACATGTCAAGAAGCGAGCAATCATGAGGACTCACATCGACTAAACTAGCCTACTTGCGACTCTGGCTCTGATAACGGGAAATCGTGTAGCTGTTGTAACTAAGCTATCTGAAACGAATGGTGGTCAGCATACCGATTGACGTAAAATCCAAAGAAATCGTTGTAGGAGTTATAGTGTTTGGCGCCTTCGGGAATGAATTTATCGCCATAGAAGGGGATGAGATGGGCAGCGCGGACAAGGGAGTTGACGGGGACAACACCAAGCAGACCAGTACCGTCTTCGTTGTAGTCAGGGGCCACCATATACATTCCGGTGTCTTCGTCTCGAGCGTCCTGTACCCTAGAGAACCAATGGACTAGTGCACACCGGTAGTACTTCGACCGGTAATCAAAGCCAATGAAGGCCAGAACCCGAGCTACTTCCATACCTAGCATACCAGAGATGCTGTTGTCCGTCGAAACAAATGCGCAGTCATGGCGAGCGGCTTCGTTCCTCCAGTTGAGGGTTGAGCGGATGCGTTCTGAACGCATTCCACCTGTTCCGCATATGTCGCTGGGTGCCCGGAAGGTTGCGAGGGATGAGTTGTAAACGAATATACGCGACTTGCGGGGGAAGTGAGGAAGACGAGAAAGGGGGACATCTGTGACGTCCACCTCTGATGCCGGCGATAACTGCTCATGCAAGAAGCACTTCACCTGATAAAACAGGTCAAACTCCGGGAGCTTGAGCTCGCCAGCGAGAGCGGGGATGGTGTGCGCGCGCCCACGGGCTGACGCGACATGAATTAAAAAGGATCCACGAGGGCAAGTAGACTACGCACCTGGAGAGCTGGCCAATCGAACCCTTGCCTCAATCCGGCCATCAATGGCAGACCCCTCCTCATCCTCTACGCTTCCGTTGATAACGCCTCGCACGCGAAGACGTGCTGTGACGGCCGGGTCAAGTGTTAACGTCTGAAAAAGGGCCCCGGAAACTGTAGAGTAGAGTTAGCTTTGAGTCCACAAGCCAGGGAATAGACTTACGCCGCGTGAGGGATCTATTAAGTGCCGTGCTGATAGCTGCATCCTGCAGCATTCCGCGTGCAGCGAAATCAACCCGAGCTGCAGCTAGCTTGTCTAACCTCTGATTAGTTATGAGCATCTGTTTCAAAGCTTCGAATCGGCTCGATCTTCGCCATGGTTCTTTGACTGCTTTGATATGCTTTGACTCTGTTATCGAAGAACAGAGGCCATTAGGCGCCCCAAACTGACGGATAAGGAAGAGGTAATGCTTCAGCGAGTGTTGTCGGGGGAGGGATATCGAATTTGCAACACCCAAGGTCTGGAAGATAGCGCGATATCGGTGGAAACGCTCCAGCGCATCCTCAATCTCGAGCAGCGTCTCGTCAGTAATGACGTCACGCCGGACTAAGTAGCAGAACTCCAAGAACGCGCGGAATGTGCGCACGACATCACGGGGCACATGCCCTTCGATAGCTGGAATGTAGACCTGAGAACAGCAGTAGTATCAGAATCACGTAGAATGCGGATAACAATGTGCATACCTTCATTAATGCCTTGCTGTCGTCCCCCGTCCATTGCTTGAATCCACGCCCATTTGGAAATCGTCGCAACCCGGCAAATGGCGCGACAGCGGCAATTCTATGGTCACTTGTTTAGAGTTCTGATGAGGTGTGGAGCCGAACCGGCATCAGCTTACCTCCGGTCAATGTCATCGAGGATCTGGAGCGCGCGAGCCTTAGTGTGGACCTTGTGGAGGTAGGTGACGACCCATTCGACAAGATGGTCTTTAAACGTGCCCTTGACGAGCTGATGAAGAATATCGGGAGATATCATTTCGTGGATATCAGCGCGTGGAAAGTCGTTTGTGAACGGCTAGCAATGGGTGAACTTGAGAGACAAGAGGTATGAAGACAAGACACGCACAATTGTATTCCCGATGATACCGTAGTTATCCCACAGCGTCCCGAGGTCCAGCTCATTGATCACCAGCTCGTTATGCTCTTTGCACCGATGCAACACCGGATGTACTGCATCCGAGCCATCGAGATCATCCCGAAATGCAAGACACCTTGAGAATATCAGTACTTGATACACGTCGGCAGGATCACAGACTACTCACCTCGGACACCATCCTTGAACGATACAGGTGAGAAGTGCCTGCTCCGGATAGTCCGCAATGTAAGGTCCGAGGCCGTAGATGACCCGTCGAAAGTAACCGTCTCCAAACCGCACGACCTCATACTGAGTCATGCCAGACTTCAGAGAGCGGAGGATTCTTGATAGCGAGGAATGATAAAGCTGTCGGCGAAAGTGCCGGAACTCCGGATCACCGGTGTAGCTTTGGTTTGCTTGACATGCTGTTAGAAGACATTCACTGGAAATGAACGCACAGCTTACTTTTGGGGATCGAGAGGAAGCCAATGAGAGCCACGGCATTTCGGTGCGCCCGCCGAATGGTGTTGTGGACATTGCCAACGGACAGGTATAGCGGGTAGTACTCCGTGTGACCGGTGGCAACTGACACCGTTGTTTTGTCACTACCGAGGATTACGGGAACAAATGTGCTCCCGGCCGTCGTGGGATCTTCTGCTATTTTGTCCTTGAGAAAATGTTAGCAACTGTACGCGGCGACTCGGAATAAGAGCACTCACCGCCTGGTCCCATACCCAGTCTCCAGAAAACATATCCTCCCATCGACGCGACCCCGACGCGTCAAACTCGCGGTACGGACTGTAATCCATACTGCCCTTGAAGTCCGGATTTGCAAGGATGTTTTTGATGATCGTGCGTGGGTCGCGGAACCAGACATCGTATGATGTGGTCATCCATGGTGGGACGTCGCCTACTGGCCTCGGGCCCTTGTACGACATTGCGAACGACTCCCAGGGAACTTCGCCAGCCTTGATATTATCAATGGTTTTATACAAGTCCTTGTGATCGGCGAAGGGTGGGTGGGCATTGTACTTCTGTAGTGTCGCGCCCCAAAGGTCCATGAGCGTGTCGATGTGCTCTGCAGGGGCCTGAGTTCGCCGATAGAGGAAGTCCGCTGTCTCGAATTCGATTCGATCGCGAAATGGGGCCCAGTCATCGGGTGCACGGGGTGGCAGTGGAAAAGGAGGAGCGTCGACGTCTACGAACTCGCCATCAGGCCCGCACTTGCGTCCTATAGAGACCGGTAGTGAGGGATTAGCACGCATGCGTAGGACAGAATGGAACGCACCATCAAGAAATGGGTGATACTCCCGTACTTTCTTCCCTGCAATCTCTTCTACCCTGCCCCTCACCCGTCCATCCTCCGGAAAAACTTCTGATGGGGCGCCGTCGTCTGGTTGAGGGTAGTCACCTTCCCATTGAGGATATTCGTCTTCCGGCGGCTCAAACTCGTTTCCGACGGGTTCTGGAGCAGCGTCGCATGCTGGGACCGGAGTTGACTCGCGGGAGCTGTCAACCAAGCCGTCATGTTTATGGTTGATGTGGTTGTTGAACCCAGCCTGGTTTTTGAAGAGACGCTTGCAGGAAAGGACGGGACACTGGTATCGAAAGAGGGAGTGAATCGGCCTTGCAGGATTTGACTTGCTGGCCTCAGGCTGAGGTGAACTTGACTCCATGGTGATCGTAATACCGTGATGCCGGAGGGGCCTGGTCGCAAGGAGAAATGAGCAAGCAAGAGTGCACAGAGAGGAGGCAAGGGTAAGGGGGTGCCAGTGAGGAGATGAGGGCGAGGAGTGTGTCAGTGAAGTAATGAGGGCGCAAGGGGTGTGCCAGTGAGGAGGCGAGAGTGACTTGGGGGGGTTTGGTGGAGAGAAGAAAAGAGCGCCTATACAAATGACACGGTGAAGCGAAAAACGAGAATGGAGAAAGTCGGAAGCATAGCCCTGCTGCGGTGAATCGAGTCAGGGGATAGTCTGAATAAAACAAGCGGAATACGTTACCCTCTTAGCTCGGCCCAGGCTGACAACCATCCCCGTCCCTCTTTTACCCGAACCATATCGAGCTACTCCCAGAAATTTTCGTCTTTTTCCTCCTTCCCTCCACTCTCCTCTCTGTTCCCAATGTCCTCCCGCGTCACCAGAGCATCTAATGCAGACAAGCATCCCGGAGACCTCCACAGAGCCTTGAACCGCCGAACCGCCGAAGAAGTTGAGCTGCAGAAGAAGCAGAAGAAGGCGGAGCAAGAGAAGAAGAACGCCGAGATGAACCGTTCGCATGAACGTGTCGCCAGCCTCGAGAATGAGCTGGCCAAGAAGCGCGCAAAGAAGGTTGCTCACGCACCGACAGCACCCCCATTTCCAACGACCGGACAGAAGGGAAAACCTCGCGCTGCCGCCGCCGCCGCCGTCGCCAACAATGACAACGACAACGATGCAACACCCAAAGTGCCTTCTAGGCCGAAGTTGAAGACGACGAAGTCCTCCGCTGCCAACAGCAGCAAGGGCAAGGGTAATACAGAGGGCCCGGCCAAGGCTGCGAAGCCGAAGCCAACACAGACGAAGGCGGTGTCACCTGCTGATGGGCAGGCTGACGAGTCCGATGGTGCTGGAGAATCAGTTGACAACAACAGTGAGTAACTCTACCCATGGTCGCAGTAAGCACAACCTTTGCTTACCGGCCTATATAGACGAGCCAGCGCCGAAGCCTGTAGCCAGAAAGCGAGGTGGCAAGGGGATAGCAACGAAGAAGACTAACACTGGAGGTGAGAATAGGTTATCAGTGTCCTGATCTAAGCTTCGGATAGTGCTTACCTCTCTCATTCCACCGTTCCCGCAGGCGATGACGGCACCGAGGCCAACAACATGGTGGAGGCCAAAGAGGTGGTGAAGGCGGTGAAGAAGAGTCTGGCGGAAAGCGCAACCTACCGCGCTCAAGTCGACAAGAAGAGAAAGGAAGTGCAGCCTGTGAGCGGTGCGGAGATATCAGCCGCAGCCGCAAAAGGCAAGTCGACGTGAGTAATTTGCCCTTGTCCTCCAATCCGTCACTCACCATGCTCTTGCAACTGTCTGAATCCACCCTTTTCTACCGGGATCTCGCCCTCGACATCATATGCCGCAGCCACGCCATTGGCTTCAAGACTGATGTCAAGAAGTGGTCCGCGTCCGTTGTCCCGCGTGGTCCACCCGCGTCAGCCTCAACTATGTCCCGTTCCCGCAGTCTCTTTACCAGTGCAAAGTCCTCGACCATCGCTGCCCAGTCCGCTACCACCAAGGAGAAGCAGTCCGAGCCCCAGTCCGCGCCCAAGTCAAGGCCCAAGCCCACGCTCAAGCGCAAACCCGAACCCGAGCCCGAGCTCTGTGATGAAGAGGAGGACAGCTATGGGCTCCCTGACGATAACGCCGAGGACCTCGCCCGGGAGCGCGCAAGCATTCGCGCGCAAGCAAGTACACTAGATGTAAGCACACGCATTCTGGCTCCCTTCAAATCAGTCCCTATTAATGTCTTTCTAGGTTGTAGAATTGTCGAGTCCCCCAGGAAGCCCCTTGCCTGATGTCCCCCTCGATGTCTCCTCCTCCCCTCTATCGCTGCCTCGCCCCTTCACCCAGGTGCCCTACGAGCGCCTCGCCTCGCCTCTTGAAGACATTACATCTCCCGCCGAGCGCCTCGCCTCGCCTCCTGAAGATGTCACTTCTCCCTCCGAAGACCTTCAAGTCTCCTCCCTCAAGCGCCGTCGCGCAGACAGCATCAATGAAGAGGGTGACTGGGAGGAAGCTAAAGGACAGGATATGGAGCTGGATGAGGAGCTGGATGAGGAGCGGGACAGTGCCGCACATACGGTGGACGAGGACGCCGTGCCTGCATGTCCCTACTTCACTCCCGTTTGCATTTACTGATCCGAGTCCATTGTATAGGACTCTGAACCCGAAGCCGAGCCCGCCGCAAAACGCAAAACTCGCACTACGGACATGGTAAGCACATCACTACGTATATATTCTCCAACAATCTACTGACATTCGTACAGGCTGATGTTGAGATCCAGCCTGCTAAGCGTCTCAAGCAGGCTTCGGGAAAGGCCGCTGTTAACAAACTTGAGAAGGACGTCAACAAGGGCAAAGACGCGACTGGCAAGGGCAGTGACACCGGTAAGAGTGATGAGACGGGCAAGCGCAAGAAGAAACACAACAAGGACACGTTACCTCCGCACGCTCGCAACAACAACAGGTGGGCACGCGTTTTCATCCCGACCTTCCTTGCCTGGCTTGCTTGTCAGAAGGAGGTATGGGGCCCTTCGAACAAGAAGATTCTCGATGCGCTCCGGAACACCTGGCGCGCAGTCTACAACGAGGAACTTCCCTCAGAGCAGGATTCCATTCGTGGGGCTGTGTTCACTCTAGTAAGTGCGTCTATTGATCTACCACTCAATCGACTTAAAGATCCGCATGCAGTGCAAACAGCGAGCCAACGAATGGCGCAGCAACTTCGGCTCCACCGCCACATCAGTCCTCTCGCTTTCGTTTGCTGATGAAGGCATGTATGGCCACGAGGAGGCGGAGGACCAGAGGACTGAGTATGCCGCTGGGCTGCTCGTTGGGAATGCATTCATGTACGAGAGTGTTCCCGAGGATGGCTCAAAGCCCAGTGGTAATTTCAGGGGCCCGCTATATGCCAGTACCCTTGCAACCCACCTTGCCGCTATCCGCGGCCGCGTCAGAGTTCCCCAGCACGACGACGAGCATGACCACTATGTCCCGCGTGGGGCTATGACGCTTGCATGCGCTGCGGTATGCTCCACGCTCTGGCACTGCCAATGTTACTAACAATAACTGCTTCTCTCAGGCCGAGCGCGCGTGCCAGCTTGCTGCTGGCAATCAGCTAGGTGACCTTGAGGCGGTCGTCGAAGACCTGGTTGCCTTCCAGGCTAGCGGCAACGGCAGCTGCCCTATCTTGAAGGCCGGGAATCTTCTCCGGGTACACTCGAAGGGTCGCACGCAGGTCAACGAGCGTACAGGCAAGCCCTCGACAAGCCTCGCGAACTTCTCGGAGGCGAACTGGAAGTGGGGAACTGACTTGTATTGGGCGAGCATTGGGCGCATGAGCGACAAGTACCTTTCCGACGCGTTCAAGGCAACGGAGGCTCACGCCCGCAACCTCAAGAAAGCTGACGAGGACGAGGAAGACGACGAGGACGAGGATATGGTCGACGTCGCACATTCCGATCCGCGTGCGCTGCTGGAAGAGAATTGTATTGTCTATTCTCCTCCTTTCATATGTCTAGTACTAATAATTGGCTGCTATCTTAGGATCGCGTTCACCATCTCGCCGGCTGTGGCATCACGCCATCACGCACTCTCCTCCTCGTCCCTTCATACTATCTCTCCTCGTTGTTCTGCTCTTGTATCTCGTCTATTCTCGCGCCGTTCCCGCTATCGCCCCGCCCAATGGCACCCTCTCAGCCCCCCTTTTATATTCCCGATCCCTTATTTTGTTGCACTTTCTATATGCTGTCGATCTCTTATAATCCCTTTTTTGCGCTTTTTTCGTATCTATGGACACTGAATACACGCTTTGTGCCGCTCCACCGAAACTGACTGATCCTCACAAGTCCCCACAAGTAAGAAAAAGTATCGAAAGCATAAACCAGGAAGCAAAAACAGTAGAGGACTCTACTGGTTTGCGCTTTTTTTGAGCTCCCTTATTTTGTACTTGAATCGCCCTTGAAATGGAATAAGCACCAAAAAGTACCGGGCAAGCAGCCCGTCGATTTCCTGATGGACAGGCAGCCCAGTACCATGCCCAGCTAACTGCAAGCATCAAGAACTTCTGTCAGGCACTCACTTCATTGGGATACTTACGCTACCTCTCGCATCAGGCTGATAGCTCCTTTGTACTGCACCTTTCCTAAACCGTGCAATTGGGCTTGTTCTACGTAGGTACGTTGTTCTGAAAGTCCAATCCACGTTTCATCAGCGGACATGACGTGTCAGTATCAGCCATCCCCGCGGGTCAAGGTTTCTTTTCCCTCCTTTTTGTTACCTAAAATGCCACATAAGTGCTGCCCTTTGTTCTCGCTTTGTCCTGATGCGAGAAGGGCTCATTCTCCCTCATATATAACCCGTTCGCTCACCATTGCCTTTCCTTTCGTACCATTCCCATCCCTTCTCTGCAATCCTCGCCCATCAAGTTCCTGCTGCAGATAGATGTCCGCCAATCAAAAGCCCCTGACTTTAGAGCCGACGGCCGAGACCTGGTATGCGGTACGGCCTACCCCCCAGTCCACCGAAGTTACCGCTCCCCCGAAGGAAGAAGTATGGGGTGTTCTTCACCCAATCAGCTCCTACTTGAAGCCCATCCAACTCTCCGGAGCCGTCACTACCATTGGCAGGAGCTCTGACAACGATGTCGAAATTTCCGGCGGCAAGATTAGTTCGTATTATCTCTCAGGTCTATTTGTCTGGATTGGGATGCTGACTTGGCTGTTAGGCGCGAAGCATTGCACGATCAAATGGAACGGTCACAGCGACAAGTCCTCTTACGTTGTGGTGACTGATCATTCGAGGAACGGTACCTGGGTAAGCATTCGTCCCAACGTTGCGATTGATCGCTAGTAACATCACCATCTAGATCAACGAGGACATGATAACGAAGGACCAGTTCCTGCTTTTGAAGGAAAGCAATGAAATCACGTTTGGGCGGCATCCAAACTTGGACGAAGATCCGCTCTACAATCACCGTAAGTCATCGATTCAACAGCCGCTATCCCGTTTATGTAGTTAACTTATGCGCATGGGAAGGATATATATATCGTCATATTGCCACCCCTCCGACTCCGGGTACCCTCTATGCCTTGTACGACGTCGGGTATGAACTTGGCAGGGGAAGTTTCGGTGTCGTTATGAGCGGTGTCGCCCGCGCCACTGGGGTATGGCACGCGATCAAGATGATCCGCCCCCCGAAGGAGCTTATAGAGGCATACCCCCACGACGAGGAAGCAAGGAACAAAGTAACCAAGTTCCTACGAGAAGTTCAAATACTCGAACAGCTTGACCATAAGAACATCTGCAAGCTCGAGGAAGCGTTCTTTCAGGGCTGGGACATCGGTGAGTCGTCATTCTAGCTCTACCTTTAAAGAGATACTGATTTGGTATCAATAGCATTGGTACTTGAGTACGTGAACGGAGGAGATCTGTTTGATTATATGCAGACTTATGGCGTCCTCGGTGCGTATCACTTGCTCGACATCTCCCCTCCATCTCTCTCATTATTCACTCGTAGATGAGGCCACAACAGGCCGTATTGTCTATCAGATAGTCGACGCCCTGTGTGTACGTATTTGTCTTGTGCCTCTCACATATGTTGGCATTACTCAATTCATCCGTGATCAGTACATACATGCTAAAGACATTGCCCATCGGGATCTCAAGCCGGAGAATATCCTTCTCACTTCGGAGGATCCCCCCGTCGTCAAAGTCGCCGACTTTGGCCTCGCCAAGGTTGTAGAGGGCTCAACGTTTCTCAAGGTATGATGTTCTCTTCTTTGCAAGCACTTCTCCGCTTCATGCTTTGGTGTCAGACGAAGTGTGGTACGGCTGCATACGTTGCCCCGGAGATCCTGACACGGACGGAAGAAGAGGGATATGACTACGTCGTCGACTCTTGGAGTGTCGGCGTCATTGCACATCACATGTTGACAGGAATGGCACCTTTCATCGAAGACTCGTCGATTGAAGACTTGACAACGCGTATCATATCGCGTACAATCTACTGGGAAACGCTTGAAGACATGGATCTTAGCAGGAATGGTGCGTTTCGCGGAGTTGTGAATTCATGTAATATTCACTGACACGGTAACGTCCTATTCGCAGTTAAGAATTTTGTCCGAGCCTTGCTTCGGGAAGATCCTACCTTTCGCATGTCTATTTCCGACGCGCTTCATCATCCGTGGCTCGCAGCCTTCAAACCCACATCGGGACAGGAAACAGTCAAAGTCATGGCGGACCAGGGTGTCACTCATGCTGCGGCTTCGGAGCTGGGTGTCGCTCATGCTACGGTTTCGGAGCTGGGTTTTGCTCATGCCACGGTCTCGGAGGTGGGTGTCACTCATGCTACGGCTTCGGACCTACAGCACGAGCAGAGCGTGGAGGCGCTCTTGACGACTCGAGGTTCGGATGATGAGTAGGCTGAAACTGTTCGTAACACGACGGATGCTCCATGCCTCGAGACTTAAGGAGCTGACGAGTAGACTGAATCTATAAGGCGGGGCTTCCATTCGTAGTATGCGTACGTAGATACGCCAAAGTCACTGATAATGCAAGTATTGTTTCCAACATTCAGAAAATCGGTCGGGATAGGATATGGAATACTACATCAGGTTCGGGTATTTTCGGGCTTGTTACGTAGGTACAGCCCGTATTTAGCTCGGGAATCTTCGGGTAAATACGTAGGTACAGCCTACATAGATCTAGCTCGGGTGTTTTCGGATATATACGGAGGTACACACCGATGAGGAAAGTGACGTCCACCTTCTCGCGGTCCGTGAAGTCTTCTTCCCTTGAACTTGTGCTCCCTCGCCCTCTTCTCTCGTGCCTGTGCTCGCCCACGTCCTTACTCATGCAAACATCGTCTCGGGGAATTATAGAATATACCAGACCTGCCCTCAAAGCTCTGCCGCAGCGGCGGCCAGTTCAAACCCGTCCACCAGCGGTACGTATCTACGTTGATACCTATATCTAGTCCATTCTCATCCTACTCAGGTTGCAGACGGGCCATTGTCGCCGAGACCGATAGGACTCAGTGTGTCTGTCGTTGACACCTTGAGCTCGGTGCGCTGACGGTCTTCCAACGACGGAACGTATATCAGCAGCTGCTAGGCTATGGTCTTTTCCTTCCCTGGTGGCACATTGGACTCATACCTCTGCCAGTCGTGACTGGAAAACCCACGAACGATATCTTCTTGTATGCCGGATTCCTTGCGTTTGCTCGTTGTTGTACGTACTCTGATATCCATGCTTGATTCTTGGACAAGGCTCTCAACGATACTCTACCTCAACCACATTCGACATGTCGGTGGTAGGAAGGCATACTTATGTGCTTAGGCTGTATTGTTCCGCTGGAGACAGCATCGACGTCATTTTCCAGACCAATGTTAAGGGCCTCCGCTTGAAGCCGGTTGGAGCGCAGGTTCTTGTACCGACAGTCCTGATCCTGGGTGGGCGAATCAGTCGTGTCAAAGCCTGTTCGCTCGTTCAGTTCATCTTGCAGTACCGCTAGTTATTTTACATTCCTGTTGTATGTCGACCCCATGGAAATAGACATGAACATGTATAGTATCCGGAACAATTTTCGGACGTGGGAAAGTCTTCCTTTCCGAACCCTGGAAAACGGCCCGAAATGAAGGCTTTTCCGGTGGATTGTCTGGCCCAGAAAAGGCAGCTGCCACGTGTTTTTTCCACAATCCGGAAATATCCCGGGATATATTACCATTTATAGAGTATACCCCTTGGTCGAAAACGCAACGGAAAATGCTAAATTTCCGTCCGATTTCCTCGGAGCGGAAAAACGTGAGAACATTATTTCTTTCCAGTCCATTTTCCGTGTTATTTTCGGAGCTGGGTTTTTGGTGTTTGCCCGAGGTGTTTAATTTTAGCATTATGAACCGTGGGATTCTCGAGCGCGTCGCCTCCCGTCGCATCGCCGCGTATAGGCCGCATCTCAGGCCGCATCGCTCACTCTCCGCCGCGAGTCGTCACACCCCACCAGTACTTGCTCCTGTTCCTGGCGTCTTTCCATTCATCCCATCTCAGTGGACAGAATGCAGTTCAAGGGTTTCGCTGTGGCGGTGATCGTAGACGGACAGAAACTCAAGGAGCACAATGTGACTATTGTCAAGTCGAAACAGGAAACCTCGTGCTGGATTGCGTCAGAGGCAGAAAAGGTGAGGCCTCCCGGTGCAACTTTTAGTATCTACTCAATGTTATATCAGAGGTTCGTCATAGAATTTACTCGTGAGGATGGAAATCGCTCTGCAACGCATGCTGTATCTCTATCTCTTGACGGACGTTCCTCTTGTGGTCAAATTTTACATCCCAACGTAGCAAGGACCTACATCAAGGGAGACCAAGTAGATGGTTTTCATATTCTTCCACTTTTATTCGGCAAGCTACTTCTGACAGGTATGTCAATATACCCTGGCGATTAACGCATTCTACAGTATATGTCATGCTTAGCTGATCGTTGACGGTGAAACGCCGGTTTCTAGATGAAGATGAGTATATTCATCAAGGAGGCACAGATGAGCTGGGCGAGATCCGCCTCAGAGTCAAAAAGGCCACCGTCACCCGGCGAGATATAGGTAGTAAAAAGCTGTGGAGGGTGCCGGCCCTCGATAAGGTTCACGAGCGCTTACATAAAGGAAGTACTCACTACATTAGGTGCTGAGCTACTTTGCGCACCGCATATAATGTCTTCATTAACAAATCTCGTCACTTAGGTATGGCGAAAGAGAGGCGGTTGAAAAGCGTCATTGTTATGGGGATCCAAAGTTCGCCAGAGGTCCATGGATCAATTTCGTATTCAGGTACAGACCCATAGGTCCGTACATAACCATGCCATGTCAATTTTGCTAACTTTTTCGGCCCTCCGCTAGATGTACTGATGGCACAGGGAATAGCACCTCCGGAAACACCAGCGCAGGTGTCTACCTTAGCACCGGCAGAAGGCAACACGATCCGCTCCGGCGATGACACGCGTGCGGCACAACAATCCCGCGCATCTCCCGAACGCCGTCCGGACAGCCCACAAGCCAGGTCTGTCCCCTCGCCTTTACAAGCACGGACAGAAGCTTCTGTTCGGCGGGCGACAGAAGACATCACGATCAAGTCGGATGACCGATCTAACGGGCAGCCCCAATGCGTCTCCCAAGCGCCGCAGGCCGGAGCTGCTGTGCACCCGTCTACCTCAGCGCCGACGGATGTCGTCACAATCAAGTCAGAGGACTCTCTGGCTCAGCCGTCGAACAAGGCCGCTGGAAAGCGGAAGGCGGACGACCGACAGCGTCAAGAGCGGCAATCTCGCCTTGCTAGACTTGAAGTATGCCCGTTTCCCGCCTAACCCGAATAACTGACATCAACTGATGGACTTTTTAGAACATGCTGCGTGAGATACAAGTCGAAGTTACCCAACTCCGCTCGGAAGACGCTGAGGAAGAAGACGTCAAGCCCTCCAAGAGGATCAAGACCGAGCCCGGGTGTTCTCAGCCGAAAAAATCATCTTCGAAGGCCAAGGCTCCCGAGGTCATTGATCTAACGTGATCAGTGTTGGCTCGGATCGAATTCTCGGCGTCGTGTTCTGAACTGCTTTATTCGTAATTGGTGACATTGAAGAAGAAAATGACCCATAGCTGATACCCGTTTTCTGGACGTATAACATAAAGCCATGAAAGATGCGATTGTGATTAACACACCTAAACATAATTATAAGTATTGGAGTAGAGTGAAGTTTAACAGTATGAGTGGGGCAACGCCGAAATGTCTATGTGTATGCGAGATGGAGCACTTGGACCTAATCCTTGACAAAACTAAGCGCGATGTACGCAGGTTGATCCAGCTGGTCGACTACGGCGACGGGTCTAGTTAGTAGATGCAGATGCTAGAGAGCCCCAGCGGAGAGTGCGTGCGCCTTCGGCATCACGGCCCATCTTGCGCGGACCCATGATGACGGCGTCGTCAATCTTCTCAAGTCGGGAGACCTCGCGTCGGATGTAGGTCACGAGCTGATGCATCGTATCGGGGTAGGTGAGATACCTAGAAAACGGTCTTTGTCAACAGGTGCATCGATAGCACAGACAGAAACCACAACTCACCGATCGATATCCTCAGGTCCGAAATCATGCACGCCCGACCCATCGTCCCTTGTCTCCTCACTCTCAATCCCCTTCTTCTCTAGCTTCTGCACATTCTCAACCTCGCCACCAACAAGGTTCACGTGTCGCCTATACGCCAGCGCGCTCCCGCCCTCCTTCGCACTAGGCACGCGCGCGGGGCCTTTCCCTGTGAACGGGCTCGCAGGCGACGGCTCGATGCCCTGCGCACCGCGCGCCCCGAGCATGTTCCGCCACACGACGGCCGCGAGCTCCGCGTCGCCCTGGACGAGGCCGAGGTCGAGCGCGAAGCCCATGCCGTTCCACTGCTCCTTGAGGATCTTCATCTGGCGGACGATGATGCGCTCCGGCGCGCGGCCCTGCTTGAGCGCCTTGGCCTCTGCGCGGCTGAGCTGGCTCAGCGGTGGCGGGGTCGGGGTCGGGTAGAATGTGCTCAGCGGGTAGGGCGAGTCGTATCCTGCGGGGGAGACGGGTGTTGTTGATGGTGGCGGGACTACGTTGTTGTAGTTGTATGAGTTTGACGGGTTCGAGGGAAGGGACTGGCGCGGGGGTAGAACGCCGGGCTGGAGAACGGCGCGTACGCGTTCCTCGGTGTCTTGGAAGAAGTGATCGATGAGGCCTTGGACGTGGGCCCGGCCATGTGGGGAGGGAAGCGCGCGCAGGCGCACGGTGAGCAGCCAGACGTGCAGGTTTGTTATTGTGAACCATGTTTGGAAGGTTGGTGGGAGGGCACACTCTGGTAGGACAAATGCAGCATTGGTTAGTCGGACGTGTTTATGAGCGAAGCATGGCATGTACGCACTTTCCAGCCAAAATGCACTCTCCTCGTCAACTCGTGTCGCACATAAAGTGTTGTACAAAGCCAAGGCACGCCGGTTGGAGAACTGCTGTGGGCTGCCGTACCCCAACGCGCGTGCAGCCAGGAGGAAGACGGACTTCATAGCCGGGGACGCTTTGACCTGCTTCGTGAGCCATGAATCTTCTTGCTTTGGCAGCGGTGAATTCGAGTGCTGCGATGGTGATGGAGATGACGACGAGGGTTTGTTGTCTGAAGTGGAAGTAGAGGAGTCGGACGGAGACGTAAAGGGTGAAGGCGCCGATGCCAACCGCCGAGGGGTTGAAGAGAGCAGGCGAGCATGGCACGCGTTCCGCGCGATATTTTTCGATAGTACTGTGCGAGGCAACATGCTAGGCAACACCGTGGCCGACGTCAAGCGCGGTCCTAAGCAGAGAGGAGAGATTTGAGGAGAACGCGAAGGCAGAAAGCGCGTCACTTGCGGACGCAAAAACTCATCATCGCACATTGATGACATAAGCAAGCCGATTCAAAACCCCTGAAAGACCCGCATCTTGCGTCTTCCGCGACCGCGACCGTGCATCGCACTCGAACGTTTTCTCATCTAGGAACAAATACACACGAGGTACACTTCTTATTTCAAAATAGCTTATTATGATGCTTTTCATGTGATCTGTTATTACCGCTGGCATAGCCATAAGGGGGCACCCTGTCCAAGTCATCGGGTCGCTCAGTGCCGTTCAAATGATCAGTGGCGTCTCATCCAACGTTCAGAACGTTTCAGTCACCACTTGAACTTGAAAATACAAGCCTCTAGCATCGCCCTATCCACGTTCTTGCAAGCTCTTCACCTGTTAAAACCTTCTAGTCAGCGTTGTGGGAACTTATCAGAGAACAAGTACGCTGTTGTCTGCTTTGAATGCGATAATCATCGGAGCCGGCGAGAGAAAGCTATACGGGCCAATGTGCGCGGGAAACTTGAATACATACGTTTATATAGGCTGTGAATCTCATGACTGATAAAAAAGACAAGTGTTATGGCCCAACGTTTCATCGACCCAGCACCCAGAAACCCCTATATATGTCACACACCGCGGATTATCAGATCGGGGCCCCACCACCCTTCCTCGTTACATTTCAGCAAGACAATTATGTTGTTGGTACGAGTTTGATTTGATGCCTCCCAACGCTCCGCTGACCTGGCACATTGGATCTGAATACAGTTTCGGTTGCTGCATTAGCTGTTTATGACTATGGTAGGAAACTCACTTGTCAATGCGCTCCGCATCTTGACCAGATATCTAGTTCTTTGTCTGAGTCAAGAGGTGAGATCATCGAACTGAACAGATTACAACGTCACGTTACAAGGATGATTGGCTGTATCAGGTCGACTTAATTTGGGTGAGCATCATGTACATGTCCTATCACTGAGCGAAAAGGTTTTGACGGAATGATACAACCACAGAAACGCAGCATTTCATGTATATCATGCTGTTATGCGCTTGTAAGCTAGAAAACCACTCGAAGCAGTAGGTCTCGAAGAATGATCAATATATAGCTCCGTTACATGGGTTTGTTATTTGCATTGTAAGACACAGAAAACATCCTCCCACTTGCCGTCACTGATGGAATCCTTATAAATAGGGCTTCAATTTGTACGTATGTTCATGTGCTGTGATGGAATTTGGATTGATTCTCATCAGATTGGTGCTTGCCATCGAAGTCACTATCGGACAAGGTATGTATATAGCAACTGTACATTTTAGCCTCTACTAATTTCGCGGTCCGACAGACGTAAGCTACTCTTTGTTTCATTGGTTTTAACCCTTTTCTGACTGGAAATTCTCCCAAAGCTGTGAGGCAAATCGTATAAGTGACGTTGTTTACTCACCTAGAGCATCTCCAAGGTTCCCTAGTCTTCATAATCTTGGAGCAGTGCCTGCCGTTTGCTTTAAGCGTGATATTACAAGGTCACACGCCATCAACTCTGCGTTTTGATTTATTGTCCTGACAAATCCCTCTCGGTTTCAGGAGTTATGGCTGCCCGTGTCTGTGCACTCTACAAAAACGAAAAGAAAGTCAAACTTTTCCTATACAGCTGCTTTACCTTGGTACAATTGGTTAATACAGCACTAAGTACCATGGACGCTCTCCCGCCTTATGGGTATACCTGTAAGCAGTCTAATAGAACACACGACTTTGGAATTTCAATGTAACTTTATGCCTCTGTAGCGCAAGCATCCAGCATTCTAAGTGTTCGATACTGTGAGCTCGTGAATCCAACATTCTTTCTGGCATGGTTAGCTTCCGTTTCCGGCGGCATCACTTTGGGCTTTGAGATAATTTTGTTTATCATGATGGTCTACCGCTGCTTGTGGCACTTGCGAGAGCGCAGGCCAGCAGGCTCTGTATATCGCTTCAAGAGCGCTGCAGAGATGCTCTTACAGCAAGGCGTCCTTTATTTCGTTTGGTGAGATTTTTCTCATTACCACAGATCTTCATGCTTAGAATGTATCAGGTTCGCCATCAGGCAGGTGGTAGCAGCGGTTGCCAGGTTCTCGTCAATATTTGTAAGTGTTCCCGTTGGGTTTATTCTCTTAAACGCCAACCAAAAGTATGTAACCTATGCACTGACGTCTAATGCATTAGAGCCAGCTTGGAATCTTCATCATCGTGGACATAGGTTGGGGGCTCCAAGTAATGCTCCTCTGCATGCTTGGGCCATGGTTTATTCTGTCTATCCGCAAAAACCACATGGATTCAGTGAAAGGAGGCACTGATATGACAATGCAAACACTAAGCACAATCGAATTCCGGTCATTGGACCTCCCTGCTGACGAAGTGGACGACATAATGCTCGCTCAGCTGGTGCAGCAGGCAGAGGATGCTGTCTAGAAGGTGAACATGACATATGCTGTGCTTTGCCTTTTCCCACTGGGTATTATTCTATATCAGTCAGCGTTAGGGATACAAAGTGGAGGTGACTAGACTGCCGCATGTCTATTGCACGTTTGCCTCGAGGTTAGCCTCTCGAAGACTCAGTAGTGCGGCACCGCTTTCCGCTGGTGATGTATGCACGCTAATCCGAAGCTCCCTCGAAAGACGCATTTGGGGTTTGCGTTTCCTCAAATCTTCCGCAATCGAGCATCGCCCGTCCGCGTCAATGCCAGGCACCTCTACAGCCTCTCACACGTGTCGGAGTTTCGTCTGCTTGAAGTCCGAGCCACGCTTGACCTGAATAGGTCTAGTAACTCAAGGAATTGTTTCCACTGCAAAAGGTCAGAGTTACCGTAAGAGATAGTATCCCGCGTCCGGCGGTGATCAGTACCATCGGTTCATTAGTAAGTGCTGTGAAATTTCAACTGGAAAAGATAGGATCATCCATGATTATCGATTATCGATAATACATCGCCTCGACTTCAGCCATCACAGGCGATTGGCGATTGGACATTCCGTATCTACGTACAAACCCAACTACGTCGTCCTGTGCGCTGTAACTACGTCGGGATATACCGCAACCAGGGTGAAGATGTCCGCTTATACCAAAGCGACTGCTCGTTTTAGGACCCCAGCAGGCGATACGGCTGATTGGGAAAAGATGATCTCCGAGTCGTCCGGGTCTGTATGCCGTACATCACAGGTACCACACTCCGAAGCTTCCGACTTCCTGTGGTTCTCCCGTTCCGTTCCATGACAGATCCGCGACATCATGGCAGGAAATCGACACTAAGTGTGGCCGAGTAATGTAAGGCAAGCCCGATAAACTCTAACAATCCAAAGAGGCTGTTTAATGCAATGTGGATATAAGGATATTAGATATGTAGCAACATCTCTGATCGACGTCGGCAGATCTTGACCTTACGATGACCTTCACGTCAAATTCCCTCAATGCCATACCCGATATCATTACCTTCAAACAGAATAGTTATGTCATTGGTACGATCTTCATACGGGCACTCCCCAGATTATGTTCGCTGATATACCACCCTTTTGCGCGCAGTATGTCTCGCGGCATTGGTTGTTTGGGACCACGGTGAGACTACTCTCGTTGCTGCGTTTCGCTTGTTTCACGAGTTGTCTAGCACTTTCTTTGAGTCAAGAGGTAAGCTCATCAAGCAAACAAAAACGTGATCAATCTACCCATCGTATCTTGCCTGCCGCAGATTGACTTCATCTGGGCGAGTATCCTCAACCTAGTGTTTCAACATACAAGTTCTAATAGAACGCCACATCCTCAGAAACGTGAACGTTCTTGGATATCGTGCTGTTATGTGTTTGTGAGTTGTATTTCTGTTTGCCCTAGTTCTTATCAGAACCTGACCGAGGAATAGCTACGTTACGTGGGCTTGATATATGCACTGTGAGCTAGAATAACCGTCTACGGTATTTGTGCCTAACACTGTTGTTTTTATCAGAGGCATAATCTGTACGTAAGTTTGGCTTAATCCGAGTACTATAAAAAATAACCAGCTCCAGATGTCTATCTGCCAATGGACTTATTAACGGATAAGGCAAGTACGTCTATGTTTAATCTTCTGTTCACGTTTAGCCTAATCTATGCATTGAAAGACGTAGGCTGTTCCTCGCTTGTGACAGAACAAATAATTTGCTAATCATCAATTGGTTCCGAAGGTGTAAGCCCAACCTTAGGCTTAGTGAAATGTATTAACAGTAACTTCGTGCGAGCTATAGGTTCTTTCCTCTATATAATTGTGGAGTCTATTGTTCCCGCCATTTTGACAATGGTTTTACAAGGTGGATGAATTTGTGTCCGTTTTTCGTGCTTGCTGAAAGAGCAACCATCGCAACATTAGGAGCAATGACAGCTCGTGTCTGTGCGCTCTATGGAAACACGAGAAATACCTGTATCTTGATATACAGTAGTTTTATCTTGATTCAGCTTCTCACCGTAGCCGTAAATATCGCGGAAAGTTTACCACCACTTGCCTACACCTGTAAGCGCATACTTGACAGTATTGGGGGTTTAACATGATGATAGCTTTTCTCAGCGCAAGAAGGCATCTTGTTTGGCACTCAGTGGTGCATCGAATTCAATCCAACCTTGTCTATTCCATGGTTGGCTCCAACATCCTCCGCACTTTACCTGGGGTTCGAAATTGTCCTATTTATCATGATGATCTATCGCACTATATGGCACCTATGGGATCACAGACGGAAAGGACCTCAGATCCGGTTTCAGAGTGTTGCATGTCTGCTTTTACAGCAGGGTCTCATGTATTTTGCGCTGTGAGTACTTGTAAACTTCTGTCAGGCTATCGGGCTCAACATGCTTAGGTTTTCTGCGTGGCAGTTGATAGCCCTTATCACTCTATCCGCAGGGGATTTGGTGAGTATACTTGCTGTTCCTACGTGCTTGACCATGACTGAACACACATACCACTCGCGGATTACCCTACTATACTAGACCCCGTTGAAACTTGACATCCTGAATGATATAGGGCAATGTCTTCAAACACTACTCTTATGTGTCCTCGGGCCGTGGTTCATTCTATCCATCCGCAAAGACCATGTGGAATACGAAGAGGAATGCACAAACATGATGATACAGACCATAAACTCTCTCGTCTTTCAACCGCTTAACCCTCTTCTAGGCCATTCAGACAAGGTGGGAGGTGTAGAGTCCCTCGGGCGTGAGGAGAGGGAATGTGTGACCGTGTAAAAAAAGGTTAGTGTACCGTATGTCAGTTGTTCTTGTCACTAAGCCCTGCTTTTTAATAGGTATTATGGGAGGGTTAATATGGAGAACAACATTTACATTTGATGAGCGTATGGTATTGCGTCATATGGTTCTTGCCCTCCATCTAGCTCATGACATAGAGTCTGGTCAGTCATATCATTAAAGCGAGATAAACCATAGCGAACGTATTGTCTAATGTTATTATTCAATGAACCTTGGATCATATCACTGGTATTTTTGTTGAGTCGTCTATGTCTCTCGATTACCAGTGTCTATTCTGCACCACTGCTTAATTTTCTTGCAATACCTTTTCCGGTTTGAATTCACGCTGTCTGTTCGAAATTAACTTGGCGCCCGATAAGTAACTATCTATTCCTGTTACCGCATTGTTCCTCAGTATCTCGCATCCGAGTTCAGCTTTCTGGTGGGTTCAAATACACAATTTTGTTCCTGGCTGACCGAAGTCTTGTATGAAAGGTCTGTGGGATTACGTGCCACCCCAAAATCCAGTTTCTGTATGATCTCAACATCTCCCATAACACATTGCATACTTATGCTCTATATATGTTGATTAAAAAGTTGGTAGAAAATGCACTGTACGATGGTGCGTGTGGAAGAATAGACAAACACGTATACTATTGATTGTGGGAAGTAATACTGAGGGTAGAAGACGAAAAACCAGATATATGGGACATAAGAGAGCAGCGGTGCTAGATGCCGAAGCAGAGGATGGCAGGTGTGCACAGTACGCACTCTGCGCAAGGCAAGTTAAATGAAAGGTTCTGGCTGACACGGTCGGGTACGTTGCGATAGATGTTGACCAATGCAGCTGACTGCTGGATCCTATGCAGGGAAAGCGAAGAGGAGAGCGCACGAGGCTCGCAGATACGAAGGTTTACCGCTTCATTTTACTGCTCTAAGTACAATGCTTCAGAGTCGCTGATGAACGTGATTTCGTACATCACCATTCGGAGCGGCGAGTTCTGTGGCTGCTACTGGTTTTCGTGTATTTGATTGTCAGGTATTCATTCAAACAAGGTGAACTAAGCCTGTTTAGGTTGAACAACTTGAGATACTGCCGTTTTTGAACAAATATGCTGGTGAAATGATCAGGCCGCGTGCCACCCAGAGATTGGCTGAGTAATTGATCCGCCAATTTACAGCTTTGCACGGCTGTGTGCTGTAAACAAGTATCGGGGAACAACGTGCGAAATCATCCGTGTTTACGTGACGTAGATGAAAAGGACACGATGCTATATAATATGCCATCATCGCCTGGACAGTCAAGTTTGCACACGGCGTGCTGCATTTGTATAGGTTTGTAGATAGAGACTACACGTGAAGTAGCCCGATGTGAAACATGTGTTCGAGTATATATGCTCTATGAATGTTGTTTCGTTTACAGCAACCAGTACTTTATTGATAAAGGTCAAAGCGAACGTGGTACCTGTAAAGTAAAATGAGCTATATCCTCGGAATGTGAGATTGGATCACATTGGATCAACGTTTACCAATAGCATCGTCCCAAGACTATATATAATCAGCTTTCTCGGTTGAGACAGTCCCCAACATCTCAGACTTTTTCCTTCGTGGAATGACTGTCATCTCATCCACACCTGCTGACATCATTGCCATTACTGGATTACAAGCAGACGCCTATGCTCAAGGTCAGTAATAAGTTAAGATAGATACATACACAGTTCCTGACTCAATTGAACAGTATCCATGGCTGCTCTAGTCACCTATGATTGTTGTGGGTTTATTTACGTTTTTCCGAAGCTTATCTCATACCAGTTTATGTAGTGCTTAGCTTGAATCAAGAGGTAAGCCAAATTAGAAGCCGGATGTAGACCATGGTGGTGGGCTGAAGTACAAATTTCAGGCGGAACTGATATGGGTAAGCGCTGTGGGCTTCTGATCAACTCTGTGACTTACAATGTGCATAGAAACAAAAGCCATCATGGATGACGGCCTGCTATGTGTTTGTAAGTTTAATATTAGGTCTCATTGATGAAGTCGGCATTTATATCAAGTGCATAGCTTCGATATGCGGGCTTGGTGAACACAATGTACGTTGTAGTCATCTGGTGTCAGAATACTGGTTTGATACTGATATACAAAAAAATGGTTCAGAGCTTCAGTTTGTTCGGCGATTCAGGTCCTCTGTAATATAACAATGCTAAGGTTTTATTATATAGTTCGTGGCATTCCATTCCCATTCTCCGATAAGGTGAGTTTACTAGGCGACACTTCTGACCTTTCAACCATACATGCTTTGCTAAACCAATTAACAATCAAATAAAGGAGTAAGTGGTTAATGATAAGGACTTGAATATTTTGATTTAGCTGATTAACTTCGCATAATTTTACCATAATATTAAGGAGGATTGACTCGTTGACTCCTTGTAGCTGTGAGTAGTTTATCATGACTACCTGAAGAGACTCAAAGAAAGAAAAATATCGAGGTTCCATATTTTACACCCTGAACTGGGTCCTGACGAACATGCTCATCATGGTTGTTCAAAGGTAAAAGTAGTCATTAAAGTCATTGCATCTGGTGCTTACCTAGCCTGTAGGGGTTATGCTATGTCGTGTATGGGCAATCTATGCTGACTCTAAGATAGTCATTTTGGCTCTATCGTGGTTATTCCTGGTTACACAGCTATTCAACTTGTTGGGAATTATCTTAATTGTGCCAATATTTGGAATCAAATGTGCGTGTATCTGTTTCTCAGTCCCCGCTGGTCTTTGGCTGATTCAGGAATAATCACCACAGTTGAAGAAGGAATCCTGCTCGGTGTTCCTGGGTGCTTGGAATACGCTGAGAAATTCTCTATACCGGGAGATATTGCTCATTCGATCGCCATGTTGGTTTTTGATGTCACATTGATAATACTGGTCGTCTACCATTTAACGTGGACTCTCAGAGAACATTCCGAGCTAAGGCGACAGGGACCTATAGGAATTATTGATCTACTTGTACGGCATAGTGTAACTTATTTTGCGTGGTGAGTTATCTCTTTACCGATCGGGGTGCATTTACTCATAATTTACAGCTTACTTCTATATGCTGTGGTCCAGATTGCTCCCGATGCTCTGTTAACCCAGGTAGAGTATTTACAAGTGTCTTTTGCTGTGGCGCTGACGAGAATATATACAGGGAATCTCGTCCAACCTCCTTCAGCTCATGCAGACTGTCACGGGCAGTTTTTCCCTTAACTTGTTGGGCCCTTGGCTTATTTTAGATATCCGCGAGAATCACAAAATACGTCTGAATGGAGGATCTCGTTTAACCGAAGAAACGTTGAGCACCATCAACTTCCGCAATCCACCTCGCACTGGAGATCACAATACCTTTCATTAAGGCCCAGCACAGAATATTAGTAGATTAGGATCGTGCGTCTAGAATGAGAAGTTAGTTGTCAGAGATAGGACTGACATTGGTCATTGGATTAGTTGGCGTAAATATTATCAACCCAGCAAATATGTGCCCGTCAGGACGGGGTCATTGTTACGGATACCCGAGACGAACTGCAGTTTGTGTCGGTTGTGAAGCATACCTTGACTAGTAGTGCACGTGATAAATAAATACAATGCACATGGAAGCGAGGCTAAAGAGCATAAGCTGGATACCGAAGTACGTCTTTGGCGATACTTTGTTTTGAGCCACCGTGTACGTTTGGATGTCAACAGTCTCGACCTTGACCGAGATGCGCGTATTCTCTTCAGCCAACTCTGCCTCCTTCGCACTGAGCCTCATTACCCTCCCCTGCCTATCTCTCTCGCTGTCATAGACGCAGTACCGATGATTAATGATGCTCCACTCGATGTTCCCTACGATCCAGTCAACCAGACCTTCGCCGTACCGCTGCAGCATATCGTACGTCTTCGCGTCGTATTTTCCCTTTGCGAGAGAAATAGCCGATCGAGCGTCCTCGAAGCGCTTTAGTGCGTGATGGAAGAGCGAAGCAGCGTGGTTGAATCGTGCCTGCAGAGGTAAAGATGCCGTGAGCGGGTCACGGGTCATGACAGTGACGATGTTGTTCAGCGCTCCATTGTCGTCTAGTTCTTTCTTGTACGAGTAAATGTCCTAAACCAACACATGTGCGATGAACAGAGTTTCTCAGAGCCTGATCGTGCCACATACGTTTGCAATGAACACCGCATCCAGTGCATAGTTCTCCATGTCCGCCACCACCTCGTCACGAAGCGTTTCGTCATTGAGGTACAGCTTTCTTGTCGCACGCATGAGCACGAAACAGGGTCGCGTTCCGATTGTCTCGCGACGATATTCCATGTACGCCTCAACGGTACGGATCGCATCCTTGTCTTCGAACAGCTCGCGATCCTCGGCCTCTTTGATGACGCACCGCGCAAACGCGACGTTGGACTCAAGGACCTGAGGCCAGTGGAACGGGTTAATGGCGGATTTGAGGTCGTTAGCGAGGGATCTTTCATATGACAAAGTGTAAATGTAGTGTTAGTGTTCGAGGATGAATAATGACGGCGATGAAGCTCACTTGGTCATCAACTTGATGAACGGATGAGGGTTTAAAACATCACGTCCCGCTTCCGGATCGCCAAGAACCTTGATCCAGATCTCGCTGTTCCGTGTGGAAATTTCTGTGGGTTCTCGGTCGCTGACCATCCACAGTGTCTAAACTCAGTCCGATAGGCAAAGAGGATGAATCAAAATCCACATACGTCATCTCCTCGAGCATGAACGACATCGTCATGTACGCCAAAATAGCGCGGAGCTCCTTCTCGCTTGCATACGGCCACGCGAGCGCCGCCAGCAGAGGCATTTCCGCGTTGTCCACCTCCTAGAACAGGATAACGATCCCATATAGCCGTATACAATGATAAACATCGGACCCAATAATAGGATAGTGAGCGAATTTTATTCGACAGGACGGAGAAGATGGGCGTACGATAGCAAAACCCTTGGGCAACGTCTCGTTCACCCATCGTTCATAGCCTATACGGGCTGCATCAAAATGAGGACTGATGGTGTTCCCCACTTTCTTCGGGCAGAGCGCAAGAAGGTCTGGGATTTCGTAGCATCGTGCCATGATTGGCGATGGAAAATTGCGACGGATGACTGCTGGGGGGTGATGTTATCCGGAGGACTCGTCTGGAGCCGACGTTGAATTAGTGGGGAAAAGCCCATTAATTCCCAGTTATTATACCTCGTCATCCCCCGGTTTGCCGTCGAGAGAGCCAGCTAGAACGGTGATATGTTCACGCGTGTCCGATGGGTGTGCTATAGCATATGCAGTCTAGTGCAGAGCCAAATGCCAAAGTTGAGTTCCACAATCGAAGAATGAGGGGGATGCGGTAGGGGAGACGCCATCATTACGCCCACCTCTGTCATCGTGACGAATGGTCCTCGATCGGATGAGCATGCGCACGTACCGGGGAGTACGAATTCCGAGTGCGCCGCCTGACTTCCCCTGTTCCGCTGTCGAACTTTGACCTTTGGTCTGCGTAATTGAGTTATGGACTCCCGAGTCCAGATAGTCGGCGCGCCTGGCACGGAGACGACACATATTGAGCGTCCACTATTGTCAAAGTATCCAAGCTCTGAACTGAAAACGATACCGCTTCGTCTTGGCGGAGTTTTACAGCGGTATCTTGATTATTCGTTCGCACCAACAATACGCCATCAACGGAACAGTGCTGTCCACAGGCGCCAACGAGGAATCAGTTACGAGAGATTAGTATCTGCATAACCCCTTCACCGGCACTACAAGGAAGCGAGCAAAGAGGCCGTGCGCCTCCCTGAGGTGCTTTCGAAGAATAGCGTATGGAAGAGCGCACGAAGGTCCGGCTGAGAGCGGGACGTGCGGGACACCGGATATCAGGGTAATGATGAGGATGTGGCGGCGCTAGTGATCTGAAATTTCAGAACCGTCTCGCAGACGTCCTAAAGAGCTTGTTCTGTGGGCGTCGATCGATTAGATCAACGTATCCAAATCATGGGGCGCAGTCACAGCTGGCGCACCCAAGCACCCACTTGTCGCAAACAAGTTAGTGCGGACTCATTACGCGCTGACGCAGAACACCGGAGCGTGAGCTCCAAGTGTCCGATCACTCGCCGTTTGAGCTATGTCTGCCAGAGGGCGGATGGATATCGAAGCCACCAACCGATATGAGGCGTTGAAGCCTGTGTGGTTATTGCCTATATTAGAAGATAACGCGCCGTGAAGCTGGCGGCGCGACCCCGAGAGGCCGGGACACATCGCGGGAGGTGCCATGTTACGGACCGCACAAAGGGATGGCGAATCGATCTGATCCCACCGAGGTTCTCGGCTCTACTTCGGTCTACGGAAGAATTCATTGTCAGCTGAGCGTAGCAAACACTTTCTTTGATCGAGTGTAAATTGAAAAATATTTGCCCCACCGTCTGGAGGCAACGTTGGATGGCGGCGCACGTGGATGTTTGTCTTGAGAAAGTGGGTCTGTAAAACGTTTTTGGCGGTGGGAGGTTCCTTGAAGTAACGTGGCATGTTATGGATTCATTCCAAACCTCCAACTTCGAGCCTTAACCATATGCGTCCTGTAGTAGGCAGGCTGCTGGCGTGGGCGCTTGCGGCGTTCGAGCCCGACCGGCGGGCTGAGGCGGGGCCTATTGGCGTCCACGACTTTACCTCCTCGGAAGTAAGCTATCACAGACATCGCGCGCTTCTGTGTATGTGGTGATCTACCAGCTGTTGAAAAAAGCTCTGAGAAAGAACCTGAAAGATAAGCCTGTGCTGGATCCCGCGAAAGTTGGGAGATGACCGAGCCGATCATTTGGACACACGCGAGCGACGCCATGCCAGTGTTGCAGCGTACGCTGCTGCCTCGTCCTAACTGAAACAGATTATTGGAGAACGTTGCGATCATGATAAAAATGATAAGTTATGTCAAATGGCCCATAAGTGACGAGTGCCTTGCCGCTCACCTTCACGATGTATCCAAATGTCGACACATCGATCGCAACTCGCACAGTGATTCCAATCTGCAGTACTCACAAGGTTTCTATCAAGGGACCATTGATTCCGCCGAAGCCGCCACCGCCGCTATCCTTTCTCTACTTGCTCAACGAAAAAAAAATGCAGAACGCCGCAAGGTGTGCGTCTTGTGTGTTGGATTCGTTGGATTCGGAAGTGCACATGGATAAGCGACGGCAAGCAGCAGCCGAGCTGAAAGCGGAGTTTCAGCTCGGCCTGGAGCGTGCCGAATCGTGCTCGCTTGCCGCAGCGCGGGACACGAGCTCGGTGGTCCTCCTCACCTTCCTTGTGCGGTGCCGACCTCGAGCCTGAACGACTTACCTGCTGCCTCACCTCATCGACCGCGTCGATACGCTTTCCATGAAGACCGTATACTATACATGGAGTCGCGAAGGCTGACGTGAGGTATATAAACGCATCTTTTCCACCAAGCACTGGCCAATTAACAGTCAACGATGTCCTCAGTCTCCAGTACACTCGATCAGCTCTTCGCAACTTCCGAGCGACTTCGACCATCCCTTTCTTCTATATCTCAGAGGCATGGGGCGCTTGATGTGTTATTGATCTCCCTCTCCACATTGGCTCTGCTACACCTAGCCCGTACCACACGGCGTCAGTGGAACGCGACGCGTCTTCGCGGCCCCCCAAGCACGAGTTTTCTCACGGGCGTTGGGGAGGTACTTTTCGAAGCATCTGACGCAAGCATACTGTATGAAGAATGGGCGAACACTTTGGGCCCTGCCTTCTCTGTGTCAGTGGGTCTCGGACGCTCAAGAGTGGTCCTCTGCGATCCGAGGGCGGCAGCACACGTGTATGCGCGCGATTCGACGGTTTATCGCAGATCACAGCAAATGCGGGATGCGATCGCTAACATTGGTGGGCACAACTTGTTATGGGCGGAAGGCGACGATCACAAGAGGTACGTGTCACGGCGTTCGCTTTTCGCGAATGATTTGGCTGATGATCATAGACATCGACGGGCGATGATTCCAGCGTTCAGCAATGCTGCCATCCGTCAACTAACTCCGGTGTTTATTGATGGCGCATATAAGGTATATACATCGAAATTTTGCTGTCTTTCATCGTCGTAACGCTTCATTGTGAAGGTTAAAGAAGCTTGGGAGGGCTTGATTAACGAGAGTGCAACTACGGGGAGTGTAGAGATAGATGTGCATGCCTGGTGTGTTCGCTTGAATCCTTATACTCAGATCATCCTCCTGACTAGCGTCGTGGTCTCTGTGGTGTAGGATGAGCCATCTCTCGTACGTTTTCTTCTGTGCTACAACACTTCGAGTTTCCCTCATTTCGCTCAACGGTGCATTGTCAGTCTTGATTCAGTCGGTATCGCCGGTTTCTCCCATGACTTTGCCACCCTCGCGGGCGCTCAACCGCCGGTGGCTACAATTTTCGACTCGATCCAGGCTCGCGCGCCAGAGCTGAGTAAGAACAAGCGACACATCCTAGGTCTCGTCATTCCTTGGCTTTCTCTGCTCCCCAAGAAGCATAGGGCTATGGTGGGCGATCTAAATAAGGCCCTCGAAGATGCTGCAAAGTCGTTCCTTGAGCGGGCACATCAGGGAAGTGCAGGAATAGTCGGCATTAGTGGGAAGGATAAGTCGATTCTCGCTTTATTGTGCGAGTCACCTGAGCTTAGGTTCAAACGTTATCATTGAGCTAATGTGTTGCCGTTGTTCAGCGAGGTCTGAAGCTTTGGGCAAGGGTGAAGAAATGTACATGTCGACAGATGAGGTTCTGTCTCAGGTGAGTACTGGTCTACAGTGCAGTCAGCTCAATGACAAACTCACCTCGCTCTCGATTAGATGAAGCTACTGATCCTCGCTGGCCATAGGACTACTTCGGGTAAGATCATTCGCACACCCTTATTCCGAACTTGCTGACCAGCATATACGCCGATACAGGCGCATTAACGGTATGAATGTTCGTTGCTGTGCGTTTACTCCGAGGATCTTATACAGCACTCACAGAGGATCTTAAACTACCTCGCCCAGCACCCGGAAGCCCAGAGTAAACTCCGAGATTCCCTTCCGGAATTCGCAAGCTCGGACCCATCGTATGAGCAGCTCATCAACGATCTCCCCTACCTGGATGCGGTCATCACCGAGTGCCTGCGTCTTCAGGTCTCCGCGAGCGCCGCCGACTTTATTCGAATCGTGAGTGCTCTCACCCCATGTCAATAACAGGCTCGAAACTCACACGTCCAACAATATCTCAGGCAGACGAAGATGACGTCATTCCTCTCAGCCAACCCATCTATGATGCTTCCGGAAATCTTCTAACCAGCATCGCCGTGTCCAAAAGCACGATCGTATCCGTCCCCGTCTGTTACATGAACCGCGCATCTTCGATCTGGGGCCCCGATTCGCGCGAATTCCGTCCAGAGAGATGGCTAGACGAAGATGGGTTGCCGTCCAAAGCACGGGAGATCCAAGGACATCGGCATATACTCAGCTTTTCTGATGGCCAGAGAGCGTGTCTCGGAAAGGCGTTTGCGCTGGCGGAGATGAAGGTGAGGCGTGGTTCTGTCTTAGTGATCGAATCGGGATGCTAATACCGGTGGCTTGGCGAAGGCTGTTCTGTACGTGCTGATCAGGTACTTCATCGTCGAGATCAAGGGAGGCGATGATACCCTTAAGGGAACGGATGGACAACCGCGCCTTCCGCGTGCTGCTGTGATGGATGGCTTGGGTAGTACTCTCAGGGTGAAGCAGGCTGAACAATAGTTCTTGCATTACTTAGTACGTTGGTCGTCAATTATGAGTTATCACGCTTGGAGTAACGATAGCATATCCTTGTCTCGTAATTACCCAAACGTGAAGTGGTTGCAACAGTTTTGGATGTTACTCGCATCTTCTCGTAAATGTATGGGTTGCATTCACCGTTGTACTTCTTTAGAATGTTATGTTTCCTTTCTCTTTCTTCTCTCGAAAGTCTGGCAAGTGTCCAGATCAACCTTCGTAGACCGGCTGTGAGGTAACCTACGATTCATCCTACGTCCAGCCGCATCCTCCTGTACCTTAGCTCAGTCGTCAGCTTTATATGCCGATGGTACCGTCAAATGAATAAAATAAAAGTTCCTCAGAGTCTACAGAAAAGTGTGGCTTTGTGACAGCTTATGCCAGGCATTGATCTGTAACTAAACTCTGTCGCCATAAGGGCTGTGTATTCTCAGCTCAGCCGGAAGAGGATTGGTTTCGTCGATGGGAAAAGCTGAGGGCATTGCTCTGATAACTGGATGACGACTGTTGTAACAGACGGCTGTCCGTGAGCTCGAACAGACTCATGATACAACCAGACGGTGATAAAATGCTGGCACCAGACTCATGTTGATGGTGATTCGAATGCTGCAGGCCTCCAACAATCGCCCGCCTTATATACCCCCAAATAGCGCCTACACATCCTTGTAGGATATGCACAATCAGTAAGCAATACTGCGGCGCCTCAATCAACGCTTATTAATCGATGCGTCTTATTGCTGCGTCTTGCTAATTAGCGCCGACACACTGCGCAATACTGCGCTACAAATATTCGCAAACGAAAGTAGTCCGTTATTGTAATAATACGGTGTGTCATTCTGATTGAAAAGGGATTGTGGATTGCGCCTGCCTGCAGCCGGAAAATCATGATGAACTTTGCGACAGGTGCAAGGACAGGCATTGGAGTCGGCGGCATTTCCCGTGCGGGACATAAATCGCTTCGTACGCAGATTTACGCTCTCAACCGGTCTGCAGCGCCCTGTGTATGTCAACGCAAATTGGTCCCAGATTTAGCAAGCGGTATTTCAAGCACAACCTGCCCTTGTATGAGCTGTGTTCCTATTGTTTTTTCCCTAGAGACGTTCTCCGAAACTTTTCCCGAGCATCATATTAACGTGTGGAGTATCCTTCGGGGAGCTTGAAATAGGCGCCAGCTCCGGGCATCACGGTGAGTTCTTAGCCCGCTCCGCAGCGCCCTCCGCAGTGAACACGTATCTGTGCGTAGAAATGCTCTGAGTACACGCGCCATATATATAAGGATAGCGTTATGTCAGACCATCCAGTTCAACGTACACGCATACAAGCTCAGTAACAACGCGATTGACGATGCCACTGACGCTACCGACCACGCTCTACCGCACATCCTTGCCCAATTTCGCTTCGCTCACTTATGTCTCGTGGACGATAGACGTGTTTCTGGTCTCTCTCGCTGCTTTCGTACTCCTGTGCGCTACTCGTACTACTGCTCGCCGTCAATTCACTACCACGCGGCTTCGCGGTCCACATAGCACCAGTATCCTCACAGGTGTTGGCGGCACACTTAGAAAGGCCAGGGACGCAAGCGTTCTGTATGAAGAGTGGGCGAAGACATTCGGGCCGGTATTTTCGGCTCCTGCTGGTCTTTGGAGCTCAAGGATCGTTCTATGTGACTCACGTGCGGCTGCGCATGTTTACGCTCGGGATACAGCAGGGTACCATCGCCCACAAGCAACACGGGATGAAATTGCTCAAGCTGTATGTGTGGGCACGTGTAATGAACCGTTTTTTTTATGATCGTGACGGATTTTTTATCAGGCAGGGCATAACCTGTTATGGGCAGAAGGGGATGTTCACAAGAGGTGCGCATTGAGCCATGACTTGGGGATCTACATGAGTTCATACTGCGGATATAAGGCATCGACGCGCGATGATTCCTGCATTCAGCAACGCTGCCATCCGCAAGCTGACGCCGGTATTCACTGATGCAGGGTATAAGGTATGTTGACGGGTACTACTTGGACATACTAGCAACCGTTTACTCATCAACACCTAGGTCAAAGAGTCTTGGGAAATATTGATTGCGGAAAGCGCGGAGAAAGAAACAGCGGTTATTGAAGTACAAAGCTGGTTCGTATACTTTGTTTACGCCTTTGTTATCACCATAACCGTTATTAACCCTGGTTTGTATAGGATGCAACGCATTTCGTAGGGGTGATTGTCGCTCAGTAACTGTATACTCACGACCTCTTCTCAGTCTGGACTCCATCGGTATCGCCGGTTTCTCGCACGACTTCGGCGCCCTCTCAGGTGCTCGGCCACCTGTGACGGCGTTCTTCGACAGACTGCATGAACGCCAAATTGCTGAACCCAGTGATACGCGTGACCTGTTAGCGCTAATCTTGCCTTGGGTTAGCCGCCTTCCGCACAAGGACTCCAATTTGGGTGTCGAGATGAACAGGTCTCTCGGAGAAGCGACAAGACCGCTGCTGGAGAACACGCGAAAGGAAAAAGCAGGAGAGTCTAGTGGAGGTGGAAAGGAAGAAAGATCCATCATCGGCTTGCTCAGTGTGTTCTGGTTTTATATTAGTTTACTGAATGGCAATTCTTATTTCGCGTTGCATTTAGTAAAGTCCGAAGGACTTAGTGAAGGTTCAGAGATGCACATGTCAGCGGAGGAGGTTTTGTCTCAGGCATGTCGCCTGCATAGCATGTCGACGCGTGTTTCTCACTATGAGCTTCATACCTCAGATGAAGCTTTTGATATTTGCCGGCCATGAAACGACATCTGGTAAGTAAACCATCGTATCGCTCATGGCGAGTATGATCAGCTGACTGATGTGTATATTGTTGCAGTCGCTTTGACGGTGATGAAACCCCCTGGCACAGCTGTGCTCTCTCTGGCTGATAAGTGCTATATTTATAGTGGATGCTGTTCCGCAACCTACATAATAAGGTACGTCTTTAAATTTATACACTTTGAAAATAATAATATTTTCTTTTTTTTATTCTTTATTTTTCTATTGACGGGACTTCGCCTTGCACAGAACCAGAGCGCCCAAACCAAGCTTCGCGAATCCCTCTCCGTGTTCGCAAACTCCGACCCATCGTATGATCAGATGACCAATGGATTGCCTTACCTCGATGCGGTCATTACGGAGAGCTTGCGCCTCCAAGCAATCTCAAGTGTCAGCGACTTCATCCGCGTTGTAAGACTTCTCCCCACATCTCCATCTCTCACGCTCAATATGTCCTCCGATCACGGCTATACTTAGGCTGGTGAAAATGATATCATTCCTTTGAGTCAACCTATCCGGGATGCTTACGGGAGTCTTGTGAACAGCATTACTGTCGCAAAAGGTACACTCATCTCTGTATCTCCAGCATACATGAACCGGTCTTCGCTCATCTGGGGATCGGGTTCGCGCGAGTTCCACCCCGAACGATGGCTGGACGGAGACAGACTTCCAACCAAGGCGCGTGAGATACAAGGGCATCGACACATACTGAGTTTCTCAGACGGGCAGCGGGCATGTCTCGGGAAAGCGTTCGCGCTAGCCGAGGTCAAGGTGAGTTAGTCGCTTTCGTGTTCAACTGAGAATGTGAGAAGCTAAACTTGAAGTAACCTCGAGGCCGTGATCTCGGTGTTAATCAGATACTTCGTGTTTGAACTAGAGAACGTTGATATGGAGGTAGAAAGGGCGGGCCCAGTTTCATCCCGGCTGCGGGTTGTGGGAAAGGAAGGGACAGGAGTGCCACTTCGCGTCAGGCGGGTCGACCAGTAGATATGCCAGATGCTCCGAGGACTTGGACCTTAAAAGGGTGATATTACTACAGCATTGACTTCAATATATGCGCTCGTTGAATTGCATCACAATCAGAATGAACACAGGATGAACGTTGATGAACACAGGCCTTGCTGCCGGAGTTGTGAGATGTTGAATCCAGTGCGCGCGAATGAACGTTAGATTTCCGGTGGCGTGTGAACTCTGGTCGGGGGTTTCGTTCGACTTTGATCTTGCAAGTACTCGCTAGAATCTCAGAAATTCACCTTTCGCTCATTGAGCTTAAGAGGTCAACCTTACTTTTATATCTTTCTCTCAGGCATTGTGGCCACCACAATAACTAGGCTACACCAACCAACATCATGTAGGCAGCCTGATATTTTCTTCGTACCACTGACAAGACCTTGTGCTCAGGAAGAGCTTGATACAGCCATTTGGGATCATATCACTCACATCAAAGATTTTGCAGTGATTAATGAGCTCCATAATCTGTAATATAATCGTCAAACGGCTTGCGCTAAGGTTGACTCTAACCAGCATCCAAGTCACCCTAGACTTTGGTTCCAGTAAGTTCGATTCGTGATATGTCGATGAGAGCGGGTGACCCAGTAAATGTTTGATTCAAGTTCTGGCCATTTTACAGAACGTCTCACAGCATCCCGCTCCTGGCAGTCCTTTTCAGTGGCTGAGTGATATGATGCTGTCCAACGCGCGCGCAGGTGACCATGCCATGGTCGTTGAGCCAGTGCGTCGGTCGGCACAGGACTTGGCAGGACTCAGCCCTGCAAGCAAACAGTGAGTGATGATTTGTTTCCCCGGAAGCTACTGTGTAACGTATGTAGACGTACTTTGGTTATGCTTACGACAATCCTCCCCTTGTGCGCCAGTGCATGTCTTTATCTCCTTGCCAAGGGATGGCTCAGAAGACGACGCGCTAGGTATCGAGAGCTGACATACCCTCGACCATATCGGCGAATCTATTCGGCTGAGTCGCGCGTACCAACACATTCCAACGAACATTTGTCAGGCTCCTCAGTCAGCTCATTGCCTTCGCTACAGCAACTCAGCTTCATTACGTCCTATGGCAGCTTGCATCCGCCTCAACAATTGAGCTCCTCCCAAATAGGTTTCACCAATCAACCTCTTGGCCCCGTTAGTAATCTGGATGCGGCCACCGTTGATGGTCTGTGGCGGTTTTTTATCAGGGGAGGGGAAATCAATGGAGGAAGTCGATCTGCTCGCCCTCTGCCACCAATCCCTGTGCTGTATCAGAGTCAAATCATTCCACCCCCTGTGTTGCCAGTGTCCCACCCTACTCCTGTGAAAGTAGGCGACATGAGTCGCTTCGCTCGCCAGCCAATGGTTGTTGAGCTTCCCCCCGTCTATAATCAAGGTCTTCTTTATCGCATCTAACTATATCCATTACGTACGATGTCTATCTGTAAATCCCTAGCTCAGTAGCTACTACACGCCGTCTGGTTGGTGTGCGAAAGGTGTTGACGCTATACCTAGCAATGACGTGGAAACACCGACATAGTTTTGAGCACCAACATGGATCTCATACGCCACGGGCGACAGGGGGCTAAATATCACACCATATTCAGATACTGCAGAGAAACTGCCATTTTCTCGGGAGACAAATGGAGGTTGAACTTGAAAGGGGGAGGGAGAACTGAAAGCCTTCTTTGCATGACATGACCCGCGAGAAAAGCCACGCAACTCTAATTGTGGTCAATCGGGCTTTGTCGCATGCATAAAAGTCGTGCGAAAGGCTTCTTATTCCTGGGAGAAAAAATCGTAGAGAATGAAGCGAGAAAGACCCTTAGTTCGCCCCCTCTTCTAGTCCCTGTCCTCCGTGAGATAACCACAGTTCTTCCGCATTGCAAATGCCTTTCGCACCGACCTGAGGTGAATCTGCTGTTCCGGGATCACAACTATCTGCTTGAGAATATCAGGTGTAGTCCGGATCTTTCCACAGAGCGGCCTTTGCGTAGTTGAGCTGCATTATGCCCGACAGAAGCATGGTGATTAACTTGTTGAACCAAGTGCTCCTTTTGCTCAAAGATGCCACAGCCACTTGTGAGATTCAAGTCCAATCAGCTCAAGTGAGCTAAGATGGAACAGTTCTCAGATTGACCCTAACCAAGCACCGCATTATGAACAAGTTATTTAAATGGAGGGATGTCTCTGTCTCTCCCTCCGGTATAATACAGCTCGAGTTCTCTGAGATGGCAATCGTCGTCAATGATCCTGGAGAGATACCTTGGCTCCTGAGCAATCAAATTTCATATTACTTATGGAGTAAGCGCATTTTTCAGCTCATATAATTATCCGTCGGCGTGCTTACCAGACACAATACCCCTCCCAGTATCTGTCATCCCAACGTTGCTCGTGTATGATTACAGTAAGCTCGTGAGGGTCTTTGCTATTTAAATCTCATGTGCTAACATCTTTTGCAGTACTGTGCCTTGATCACGAGGTAAGCGGCCCAATGCTCGTCTTGCGTTCAGCCGTTAAAAGGTTGTTGAGCATATTGCTATCACAGGTTGAGTTGATTTGGGTATGTGATAGTTTTCCTGCGTCTACTAGAAGTGCAGCCTTTGGATTGAATGTGATCTCTCTGGGCTTCGTTCGCAGAGACACAAGCTATCATGGATGTCGTTCGCATACACGTTTGTCAGTTAGAGTCAATCTGTCATTCAAGCTCAAACAACGGCACTGACGATGATACTTAGCTGCGGTACACGGGTATGATATGGGCTGTGTATGTCACGAAGTGATATATACGTTCATGTACTAATTCAGCTCACCAATCTTCACCAGGGGTAGTATGTGTGAGTCAGCCGCAATTGTCACGTTTATAGCTCTATTGTAACATACAGAAGTCCTTCATCTACCTATAGACGTGTCAGATCATGTTAGTCCTCCGTTTGTCTTCCAGTCCAAACAAAGTTAACTTGGCTCGCGGACAGGCGTAAGCAGCTATGCACATATAAAACGATCTTGACAACTAATGTTCTGTCTGACATCACGCTGGAAAAATACAGCTGTGAGTAACACCCAACCGTCAATCCAAACTCAAAAAACCTGATTTTGTCTAGGTAATGCACTTGAAATTATAATGGAGAATTTGCTGAATAATGCAGCGGTGTTAGTTCTGCAAGGTATGTCACATACAGCCCTGTGAAATCCGAGTTGATATCATTAATATTGACCAGGTGTCATGGTCACTCGAGTCTGCGCAGTGTATGAGAACTCAAGGAGAGTAAACACCTTTCTGAACGTAGGGCTTATCATTATAACAATGATGGCTGTTACCACGGTTATTATTAATAATGTGGCACCGTTTGGAAGCGTGGGTACGTCATGCTCACTTCAAGTCCTTTCTGAACTCGTTTCCAACTGCATAACTGGCTGGGCAGGGATGGAAGTAATAATCATCGGTATCCGATCTTGTGGGTCCCTTGAAGCGGATAACAACTTATCGGGATGGATAGACTGGGCTTATAGCTTTGTGTACCTGGCCTTTGAGTTGATTCTGATCGGCATGATAATCTACCAGTCGTTATGGAAGTACAGAGAGTACAGGAAGCAAACTTATTCTTTGGGGATAAGCAGTATAGTTGGCTTGCTAGTTCAGCACAGCTTCCTATACTTCCTCGGGTGAGGTCATTTGCTTTGTTCTCCAGAGCATATGCGTGCTTACACTTGACACAGAGCTCTCTCGTTCGGTATAATCAACGTCTTAACGAACAGTAATGTAAACATGGTGCGGATTTTTTATACGCCGCTTCCTAAACACATATCAACCACGTGCTGAAATGTGTCTTATATCAGACTTTCCTTGAAGCATTTGCTCTCAGCAACTTGTACACTTTTTCCACCCAACTTGCTCCGTGCTTGATGGGACCCTGGCTCATTCTATCATTGCGCAAATGCCACAGGGAGAAAGTGCGACAAGAATCAAACAATGGAGGGGCGATCATAAGCTCTGTTGCCTTTGCAGGTCAGCCGACGACTATGGATGAGAGTGAAGGTGCCGGAGACAGAGGCTCCAAGAAGTCGCTTGATTGGGGAAAGTTAGGATGATATTGTGAGCAATGTTGTACCATGACATCTAATTCCCCGGGATAAGGTCTACCGCTACTAAATGTAGATTCGAACAATGGTTACACACATATTTTGTCGTTTTCTCGGATACTGCCTTCACGAGGATATTTTCTGCAAGTTAGTGATAAATTATGTATCAGTCTATGTCCATAGTGTTCTTTGACCCCCAAGTGCCGCTTTCACTGGATGTAGGGTTGGCATTGTACGGTCTGTAGGGGTAGCATCGTGGCTGCGCATAGACCACCGCATGTTTATCGCACGTTTACCTCGAGGTTTCGCTTTCGAAGACTTAAATACTCGCATTTTCGTAGTTACTCCCTAGCAGTCGATTGGCACTCGGTTCTCCCACTTCGATGGTGACCTTTGATCCCCTTTGAATTCGTACGAGTACTTGTCGTAGCCCTCACCGGCTTCGATACTTACCGGTCGTACTTGAACCGCTATTGTTCTTGAATCTACATCACGCCTATCTACTGTATTTGGATTCGAGGTAACAAGTCTATCAATAACTTGAACAATGGTACAAACGAAAATGAGAGCGAGACAAAGTCGATGTTTACTTACGCCCCTAGGGGACCTGAAGCCGGCTCAGGCTCAACTACTTAGCCAGTGACGCGTTGGTGATGCATTGAAATAACGCGGTAAGGGCGTACTATACGTGCAGTCTGGTTGGCCCGGGTGTGCAGACATCACAGTCTCACACCAATTACTCCGTCGGAGGCAGAAGGCAATAATGACCGGTAATACCGGTGGTGGAGTGGTGGCGCCTATCCGAAGTCAGAGGGCCACTGAAAGACATTCGTCTGGACAGATGACCAGGAGCATCGGGCTCAGCTGATTCGGGGTACATGGACAATGTTGACAGAGACATACGACAGTAAGGACTGTCAGGATGACCGCCCGGCTGCATTTCACATGTGCGACCACGACACCTATAATCTGGGGGTGTTCAGCTTATCAGTGACGAAGACTTGAAATCATAGACGAAGAGTCGAAGGCCGCGATCACCGAGCGTTTATAATGGCAATGACTGAGCTAAACTCGGTCGAGGAAGGGCGCGCTCAAGCATGTGCTCTGGAGCTCCCGTGAGGCACGAGGAGGAGTAAGCACGGTCACGATGCGATCATTGAATGCCGCATGCGCGTCTGGGCGGCTCTCGCGTTCTCGCCCTGTCAAGCTGTCTCAGGCACCGACGCAGCAAGAATGAACGAGGGAAGTGTCAGAAGTGTGTCAGACGACTGTCAGACGTTGAGCAGATGTCTGATTCGAGGTCAGAAAAGAATAAACAAGTGCGCAACGGGGTGGATGACGACTGTCGACATGATGAAATTACGAGTGCGGTGGAGTCGGGGCGGGGATGCTCATTGGATGAACGAGGAGTCTGACCACTCGAGAAGATGATTCGGAGTGAGGATCAGGCCAAGTGGTCTCGGTCGATTCAGGAGCGAGCAGAAGAGGATGGGTGCCGAGTTGGAGTGCCTGCTGATTGTCTCAGCCCATGTGCCGTCCGTCAAAAGCCTTCCAACGGGCGCGCACTTACGTCTTATGACATATAAACCCGCTGCGTGCCTCTCCATCCATTCACCCTCCCTTCCCTGATCTTTCCCGATGCCAGTCCGCCTCCAAGTCTCGTCCTTGAGCTAATCCGTTGAAGGTGAGAGGAACTTGTGGTAGTTTGACAAGTGCTCAATGCAGCGATCAACACAAGGCATCCTCGTGGAAAGACAAACGCCGGAAAATGCTTGCCGACCCGCCCGCGCCAGCACCCGCGCCTTTGCGCTTACCCCCACTCCCATCTGCCTCTTCCTCCTTTACACCTCCAAGCGTACGGGCACCGCGCATTCTCCTCAACTCGGGGGATAAACCTCAGCTGCGTGCTCGCCAAGTCAGGTCGGCATCAACACCGGGCACACTCACCGTCTCGCCCTCGCTCTCGAGCGCACTCAACCGAGAGCAGACTTCCTACTTTCTATGCCGCCCGCTCTCCCCTGCCTACACTGCTGATCGCTCATCCTACTTTTCCACCTCCTCTACATCGACATCAACATCTGCATCTACAATCACATCGGCATCCACGCATATATCCACATCCACATCTCCAACAGTCGCCCCGTCCCTTGCCGCGTCGCGGCCCATCAGCTGGGCGTCCACAGCCTCGACGCGCCGAGAACGCCCCGCGAGCTGGGCATCCCCGAGCCTCGCATCTATCAAACTCAAATCCGGCGACTCGGCGTCCAATTTCAGCGCTGCGGACAGTGACATGTCCTTTCTCGCGCGTAAACTCGCCCAGGCATCCTCTTCGTCCCTGAACAACAGCCCCAGCCCCATACCCGAGAGCTCCGTCGAGAGCGACGTCGACTCGACTGCCACGCTCACAAACACGCTTTCTCTTCCTCCTTCGTCCACTGCCGCCGCATCCAAGACTATACCCACGTCGTCCCGCTCGGGCGATACCAGCGCGCGTCCAAGCCCCGGCGCTAGCATGTTCAAACGGCTCTTCTCCACCCGCAAATCCAGCTCCTCTAAGAAGGCGCCCAAGTCATCTGCCAAGGCCTCCAAGACCGAGCCCAAATTCATAGCCAACACCGCCGACCCGCGATGGGCGCCCGTCTCGAACATCGCTTCTCCCTCCATCGGACGGAGACGGTCGCAGTCCCTCGGTGCTTCGAGCACCCGCTCGTCTGCGAGCGGGGAGAGCGCCATCTCGGAGATACGCAGGCCGAGTGGGCTGGGGAGGAGGGCGAGCTCGGTGGATGGGAAGATGGTCAGGCGGTCGAGGGGCGAGGGGTCTGGGGGCACGGAAGATGGGCCGGAGGGGCTAGAGACGAGGAACTTCCATACCATCGGGCACGGCGAGGACACGCGGAAGAGTTTGGGCTTCGGTACGGCTGCGAACGGCAGCTCACGGAGATGGCTCAGTCAGCCCGAGCTCCTCGATGCACAGGCGTCGTCGACGTCGATGTTGAGCTCTACGCCTGGTTCGCCGCTGCCTTCATCGGGCGCTTCGTCTGCTGCCCCGTCCCCCACCCAGTCGAGAGCTCCATCTGCGTTGATATACGTGACGCCTCCGCCTTCCGCGGCGGTACCACCATCGTCATCGTCACCGCGCCAGCTTCCGCCCGAGCTCCTCGTTGCCATCTTCTCCCAGCTCCCTCGAGCATCGCTGCCCATCGTCGCGCGCTCTTCACGTGCTCTGTCCGGTCCAGCAAAAGACGCCCTTTACACCTCCCTCGACCTCTCCCCATCCGCTCTCCCGCGCGCACGCGCTGCTCAGCTTATCGCCGTCCTCGCAGGGACTCCCGACCTCGCGCGCCGCGTGCACCGACTGACATGCACATCGTGGCCCGTTCCTCCCCCTCCCTCCCCTTTATCCACCACCTCCATCCCCACGACCGAGGGCAAAATGCCAGAACGTACCGCCCCCGTCCACACCCACACTCACCACCGCTCCAGCTCCGGCTCGCGCCTCGAGACGATCTGGTGGTCCACGCTCCCTCTCGCACTGCGCAACATGCGCGCGCTGGAGCATCTTGTGTTGCCTGCGTGGCGAGCGGGAATGCTCCCGCGCACGATTGGCCGGGACGCGGTCGGGTTTAAGCTCAAGAGTCTATGTTTCACGTGCGAGACTCTCAGTGATCGCGACGGCACCGGTGAGGGTGAGGGTGAGAGCTCAGCAGGAGCGTCGTTCGACCTCGGGGAGATGGTCGAGTGGCTTAGGGGACAGGACGAGCTGCGCTGGTTGGCATTTCCGAATCTGCTTTCTGGGTCTGTGCCGGCTGCGTCGGTGACGTCGTCCTCGGCGCTCCCGGCGATTCTGCGTGCTCCGCTGTTACCGTCGCTGCATACTCTCGGCGGTCCGCCGGCGCTGGTTACGGCGTTGGTGCCCCAGCTGCATCATGCGCCGCGGAGCGTGGCGATTGTGGTGCGGGAGACGCTGTATGATGGGTTGAGGCCTTTGGCTGTTGTGCAGGCGTTGAAGGGCGTGCGGGAGCTGAAGGTTGTATTTGGGCAGCAGGTGGATAAGCGCACGGCGGAGAAGATGGTGGGTGCTGTTGGGATGCTGTGTGCGTCTAGGCGGGATGGTGCGGAGCGGGAAGACAAGGAAGGCATGGAGGGGACGGAGATGGACAAGGAGCAGGAGGAGGAAGGCAAGGAGGAGGAAGGAGGGAAGCTGGAGAGGCTGGAGGTGCAGGTGCTGTGGGACGACGATTCTGCGCCCGAGGTGCGTTTCCCTGCACTATTTGCTCTTTCATTCAGCCCAGAACGGGGCGCTGACAACCGGGCACGGAACAGACGCTGTACAAGATCATGGACAACGTGCTCCCGCGCTTCGGCGCGCATCTCGCCCGGCTGCGCTTACACACGCTCAAGCGCGCGGCGCTGCCCCCGCTGACGCCGTCGCCCACCGGGTCTGGATTCGCTCCGAGGTCGGTGTCAGCGCCTTCGCCTGGGTTTTCGTCTACTCTCGCTCTGCCGCCGTCGCCGACTCCCACTCCCGATGCCGCGTCCCCTTCAACGCCGCCTATCACTATCATCCGCCCGAACTCATACGCAACACCCGCAGTCCCCGCAGGCTTCGACGGTCCATCGGGCGCTGACGCTGCCGCCTCCGAGGGCACCGAAGGTCCATCGACTAAGAAGTCAAAGTCGAAAGCGGAGTGGGAGCGCAAAGCCCGCTCGCGCTTGTCCCTCCCCAGCGGCGCCTCTTTGGCTTCGCTGATGCCCGGCAATGGCGGAAGCGGCTCGCCCCTCGCATTCGGCGGCGGAAAGAGCCCGAGCCCTATCAGCGGCATGTTCAATCTCAGCCTGGGAAGGTCGAAGTCGAAGTCGAAGGCGGGGTCGGGATCGAGGTCGTCGTTGATGCCGCCCGTATCGCCTGCCTCCCCGTCAGCACATTCGCAGACCGGGAGCGTGGCGAGCGGGTCGGCGTCGCCGTTGCCTTCGCCGGGCCTGAGCGCGAGCTCGCTCGTCAGTGGTAGTGGCGGTGGGAGAGGGCCCCCGAGTCCAGTCCCGAGCCAGGGGCAGGGGCACAGTAGGAGCAGGAGCCGAATGTCCATGTTCACGCTTCGGTCTCCGTCTGCGTCTAGTCCTCTCCCGAGAGACGTTCCACAGAGCGGCGAAGGGAACGTCTCGAACGCGGCACGCAGCCCGGACGCGCGTTCTTCGTTCTCGGTGTCGCATATGCCTATCAGTCCAGAGTCGGACGAGGGAAGAGCGCTGATGAGCGCGTATGCGGGGCAGGGCGTGGAGAGGGTGCATGCGAGGGCGTGGAGTAAGGCGTGTAAGGGGCTGCGGGATATCGAGTTTACGTTTGGGGCCGGGGTTGGTCTAGACGGCGAGAGTGCGGGTGACGGGGAAGAGGACGTGGTGGCTGGGGTGTGGTTCCGGCGACGGGCGTAGGCAGCTGGTGAGGCATCGATGGTTGGTTTTGTTCATCTTATTTTATTTTGCTTGTTTTCGCATTCGCGCTCGTCCACTGTCCGTGATAGGCGCGCCCCACACTCGTTTTCTTTTTTCTTGTTTGTTTGTTTCTGCTCAGCATTCTCGGACACTTATACCGCTTTCATCTCCGTTCTTGCATGCTTCGTCTCATTCTCATATTACGCTACCATAGAGTATACCGCTATAGAGTGTAATGGTTCCTTGCTTACTGATTCTCCCTTTACCTTCGCATAGTACGACGGCATCACCTATGGCGTCTAGATGTGCATAGCATACTGTACTGTACGCTCGATACCGTATACCGCTTTGGATTGTTCATACCCTTGACAATGCGATTTGGGTGATAAAGGACTTTATTATTTGACGAGATAATGTACTTTTGGCGCGTAGGACGATGGACGAGTGGCCAATCGATGAGTCGTGGAGAAGTCACCATCTGAGTGTGGATATGCCAGTCCACGGTTGTGAACGCCCACGAGATGCTCGCGATGGTATCAAGCACCAAGGTCCACCCCTCCAAGATCGATCGAGCGCACCCCCGACCTTGGCATCTTCAAGGCTTACTAGGCCCATGACGAGCAGAGAGATTCAGCCGATCTCGTTTTCGGCGAGAAGCTAGGGATGCAATGCCAAGTTAGAATGAGGAAGATGATGGTTTACACAGGTCAAAGGTGGGAGGTATGGGATGAGGAAACGCACCATGTTCGGAATGCCGTTTGAGATGGGGTAGACGTGTTCGCAGTTGGGGCAGATCATTGCGCCCTCGGTGATGTGGATCTGGAGGAAGGTGCGTGGATGGGGTAGCGGGGACAGGTGCATCGACAGAACGTGGATGCAAGGAGTTGAGAGCGAGGTCGTGTTCGTTCGAGGTGTGTCGCGAGTTCGCAGAGAAGTGGATGGATAGTCATGTCCGTTAGGGGAGGCAAGGAGCGAGCTCAAAGTAAGGTTTCGCACCTCCATCAGTACGCGATGCAGCTTCTGCACCAGCTCGTCATCCATCATCTCGGGCTGCTCCGCCGGTAGTGATTCGTCGCCTACCTATCGCACACTCGCAATCAGTCCTCGCACGTACACAAGGGGCATATGCCGAAGCAGAACGCTGTATGAAGTGCCAAAACACACCTGACGCGCAGCATCAACGAGCGCCTTCCACTCGAGGCGCGGTAGCATGTTGCGCACGAATTCGGGGTTGATGTCCTGCTCCTGGATCTCGACCTGGGCATCGCGGAACGCGAGCGGGAAGTTGTTCGTCGTGCAGCCTTTCGCGTGGCACGCGAGGAGGTTGTGCGTGATCAGGCGCACCATAGGTTGACCCAAGGACGAGCGTGTTTGACGATATGAACGACGATGAGGAAGGTCGGGAAGATGGAGGTCAGGAAAAGGGTGTTAGGGGTGCCGCATAACCCCGGACAGTCGGGTTCTCACGGCTCGCGAGCCTACCAAGAGCCTACCGCCTCTTTCTGAGTTGGCTTTCATCGCCATTTCGCAACAACTCGAACCCACCGCATAGTCGAAGCTCAAGCCCGGGGCGGGATCTCACTCTCAGACTTAACCTGCCTGTTACCTCCTCAAGAGCTGGAGCACCGGGAGGCGCCACGCAGAACGTGGTTTGGCAATATCAGACACGAAGTTGTATGCATAGTACGCGACAGATAGCACAATTTGACGAAGTTATCTCTTCATCTGTATTATAATGCTACTATACTATTGGAGATTAAAACTCCCCGTTTGCTGAAGCTTCCGGATCGTTTATAACGAATGGCGACCCTCGAAATACGACGGAGCTAACGGAACCTCTTGATATGCTGGATCCTCCGTTCAGTTGGGACAGATGGTTCTGGCGTAATGCCAGGATCAGCCAAGGCCCTAGCATGCAATATAGTCCGGTCTCGAGGACTAGATTTATATTATCCAGGGTGTTTTGTAGTGTAAGGTTCTAAGGGTTGCAGCCTCTCAGTAACGTACGTATTTTCAATGCGCTATCAGTTAAATCACATTACTTACGAGGGAAAGTATTCCCGGAAACGAGTATACTGTGTTTAGAGTCTGCGATGCCAAAACCCTAAACATTGATGTGAATTAGTATGTTGCGATGTTGTAAAGAACACTGACCATATGAAATAAAGGAGACCTTGCCCCGCAAGTAACTTCATTAACCCCTTCAATTGCAATCGGGAACTTCCATTTCCCCTCAAGTAGACAACTGACTGGTAGGCAAGCAGTACAATCAGGACAAGCTCGTATGCGCAGACACTTCCGTCGGTCACCACATAGAAAATCCAGTAAGATGGATTTGGCGGAGGAAAAGAAACACATTGTCGGATGCCTAGCAATATAGCTTCCTGGGCTGATGATCATAGTGATTTGAGAAAGCGCGGACCTGAACATGATTGCAGTAACGCACACGTGAAACCATCGAATGGAAAAGATACTACGACAGCCAACGAAATACCCAGCAATTGCACGAGAACGAAAACGGTGCCGAGGGAGAAAACAACATTTTTCGAGTTGCCATATAGCGCACAAACTCGGGCAGACATAATTCCTATCGAATCAGAGTTAGCTGTATTACTGGGAATTAGCTGAGAGTGTCACCTTGAACAACTATAATTAGAAAATGGCGGTCATCAACAGATTATCGGGGCGGATAGTATCCTAAGAAGGTTGAACAGTAGGTTACAATGAAGATGAAGGTAGGTGAATGTACTCTGAGAGGTTGGGAAATCTGCAAATATTCGTAGACTGAAACTACAGAGCTGATTCGCTGGAAAGCGGAGAGACCTGATCATATGACAGTTACAAGGTGTCTCCCTTGCCTGATAGAAGGCCCTGGCCCAAGTGGGACTGATACTTTTGTTCATCTCGTCCAAAACCTTCGGATTCTCCACGAAACCGCCTTCCACCTGATTTGACTGCGCCGGAGAACGGTTCCATCAGCTTACTTGCATTTCAGCGATTATTCATTCGTTTCACTCTTGATGTAGATGCGCTTCTCAAGCAACTCCATTTCGATGACCGTAAATGACCACAACTCAGTAGAGATCCGGCCGGTTTTTTGAGGAGCCGAACTCGTATGGAAATCACTATGAGTCATAGTATACTAGTGGAGATTCACGTCAGATTCACATGAAGATGATAAAACGCTTTCAGACTGCCCGTTCAAATGAGTCGTCACAACATGTTAAGAAAACATTTCTGGTACCAGGTTTAGAGTATAAAAGAGTACGTCCGTCTCCCGCGCGCACAGGCGATCAGAGGAAGGAGCTGACATCCTGCGTACGCTAGCAGTCGACACGATTCCGAGGGGGAACGATACGCTGAAAACGGATCTTCGGGCAGGTATAGTATTCTTCCTGTTGTTCTAGATAGGAAATGTTTTTCCCTGGTAGTATAAACGTGGCATAAGTAAGCGAGGTTTTACACTGGCCCGCTAACCATAGGTGGATCACCTTTGCGACCGGAATATCCATGTACTTCATCAAAAGCGGAAAAGTTGGATAATGGCCAACTCTGTTAGATGAGCCGCTGTCATGCATACGCTGAATGGTTAGGATGATCAAGGCGTAGCTGAGGAAGGCGCCACCCCAGGAAAGGAAGCAGATGGAAGTGGATAATCATTATTGCCTTGAATCTATAAGTAATGTATCGTGAATGAGGGTTCTAAGAACTATCTTGAGTGAGTATTCTATGGTCGCCGTCTATTCGACTGCGTTATAGGTTAAATTAATCTACTACATGCATTTCTCTATCCACGACTTCGCATCGACATCCATTCTGTCACGCGCGCAAATCAATCAACCCGAGCACGCTTTTTTGCGACGCTGTTCGCACCGTACATAACGTGACCATTACCATCCGTCATGTCTGCGAGGTGTGCAACGGGCAAGGTGGAAAAATACTCCATGGAGTCCTTGGGATCCGGTTTCTTTTGCCAGCCGATCGGACACAACGGGGACGGGGTAAAGGTGTGAGATGTGGGATGAGGAAACGCACCGAGTTCGGAATGCTGTTCGAGATGGGGCAGATGTGTTCACAGTTGGAGCAGACCATTGCGCCCTCGGTGATGTGGATCTGGAGGAAGGTGCGCGTATAGGGTAAGCAGACGGGCCGAAGTATCGGGAGAACGTAGATGCGGGAAATCGAGAATCACATTCGTTCGAGGTGTGTTGCGCGTTCGCAGAGAGGTGGGTGAATAAGCAAGTCCATCAGGAGAGGCGGGGAGCTCAAAGCAAGGTTGTGCACCTCCATGAGTACGTAGTGTAGCTTCTGCACCAGCTCGTCATCCGTCATATTAGGCTGCTCTGCTGGTAGCGATTCGTCGCCTACCTATCGTATACTCGTAATCAGTCCTCACACGTACACAGAAGGTATACGCCGAAGCAGAACGTTGCGTGAGGTGCCAAGGGGCACCTGACACGCAGCATCAATGAGCGCCTTCCACTCGAGGCGTGGTAGCACATTGCATACGAAATCGGGGTTGATGTCCTGCTCCTGGATCTCGACCTGGCCATGGGCATCGCGGAACGCGAGCGGGAAGCTGTTTGTTGTGCAGCCTTTTGCGTTGCGGGCAAGAAGATTGTGCGTGATCAGGTGCATCATATAGAAAGTATGCAGAATGAATATGGTACTTGAGAAGGCGGGAAGCTCGTATCACCTTCGCGGGGGAACATGTTGGCTGACGATGGTTTGGTGTGGTGGACAGCTTTCATTGTTTTCTCATGCTTCTAGGTGTCCACAGGGCACGTGTTAGCCGGACACTTTTTCGTTGCAGTAGCTCTCATCCTTTATTACTCATAGTAGGACTGTCCGTCATAGGGTATTTTCCCTCGTGGACATTGTTATGATCATTCATTCATCCATTCATTCAAGACGGGCCACGGCGGATGGAAGGAGGAGAGGAATGGGGTGTTCGGGGTGCTGCAGAACCCCGAGCAGCATGGTTCCTGAAGTTCTCGCTGCTTTCAGGACATCTGACTTGACACCTCCCACCACGTTTACTCTCCAACACAATCCGTTCTTATCATATGTGGCCCAATACTAAGCGTGAATAATAAGCGAGAAAAGACAAGAAAAACCTGGACCCCAAATTCATTCTCTAAGTAAGAACAATTATTATGATTGGATAAGTTTCGACACAAATCTAACACAAATACACGACAGAAAATCTATAGTATTAACATTGTATCTACACCGGAGATGACTAGGTGCGATCATGGGTCACGATTCTGGCTCGGGGTGCTTGGCCATCGACCGGAATTATCTCTGCATCAAGGTTCACTGCGTTCCATCTGAGAAATATCTTCGTTTGTGGGGATATCTGGCCCGTTCAAAGTCGATGGCGGATTTTCGAACGCGACGGTGCTGACTGTGTGCCCCGTAGTCTGCGTCGACTCTCCATTCAGACGGGTTAGATGGTTCTGGCGAATGGATAGGATTAGCCATGGCCCCATCATGCAAATTATCCCTATTTCCATGGCCAAAGTGATAGCAGCAAGGGTGTTTTCTGTCGTAGTCCCCTGTAACCACATTAACCTCCGTGTTATCTTCAATCATCACCATCATCTGCGATGTACTTACCAAACTTAATAAGCCATATGATATAGACAGAATCTCATCAGTAAAGAGCCTAGGCAGTGTGAGTGGTTAATATTGGGAAAAGGAGTATACTCACCATATAAAATAGAATATACCCTGCCCCAACAACAACACGATTAACCCCTTCAATCCTAGCGATACATTTTGGCTTCTATGTTCTCTCAAATACATAATTGAGCGGTACACAAGCATCGAAATGAGTAGCAGCTCGTAAGCGCAAATACTTCCATTTGAGAGGATTAGCCAAATCCAAGACAGCGGGTTCGGCTGATTAAGAGTTGCACATCCTCGAATGCCCAACAGAATTGCCTCTTGGGCTGGTTGGAACGATCAGTTGTCAAGAACAGCAAAAACACTACTGAAATGACGCACAGACATTCCCGTATGTAGGAATTAATCCTATGATGGTTACAGAAATGCTTAGTAGCTGTGTGATGGCAAAAGTCATGCCGAGGGAGATGGTGATCTTTTTCGAATTATCATAGAGGGCACAGACTCGGGCAGTCATGAATCCTGGAAGTCTCGATTTAGTTACTTGAAAAGTTTTTATCTCAGAGTGTCACCTTGAACGACCGCGACCAGTACAGTAGGGAGGGCGTTAATGGATAGTATGTTGAGAGTGTTGCCTTGGAGTCATGAGAAATAACTAGACAATGAAGAACAAGTGGCTTACAGCTTGATAGCATGGGAAAACATTTGTCAATACAGGAGGATGGTCAGATTTGCGGACAAAGTGGAAAGTCCTCACCCCTGTGATGTTCATAGCAGTGAGTTACATGCACTTTTTGTCAAAGTTATCATCCTACATTATCTGATAGAGCAACAGGGAAATAGAGAACTGGTGGATGAATTAGCACACTTGTGTAGAATGAAAGCTGGAAAGACACCAACCAAGATATGTTCTGATGAAGAGATGGGATAGATGGAGCATTAGCAATCATGAAGTGAATTGTCTGCTTCATAACATACATGGGAACGAGGATGCCAACATATCGAAGCTTACCAATAATCAATTATCACGAGTAGTGTTTTTTTTGTAAACCACTCACAAAGACGTAAAGACATGTCAGCAGAGATAGTCCACGTTTCTATGAAATACAAGGTCACCATCACCATTGCAACATTATGCCATGGGTTGCGTACATACCCATATAAGCTCCTCCTGATCCAATTTAGCCAAAGAAGTTTTCTTTGAATGTAGGAGGTGGGTTTAAACTGACCTCTTGGCTTAGGCTGAGCACTACGTTGATTCGTTACGGCAGGTGAAAATATTTATGGAGCAACAGATGAAGCACATATGGACTCACGGTAATCATATGACACCACGGTAAGAAGTGACACTACAGCATCGGATTGTTAGCCAACTTTGAGCCTCTTTGGATTGAAGTACACCGTCTTACCAACAAGATAATTCTCTGCCTGCCATTCGATGAGAATTGGTATCCATTCCAACGAATTCGAAATGTAGGGCATGTTGAATATCTCTTTTTGCTGTAGGGTTCGCTTCTGTTCACGAGCGAATTGATCAAGGTTTTAAACACAAGTAACACTGCGTGGCGCTGCGTTTCATCGGCACAAGGTATGGCACAAGGTACTGACCTGACATAGTCATCAATTTTGCGGTGTCTTCCAAGAATATGTCGAACATTCTTAGCCTCAAATCAATCAGTGGCATTTGGACATACCCTGATTTCACGCCTCAACGTGTTACATAGAACTTTCAAAAGAAAAAGCTGTGCTTTGAGTTACATCCCACAAGAGGCTGCGCAAGTAGCAATAACTCAAGAATACCCAAGCACACAACACTTTCCAGGTCGAGCTGGGAGGCAGTCATCGTTGATGGCCTATAGCCTCTTGATGGCTCATATTTTCCATCAACCCATAACTTCGTCTCGTTATCAAGCCTGACATGACATGGACAGGCGGTGTCCATGGCATCTGAATCTAGAATGGATGTTCAGGTGGCGAGGTGAACAGACACTTGTTATCTATGCAGGCCTATGGGTCCCTGGAGATGACAGGGTGGCAACCGTCACGCGTGAACGCTCATGCCCGAAGCTCGCAAATACCAGCCATCCATTTCCATTACTATTCAAGTACTCAAAGACGAATAACGCTTTACAAAAAGGGGGGTTTAATGACTAACTTCGTCTAACGAATATAAACCCATCATGAACCTATGCCCAATAGTTGAGCTTTATACCTTTAAAGATTATATTCTACGTCGAAGGTGCGTTTATCTTCTTTTTTCTTCCGTTACATGCACATTGCTGGAGAATGATGCGAAGCAAACGGTCCGTGACTCTATCATACACCACCTTCTTCCGCAATACGTGCATTCTGTTAGCTGTGCCAACATTATATATAGCGGAGGGCACACTACTGCCTATACACTCTCCCGCGTGCTCAAGCGCTCAGGACTCGTCTCCATATTCGTCTCTGCTCTTCCCAAGCTCTCCCCCGTCCCCCATCACTGTCTCATTTCCCCTTTGTTCCCTTTTCCCGCATCTGTCGCAGCTTTACCACCCCATACACTCAAAATAAACCCCTGTGTTGCACAGCCTGATGGGGGCGCAAGCGCTGTTTCGTCTCATCCGTACCTGAACGTTTGCACCACTGAGGGATCTATCGTTTTTGCATTGGGTCCTGGCGGTGGCGCAAAGGGTCCATTTCTATCAAGTTTCTATCGTACGTACGCCGTGTTTGTGTGGGTGGTCTTTGCAGTGATGCGGTTCCGTTCTTCAGCGTTGTTCCCCTTCCCTCTCATACTTTCGTGACGACGGTGTCATATTCGTCATTATCATGGATGTACAGCGTTTGCTGAATGCTCGCCGAGCTCAGCAAGCACCCGTGCATGACTCGATGGTGACAACATTTGCCGGGTCATCGAGAGTGATATTTTTTCACTGTTTCTACGATTCTCCGCTCATGTATGACCATGAATATTGTGTCACTGTACCGAGCTCTGGTGTACTGTCCTTACAGAGATCAGCCCGTGGCTAACAGTAGACTTGCTCTGTTGAGTGCTGAACCGTCTTGAAAACCATGCCTATCTGACACGGGATAACTCGGTGTGCGGATAGTTCACAAAACATCGGGTACTCAGCAACGACACCCGAGGCGTGAGCTCAGCGCCGGCCCTGGTGCCACCTATTCGTCAAGTTGTAGGTTAGATTAGTCTAGTATATGTGTTCATCTATCCGTATTAGCATACTTTGCACTGGCATCTGTACTACATTCGCACGTAAATCAGTCGACCCGAGCACGCGTCTTGGCAACACCGTTCGCGCCATCGACAGCATGACCATTGCCATTCGTCATGTCCGCCAGCGGTGCATCGGGCAAGGTGGAGAAGTACTCTAGGGAGCCCTTGGGGTCCGACTTCATCGTCTTGACACCCTTTTGCCAGCCGTTGAGGCACACCTCGTCATGTTCATCCTTCGCAAGTTACGATCAGTACCCTGCGTTTCCTCAAACCGAGCCTGGATAACAGAGACGTGCAAAGTAGAGTCGACCGTGAGTATGACTTCACCTGAGGATCTAACAAGCTGCAACTCCCATGTGGCGCTGAGCGCTGAGCGGATCACATCAGCAGCTAATGTCTAACTAGGACTCTCGGCAGATTGATATCTTTAATAAATCTGATTTCCGCCATCCCCGATCCTATAGCATTGGATCTATCTAGGTCCGAATAGCAGGACTTAACACTTTCTCTCAGGCTCGTGACCGGCCACCTCTACAAAGGTGTATCGATGGGGGGAAATGTCCAGCGCAAGCTGGCCACATGATAAAGATAACAACCTCTTTGACCAGAAATCCTTTGAACGCTGATGGCGTATTATATTGCAAAATAGCGGCCATAGGATAGCGTGAGATTGCCCTGTACTTTGAAGTAGGGCGGTTGACAGCCAATCTGGGTTACCGGTTTGTGGCATGTTGATTTAGCCGTACTTTCATGAGAAGGGAAGGCGTTTATTCAGCTTCGTTTCAGATGTCACCACTCCTATATCGCTATCACGCTAACGTCGCAAGAGCTCTCACTCCTTTCTGGTATTACATAAATCACAGTGTTTGGAATACGTGCTAATATGAGCATTCCAACGGGTCAATTATCGCTACCGCATATGCTACACGAATCTGGAGTGGTGTATCAGGATGAGGGGTAATAAACCTAGATCCCGGGTGAGTATTCTACGCTCTCCTCTATACTAATGAGCTGTAGGTTATATTAGTCAACTATGCGGATCCTTCTGTCTAACGTCCTTGACATTAAAGCCCATCTATCTATGCTCATAATTTAGTCAATCCTAGCTCGCTTCTTCGCGATACCGTTCGCGCCATCCACAGAGTGTCCGTTGCCGTTCGTCATGTCCGCGAGCGGCGCGTCGGGCAAAGTGGAGAAGTACTCCATGGAGCCCTTGGGATCCGACTTCATCGTCTTGGCACCCTTTTGCCAGCCGATGGGGCACACCTCGCCATGTTCATCCTTCGCGAGGTTCAATCAGCATCATGTACCTTCCCAAACTAGGTTCAGATAACAGAGGATACTCACTGCGAACTGGAACGCCTCGACGAGCCGGATGACCTCGTCCACGCTCCGTCCAACGGGGAGGTCGTTGATGGTCACCTGGCGTAGAATGCCCTTGGGGTCGATAATGAACAGACCACGGAGGGCGATACCCTCTTCCTCAATGAGAACACCGTAGTCGCGAGAGATGCGCATCGACTTGTCTGCGACGAGGGGCAGCTTGAGAGAGGGTCCGAGACCGCCCTGTGAGCGGGGTTTCTGAGACCACGCGAGGTGCGAGAAGTGGGAGTCGGTAGAGACACCTGTAAGATGGCAGGTGTAATTTAGATTGATGAAGCCGACGTTTGAAAGGGCGAGAGGTGTGGAACGGGGAACGTGTAAGTCGAGGGGGGCAAGAAGACGTACCAAGGACGTTCGCGCCGAGGGCCTTGAACTTAGGAAGCGCATCGTTGAATGCAAGGATCTCAGTAGGACAAACGAAGGTGAAGTCCCTGATGGTGGCAGTGATGAAAGTCAGCCATCACCGTCTTATGACCGGACAGAGACGCGTCGCGTCACGTCATTAAGGAGTAGAGTGCCACTTACAGGGGATAGAAGAAGAGGACAACCCTGTGGAAGCGATATTAGAAAGGGAAGCTATCAAGAGTGCTGTCAGATTCATACCATTGGCTAAGGTAGTCAGTGAGGGAAACATCTTTGAAGTCGCCGTCGACAACGGCTGTTGCCTTGAAGGCAGGTGCGGGACGCTGGACGACAGCAGGCATATCTGATATAGTGTTTACTTTGGAGGAAGCTCTTATCTGGGAGCTGACTAGAGGTAGGATGGGAAGACGAAAGGGGAGCAGACGGCAGAAAGGAAAGAGGAGGAGAAAAAAGCGAGACGGCAAGCGACGGAACGAATTTCTTAATGAGCAGCCGCATTTAGCGACGCGTTATGTACTCATGTTTGGATCCTGGCTGCCTCGGAGCTTTCCGGAGACATGTACCCGCGATTGGTAACGCTCGCTTTGCGCTCACCAAACGTTTAATTTCAGTTTGCAGACGTGAGTCTTTTACGCCCCATTGTCTTGCCCGTTTACCATACATATTAGAACAGATGCAGCGACGTGTTCTTTCCTTCCCATGAACAGCGCACAGCTCGCTCACTTGCGGCAGTGCAACGCGCTGTCGAAACTCGGCAGTCTCCCGCAAGAAACCCTAGTCAACATCCTGACATTCAGCTCCAGATGCGGCGCACAGGATCTAGACATCGTCCGTTGGACGCACGTGTGCAGCTTCATCCGTGAAGTTGCACTCCGCCACCCCCAGCTATGGTGCTATCTTCCGTTCCGCGTCACCTCCGAATTGCGCGTGTTGGCCATGATACTCTTCCGCTCGCAGAACGTGCCGCGAGACATCGAGATGAAGCTAGAATCACCCCTCAGTATGGACGGTACACACCTCGCGATACTGACAGAGCTCCTGCGGGACGTAGGAAAGCTTCGCAGCCTTCACCTTGTAGCTAGCCCGACTTTGGTCTCGCGCTGCCTGAAGGAAAATCACGCGCTCCAGCTCCGATCCCTATGCATCTCGTTTTTGCGCGACAACGATGGCACAGAGGCTCAAGATTTACCTATCAATGGCGAACTGTTCGGTGGACAAACGCCCGTCCTGCGCGAACTGACGCTAGACAAAGGTGCTCTCCTCTGGAACTCATCGATCTTTGCAGGCCTCACTTCGCTGCGGATCACTAATGTTTGTGACCAAGAAATGCCTACTCCTGACCAACTGTTGGATACACTACGCAGTGCAACTAAACTCGAGAAACTCCAACTTTCTGGCCGTCTGGCGGGGGTGCCTTTTGAACCTAGCATGGTGGCCCCCCCTGACGACCGTCTCGTAACACTCTCATCTTTGCAAAAGCTTGAGCTCCGACAGATGGACTTCAAGACATATGGTTTTATCATCGGCCACCTCGATTTCCCCTTTTCCACCCGCGTAAGCGTCCTAGAAATCTCAGGCTCGTGGCGCGCAAGATACGGACTCACTAAAAGTCCAATCCTACCATCCAAGCTGTTCACAGAACCAATACATCCTTCGACCCCATCTCGCACTCTTGTTCTCAAAAAGAACACTTCAGCATTTGGCATCACTTCGTACAGATGCGCATTGGAGGGCCCAGAGTGGTACAACTTCCGCCCTTCCGCACACCATCCGCACGTAGAAGCAAGCTTCTCATGCACCGGCATGGACACGTTCGACCACGCCCCCCTCGTCTACAACATCCCCATGTCGGACGTCCACACCCTCAAAATCATCGGCACCTTCCCACAGGAATACGTCTTCTGGCGCAACGTCTTCACGCACGCACCCCACGTCCGCCGCCTCTTCGTCGGCGCCGACCTCGGCCCCACCGGCAGCCTCAGCTTCCTCCTGTGGGCGCTCATGCCCTCCTGCCTCTCCGGGAACGCCGAGCCGCCGCTCCTCCCGCACCTCGCGGAGCTCCATATATCGCTGTACGACAGGGGCCACATGAAGGGCGTGTCCTCCGACATATTCAGGACGGTGCTCAACGCGCGCGCGAGCGCGGGCTCGGAGATCACGAGCTTCACGATGAAGCTCTCACGTCACATTTCGCTCTTCTTTCTCACGACATTTGCCGGTGCCACGATGGTGGTTGACAAGAAGGATTTGGTGATTCCTGGGTATGAGGATGTGGACGAGGAAACGAATTGGACGGGCAGCGACGCTAGCGAGTCGGGTGATGGCGAAGCAGGTAGAGGACCCGGTAGCCAGTCGTAGCAAGCGAGAACATTTTAGGGTCTCTCTATGTACGACATCTTTTATCGCCAGAAGTTCCTTCTCATATCATAGATTGCGCCATGACCCATGCTGAAGTATTGACACCATTTTTACATAGTCAAGAAAATCAGCTACCAACAATTTCATTAGGAATACAGTATCACCCCAACACTAAAACTACGTAAAATAACATGTGAATGTGTCCATGCACAGGCATTAATACATCTCTTTCGTAAGTACATACAGATTGAAATCCCTGTCCATTAGAGGCGTACATGACCCCGATCGTAAGGTGGCGGGACCTCTATCACAGGCACCTTGTACACCTTGTACCGTGGCCCGCTGGCCCGCTCATGCGTGAGCGCCGCCGAAAGCGCCATACCCGGGTCCGCAAAGGGGGCGATTGGTAGCGGTCGCCACCGTCGCCTCGTACCCTCCCCGTCATCGCCTCGAGCACGGCTTTCGTCCCTGCCGTTCTCGGGGACCACCCTACGAGCTACGCCCGTGGCCCGTGCCTGCACTGAAGACCGCGGTAACTGCACGCACAGAGACGTGTGCACGGCCTTGCGCCGCCGCTTCCGCTTCCTGCGCGCGTCATCATGTGTGGTACCACCGGCAGATTGATGCGCCCGATGTTCGGTCTGTGCGGCAGGCACAAGCCCAGCGAGCGAGCGCTGGTCATGCAGTTGTCGTCCAGCAGGTCGGTTCCGCGTCTCGCCGATGTGCACCACACCTTCCGTCGCCTCCACCCGCTGCTTCGGGGGCTTATACCGCGCCCGCCCCTCGCTCGCGTATATAGCGGGTGGGCTGGGCTGCACCCCAGCCTCGGGATCGACACCGGTATTAGCAACATTGAAACACATCGACACCGGCACGCGGTTACGTTCTCGGGGCTGCGCGATCGGAAGCGGCGCGTGCGGCAGCTGCACGAGATCGCAGAACGGATGCGGGCTCATCATAGCACGGATCTTGGCGAGCCGGCGTCTACGTCTGCGGCAGTACACAAAGATGGTGACGCCCACGAGGAGCAGGAACGCGCCGCCGATCGGGGGGACGATCAGCGCCGCCGATACCGATCCGTTGCTAGTGCTGGTGCTTCCTGAGACGGACGTGACCTCGAAGTGGGACACGGCGAGCACGTCTCTTTCGCTCACGGGGTTGTTCCGGACGGTGATGGTGTGTGGCCCCGCCGAAAGCCTGTTGTTGAAATACAGCAGCGTGGTCGAAGCCGAAGACGCGTTGGGAGATGATAGGCGCGCGTTCGGCATTACTGCGGTCGGATCGGATCCGTCAACCATCACAAGGAACGGCGAACTGGAGATGTTCGTAGGACCATAGAGCGCAATGGTCTGACCTGTGGGCACAAGAATAGATGCAGTCATCATTGAGGCGTGCACATCGGCAATTTAGAATATGGCCGCACCCTGGGTACCCGACAACGAAAAACAGGCGTTCAATCAATATCAAGCACTGACTTGTAACGTTAAGAAAACGTACCGTGAAATTGTAACTCATTGATGAAGTTGGCGAGTTAGCTATGCTGCGCAAGTGTATGTGGGTGAACACCTGTCGCTGTGAGGTATGCTGCGGTATTCTCACCTCCCTTGTGTGGCATTGGACCATACTCCGTGATAGCTGCCTCCGAGGGTCGTTGCTTGAACTTGAGTTTGGGAAACGTTAGCGCCCGAAATGTTACTCTCGAACTTGGCCTATCCAAAGCAACAATCAACATCACCATGTAACGATGCGATGGATATTGAAAGGTTGCGTACGTGATCCAGCGCCACAATATTTCCCTCGGGATTTTCAAGATTCACCAGTTCGATGATATGCTTGCCCGGAGAGAGGCTGATACCGTTGTACAGAAGCATCGACGTCGTGTCTCCCGGATCCAGCTCGGATATGCATGAATCCCGTTTACCATCAACCACGACAACGCAGTTGTCAAGGGATGTGGACGAAGAATTTCCGTAGATCCTAAGAACTAGGTGAGCCAGTCGTCGGTAATACAAAGTGCAGGCGGTCAAAACGAGGCTGATCGAAACATACCAGACGCCCGTGCCCGTGAACTGCAGTAACGCCATCGCCCTGCCCTGCGACGAGTTTGACACTACGGCTGTGTTACTGGTTGCGTTGGTACTGGTGTTGTCGGACAGCGACCAGAGCGCCTGTGGTACGAACAGCAGCAGCGGGCTCAGACTCGACACCGTCGTGTTGAAGACTACCATCGTCCCTTGTGCTAATGCCCCTCTCCCCCCGCATCAAAGTGCTGCGTAAGATTGGACCGTCTGAGCGCGCGACGCCTTGTGACTGTGCGCGGCTCGAGCGATTCCGACGAGCGACCGGAGAGACAGGAACGGGGTAGGTGGATGACTGCAGACGACCGAGGCGGAACAAGATGGACGGGTGGGTTTCAGAGTAAAAGCCAGCAATCATCACGTTGGACTGAGCGGTGACCTTGTTATACAGCCTTTCGTACATGGGAGCAGTGGGTGAATGTATAGAGTGAGATGGACAGGCCAACAGGGCGTCATCTGCATCACAATCAGTACATCAGCGGCGATACGTCTCCGAGGTGACCAGATATGGAGAACTTGCTACTGGAAGGTCCAAACGGTCCGCAGCAAGAAGGTAGTGGAAGCAAACGACAGAATGTTATTCAACGTGTTGAGATGCTAAGAACGTTTTGGTCTGACGGAGGGAGGGCGGAAGACGGACTTTTCATGTCCTCGGGTGACGTTTGCGACAGACGTCAAACCAAGGGGCGATGAGGAGCAGGCACAGCCCTGCACAGCCACAGCGCAGTGTATAAGGCCGGCCTATTGATAAGATACCGGAGCGCGGCGCGGCTTCTCCCCTCACATTATTGACGAATTAGAGCGGACCTGGAAGCGAACAAGCAGTGCGCGCACGAGTGGTACCTTCGGGAGAACGCGCCGGCATGACAGCGTGGAACGCTGGGAACTGCAAACGTGAGGCAACCACACGGTCAATAACAGCAAATTTAAGCGCTGAGCGCTGAAAAGCAAGAATGTTTCTGGAGAGAAGTAGAGACGTCGGAGTACCCCAAGCTTTCATTTAAACCCGGAGGAAGCTGAGGCGGAATTCCCGGGTGTTCTCTTATTTCGGGCCGAGATCAAACGAGAGATAGCAAGCTGCCTCCCTTTGGTTCTTGAGTGCTTGCGCTATCAAGGGGGTGCTGGTGACCTCGCTGGTTGAATGTGGACAGTGTTTGAATCAAACCGTGTGTCGTTTATGATGGGAGGATACGTCAAGCTTATTGTGAATCGCCAGCCCGAATGCCACATAGGGCGTTGGGAGCTAGTGGCTGGAGAACTTGCTCAAGGCATTGAGTTTGCAGGAGCGTACAGAAGTGATGCGACCGAGCGGAGAGTTATCAAGCTATTAATGGGTGGGTATCCTAGGCTTACTGGTGCGTCACGAGGATGTTGTAGTAAAGGAGAGAATACTGAATAAGGACCCAAACCCTCGTATATTGTTGCAGTTATTGGACGTTATTTTCAGTGGCTGGTATCCCTCTAAGTGTTGGATCAGGAAAGAGATTGGTAGGAACTTGGATAGGAACAATATTAAATATCTAGTAGATGAATGTCATAGTAGTCTGGTGCAGCCGATTCTTTTGAGGTGCGGACGAGAAACGCAAGCTAACCTAAGGAAGGTGCAACATTTACTCCGATGCTACACCTCCCATTACAGAAATCTATGATTACGACACGATATTTGTCGTGGACTACATTGTATCTTTGAAAAGCATCCGTATATATCTGGCAATACCGGATGCACTGAACGAGGGCACAATCTTCTCAAACAGCAATGCTATTCTCGCCAGCATGACCCTCGTTGGCGTTTGTATTGGTACCCCCTCCTCGAGCAGACACTTGTCTGAATGCAACGGAGCTGACTTCCTCTTTATTTGTTGCTGAACTTTTGTTCAACTGGGCTGAATGGTGTTCACGAATAGACAAAATCATCCATGGCCCCAGAAGGGAACCAAATATAATCTGCAGAATGGGCATCAACTCGTCTATGATTTCATGTCCTACCGTGCTCTAACGGGATGGACGTCAGCGATTCCCCCATGCCAATAGGAATATACTTTGTGTGAGCGTTGCTCACCAATCCAGTTGCAAGATCCCCCACAATAGAAACTACGCCAAATACAATCACACTATGTCAATATTAGAGCTGTTGTTCCTGAGAAATGGCGGAAGATTTCGTCTCACAATAAAAAGTACAGAAGAGAGTGTTCGATGATGAGGTCCATGAGCCCTCGAAGACCCAGTGAAGAACTTTGTTTGATGTGCTCCCTTAAGAGCCATCTTGAACGATACAAGATCATACCAACAAGAAGCAAGTCGTAGAACAGAGAGGCCGCATCGTTCAGGGGCCCAGACCAGACCAGCGGAGATTCCGGGGTGCCATCCATACATAGCCGAAACCCCAAGACAATGAAAACGCTTGCTGAAGCGAATGGATTGTAATGTTTGGCCATAAAGTAAAACATCAGATTGTGCATACCGTTGGACCCATAAGGTTGCACCAATGTCATGATGTTCAGGATAAAACAAAGCAGCTGAACGCAGACAAAGGTGACAGATAGGAAGATCATGACCTTTTTAGAGTTCTCGTATAGAGCGCTAACACGAGCGGTCATGATCACTAAAATACAGTATGAGAAGTATAAAAAACTGAATGCTTCATAAACCGCACCTTGCACAGCTATTATCAGGAGACCCTGTGCAACTTGCGTCGAGCCCCAGGAGGCTGCACCTGGGCATGCTCTATTTTTAGATGCGTGCAACAAAACGGATCGAACCTCATCTTACATCTACGCCATTTCACCGCGTATCATTGAGCGATTCAAGCCGGGCACCCATCTATGGTAGGGGGTGACTTACGTCTACCATAAATGAGGATAGTTAAAAACAACAGATGGCCAAAAATCGAGCTTACTATATTAGATTTTGATGGGGAATAGAATTCTCCACTATCCCGAATACGTCAAAAACACCACAATTGGTATTGAGCAAAACACTGTATAACTCATTCCATGACTCACACTGCAGGAACTATTCCCATGTAGCGTATCTGAAGATCAAACCTTGTATTAGTTTATTTACCAATTAGCAAGCGGAGGAAAGGCTTACAGCCACATATAAGTACGTCATCCACGACCGTTTCTGTTTCTGTAACACTGTGAATTTCTGCTAAATATATCCGCAGCGAGCATTCACCCATATCAAATCAACCTTCGAAGTGGAATGGCTGAGCACTGTCATAATTTCTTCAGCTAGAATTACATCGGCTTACCTCTTTGCTTAGGTTAAGAGCTGAAGAAGCGTGTTATAATTTCAGTGAAGAAGGACCGGAAACCCACTATAGTCGTAGACAACAAGTGTAATCAAAGCCACTGTATGACTCTGTGAGACAGTATATGCGAGGCCTAGCGCTGCTATCACACCATCTAGATAGCTGTTGGCCTGAAATTCGCCTACTACAGGCACCAAAGCGGGAGAGTTCAAGATATCGGCCATGCTAGGGAGAAGAGAAGCTCAAACAGGATGAGCTGCTGGGATTTATGGTTACAAGTTTGGGATCCTGGAGTCTTTATATACAAACAACAGAGGATATTGCCGAATAAATAAAAGTAACATCATATCAGAAAGCCGAACGATAAACATAGATCGCCCCAGCATCTGCTCATGACAGATTCCGACCCTGCATCATATAGCATAGAGTGGGCAACTGCCAGTAGCATTTGAGATGATACCACCGGTAATTTCTCCATGGGAACCATTTAGGATGCTGTGACAAGTAAAGCCGTTAGATATCAGACAAATGTGACACAGTTCGCACATAGGAATCATTCCTAGATAGCAGGGCTGTTGGTCTATATATACTTGGTATGTCTTGGTTATGATACATACATTGCATCCTCTCCTTCTTACAACGGCCACGGTTTGCAGTGTCGTTGTCGGTGATGTAAACACCGTCATAAAATTGGCAGCACTGTTATTCTCATCTGTAGAGATGAATGCGATGAGAAGTATAGCGATGAGGGGAAAGGTGGCTCGGATACTGACTGTGGTGACTCTCACTTCCCATATCTGGTTGTTTCACTCAGTTTCGCTGAGGGAATCACGAGAATGAGTTCATCCTGGGAACATAAACCTGTCCGATTACACTCGGGCTGAACGGAATGTACAAGTCTACCAGATACACCCGCTCTCGTTCCGCATATACCTACGGTTGACTATGAAGTGGAACTGCTTCTCCATTCCAGATTAATACCGGATACAAACAGCTATGATGGAGGGAAACCCTGCAATTTTGATCTACAAATCTACCAACTCGCTGGTCTACCAAAAAGCGCATATAAGTCAGACGTTCTCACTACTTTCCACTGGATAAATGAAACATACCCAAAGCTCCCCGATTCAGGCAACGGCAGAAACGGCTTATTCTTCCCATCCGCAGTGTTGAGGAACACTTTGTTCCCCCACCACTTCGCGACGTTATGATTTCCGATGGCTCCGTTGGCGGGGTACTGCAGACAAAAGAAAATAAAGATAATTGAGATCGCAACCCCAGAGTCGAGTGCGGCTGAGAGGACATCTGTGCGAATCATGTCAGGGAGCATAGCCCAGAGAAGTTACGGAGTTGAAAGAGGAAAAGAGAATATGCGTACAGTTGTACTTAGTCCACCACGAGAAGTAACATCGTCGGATGACGAATTGGAAGATAAATCCGACAATCGCCCATGGAACGTAGTTGAGCGCGCTGGCTGGCGGAATATATCCGACACCGGCGAAGATGAGAGGAAAGCTATGTGACGCGTCGCATTAGGTCGTATGCATGAACGGAAAACGGGTAAACGCACTTCACGTAGCGAATGAAGCTATTCGGCCACCTCCGCGAAATCAACCACGCCACGACCGGCAGCCCCGCACCCAGAATAAAGAAATACGTTAACGCATGATACAACTGCCCCGCCGCGAATTGCCTCTGCGGACCGATCACGCCCCAAATGAACGACGCAGTGCCGAACACCTCGATGCCGGGGCATATGAACCCGTTCGCCTGCTTCGGCGTGCACACGTCTGGGATGTTGTTGAACACCCACACCTGCACGCCGAGCTGCGTCGTCGCCGCAACCGCGGTCGCGACGATCTGGCCCCAGAACATGGAGCGCGGCGGGATCTTCATGTAGTGTCCTAGCTTAAAGTCAGCCGTGAACGCGAGTGCTTGGAACATGGTAATATATCCCCAGGTCTTGAAGAGCATCACGGCGATGGGGCGGCCGGGGATGGCGTATCCACCTATGAACTCGGTGATAACACTGTGGGCGCGCGAAGTTAGGGGCCAAGGGTAGGTGGGATAGAACGTGAAGCTTACTTCAGGCCAATTTGTTGATTGGTGATAGCCTGGATCATCCCAACGGGGACAACGTATACAAAGGAGATCAAGAGCGAAAGAAGGAATGCCCATACTGGCATCTCGGTTGGCCAAAGTTCGATGGTGAGGACGCCCATAACGAACATTGCCATGAAGATAGCCCCATACCACCACTCGGGGACAGGTTTGTATCGCGCCATGAGACGAGCGTGAATGTCGGGCTGCTGATCTAGTGAGCGCCGCGCTTGACTCCAGATTTGTTTGCGGAAGAACAAGATGGCATGGGTGACCGTTGCCGTCATCGAGGCAAACAGCAGTCCGTACGAGAGAGCAAATGTCGACCTAGCAGAATAGAACTTGAGGAAAATTCATGCGTACCTTAACGATGGACTTACGAGAGGAATAGCGGACTGTACTCCTGGTAAGCGGTGAGGTTCAAAGTTGCGTGAGACGTCAGTATCCGGGTAATGTTGTACTCCTTGCCGGTGTTATCGTAAGACGTGCGAGATGAAATACTAGGTGTGAAGTTAGCGTACATACTCCAATGCCAAGTGTGAACTGGGGTTACTTACGGCATGTACTTGCTGTACCACGTATTAGTATAGTACAAAGCAGGCGTCAGGATCCAGAAAAAGAACACGAAACCAGCAAATATATTCGCCTCTGCCCACCACGGCGCAGCGAGCGGACTCCCAATATAGGTGATCTGCGACCAGTCAAAAGTGATCAAGCTCATGCCTAGGCCGCTTTTGTATCCGAACAGCTGATTGACGACGATATTGTCCGGCGCAATCCAGCACACCCACGTGAAGTAGGAGAGCGCCTGAAAGAGGTATCCAGGGAAGAAGTACCAGCATAGGCTGCCCAGCCAGGCGTAGAAGAAGAAACGCCCGCGCGAAAGTCCTCCACGTTCACCAATGCCCGCGTAGGTTTGGGAGTGAAGGGTGTTGAAGAGCGCGCATGTCACCAGGTTGACGGGCCAGACTACAATGTATGCTTAGCTTAGGGTAAGAGACTCAGCGGACTAAAGGAACGTACTCATAGAGGGCGGAGAGACCAGGAAACGCCGCAGGATTCCCCCAAAGGAAAATCCGATTAGTTGAGTTGACATCACCATCATCCATTGGTCTGCGTATTCGATTCCAACGCATGAACACAACAGCGAGGAAGGACAAGTAAATGATAGGAAAGGTTAGTGGGCACTGTAGTTGACTCACAACCGAAGTTATAGTTTTGATTGTAGTAGAAGCGCTGCACGGCTGGAATATCGGTCTGTTTAGTGTGGTGAGCGCGTCCTTGTTGCGTGATCACAGAGTTAGGGAACTCACAGCATAAGCGGAGGGTCCACCGACTGTCGCCATGATTGTTATCAGAACGTGCTCCTTGATCGCGAACGGACCAGGGTTAAGTGGATGGCCGAATATATGCACGTTTGGCATGAACTGAAGCCCGAAATTGGGTGCGGCGCATCTGAGTAGGTATGATAAGAACGTACCCTAGCCCACAGGCGCCCGACCGGAAAGGAGAGCAGCTGGGCCGCTAGGCTGGATATGCTGACCGACGGATAGCGAAAGTGAAAGAACTGATTCAGCCCCGATATGATGACAGCCCAGACTATCCCTATAACACACGCATCAGATATCACAATTCATCAGTGATGTTATAGGTAGAGCGGCGCACCCATCACCCAAGCACGTAGGGTAGAGCAGGCCATCTCGGGGTCATCCGTGTTTGCGACGGCGGAGCGCACCTCGGGGTATGGCGAGTCATCCTCTGAAGACTTGTCAGAGAGATGATGGTAAGGAGACGAGTCCGTGCTGCCCACCTAGAACGCCCACCACCGCCTGGTCACGGTCTATGTTAGGGTCGTCGAATTCTGCTACCAGTGCGTCGACGGCGTGGGCTGCCTCGTCCTCCCTTGGTGCAACCTTCTCCAAATCCGTGCTGGGACTATCGCGTTCTTCTGGATGCATCAATGGTGCAGACATCTTCAGCCCAATCGGCTTGCGAGTGAAGGTGCCAGTCCTCTCCTGAGCGCTGAGGAGGTACCTGCAGAGAGCCACAGGAGGCAATCAAGGGGAAGCGAGAAGGCGGAAGGATTTTTGATCGAGGGGAGATAGGGGCCTGCGCCCTGATGAGGTGTTCAGTTTGTTCACCTTTGTTGATTCATGTCAGCTTGCTGTCACAACCTGCCATACTTCGGACACCGTTCCAAGGCCGATTCAGCTGGGGGACTTTATCAGGGGAGGTGAGCGTGTGGAAGGCATAGCTACAGGCCACTTGAAGAAGAAACACGGCGAGAACGAGTGCAAGAGTGGATCCGCAAAAACCGGCACGTAGCAGAAAGGCGTGGGATCGCATGTAACCGAGCCCTACTTTCTCACGGTTTCCGGCCCACCTAATTTCGTTACATGTTGGTTACATGCACAAACCAACGATCAGTGGTGCTATGGAATGGCGGGCGCGCGTATAACAGAGTAATAAAATGAGATGGACTAGTTTAGTATCGAAGTAGTATCCCCCTCAAATCCCCTCAAGCTTCATTATAAGGGTCATCTGCTGTCCGCAAATTTATCGTTGGTGTCTCAAAGACAAGCGAGCTCACACTTCCTGCGGCGCTCATACAATAGTTTCCGCCCGCGTGACACAAATGGTTCTGGCGTATGGAAAGGATTAGCCACGGACCCAGTACACAGAGAAGTCCGGTTTGAAGAGCCAGCGTTAGACCGTTTAGTGTAGTCGCCAGCACAGTAATCTGTTGAGATAATGCTCGTTGATACAATGAAAGGTTGTATTCACTTTGATTACTTACTTCTTTGAAATTTGCATCAGAGTCTTGAATGCTGAGGACTTCATATGTTATCACCCTGAACACGTGGTCAGCCTGTGCATCGGAGGGGGTGAAGAGGTCGCAATACCAAACAAAATAGAGTAAACCTTGACGTGTAAGCAAGCTGATGATTCCTTGTATTTCCACCGCAAATTCCCAGTGCGTGTTTTCTCGGATGTTGTCCACCGAGCGGTAAACAAGGAGGACGATAAGAACTAGCTCATAAACACAGATGCTTCCGTTAGCAGCCGTGTAGAACCACAGCACTGGGAATGTAGGAGTTTCGTGGAAACATCCCGGAACGCCGAGAATAGTGACCTCATGTGCTGCCCGTGGTTTTAGCATCAAAGCCCAAATATACACTTGCTAATGTATCTCACTATAGAGGATGCGTGGGGGAACAGACATCACAATAGTCAACGCAATGTTCAACAGTTGCACAGTGACCAATCCGCCATAGAGGAGTATAAACACTCTCTTGGCATTCTCGTATAGCGCGCAAACGCGGGCAGTCATGACACCTAGCCGGCGCGATTAGCTGACCTTTTGATAACAGTGTGCTATTCCATTATACCTTGAATGACTGCTACTAGGGTGGCAGGCATTGCTAACTCCATCAGATTGTAAAATACGGAACCTGAACCCCACCAAATAACCTTAGATAACAACACTGGCACAAAACATAAATAACTGACTTACAACTTATTTTTTTCGGTAACAGAGTCCTCAGCGGTAAGTTGATAGAAATCAGGAAGAAGGAAGCGATGGAGACTCACGCCTATATGAGAAACGATTATTGACGTCGGCCGGTCAATCAAAGTAAAATTGTACATACCTCATCCGGAAGAGAGATCGGCGAGTAGTAAACTGGAAAGATGCTAAGACCGTTGTACGGAGCGAAGACGCGCAAGAAACCAACGGAGGGAAACTCTACACATGGATTTAGCGACAAGTACCATGTTGCCGGTGTAATATGCAATCCAATAGCTCACAGTGTGTAAAACAAGCCCCCATATCGAAGCTATGCAATACCTCTAGCTGTGAACATGGACTTCTTTTGGTGTGCCAGATAACCCACATATGCGTAGCTATACGTTAGTGGTGACAATCCATAGTCCTAAGAAGGGTAGAATAATAAGTCAACCATCTTGTAGCATGGGTTTGCACTACTTCTTCGAGACGCACCCATATAAGTCGAAACTATAGCAAAGCTCGATTAGATTCTGGCTGGCGTTTGATATCCATGATGATTCGCTTACTTCTTGATCGAGGTTAAGAGCTGGCCAACCAAACATTATGAGATGGTATAATTACGTGAATGAATATCTGGGCGTACCGTAATCATAGACGACGACCGTGGCCAGCGAGACTTCATTGAAAATTTATTTGGTCAGCTACTCGCCACATTGGGTCTTATCTCTGAGTCTAAAGTCCCACCCATCAGATATCCCGTTGGTACGTCATATATGCCGAGCAATGGTATGATGCTTGAAGAATTCTCGACGAGTGACATGTCAAATATGTGACCTTGTTGTAAAATGATAATGGAAAGAATGTTGTCTGAACGCTGAAGCGCCGAAAGACGAGCCTGCTCTTTTATACCGAGGACTCTGCTATCGATTAGTACCAAGATGCTACAAACATCGCTGACCCTCCCCAGTGACCCACTTGATCCCGACGCGGCGCCGATCCCTGTCCGCATTGACCAATCCCGCATTGACTAATCAAATCCACAATCCCTCTGGTTATCGGCGTTTCACTGCCTCTGACCAGCTCCTGGTCCAAAGTATCCAAAACGACAAAGCCGATGGTACGGCTGGTATCCAGTATCTTAGCCAGTGCCATGAAAGCCACGTGTTCGTTGTATCCCGCCTCTCTCATTTAAGCTTTAGCTTCCACATCTTTTCTTGATCAAGAACAATGACAAGCATTCTACTGACACGAGCAACATTTGCGTACAACCACCGATTTGTATCATATGCCACAAACTCCTCAAATCCCTACCAATGTTATTCACTGAGGCCGTGCCAGGGTCATACCTGAACATTCTACGGAACGTTCGCACCCACACAGCCACAATGTTTGCTCAGCCTCGTGTGGTTGAGGTAAGGTCCCGGGGGGTCCACGCCAGCGCCACAAATCCGAGGACAAATACCACTTTGACAAGGGTCAACCCTGCATGCCGAGGATCGAGGCTGGCGTATGCCGAAATCAGCTTTCGAAGTGGTAGTACTTGTATGTCCAAACCGCGCGACGAAAATTCACCTGCAACGTGTTCTTCCACATGTACTGGTCCACTGCCCGGGACACTTCCTTGTACTGCTCAAAAGTATTACTCGGGTCCTGGAGATTGGAGTCAGGTACAACACATCTGCAGTGGTATGTGTACAAGACGAACCAAATTAGGATGAGCGCACCCGAACCAGCAGACGTGAGAGTGTCAGAACCGAAGCACCTGTAAGTAAACAGCCGTTCGTACCGCATCTCACTCGTCCCGTCTTTTCCGACGATTTTGATACGCGAAGAGAGCTGTCCACTCTGTAGAATTGGGCACCTCTTTTCTCCATCTCATAAAACAACATACCTAATTAGAAAAAAAATAACGGTCTGAAGTACTCAAGTAAACACCAGCTTCGTGAAGTCTAGCCGCGGACAAGAAGCCGGTACATGAGATATTTTGGGATGGGAATGAAGTCGATATCAAACTGGTGGCATTCCATAGAGTTGCTTAACTTTGCTCGTCGTTAATGTGACGAATTGTTCCATATCTACCTCAATACGCCACCGCCTCTCCTTAAACTTCGCATTCGCAAGGATCACCTGCTTCGTACCAACTCGTCTCCGTTCCTTGGAATATAATGGGGCCCACAGTTTCCCAACAACTCGATTCGTATCCACCGTTTGCATAACGTGAATGGTTCTGTCTCATAGAAAGAATGAGCCATGGACACAGCACGCAGAAGAGTCCTATTTCAAGGACCAACGTCAAGCAGTTGAGTGTAGAAGATAACACATTGCTCTAAACCGATGACCTTAGTTTAGAAGAGTGAAAATTAGCATGATTTTGTATCGTGCCTACATTTGTTAGGTTGTCGCTTGAAAATTAAATGCTCAGGGCTTCGTAGGTAACCACCCTACACAACCAGTCAATCAACGTTTCTGATAACATGGAACAACTAGCTTACCATACAAAGTACAGCAATCCTTGATGCACTAATAAGCTGATAATGCCTCCTGTCCCCGACGGAGAAGTTCGGCAGTCGGACTCCCCAAAGCGCCATCCCACCGCGCGGTACACAAGGAGTGCAATCAGCGTGAGCTCATATGCACATATGCTCCCATTCGAAAACCCGAAGAACCACAAGACCTTGAATTCGGGTGTATTATAGAAGCAGCCAGGGACGCCAAATATAACGTCCTCTTGTGCTACGTTGGAAATTCAGTAATCAATGTTAACGATATGTATGCTGACCACAGCCTACCATGGATTCCGCGAGGCGGAACGGACATTGTAATAGTTAAAGCAACGTTTAATAATTGCACAAGGGCGAGCCCACTGTACAGCGATATAGATAATCGCTTGGAATTTCGGTAGAGTGCGCAGACACGGGCGGTCATGACACCTAAGTGACTTTCTTGCTCAGCTGTTTACTCATTCTACTTCAGCGACTTTACCTTGAAGAACTGCAACTAAAGTAGCTGGTAACGCTAACTCCATCAAGTTCCATAAGGCGAAACCTATATACCGTCAAGAATCTGAATACACGTGATCCAGTACACCAAATTTCATGGACTCACAGCTTGTTTTCGTTGGGCACCGTGATAATCACCCAAGTATCAGCCTATATACACAGCAGTGGTTAACGATAGGGAGCTGCACTCACGTCTGTTGATATGAAACCATTAGCTTCAAATGGAGTTTGATAGACTATAACATACCCTATCGGATAGGGAGATCGGCAAGTAGTAAACTATGAGGCTGGTTATGTTATTCTCTGAAAGTCTGAAATGGAAAAGACTGACGCAGGGAAACTCTGTTAAAGCGCAAATATCAACATTATACGGCGAAAACAAAAGGGTGGCTCGCAGCGTACACTGTTTGAGCCAGGCCTACATATCGAAGCTATGTGAAAGAAGACTGAGCTGCCTGCAGTATGCTCAACCTCAAATAGTACTCACGTATGCATAGCTATATGTCATCCGCGATATTCTGCACGACTAAGGTCGAGGCAGGTTATCGGTAACGTGTAAGTGGTCTGTTCTCTAAAGGCGCACCCAAATTAGTTGAAGCTACACAGAGTCGATAAGAACCTCATCGTCGCTTGAAAATTAAGTATTAAGGCTCAAGCGCTCACCTCTTGACCGAAGTTAATCGCTATTCATACGCATGTGCCTGTCGTAAACACACTCCTGCTGTTCCATCAAATGAGGTAGAGCGTACCGTAATCATAGGCAACGACTGTAGCCAACGACACTGGTTGATAGTGTGCCTTCCATTAGCGATTCATAGCTTGCGGCGAACGGGACTCACCCATCAGATATCTGGTTGATGTGCACGTGCTGAGTGAGGATATCATGGCTGGGGAGTTGTAAATGTGCGGCATTCCGAATACGTGCTCTTGTTTCGGGGGGCGTTACAATTACAAACACGCACTTCGAATGGGGCGTTTTATATTGTGATGGTGGCCTTGCACCAAACAATAATGGGGGGTGAGGTGATAACGTCGGATCATTCCGAAGTCCAACTTGATGCTAACTTGGGCGTTACCCGTACAGAACTCAGCTGGGCTATTTATGGCCACATGGTTTTCATGCTGTATCGTGAGAGTTTAAAACTGCCAGGAGGCGTTTCAATAGCAGTTTTGGTACTCTATCAGACATACAAATGACACGAAATTTTTATGAAGCTAAGCACGGGAGATGGGGGAAAAGTCATCAGGAAAATCCCGCGAACGTTACCACACATTGTGACGTATTGTCAACTTTGCATAAAAACGGAAACATCGTAACGGCGTCGCAATGCATGGTAACAAACACAACCAATTAGATTACGGTGGCAATTCAAGCAACGTATTGCGGTGATTACAATGTAAAGACCATGTCAAGAACTTAACATAATAATGGTAAAATAACAAAACCCGTGGACAGAGTGCTTTGTTGTCTTCTCCTTCGGGGTGTGCATTTGTTTGATGAATGATATCTAAGCTGTGTCGAGCAGCACGATTGATGTGAGAATCGAGCTAACTTCCACTGGCATTGTAGGCCCGAAAAGTAAGCCATTGCATGTTATGATGCGCAGTATGACGTCAATGCACGGCACTGCAGATTAACTCGGCTGCAGCTATGCAAATTTGGAGTAAGTCCAAGTAGATCCGAGACGCACCAAGTTCTTGCGCACCACAAGAATACAATATTCATTAATGTTCACACAGCGCTCGCGAACCGACTCCACTGATATCCCCAACGCATTCCGAAGTCGGCACATTGATCAGCCTTCGAAGGCATAAAAAGCACGACGAGGACGCAAAGTTCTCGTTGTTGAGTCTTCCACTCCCTCTTTCCCCCACTCACACTATTTTCTAACTAGAGCTCAGGGCGAGTGCCAGTGCGATGGTGAGTCGTGCCTTGATACGATTCTTCGTTCATGATAGGAAGCTCACACGACTAGCTACAGTGCCATTTGGTGCTGGTGATACAAACTGGAATGGTGGAATCCTGGATATTGTGCCTCCTTTTCTCGTATCATTTACTCTCGACATCATGCTCACAGTCCTATAGGGTGATGGCATAGAATAGACAGTATAGTTTACACATTGGTTGTCTATTGTTTTATATAGCATGGATAATAAAATGTTCTGTCGTACATATCACAGCTAAAACGGAACAGTATAAGTGAGCGGTTCAAGTTGTGGCCAAATGTTCGTACATTGGACCACAGTTCTTCCAGACATTATATGTCAATGCTAGTACTATGGTGACACACGCGCGACGCAAATGTAACAAGATTGTATTGTTATTGTGTCGTGTAGATATACTCATTGTGCCTACATTAGTTATACTTAGTGATGTCTCGGGCTCAAATATATCATGCGGATACCAAGTCCATGCAATACTATTGCGAGTGCGCTCGCAACTTTAGAGTCAGCGTAACAACCCGTCGTAATGGATTATAATGGATTATGTACGTGGTAATGCGTTGTGTGCGTGCTCACGCCGTCACCACGCTTCACCATGCCATGATCACCTACAGAGGAATTTGCTGATGTCAAGCAATGGACTCCAGCACAGGGGGTCGCCTCTAGCGAATTAGACTTTGGGACGTTTCGGTACTCGTGTTTGCGACAGGGTTCCGATTGATGCTAGTGTGCACTGCAGCTGTCCAAACAACCTCGGACTGCGGCATTTTGCGAGCTTCCCGCGAGCGTTTGATACAAAAGAAGCTATCATGGCTAGTGGACCTTCTATAAATTGATCGGCGGCCGCAATCAATGCATCAAGTGAAGGATATACCGAAAACGGCTGCAATATAAACTACAACATGTGAAAGATCGCGAAGTATTGATATTATAGGAGGTTAGTTCTCTGGATACCACAGTTCAGGCCTATGCCAGCAAACTCAGTGCACGATGAGTCTTGCGGCTGATTGATTAATCAACCCGCCTGATTCGGAGGGGTACACCCACTCCGTCTTCACCAACGATCTTGAGTTGCGAAGAGAGCAGTCCCGCTCTCTCGACTTCACCACCTTTCTTCTCCATCTCCAACACAAAATACCTAATCAGAACCGACAGCACGGCCTGGAAGACTGGAGTTAGCCTCCAGCTTTATGAAAGATGGCCGTTAGCTTACTTTGAGCTCTGCAAGGGCAAACTGCTTCCCGAGACACGCCCTTTGCCCATCGGAGAAGGTGAGGATGTGCCTGTGTCCCTGTATCTCCTTTGCCTTCGACGGAAGGCCGTCTTCGTCCAGCCAGCGCTCGGGGCGGAACTCGCGCGAGTCACGTCCCCAGATCGCGGGTGAACGGTTCATATACGAGATAGATACACAGACGAGCGTGCCCTTGGCGACAACAATGCTGTCGACGAGCTTACCTGAAGCATCGCGAACGGGATGACTGAGCGGGATGACATCGTCTTCCCCGGCCTGGAGCACGTCAAGTGAAAGGTGTGTCAGAGCTTGGATGAAGACGTAACGACAAAGAAGCAATCACGTACAACGCGAGTGAAGTCGGAAATGCTCCCAGAAGCCATCAAACGCAGCGACTCGGTAATGACAGCATCCAAATAAGGCAGACCGTTGGTCAGCTGCTCATATGTCGGGTCAGACGTTGCGAATTTGGAGAGTTCATCGCGAAGTTTGGTTTGGGCATCTTGGTTTTGTGAGAGTCGGACCAAAGCCATCTAGCCAAGGAGCATCAGCAAGAGGTGATCAGATATTTTAATGCCGGCGTACCGTCAAAGCGGCTGTATCACCCGGGTAAGCATGATACGAGAATAACACGTAGTGGCTTAACTTACCTGAAGTTGTCTCCTTTCCAGCGAAGATGAGTAGCTTCATCTACGAATACACATGTCAGTGGACGCGATAATTGACACGGGGATATGCTTGTTGAGTACCTGCGACAAAACCTCCTCTGGCGACATATGCATCTCCGCGCCCTCACCCAACGATTCGGACTTGACTGTCGAATAAGACCTCATAAGCGTTAATTACGGCACACGAGGTATGAGTCTCACCGAGTAAACCAATGATAGACTTATCCTCCCTACTCACTTCTCCGGCCTTCTCCTGTCGTACGCGCTCAAGCATAGGTTCAGCGGCCTCTCCAAGGGAGTTGCTCATCTCCATAGAGAACTTCTTGGATTTCCCGGAAAGACGATCCGGCCAAGATTTGACCACTTCCAAAAGGGGCCATCGGATCGTTTTGACGGAAGATGTCTTCTCGTTCAATGCGTCAAAGAAGACGTTAACGGCAGGGTGTGCACCTGAGAGAGAACCAAAGTCGTGAGAGAAGCCGGCGATTCCGATGGAGTCGAGCCTGTGCGGAGGAAAGATGAGCGACATGCACTCTACAATCTCATACTGTATATGGTATACTCACGAAATGCGCCCCATCCTGCGAAAGACGATGCACAAGAACATAAGGAAACAGCTGCTTGGGAAAATGAAGATTGCGTACCAAGTTTGTATGTCAATGACAGCGCTGTCTTTTTCTGTGCTCTCAGCGATAATACCCTCCCAGGCTTCCTTAACCTATGAGACCATAAACAAGCAAAGATGAATAAGCTCCTCCTAATCGTAATGTGAGATAGATAGACACCTTGTAACCGGCGTCGATGAACGCTGGAGTTAGCTTCCGAATGGAGGCGTTGCTGAACGCCGGTATCATAGCACGTCTGTGCCTGGTGACTGTATATAAGCCAAGACCAGCAAAGGAGTCACCGATAGGCACATACCTCTTATGATCTTCGCCTTCAGCCCACAACAAGTTGTGCCCAGCCTTCATTGCGCGATGTTCAGCACCCACAAGTCGATCGGACACGCAAGGTAACACTTACAATGCTAGCAATCCCATCCCTCATTGCCTGTGGCCGGTGGTACATCGCCGTATCCCTCGCATACACGTGCGTTGCGGCCTTAGGGTCGCATAACACAATCTTCGAGGCAAAGAGGCCACTTGGCACAGAAAACACAGGTCCGAACTCGGTGGCCCACTCATCGTAGAGAATGCTCGCGTCCTTTGCCATTAGGAGGGTACTGCCAACGCCCGTAACGATGTCAACACTCGGCGGGCCACGGAGGCGCGTTGTGACGAGACGTCGACGGGCGGTACGTGCTAATCGTTGAAGAAGGTAAGCAGCGAGAGAGACAAGGACGGCGTCGACTATCCGAGAGCTATGGGTTAAAGAGGGGAAGGAAGCCATTTCGAGGTGTTTGAGCAAGGTCGACATGGTGGTGGACATCGTGAATGAGAGGGCTAGAGACGTTCAAACCATCACCTGATATATACTCACTCATTCATATAGGAGATGGGGATGGCGCGAGAGGTTAGGCCTCCGACGGCTTTGCCATAAAAATCGATTCAAACAAGATTCCGATCCACCCGAGCCTGTAGTTTTACGAGTCGGGCCGTAACTCAGGGATTTGGTTGTTGAGGGCTATGGCAGTGAGCGATTCGAACATAGAGACATAGATGTTCGAGGGTTTGCTGCGACAGGCTATGCATAGATAGCGCCCATCGACGCGCGTGTCGCGGACAAAGAGGGTTCGGCATTTTCCGGGGCGAGCTACACGCTTCCTTATTTGGTCCGCTCGCTGCTTGGCGTCGGACGCAACAGACCAGCGCGACATAACGCAGCGTCTGTCCTCTGAGTCGCTTGAAAATCCTTACGCAAGCAGATAGAGCCTGTAGAATGGTTCTGTTATGTATGTGGCAAATATCGTCTCTGATGAAACACCACTATTCCGCTATTGGTTCCGTTATTGTTACAGGTTACATCAACATCTATAGTATGATCAGACCTCAGTCCATGTGTACACTACTCATGAGCACACATATTGCTACAGTGCGACATAGCAACTACAATATACAGGGTGTTTTAGTCCGTCGGCAATGATACATGCCGGCCTAGCAGTAGTCATCCTCGTCATGGTGAGGGTTGCCAATGATAAGGATGTCATCATCCTGTGGTGCTCCAACTTGAAAGAGAATGGAACTGACAAGCTCTCCAGTCGTGCTGGAACCGCCGTTTATCTGTGACGCGTGGTTCTCTCGAATAGAGAGGATGAACCACGGTCCCAGCATACAAGCAACCAAAGTCCATGCCATCGAAGAAATGTCGCCAAACTCAGTGGCTAACACGGCGCTCTATGCCATAACCCCATGTCAGAAATACTGTGAAGGTCACCAAAAGTGAATAGTACACCAGATACCTTGTTTGTCATGCTGACTGCAAGTACATCCGGCAGGCCACAGGCAAGTACTCTGAGCTCGTTATCAGCTGCCGCCTAGTCGCGATCTAGAGTTACATTACCCAAGGAAATATATCGCGCCATGGCGAAACAATAGGCCAATCACATCCTGACATGTAAGTGCGGTCTTGCTTGTTCCATGTATCTTGACGTGTGACAGCCATCGGTAAACCAGCATAACAAACAGGATAAGGTCATAGGCCATCGTAATGTAGACGTAAGCTCGGTTCGCTTTAGCAATAGGGAATACTCCAGGCGAGACCAGAACACATCTCGGTACTCCCATCATGACTCCCTCTTGAGCTGGTGTAACTATAAATTAGTAGAATCATTCAGGTACGGGGGCACGCACATGTGTTTCCGTAGGGTTTAACGCCTTCTATCACATACAACACGGCGTCTGGCACTTGTATTATTGCGTACAACACGCAGTAAAAAGTGACAATCTTTCTTGAATTTCCGTATAGTGCGCAAATGCGAGCCGTCATGATACCTGTGACGAGAATTAGGAACCCATGCGGAAACAAGGGGGCATTTGACACGTTACAGTACCTTGTACGGTTAACAATTGGACGCTCGTAAAGGCCGCTCCAAGCATGATGTAGAGTGAATAGCCTAGACTATATCAGTATACAGGGGTGAAGGCTTGCTCGACACTTACAACTTTTATTTCCAGGGAACCAATGTGTAAGTCACCGGGACGATTAACTCGTTATCTGATGCCATGTATAACAAACGACTTACACCTGTAATAATGGGAGGGGCAAGTGTGAGCAATGACTTTGTAGTTGTTAGCATTGTATAAGACTCGCATTGTCGGAAAGAGGGACAGGCAAATCAAGCACTAGGAAATTGTCAACTATGTCGCAGAGCATTGTATAACCAATGACTTACAAAATCCTATCCTGAGATGATACGAACGTCAGCTTCACAAGCATAGCAATCAAAAGTTTGCTGACATAGCGTAGAATATTCCTGTGTAGCGAAGCTAGACACCGGAAGTTATGTCGAACTCCACTTCAGGTATTGGGGACTTACGAATGCATAGCAACATGTCATCCACGATGGTCTGCTCATCTGGATGCATCCTTTATCAGACCAAAGGTCATCTAAAGTCAAGGGGATACCGAACGCATACCCAGATTGAGTCTACCTTGTGACGATATCAGCCAAACACGCAAACCTACTCCATAAGTTCACTTTACCTCTCGATTAAGGCAGAGAACTAGACGGCATAAGACAAGTTACTTGATAAAGACGCTTCGGATACGCACCATAGTCATACAGCACCAGCATCGCAACCGATACTGCCAACTGGCGTCAGGACGAAGTAGTGACTGATTACGAGTTCGTATCCACCCACCGTACAGATACGAGTCGTCCTGCTGGCGGGAAAGTAAAGGCATAGGATTAGGCGAGGTTTCGATGCGCGGCATCTTGGTCGTAGGGCTTTGTTAGTGGAAGTGATCGACGTTGAATGAGATTTATACTAGGCAAATAACTGGCCCCGTGCGGGGCTGAGATGTTATGGTGTCTCATTATTACGCCGCCTTTTACCCATGTACGGCTTATTATGCATAGCCAATAAGAGTCTGGTCTTGTACCTGTTGCCAACTTAGATGGTGGGTACATCATCGTTGGGTCGATCAGCCAGATGTAACGCTGGGCTTGCGCTAGGCACGCACCTGTGCAAGTGCGATCAATTAAAATGGGCAGCGAGAGAAGCAATTACACGGGGATGATTCTACGAGGAGCGGACACATGGAATGCATTAAGTGGCAGTTCAATGCATAAAGCTTGCCACCTCGTAGTACGCAATAGTCTGGCGGTTTGGTCGTGATGAAAAAGCGAGCGGCTCTGCAGAGGAGTGTCGCTGGTGCCCGGAAATAACCGAACTCGATCAGCTATCGGACACCGGGCCGTCGGTTGTGGCCTCCGACGTCACTCACCGTTATCGACCACAACGCTGGCGCACTTGAGCGCGACGTTGACTCTACGCTTTCGCCGGCAACAACATCGCTCTCATCGTTAGCTGTCCTAGATTAAGATCAACGTCTGCGTCAACATGGCTGACATACCCAATCACTCCATACGCATCTGCGCAGATAGAGGAGGCACCTTCTGCGATATCCACGCGTACGCACTACCACCTTGCCGTATACCCCATCCCTACTCAAGACCAAGCTCCGTATCTCGTCTCCATAAAATAATCCGCTATGTTTACCGCTTCGCTTGATACGTCGGTGGTATCGCTTTCTCCTGCACAGATCTTATCCAGATCCGGAGAACCCCAAGCAGCGGAAGGAAACGGTCGTCAAGCTCTGTCAGTCCACACATTCCGTGATCTATCACTTCTTGGTCCTGAACGCCTGCTCATCATCGAACCACAGTATCCAAAGATCCCAACTACCGCGATGCGCCCACCGAAGGCATCCGGCGCCTCCTCGAGTCTCTCACCGGCGAGAAACTGAAGCGTGATGACGTCCTCAAGACCGACAAGATCGGTCTGTCTGCCTTTCCGCCCTTGCAGCCAGAAGTCTCTCATCATAGTGGCCCATCATAGAGTACATTCGCCTGTCGACAACAGTAGCTACCAACGCCCTCCTCGAACGCAAAGGTCGCAAACACGCACTGCTAATCACCCGCGGGTTCGGCGACGCCCTCCTCATCGGCACCCAAGCACGTCCACGAATCTTCGACCTGAACATCCGCCGCCCCTCTTCTCTGTATACCAAGGTTATCGAGGTTGATGAACGCGTCACACTCGTTGGCTACTCAAGTGATCCGAAAGCGGACGAGCATGCGGTGCAGTTTGATGAAGATGGGAAGGTCGTGCGTGGGTACAGAGGCAATGGCTGGGACGGTGAGAGCAACGCAGAGGGACCGGGCGATGTGGTGAAAGGGATCAGCGGGGAGGCGGTGAGGATTCTCGAGAAGCCAGGTACGCGATTGATGATTGCATTGCTTTGTTCTACGTGGCTGAGTCGTTCGTGATGTGATGCAGATGTAGAGAAGGTCAGACAAGATCTCCAGAAGCTGAGAGACGACGGATACGATTCACTCGCAATCGTTCTGCTGCACTCTTACACGTACCCGGAACATGAGCAGCAAATTGGCAAGTTGGCGAGGGAGATGGGGTTTTCGCAGGTACGCCTAACAAATCGCCCCATTCTTTGCGTCTTATCCTCCCCCGCCTCCCCTTTCTTCCCTGACCTCAGCTCTGATTATGCGCGTGAGTAGGTTAGCGAGAGTGCAGCCCTCATGCCGATGGTCCGCCTCGTTCCGCGTGGGACCAGCGCAAGCGCCGACGCGTACCTAACACCCGTACTACGCGAGTATCTCGACGGGTTCTTCTCGGGATTTGACGAAAGCCTGCGCGACCTTGACGTCAGGGTGCCACGAGTCGAGTTCATGGGTAGCGACGGAGGTGCGTTATCTGGCGTTCACTCGATCATGAGCGCTACATCTGACTGCATGCACGTATGCGCCTTGGTACAGGATTGGTCGACCTAAAGAACTTCTCGGGTTTGAAAAGTATTCTTAGTGGCCCTGCGGGCGGTGTGGTCGGGTACGCGCTGACTAGCTGGGACGAAAAGAAGAAACAGCCAATCATTGGGTGTGTAATATCCACATTATCTCCTACGGCTTACACTAACTTCGTCCTGAATGCTTAACCAGACTCGACGTTGGCGGTACCTCGACAGATGTATCCCGTTTCTCAGGCCGCTACGAGACCGTATACGAAACCACGACTGCAGGAATCACCATCCAGAGCCCACAGCTGGACATCAACACCGTCGCTGCTGGTGGCGGCTCCTGTTTAGCCTTCCGCAACGGCTTGTTCGCCGCAGGACCGGAGAGTGCGGGCGCTCAGCCTGGGCCGGCTTGTTATCGGTTTGTTAGATCGCCGTGTCCTATGTCCGCATATACTCATGTCCGGAACAGGAGAGGTGGACCGCTCGCCGTTACGGACGCGAACCTCTTACTGGGTCGGCTCGTGTCCGACTTCTTCCCCAAGATCTTTGGGCCCAACGAGGATCAGCCGCTCGATGCCGAGGCGTCGCGCAAGGCGTTCGAGGAACTCGCGAAGGATATCAACAAGCAGAGCGAGCGAGAGACGGAGATGGGGCTTGATGAGATTGTCTACGGGTGCGCTTACCTTTCCGCTCTTCCCTTATTATCTCTTTTCTCCCCAATTGCACTTAAATGACGCATTGGCTTGCCAGATTCATCAAAGTCGCGAACGAAACGATGTGTAGGCCCATCCGGGCGCTTACCGAGGCCAGGGGCTACTCTACCTCTGAACACGTGCTCGCGAGCTTCGGAGGCGCTGGTGGGCAGCACGCGTGCGAGATCGCGCGGTTGTTGGGGATCAAGACGATTCTCGTGCACCGGCACAGTTCGATTCTGAGCGCGTATGGGCTCGCCCTTGCCGATCGGTGCGTCCCATCCTTTCTTCCCCCATTGCCTACCTCGTAGACTGATCTTACGGCTGCGACCATTTTCAGTGCTTTCGAGCTCCAAGAACCCTCGTCAACGTTCTACTCCTCTTCCACACGCCCTGAGCTTTCAACCCGACTCGACAAGCTCGCATCGCGCGTCGTCGACGAGCTGCAGGCACAAGGCTTCCCCTCAGACAAAATCACCACCGAGCGGATGCTCAACATGCGCTTCGAAGGAACCGACACCGCTCTGATGGTCCTCCCTACCTCCTCGGACGGCGACGGCAAAGAGGACTTCGAAGCAGCCTTCAAGCGCGTCTACAAAGCCGAGTTCGGTTTCTTGCTCAAAGCGCGTGTGCTCGTGGACGACGTCAAAGTGCGCGGGATCGGCAAGACGTTCGACTCGCTCGGGCCCTCTGTGTTCGCCGAGGTCTCGGACCCGTCGTTTGAGCGGCGCGAGTTGGGCAACGACAGGGCGGACGCGACGCACAGCACGTACTTTGATGAGATCGGACGGGTGGAGGATACGCCGGTGTTTTTGCTGGATAAGCTGGATATTGGGGACGAGGTGAGGGGGCCAGCGATGATCATTGACGATACGCAGACGATCGTGGTTGTCCCTGGTGCGAGAGCGCTTGCGGCAAGAAGGCACTTGTATATCACGTTGGACGAGTAAAGCAGATAAGGATAAATATAGAAGTTCTAGAAGCATCAATGTAGCTGTCCGGCTTGTATTCGAGGATTACGAATGCCAGCAATTGTACTTTTATACGGCTTTCCTTTTGTCTTACCATTCAGATGTGCGTTTCGGGTTGATGGAGAACAAATGCATTGACGTGTGCGAGGGTACAGCGTACGTGACAGATTGGATGTAAGAGACGTGTGTGTGGTATAATGCGATGATATGCGTTTTGATCAGGGACGAGTACAAAGATGGGTAATGCGTTGGAGTGGAACAGCGTAAGAAAACGAGCGGGTATTACATGGAAGCCTATGTGTAAGTGTCCATGTCCAGTGGAAAATGGAGACATGATCGGGGAGATGACCCGGCATCTCGACGTGGATAGACTCTAAGATGGTTTCCTAGTTGACGACAGGACGGAATACCACCCCTTGATGGCGTACGACAGCGGCCTCAACGCCGAGCGCCTGCATCGTCTTGCGCTGCGAGCGCACTGCCTCGCTCTTCTTCCGGCCCCTCAAGTAGGAAGAGACATCGCCAAACTCCTCGAGAGACAATGGAGTAGTGAGGTCGGCAATGGACATGGTTGGAGTGGAAGGGCACGGTGACGGAGATGGCGAAGACAGAGAGGATGGGGGAGTGCTCGCATCCGTCTTGGCGCCGAAGTTAGACGCGCAATCGGTCGAGCCGAACTCTGAGTTGAAGGAGAGAGCGGAAGCGGCGTCGGATAACGAGGCGACGTCGTCCGACTCGTCGCCGTCCGCGAGGGCAGGTATACAGCAATGCGAGCACGACTGTGAGTAGTGCGAGGGAGCGGTGGTTTCTGCGGATGGAGAAGGCAAGAAGTCCGCCGCGCATGCAAAGGTGTGCACGCTCCCCGCCATGCCGCCATACGCTGAAGCATAGTACCCAGCGTCCTCCTCGTATTCCGCCTCCTCGTCATCATCCTCTTCACGGTTGAGACCCACGTTCTCGACGCAGGCGTACATCGAGATATGACGCGCCATCGGGTCCACCACCTCCTCGACCTCGACGCGGACGTGAGCAGGGGCGCCGCACGCGAACGGCTCGGGATTGTCCCACTGGAAGCGTCTGTTCAGAGGACGCATCTTGGCGAAAACGGGGGAGGATGGGGATGTGACGCCTGATATCAGTCTAGGACTGTCGCTGGCGCGAGAAGTAGGACCTGCGGCAGAACCGAGCATCTCATCGAGGACCTCGCTCATCGGTACGAACCCAAATCCGAAGCCTGGACCGCAGATGCTTCTGGAGGTGACGGGGGTCGTAGGAACAGAGGTTGAGAACGTGAACGCAGAGGGGGGAGGGCTATCGAGGTCGACGTCCGTGACGCTAAGGACGTCTGCATCGACGTTCGTGTAGTCAAGTGAGCCAGCGAGCGCTGCGTGTGTGATGTCCTCTGTACGCGTACGCGTGCGGTTCCCCATTTCTGGGCGCTTGGGTGCATGCGCGGTCACGTGGGCGCTTTGGTTCATGTTCGCGGTGGTTTTGGGTGAACTCCGTCTGCAGGTCCGTGAGATGAAGCGTTTGAACATCCGGGTGAAACGACGCGAACGCGAGAGTGGGGGCGAGCCCTTCGCAGATGCGATCGCGTACTGAGGGAGTGGGGGACAAGGGACAAGGGCGAGCGGGGGAGGGACGTGCGCGCGCACGCGTACGAGGCCAAGTGACGCTGAGCGCGAGAGCCGTGCACCGAGGAGGCGGCCGACTTTGGTGTCCGAGCGGTGCTGACGTTCCTCATTTTCTACAGCGACGGAAGAGGGAGATGGGGAGGAAGGTGTGTCGTGACTGAATGACAGGAATCGTGAACATTGAAACATGATGTATGCGAGCTGATGAGATGCTGGGGGGAATGGATACAGCAGAGGATGATGCGACGATGATGAAGAGCAGAGAGACGAGTGGTGACGTGATGAAAGGAGAGGACTCGCCCAGCGAGGATGGTGACTTTGAAGAGATAGGAAATATGAAGAGAGCTCTATCGATGCTCTTGTCGTAGTTTCGTCAGCGAAACGATGGGATGAGAACAAGCCTAATCACTGCCGTGCAAGGAGCAAGGAAGGAAAGGCGAGACAAGGCAAGCCCGCCGTCGCTCTCGAGCCTTTTGTAAAGCGCCGTGTCGGGCGTAGAGCTAGAGACGTGGAAGGGCTTATTGTCGAGGTCGGCGTTCGCCGAGGAAGGCTTTTTGTTCTCTGGTGGGAAGCGCGTCGTCAGCGGGTAGGCGTTACCGCGCCCATAATACATTGTTCATGCCCAAACAAGCTTCTCAGATTCTGTCAGAACAAATCGACGAACCTAAATTTTGTGAGAAGGCATCTTGTTGAGAGGCCTTGAAGACAAGAAGGCTCCAGCCAAGGGAGCAAGTGGTGACTGCGGTCTGCAGCTTAATTGTTTCGCTCGGATTTGATGAGGGAAGGTATTTGCTTTCCCTGGATGGCCTGATGACGAGGCTTTGAAACGTTTGATGGGGCTGCGAGGGGAAGTAGCTTATAGTGAGATGCGACGAGACAACAAGTATTCCGTTTCTCGGAGGAAATCCGAAAGGTGTTGCAAGCGCCAGCTCAGCCGCACACCGTGCGAATCTCACGGTCGTTTCCGATCGCCGCTGAGGCCGGGGTGACGATTCTGACTTCCTGCCTGTGCCAGAATCTGTGTCACCGCCAAGCACCCCGCCGAATGTCAAACGAACTGCGCCCATCGCCCTTTGTCTCCTCTCTCTCGGCGCTCGCTCTGGCACTCTCAAAAATATCGTCCCCGCTGTCTCATACGCTTCTATCTATTGCACAAACTACGCTGTAAAACACTGAAGGAACGACTATCTTCCGCAATCTATAAAGGTCTGCCTACGGGAGACTACCCCTAAGTTGGAACCCGGTCTCAGAACCGTCTCGCGGCCTGCTCTTCTCTGATTCTACCTCGCTCTCATAATCCTCGCCTTCAGCGTACTCGAGAACGTTTAATTCGCGGCTTTCGGCATAGCTAGCGTGCGACATACGAGGACATCGTCAGAGGAAACACGCTGCACCTATCCGCTACATCGCCCGAGCCGATTAGTAGGACGAATGGAGCTGCACTCTGCACTTTGACATGACAGATCCCAAGAACTCGTACTCGTGCAGTGCCAGTGCCATGATGAGTCAATGGCACATGAGATGGTATTAGGAGGCTGCAGTGGAGTTCGTCTTGTCTTCATTCCTTCTCTCGACCCACCATCATACAGCTAGGTGAGTGCTGTGGTGGATGCATGCGTTGTCACTTAGGGCTGATTTCGTCGCTACTCGCTAGAACCAAAAGATCAGCAACACGTCTAGCTATCTAAGATGCAAGAAAACGAAGCCAACCCCTTTGTGCGTTTTGTCCCTCATGCTGTATCCCGCCCCGCGAAGCCTAACTTCCTGCCTGCCATAGGCCATCTCCGTCGCACCCACAGCTGTGACCTTTAAACCGGCCTCCCACCCCGCCGAACCCTTCGACCCCTCCAACGCGGACAATTCCAAGGGCGACTCCTCATCGCCGTCCGAGTCGGCCGCAGAGGCCCTCCTCCGCAACACCTGCCCGAACCCGTACAAGAAATGCGTCGAGCTGCTGCAGTCTTCCATCCCCAAGGAGGTCTCGTTCAGCAGTGCGAGCATCATCCCGCAGCGCAACGGGCTCGTGCGTGCTCTCCTCAAGGCGTACAACCGCCACCGCGCGCTCGTGCTCCGCCCGGACGACGTCTGGCTCGCGATTCTCACGCAGTTTTCGTTCTTCGTGAACGCGCACGCCGAAGAGCTGCGCTCTTCCTTTGTGTCTCATGAAGGCAAGAAGGAGCTGACTGTCACGGCGGTCGGGTCGCGCTACAGCGTCGACTTTGGAGCATGGCGCGGCAGATGGCGGGCGAGCTCGAGAAGAATGTGAGTGATCCAAAGTTGAGGGAGTGGGCGACGCCCACGTTCAGCACGAGTACGGTCACGGACAGCACGGTGTATGCGATCGCGCTCATAGCGACGACCAAGGCGTATTTCGACTTCGCGTTCTGCCTCATGTGCGGTATTCCGCGTGTCACGCTCGACGGGACGCGCGACGACTGGGCGGCGATTCTGGAGAGGATCGGGAAGCTGAAGGAGTATGGTGTGGAGACGACGGCGTGGTCCCACCTTCTGAAGCCCGTTGTAGAGCGCTTCGTGCACGCGTTCGACAATCCGCAGGAGAGCGAGAACGTCGATTTCTGGGGGAAAGTTGCGCATAGGCATAGTGGCGGGAGCGGGCCGACGTATCTCATGGGCTAGGTCACCGCGTTCTGCGTGTTCACCGCCGAGGGGAAGTGGCAGGGTCCGCGCCTGCAGAACCTGCCCTCGCCACCCTATGACAAGAGCTATGCCGAGCTCAGCGGCGAGGCATTTGCGGCGAAACACTTCGTCCCGCACCCGGAGGGCGACCCCTTTATCGGCGACCTGTACCTCACCCTCGATGGTGTATAATATCCGCACGTCGACACCGTCAAGATTCCGCCAGGCACGGTCGAGGTGGATGTGAAGCTGAACGACAACGGGCAGGTGTTCCGCATGCTGCTCGTCGCGGGCGGTGTGGGCAGCGCGGTGTCGTCGAGCGGGGACAAGGCACTATCGGGGTCGGGAGAAAGGGATACGGTGAGGCCGGTGCCTGTGTGGTGGATGTTTGTGAAGAATGAGAAGAGCGAGGAGGAGCTTGCGGGGCCGTCGAGCGTGGAGTAAGGGATTGTTCGTCCGGTTGTACTCTAGTCCGAGCGTTGTAAATGTAGCCCATATGCTTTCACTGTAGCCAACGATGGCACGCGTGTCTTTTTGAACCAATGCGCGTTACATCAACAATCCACACGACTATTCGTACACAGTAACATTTCATCCGACCCGAATCTCGTCTTCACGCTTTTCCCCCGTGCAAATTCGACTCTAAACTTTGCTAGTGCTTGCCTCGCCCTCACAAGCAGGAGCTTTGTCGCACGCTTTCTTCAATTCCTCCTGGACAAAAATTAGAAACCAGAGAAGCCGACAACAACAAATACATACTGATGCGGAAACGGCAATCCGATAGATAACCTGAGCCTGTTCCTCCTCATCTGCATTTTCATCAAGCTGTTGATGAACCATGTCTTGGATGTATTTCTTCACTTGAGGCGACCTCTTGAAGCGTTCGAAAGACCACTTCCACGGGCGCTCTTCTACTTTCCACATGGGGAAAGAATCTGCACCTAGCATGATAGTCGCTTAGAATACAAAAGTAAGTTGTAATCAGGTTCGAGGAGATGAAATTGTAAACCAGCTCCAATCTCTTGTCTCCCTATTTCCCTTCCCTAACAGGAAAGGATCAGCTGGCGAAACTCCACAACAACATTGGTTTACTTACCCCAGATTCCTCATACTAGTGTTGTGGGTTGATCGACATGCCCACCAGCACAACTGGCATCAGGTGTGAAAACACTACTTGCAGTAAACATTTGCATACCAGCTATATCATCCAGGTTAGCAAAAATATAATATAAGGTAGGAAAACAATGTCACTTTAATAAGCTGCACAGTTTCAACTCATGATCAGGAGCCACACTGTGCACAAGAATAACCTCACCTAGGATAATAGGGATCAAATAAAAATAAAAATGAATTCAGGTTGAAGTATGCTCACCTCCTGATGTTATCATAATGTGTGATCAGTATGATGAGGAAGATACCTAGGAATACAGGACAATACCTCCTAGTAAAATAAGAGCATCGGCATAATGTAAGGGATGATGTAAATAGACCTCACTGCCTATAAAGATGAGAATAGCTGAATCAATATGACAAAGATGTATGACAGGACTTTAAGGCTTACATCCTTTCAAATCAGATGTAAGTACTACATACCATGATAAATCATAGGATATAAAATACAGACTCACCCTCTGGCAGATGAAAGTGGCCAGATGAGCATCAACCACATGCAGGACATGACATTGGGACTCACTGGCTGGGAGATGAAAGCAGCCAGATGAGCATCAGCCACATGCAGGATATGACCCCAGACTCACCTCCTGGCAGATGTGAGTGACCAGATGAGTGTCAGCAACATGCAGGATATGACCCCAGGACTCACAAACTGGCAGATGAAAGTGGCCAGATGAGCATCAGTCACATGCAGGATATGACCGGTGACCCCAGGACTCACCAGCTGGCAGATGAGAGTGGCCAGATGAGCATCAGCAACATGCAGGATATGACACCAGGACTCACAAACTGGCAGATGAAAGTGGCCAGATGAGCATCAGCTACATGCACATTATGACACCAGGACTCACCTCCTGGCAGACAAGAGTGGCCGGATTAGCATTAGTCATATGCAAAGTATGTCACCAGAACTCACTCCCTCATAAGTTAAAACAACAAAGCCTGTCAGTCCAAAGTCTGTGAGGATGTTTAATATCAGCTTATACCTGTTTTATCCTTTCTGCATGCTTCACCCACTACTGGAGATGAAGTCATTTTGTGCAGTTAACTCATACAATCACTCACTTCTTCTGGCTAATATCCATGGCACACCTTAGCATAAACCTGGTGTTTAGTACCACATGTGCTTACCATAACCTGGCACAGAAAAAAAACATGAATGAGATCATTTAAGCAGGCTTTTGGCCCAGTAGATTACATGCCTGGTTACTACACTGCACAAAAACAGTAGTTAATTTGTGCTCAACACAAATATCACAGCACACATACCCAGTTGTGTGGATAGATGAGCCAGATTCTCCGTATTAGTGGGAGGACATTAATATTTAATCGTGTTGACACTCTTAATCACTATTAACAGACAAAATACTGGATATGACTCAAGACATGAACTTGCCTTGCCGCCTCAAGCATGCACAGATGTAGGTTATTCTGCTGCACAGAGACAAACAGCTGGCGTAGAGACAGATCGTCTATTGCCACAGCTGTCTGCTCAGACAGTTCGGGACACTGTGTCTCGAGTTTGTCCATTCCTACCCCATCTTAGTGGAATCACTGATTACCATAGGATAGTTCCTCACCCTGGAGTCTCACAACTGCTTTGGGTGGATTGGCAGTCATCATGATGCGGCTACAATAATGCTCTTGATATCTGGCCTCTGCTGCCTTGTCGACATCGGCCTGGCTCTGCTCTGTCATCTCAATAATATCGAGGTCATTGGCTACCCGATCCAGCAGTGCATCGTATTTGGTGAACACCACTACCACCGGTACTGCGAAATAAAATGTCAGTTTAGCCTGTTACAAACCTACTAGTGACGTTCATACCATTTGCAGTATCTTCGTTGAAAAAGGCGAGCTCAGCCTCAACCAACGGACGCGTGTTATCCATCGAGACACAAAACCTGTTAATATCCCATTGTCAGCATGTTCAGGAGAATGCATTCGATCAAGTATATCACCAGATGGCATGCAAGCGCTCGGAAAGCGATGACTTGGACGCCCGCTCGCGCACAAAGCTATGTATGATCTGAAACTCGTCCACGGAGCCAGCCTCAATCCCCCTCGAATCATGGAATATAAAGTGGCTGCCCGGGTATGTGATCTGATTCGTGATGTCATGGCGTCCACGCTATCGCCAACAATGAGACAGTGAGACTCGAGTAAGAGCATTTATACCTGGGTCGACGCTTGAAGAATGTCGGTTTTGTTCCTGTCAGTTGCAGACTCGCTACCCGAGAGCTGAGCCGCATGTTTCTACAAATCGAAGTGAGTCGGAGGCGATTCTTTTCTTGAAGTAATACGAACATATACCTTCTGCGTCCATGATGAGGGACGAAGACGGTCCCTCAACCTCGATAACTTTGAGCCGTCCTTTGGTTGATGAGACGAAATATGCAACATTATCCAGATAAACTATTATCCTTACCTTTAGCTATGTAGTGTTCGATTAGAGTCACGAAAGCGGCAGTTCAGTGGGTAGCTTGCCTTGTTCCCATCTGCGTCGTACACTATAGGCATGGTGTCTTTGCTGACGTTGCACACCTTCTGTAGGATCGTTGTCTTCCCTGCGTTGGCTCTCCCGATGATAAGGACTCGGAAAACGGGACAGGTCTTGCGAACTTCCTCCATGTCGATGGCCTGAGTGAATTCGGACATTGTGATGAGTAAAGAAGAGCAGTTTCTGCTTTGGCGGGGAGAGATGTGGGCCAGAGCTCAGTGGCACAAAGAAGGCGACGATGTGGCACAGAGTAAAGAGCCTCACGGCGATGAATCGAAAGCCCCCGCCGAGAGCGTCTATTTTCCTCTTCAGTTCCCACAATAGTTTGGCTCGTTGAGGCTCGATTCGCCGGCCAATCAAAGCGAACGGAGTCTATCGGCCCATGAATACATCCCAGATGCAAACAGAGCGCATTCGCTATCTTAATTGGTCCATCTGGATACTCATGACATTGACGCGCGGCACATGGGCGAGGACGCTTCTAGCCAAGTCCGTGGTCTCGACTTACTCGTTGATGAGTTCCCTTGCGAGACAGGAAACAGGAATCATGCAGTGAGCGGGAAAGATCTTATCCGGCAATGGATGCCCCTCTTTCATTCATGAGGGCCCAAAGTAACAAAAGAGAGACGGGTATGCGGCACACATGCGTTGATGCAACGCTCGACTGATCTAACATCCTCTGACCTGCTGACCTGTGCTTCTCTTCCAATTGACGCTCTCGAAGACAGTCACGGTCCAAGTATGTTCGAAACCTGCGCATGTGGCTCACAAAGTAGACTAGATCGATGTGGATGGAGTACTATAAAGGAAGCTTGGACGTGCTCGAGTTTTTCGTGGGGGGGGGGGCTCGGAGATGGTCGAGAGTTAAATGTTTCAAGAAAAGCTACGTACGGTGGCATTAGTAAGACCGGCGACCATACCAACTTGGTCGAAACTGAAAAAGAGCAAGACAACAAAGTCACCCCGACACCGCACACAACAGGAAATCGAGATGTTCTCTTACAGTGGAGCACCCTTACAGGCCTACGTTGGTCGCTTTGGGGTACCGATGAATGCTGTCCTCCCACCGAGCCATAAAGCGGTTATCTCTGCGGAGTCCCTATGCTCGTTTCGGCACTCCATGAGGTTGCACTTTTTTTTTGGACGCGAGCGTCTCTTGAGCGTCAAACAAGACAGCATGTGAACAGCATCGTATCAGCGAGCAAGCAACGGTCTCGCAAGGCGGGCTTATCGTCATGGAGCCTTTGAAGCATGAAACGCTATTCGACCAATCGATTTGTCCATGCTGCATGCGCTACGAGATGCACTGTGGGACGTCGATATAAAGACCTGGAAATTCTACATATAATTAGAGGACGGTCTTTCCCCGCCGAATGCGAGCTTTTGATTGGCTGAAATCCTTCAATCTGATTGGCCCGAGACAAAGCTTATATGTGATTGGCTGCTGTCGCTGCCGCGTCTCGGCTATCTTGGGCCATCACTTTTCGCTCTGTTTTCTCACGGCGTGCTGCCGCGTCTCGCGTCAGCGCGCCAGCCTTCTCTCCCCTTGTGAATTTGTCACTACGGGCAAACACCAATATTACCTGCCAGAATATCAATCAATTTTACAAATAAATGAGTGAGGTAGTAACATACTCTGACACATACAAGCGATCTGAGTGCCTAATGTTGGGGTTGATCCAGGGTACTGTACCATTTCGACCATAGGTTCGGTCCCCTGTCCCACCCCCCCCCCTCCGAACCCGAACCTCCGGGGTGGACATGTCCACCCCTGATACCCCCTGCGAACCTAAGGGGGTGGACACATGGTAGAAACACAAAAAACCTGTAATTTCGAGTGATTATGCTAAGACAATGTGCTACTGAATGTTCTAATGGCCCGAAAACCCCTCATACCGCGTGTTAGAGACCTTGCGGCGCTTTCCCCGACCAAAAACGACCTCCTCAGGAACATACAACTCCTCTAGGTTGACGTCGGGGTCATCAGCCATGCCTGGCCCAGTGGGAAGAGCGCTGGCGTCGTTGCCTGGATGGAGAATCCATGACATGAGGTCAACGGGCTCCATCCAGGTGTCGTCGTCGTGCTGCTTGTCGTTCTCAAAGGGGTCGGTCAGCTCGTCTGCCGGTTCGTCTGCGGACGCAGCAGCAATATCTTGAGGGCGAGTGCTGTTTGCAGCCTCCTGCGAGAGCTGTCTGTCAAGCTCTGGGTCAGTTCGGGGTAGCTCGCGAAGTGCCTTGAGGGCATCATCGCTAGTGAGTGACTCATAGGAGAGGTTGAAACCTCCCTTGATTTCACAGCGGGAGAATGCCTGTAGAATTTGTTAGCAGTGTACAGTAGATCAGAAAAGTGAAAGAAAATGTACCTGTTTGATGAGCTCCGGGTGATTGATTGCATGGTAGGCCTTCACACCCCACGAAACAGAGCGGTTTCGTAGGGTGGCGATGCGGGTGTCAAGTGTCATGGAGGTGGGGCTGTCATTGGAGTCGAGATGAGCTGTCACGCTCCGGTCCCGCTCCGGTCCCTACGGCGACATTCCGAACCACACAGCCATCTCGCTACTCTTCCTCGCTACATGTTTGACAGGTGTCGTTCCTTATTACCTCCTTTTCTACTAGTCTTGTTGCTACCTGTCTACCTTTGACATTTCTTGACGTTTCTATCATTCCGCAGTTGCTACAATATCACATCCGACGTTTTATCTCATGTCTACTTACTAACGATCCGTTCCTTCCGCACATTCCTTACTCATTGTACATTACCTCCGACTCCGGAGCAGTAGTATAAATACTCGTGTAGTTCAGCCTGTATTCCTCAGTATGAATATCGACTTACTTCTGCCCTCCACTCCTCTTTGCCTCTAAGTCCTTTCCGCCAATTCCTACTCCAAGTGTCTTCCGTGATACTTGTGTCTTCATCTATCTTCAAGTCTTCCCTCGTTTCGTACTTTGGTACCCTCCTGTCAACCTCCGGTGCCTACTGCACTTTTGCTCCCTACACGCCGGTCCACCGGTAACGTTCCCCTCCCCTCCGTGTTGCTACCGTCGACTGCCTACCCTACGCTCGCCCTCCGAGTCCCTACTCTAGCGTTCCGGGACACGGTATCCCTAGTGGAGCTTAGCTCGAACGTCCCGCATACTTCCGGGCAGGCACGGAGTTAACATGCAGCCTCCGGGAACAAAGAAAAGATGGAGGAAGGGCCAGCGACGGTGGACAAGGGAGCAAAAGGCCAAGCTGTACAAAGACCTTCGGACAAAGGTTTTGGAGCAGAGGAATGGCCTCCCGTCCGGCGCAGAGGCGTGGAGGATTCCGGGGGCGTGATGCTGGATAAGGGCGAGCATGATGGCGCGGCTCACAGCAATTGAGACCGGGATGCCGACCTCGCGAAGGTAGGTGAGCTGCTCGGCGATAGCAGTGACAAGGCCGGGGTGGAGCTCCTTATCAGAGGTAAAATGATGTCAGTACCTTGCCAGATAATGAAATAGAAAAAAACTCACCAAGACGCCAAATCGCGTGATGAGAGCTTGAGGTTTGTTGCCTGTTGCAACATGTGCGAGGATGCTGTCCTTCCAGCATGTGTTTCCCCGGTGCGATTGATCCAGCGGCCGATGTTTTGCGGATGAAGCTTGGTGAATTGATGGGGATTGATGAGCTGGAGGTATCAAACGATCTCCTGGGGAGACCACCCGACAATGTATCTTGCATGATCAATTTGCTGGAAGATGAGCGAATGGATCCAATTGTATCGGAGCGCGTTGGTGGGGAGGTTCTTGCGCTTGCGGCCAACCTGAGACCGGGTTGTTGCTTGTACCAGCTCATGAAACTGGCGATATGGGCGCGAGGTCTCGGCGGAGGTGGTCGGGAGGGCAGGAGAGATGGGGATTGTCGAGGACTTGTCAAGGATGGAGGCCACTGAGGGCTGGCTGGGGGTGGGGACAGTGTCAGCAACAACGGTCGCAGCACTGGCATTGGAGGCGGCATGCTAGAAATTAAGTAAGCAAGTGTTGATGTGTACGAAGAGTCTTCGTACCTTTCGGGCCCGTCTGTGCTGACGATATTGCCTCTTCTTCTCGTGCTCCCTCTCCTTCATGTGTGCCTCGTGAGCGAGGCGCTCCATATTGTCCTTGCGTGCTGCATGCTCGGCCACGTCTTCGGCTTCAGCGAGCCTTTCAGGCCGGGTGCGGACTCTTGCTGCCTCCAGCTCTGCACGCGTGATGCTTGCATAGAAGGCGGTGAGAGTCGTCTGGGCAAGGGATGCTGTCTGGCATTTCACCAGCTTGCTAGGTTGAGACAAGGGGAGAGGGAGGGTACCGGAAATGCTGGTGGGTTGACTGGCCTCGCTTGAGTTGGTGTAGCTGTAGTCGCAGTTGTCGTACTCGCTGTACACATCCGCATTGGCAACAGAGTTGGTGTCGTCATGTACAAGAACGAAGCTAGAGTTATCGAGGTCTGAGAAGTTGAAGTTTGTGTTCATGTTGTCTGCGGCGATAGACGTATTGAAGTCTGAGTCATTGTTGTCCATGTCCGTGTCATCCACGGCAATGGATGTATCGAGGGCGATAAAACCGCGGTTGAGGTGCAGGGAGATGAAGTTGTCTGGGAGATTCAAGTCATCCTGCCAATCAATGAGTGAGTGAGAGTTTGAAGCATTGCAAAACAAACGACTTACGAGGAAGTACTGGCTTCCTAGTTGGGTCGCAAGGAGGAGAGCCCACTCGATGCGCTCCAGGTGCTTCGTATGAGGGGACCAAGGCCATATGTCACGGAAGAAGACACGTTCGATGGTGTTGAGGGTGACGATACCGCACGAGAAGGGGTCGTCTTGTATGGAATGCGGGAGGATAGCGATGTTGGGGTTGAGATCGAGCCCAAGTTTGCGGGCGAACTGACAATAGCCGGCGAGATCCGCATCATGAACAGCATCTGGTGGCAGCGCACCACTGATGCAGGAGTCACCAATGCGGAGCTCACCGGTGCGAGCATCAAAAAGGGCAGCCACGTAATGATTGTGACGAGGGTCATGCAGAGGGTACACGACGCCATCAATGTTGCCAGTGCGCAACTGATTGGCAACGTTGCGAAGGTGGCTGAGGTGGCCAGCATCGGGGGGTCGAAGAGATCCCACTTCACTGTCCGACAGAATGGATAGGTAAAGGGGATCTGAAAGTCAAGGGTGTCAATGATGAGATGCCGATCAGAGTGGAGGTTTGACACCCAGTCCTGGATTAACTCAACACAGCCATCAATGACAGTGCCAGGAAGGTACCGGTCAGAGAAAAGATCAGCAAGCTGGAGAGAACGAAGGGAAGAGGATATGGGAGCATCCCAGCCAACAACCTTGAAGAAGCGGTCAACAGCAGATTGAAGGTGGGCGAAAAGCGTGGGGGCAGGCCTACTGTGAATCCTGCTGTGAGCCCAGGCTCGAGCGCGAGCCCACTGGTTGCGGCCAGCAATGGCAGGCGAGAGCTTGTACCAGAGAGAGCCAACCCAGAAATGGAGGTACCGGACCACATTGTTGACCTTGAGGCAAATGGAGCGCATGCTGCATTCCCACTGCGTTGCTAGGGCTGCACGACTGAGGAGGTGGGCAAATGATGGGATTGTGGTGGTCGAGAGGTCAAGGGGACCAGGGTCAGGGGGTTTTGGGGAGAAGAATGCCGAGAGCTCTGCATCTTCATATGGTGCTGGGGGTACTGATGGCGGGAAAGGGAATGAAAGGACATTAATGATTGGTAGGTTACGATCCGGGACGAGAGACGAGTGCTGGTGAGGAATGAAAGAATCCGAGAGAAACACGCGGTCTTGAGACATGAATAGGGACAGGATAAGATAGAACTATAGAAGTGCGAGGTCTGTAAAGTATCAAGGAGGCTGGGATTAGATAGTAAGGGCAAGAATGGAGGGGAACAAACGAGAGACTGAGGTGAGATGGGGGCCATCGACGCGGAGACACTGGCTTTTATCCATTTTCTGGTAGAGGAGCCCATATGCGGTTGAGTGAAGCAGAGAGCAGGTCGGCAAGCTCACTCACCAGTAAGACATCTCCTCGAGTAGAGCACGACATGGATGTCGTACTCAGATCGGCTCGCTAGGCTAGCTCGCCGGGTTTGTCACAAAACGGCGAGGATAAAGCAGGGAGAGGCAGATCTACGAGGCGTGAAAACACGTCAGTGACTCCATTTGGGCATCAAGAAGACTAAGAAGCTGCACAAAATGAAAGAAGTACGGAGACATACCTCGCACATTCATGGTAGCATCAACCCGGCGTGGTGCCTCGAGAGAGGGGTGGACAGCATCCGATTTAGCCGACGAACCTTGTCCACCCCGGTTCGGCCCTCCGAACCTAAGGGGGTGGACAAACGGTTATGGTAAGTCACTTTAAGCTCCGATTTCCCACGCCACTGCGAACCTATGGTCGAAATGGTACAGTATCTTCCAACCAGAATTCTTTGAGACACCTGTGCTTCAGTTGTTTCTTGTTATGGCCACCTCCCATAGCTTCACCGCAACCAAGAATGAACATGAAGATGGAAGCCTGTAATAATAGTCAAATTACCCAACATACGGGCGACACAACTTGGAGAGCTTCAGTCACGGGAGAACACCCTTACGCGTCTGCTCCAATTAATGGTTTGGGGGGACTGATACAGATGTTTGATAGACGCCTCGGTCCCACCCTGTCACTCAGGCTAACCGGATCCTAAAACCTCACAAGCGACCATGATGCCCTTTAGACAGTACCCGCGGCACCCCATATCATTACACAGTCCTCATCATTCTCCTTTAAAGAAATTCTTGGAGCAAGTGGCAAGGGCCAGCAAGGATCATCAACGGTGACAGGGAAGTGGGGTTTCACCCGCGCAGGACGACGGTTCGCGTCACGACCGTCACGCGTGACCGTGCCCCTGTTGCGCGCGAGCGGATCCCGGGTGCCGGGGCCGAGCCGAGGCGGGACTCAGCACGCCCGCCCGCTCTCGCTCTCGCTCCCGCCCCCGCCATAGACTGCGACGACCGAGCAACGCGCTCGACGCGCCAGCATGTGTCGCCGACGTCGACGTCGCGGACAGACCACGCACGCCGACGCACGTCGCCTCAAGGAGCCTCAAGGAGGGCGACCAGCGCCCACGAGCGCCGCGCTGCCGGAGGTACAGCAACCTTCCTCGGCTCGACAAGCAACGCGCCAAGCCCGCGATCTGACACACGGAGGCATGACCTCCTCTCCCGCATGCGCAGAAGAGCGCGCGAAGCGCGACACAAGACACTCGGGAAGGACTCACCGGGTGTGTTGAGAGACGTCGAGGGCTTGGGAGGAGAATGAAGATTGAGAGGGCAAGGTGAGTGGTACCTTGCTAGATTTTGAGCACGAGCTCACGCATTGAGTTGAGAACGCGAAGCAATAGCCTCTGGCTTGATCCGTCGCGGTTACGCGACGGCGTTTTCGAAGCGCAGGGGATGTGACAGGTCAGTTCTCCAAGCGAGAACTGTCGTCCGCCCACTTCGCAGTGCCCGCAAATTACGCCCAGCCTCCCTCAATTCTGCGCCAAAATTGATTGCGAAGGGCTTCGCACACTGCAGAACGACAGTTTGGGCCCTTAGAACGACAGTTTGACCCTGCGGACGACAGTTTCGGCGGCATTGCTGGGTGAGTCATTTGCTTGCTTTCAAATCTCCTCCTGTTGTTATCACCCTGTCCCACCCAATCCATGTACCGAGCCTCCCATGCACTTGTTATATAGTTTCTGCATACATGTGAGCAATACAGCAACTCCAATTCACCAACAAATCACACATACAGTAAGATCTGCTTATTTGCCGGTTTTAGGATATCTAGTAGCAAAGTTTCTATTGATAAGTAACAAAATGGTAACAGAGAGCGGTCACCCGCATGATAGCCTAACTATAAACTAGCTACAAACAGGTTCTGGGAAGGGGTTGGGCGATCTCCAAGCTACGCGACCCGGGGGCGCGGGCACAAGCTCGCAAGCGAGCGTGATCGAGCGTGATCGGACAGTGACAAGCCCCTGAGCCGCGGGACCGTCGCCCAACGACGGTTTCGGCAGCGGCCGCGCGGGAGGAGCGTGACGCGCGTGACGGCGAACCGTCGTTCTCCCGAGAGAAGTGTTGGGGGGAGGTTGGGGGAGACTGGTGACCTCTGACCACTGTCGGATGTCGGCTAAAACGAGGCACCGCCACCGAGGAAACATATCGCGGGTTGTTACAGTCGCTCTCCGACTTTCCGAGTTCTCACAATCTCCATACAAGTGGAATGCTGCGCTCGCACTGACCTTACTCGCTTCACGGACCCTGTTCACCCTCTCCCGCTTCCCCGGGGTTTCAGCCTCTCCAAACGGCAGCGGATGTTCACCTTCCTTCAACATCACCTCCAAGTTCACTTAGACTCGTGAGTCAACGTTTCAACCATGACCTTCCCCCTATGCTCTCCCTTACAATTGCCTTCAACTCCTCCGAGAACCCCTAGTGCTGAACGACACGTAACGTTCGAGCATCCTCTTCGCACCCTCAGCGTCGCGTCACACTCCGCTGAGCTCCAGCATGGACTTTGAAGGCGACGCGTGCTCCTCCGCATTAACCTGTTGGTGTTGCATCGAGCGGAAGATAAGGGCGGGGGGAGATGGAAAAGGAGAACTGGAGTGGATAGCTTACCAGTGGAACGACCAAGGGCAGGTGTTCTCCCAGCCTACACCTGTCAAGCTTGTTCACAAACGGTGCGTCGTGACTCGTTGCTTCTATGCTGTGGGCTGGTGCTTACGGTAGATTTCACGACTTTCTTTCCATCTCGCTTTCTCTACCCGCTATGCCACCCACTATACCTCGTATAATCGAACCCGTTCGCCTCATTTCGCGCTCGTCATCATGTAGGGCCTCCGTTCATAGCCTTCTCGCGCTCGCCATACACGTCCGACGCATCTCCGGCGGCTACAACGCATTGGTTTTATCCTTGTAGATCGCATCTGCATCGGCGCGAAGAAATACATGCACGTCTACAAGCGGGCGACGTGCACGTGCATGTGCATCACGTCCGTCTCATGCATCTGCTCATACACTGTGCAGACGCTCTTCATTTGCACGTGACTAGGTCAGTCTCGTTTTCATCATCATACGTAGCTTCGCATCTGTCTCTCTCGTTTGTCTTCGTCTTTTCGCTCCCCTTTGGCCCTGTTTTTGCTCCATTTTCTTTGCTCATCCATGCCTATGTTTGTACCAGACCTTGACCTTCCTGCTCCGCATGCTTAGCCGTCTGACTTCGTCCGTGCGTATTGATTCCCTCGCCTCGAGGGGTAATACCGTTGACACTTTACCTTTTTGCAGGAGCCTTTCTTCCACTTTCCGTCGCCGTCTTTGACCTGCTCGATCATACACGTACTACGGCCGTCTCGTGATGAGTGGCTATTCATATGCCGCTGTCACCCTCTTCCACACCAGCAGATGCGCACGAGATCGCTGTCTATTATCTGTTCTCCTCGTACCACCACCATCTATCTCTGTCCTCCTGTCTCTGCCCATACGCCTGGACCAATGAAACTACGATGCACCACCACCACCCATCCAGTCACTTCCGCGTGATATCACAATGTTGCTGACCTCGCAACATAATGCCTCACGGTTTTCACCTTTCGGATGTACTCGCCAGAATATGCGGATGCAACGTAGCATCATGTCCACTGTACCGCACCTGATCCTCGGGCCCATATCAACGTGGAAGCCGTAAGTCATCACCTTTGAGTTGCTTAAACTTGTTCGAGCTGCTTGGACGATCGAGTGTGAGACGGCACGAGTTCGGGGCGAGAAGGACTCGGCGGTGAGTGCGGTGCTTGAGCATGGGTTCGGGTGCGTGAATTTACCTCATCATTACGCTAACGCTGGGTGGTGGCTTAATGATGCTCGTACAGACAAGCGGAGGGCATGCTATCAGACGATGAGGTCGGTCCCGCCGATGCGTATGCGCGTGGAGACTGGTGAGTATTCGCGCTTGCACTCACTAAGCGCCTTCGTGCTCATGATTATGTTCATCACCTAGTATTCAAAACTGGAAACGAATATAAGTACGATGTATCGGTGCCGTGGTGCCGTGTGCAGGCGAGGATCAATAGCGCTCGAGTATATCGGGCCGCCTCGATTCGAGGCCCATGACTTGATGGGGAACGTGAAGGTGAAGGAATCAAACCTAACCTTATTCAAGGAGCCTCTCAGTCGCCAACCTCTACTTACCTCAGAATTACATGTGTATCTATATGTTGCTTATATGCGAAGAATCCCATGTCAGACCTTGGAACCAGGCGACGGATAAATCTTGCTTCTCGCAGCCGGTCATTTTCAACGTCCAGGCGTGTAATAGTTCTCGAACAGGCACCAGCGCTTGAAAAGACGCTCAAATCGCCTTGCCAAGGCTTTGCAGCAAGCGGCGGCGAAGCTTTATACGATTTATGGGGCGTTCGTTGCTATTCTCGAATGAACCTATCGAGTGTGCCGTCAACCGTCTTCAGCGCGTGCTCACCGTCACCCTAAGCCCTATGCTTAAAGGCGCTCATCTGTTATCATATTGTTCGGCGTTCCCGACCATCCCACCCTTCCATCACCCACCATGCAGAGACAGCAACAGGCAAGTTCTAGCTCTACGGCAGTGGTTGAAGGTACAGTGACCACTTCACTGAGCTGTAACAAACAGAGCTACTAACATACCGACGGTTTATCCATTTCATTAGGGCAGCCGCCGGCCGATGATCTGGTCCCTACAACGGAGGCGATATTCAGCGAGTGCTCTAGGTATGTTGCGACAGCAGGTTTCTCGTGCTGTCATTTAGTACTTGTTTCCACAGATTCCGCATTCTCGTAGCAGGAAAGGTACGAGCTAGCTGACACTAATGCAGTCAATTTGAGTTTAACGCCGCGCTCTCCAAAGACAGGGGGAGGAAAGTCGTCGCTGATCAACGCGATCTTTGGCACCAAATTAGCGGTAAGCAGTGTTTCATCGTAATGCGTGCTAGCTACGTCTATTTGTCTCACTCTGGGTGATACAGGCCGAAGCAGAGTACACCCGCGGAGAGGCAACCATCGACCATGCTTTTGAAAGTGATATTAATCGCCGATTCGTACTGCACGACTCCATGGGGTACGAGGCAGGGGAAGTCAAAAACCTCGCCAAGGTCGAGAAGTTCGTGAAGGAAAAAAGCCAGGGTCCCGAGGCGGAGAGGTTACATGCGATTTGGTGTGTACTATTTTTGGCTGCTTCACACGGTACACTTTATCAATGGGATGATCGCACCGACAGGTTATGCATTTCTCCTTCGTACCACGGAGGTCGTATATTCGAAACGGGGGATGAAAAGCTGCTGAAAATGTTAAACAAATTTGACCAAAGTAGAGTGGCCTATTTCTTGCGTCCATCACGATCGAAGCTCAACATGGCCTATCCAGTCCCTCTCATAGTGGTTTTCACTATGTTAGACAATGTTGCAAAGACTATTCGGCGGACTGAGCGCCTGGAGCTGGGCCCAGCCCGAAAGAAGGCTCAAGAATGGGTGACAGGGTTATACGACCGGGAGAAGTGTCCAAGACCTTTCATATGCGTCTCAAGTGAGGCCATACCGTTATATTTATACTGAATCGCGCGCAGAGAGGTTTCTGACATATGGTATATAGCGAAGCCCGAGTATGTTGACACGTTGAAAGAGCTCACCGAGATTACCATGCATCAACTGGAGCCACCTGTGACATCGCAACCTGGGCTCGGGGAGGGAAGAAGCTCGTCCTTCCGCAGTCGCTTCTTCAAGAAGTCGAAGCACCTGCTAGCTAATCGTACAGATGATCAGGGACAGAACCAGGGCCAGACCAATAACCAGGTGCGCCTGGCCGCTGCGCAGATGATAAACCTTCCTTTGAAGATCAAGGCGTCAATCGAGTGAGCCCTCGTGTGTACTTCAGTCCCTGGGCTGCGAGCTGATCAGAGCGATGCAGCGTTGGAAAGCGAAGTGAGTCTCTTAAACGAGGATCATTGATACGCACCGTTCATGTTATCATGATGAAAAGAATATTGGAAAAACCTCCTCGAAAGTGCCTTCTTCAAGGGTCGTCCGCTCAAGGACTGCTTTATGACCATTCATCGTGACATTTTGGTGGTATGGAACTTTAACTCCGTGGTAGACACCGTGAGTGGTTATTCGTTTCTGGACTATTGGCGTTTTGACTGCACACGGCTTAGTACATGCTTGGCGATGAGTTTATCAATACGGTCTCGCACGTCGTTGATGATATCAGCCCAAGGGACAATCTCGATATGCAGAACGCGGCTCGTAATCCTGATATGTGAGTACTGTGATTTTCCTAGGGATTTCGGGTCCTCTTATTGACCTCCTGTAGCCAAAGCAATGCGCAAAAAGTGGCGACGGTAGCGGCGGCGATAAGCTCTTTCGCGCATCCCGCCGGTCTTGTCATAGGCGGTGTCACTGCTGCTGTCGTACTGGCGACATGGCTTTGGGGCGTTTATCAGCAAACGTATGTCTATACTTGTAACCATACCAGCGCTCAAGAGACAAACGTGAACTCACCGACCTTGACAGAAACGGCATTCTTCGGTGCATGATGGCGTCGATTGTCGCCCTCGTACTGATCATGGAGACGCTGTTCGACATCCAATCCTCGATTAAGGATGGTATTGAGCGACTGCACCCGACTGTCGCGCTAAAGGTTGTGCAGGACTATCAGGAGTCGGAGTTGAAGAAGCAGATCCATGCCGAGATCCAGACTTTCGTCGGATCGGGTTTGAGCGGCGCGCTCAAGGGCCGGGATGTAGTGATGGATAAGATTACCGAGCTGATTATGCGATATCATAAGGGCGGAGAGGGATATGAGATGTGGCATGAAGATGTGGCGAGTAAAGTTCAGAACCAGAAGAATGTACAGGTGCAGCCTTCCGGCGCCGAGTGAGTCCTTGTACTTGGTTACCGTTACATAATGTGTCCACTGCTTGTTGTAGTCCTTGAATGGTCTAATACAATTTAGTTGGTAACATTGCACTCTCCTACCCAGATGATTGGTCGTGTAGTGTCGCATCAATCCTAGTGCACTTATATTAATTGTCACTGCAGACAAACGGCGATTTTATCCGGGATGAAACCGAGAGAAAGAGGCGGCGAGATGAAACCCTTTTCCTCCGAGTTTTGGAACCCCCTTCTGCACAGGAAAAGGTATTCTTTTAGCCAACATTTGCGTCAATTTTGCGCTGGTAAAATGGACGGGTTACCGAATTTGGACTCTAACTTCCCAATTTGGACGTGTTTCTATCTAATCTCCGCACAGAAATGCAAACTCCGAGGCAAAAATTTAACTTTTCAGTAACTTTTCGCACAGCAAAAGATGGGTGAAAAAGGCTTTCATCTGTCCGCCTTCTTCAATCACTTTTTGTAACAGAAAAATCGCAGTTTGTCTGCAGTGGTACGTCGTCGCTCGAAAGTTTTCGTAATCGAGTCGGAGATTAAACTGTTTATAGTAATTGGAAGTAACAATTACAGCTATTTGCGAAATGGTTGACAGTCGCGCGGGGTCGAGTGTTCAAATAAAGAAAATGGAAATTTCTAAATTGCTCGTCGCGCGTCGCGCGGCTCGCTACTGTACTGCACCTGTTACACCGCAAACGTGTGCGGATGTCCATTAGACGTCCGCACACTACATCAGATTTACCCACGCGGTGTACCGCTCGTGGGCGTATACCGGATGTCGCATGGACATCCGGTCCCCCACCCCTGAGGGGCCCGAACCCGGATATCACCGACACCTCCGCCGTAGGTCCATGCGACATATAGCTTGTACATGTACATAGGATGTATATACTTGATGTCAATGAGATATGAAACGCTTTGGACGTACCTTGGACGTTCGACGCTTGCAACGCTTGATTCTGCGCGGACGCGCGCTCGCAGCTAATAATAATAATCAAGCATGTAAGTACATATGTTATCCAAAATTAACTGGATTGCACTATTAATGTACGAGGAACGAGCGTGACTCGAACATACGGAGGGAAATCGGCGAGTGATGAAGGTTCTCGTGATCGCGGGGTTGTGGGCGCCGAATAACCGAAATGAAGTGGCTTCGCGAAGACAGAAAGCGTCGACATCGGGATCCCGACGCGGCACCTTCCAAAAACCGTAATAAACCCCGAAGTCTGTCTGGTAAACGCCCGACACATGAAGATCAAACATGTATTGATTATGTACTACGCCTGTTAAGCTGCAATGTAAGTTTCTTGATATGACTCCCGCATACTGCATCGCCGACAATATTGACCTCTGGTAAATTAACCTCTACTGCTTCTTCCTCATCTGAGTCTGAGCTCGAGCCCAAGTCGTCCACCGCTGCGGCCTTGCTTTTCTTTGCCTCTCGAGCTGCAGCCGCTTTCTCGCGACGGTTCTCACGCTTGGCATCTTGAGACTTTCGGAGTTTTGCAGCGACGGCGACATGATGAGATTTTCTGTCAGGATAAAGTAAGGTCGGCTTGACACAATGACGCGGCAATAGTTTGCGAATTATTCCAGCGTTGTGTAAGGCGTGCATATTGATCACGAAGCGGCTGTCGTTAGTGTGATCAATCGTCCGAATAACCTTGTCCGTCTCGATCCGTTCTTGCATTTGCCTCCGAGACCCTTCGCCAGGCTTGCATTTCCCATCAATGCAGTCGTGCTGCGCCGAAAAAATGCAAAGAACATCCTGAAAACTATTAACTTCAATCTAGAATTCGCATTGGCGCGTAGACTGACCTTTGAAGCAACAGTTTTCTGCTCAGGTGCACCGGAGGCGCGATGCAGCACAGGCATCGCATACTGTGGGTGGAGATGATCACCCAAAGTAAAGCAGTCAATAGTAGTGAAGCTCAGCTGATCCGAGAGCGCGGATGCCGATTGAATGATTTCTACAATGCGCCCCGCTAATACCTATATAATCACCTTAAGTACAAGAATAAAAACATACGAGAAAGCGTCCAGTGAACTTACACATTGAGGTCCTGAGGCAAAAACCCAGTATCCGATCTTGCAGACATCTCCAGACCTTGAAGATACCGAGATTCCTACTTTCCACTGCCGTATTGAGGGCGGTATAGCAATTTGATCGATCAGGGATGTTGATGCCTTGGTTTTTGACCATGCAAGGGCAGGAACCTTCTTCGCTGGTGCTAGCGACACTTCTCCTGTAAATTACGATTAGACACAGTTATCTGATGCATTGGGAACGCGTACCTGGTACTGAAATGCGCTCTGGCGCCCATCCAAGATGGCGCTGGAAAATTGGGTGCAAGAGAAGCAGGTTGCGGACGTTGGTAGACGCCTGAACCCACTGATTGTCTTCAAGCCAGTATCCGCCACTCAGAACATGCTTCATTCGTTCCATTGATGCAAATTTCATTGCAATGTCACGACTAGGAGCGAGGTGGTTGCTGAGAACTGAGCAGAGACGGAAGATAGCATTGAAACACTCAAAGATCTCAGTTGAATAGCGCACGGCTGGTCCAAACCGCCGAATGTCCTCGCCGAGGTGACAGAGAATCTGTAGCTTCATTTTCTGAGTGATCTTGGATGGCTCGAGGTCGCTGAATGCATCGAGGAAGTTTGCCACCACGATATCTAGGTCTGACTGTAAATTTCAAGTTAATGAATGATAACATGATTCGGAAAAGAGCGAAAACATACCAGATATTCCTCGAGATTATCGATCTCAGGGATCCAGAGAAGAGCTCCCAAGAATCCCAGCGACTTGATGAGACTAAACTGCGCTGGACTGGCAAGGTCATGCGCATGAAATATCATACACTGCATGAGCGTCTTGAAGTGCTTGCCAATCAAGCCGTTCTTGTATTGCATCATATAAGCTGCGCGAATGGGAGGAACATTCAAACCGCTTATGTCTGTCGACTGAAGACGCAGCACGAATAGATTCTGCTGGTCCTCCTTCCAGTCCTTGTGAAGGAAATGCCAGGTATATTTGGCCGTACCGAGCAAGATGGTATGGAGGATTTCGATTGGGGTGTCTTGACAAGGGTCCAAACCTGCATGATTAATAAATGAGCTTTGAAAGTCTTGGTGATCCATATGATAACTCTCACCTGGTAGCTTGAGTAAAGGGTTCATTAGGTCGCCTTTTTGCGTCATGATCCAGTCATACAGCTGATCTGCAGCTTCTGCTGCAGGAATACGACTCTCAGCTTGGATCTGACGAGATTTCTTGAGCAAGATGTCGATCCAATGCTGGGCTATCTTGTCCTTGACTCCAGTCGCGGTCTGAAGCTCCTTGACAGCTTTCTCGACACCAAACATTGCCAGACTTAGCTGTCTGACCAATGTAGATCGGGTGTACTCTGCAGTTCTGGCTTCGCCAGGCTGTAAAGATGGTTAACGGGAGAAATTAGTACTGCGCTTGATGACGTACAAAATACAGTGAGTGATACCCCTCGTCCGACTCAACTGTTGTTGCAGGACCACCCTTCTTGCATTTCCGGCACTTGAGATTAGCGTTGGGTCCCATATGTGAGCTTTCTTCCGATTGCTGAGGATTATCCGCTGGAAGGTAAGGGACTCTCAGTACAATCTGACATGGACGCTTTGTGCTCGCATTATAGCATTTAATGGGCGTTGAATGCGTCGAGCTATGTAAATCAGAAACGGTCGATACAAAATTAATTATGCAGGGCTTACTTTATCTGATCCATGACCGCGGAGAATTGCTCTGGGGAAGTGGCATGAGGGGATGTGGACACAAATCGTACAAAGTATTCTTGCTACAATGCTTACTTTTAGATGAGTTCTGCAAATTAAGAGAGCGTCTCACCTGTAGCAATCGGCCTGGAAGATTGGAGTTTACAGTATAGATGTTGATGTGCTTATTATATTGCTTCGAACGATTGCCGGATACATCGTCGCACCAGAGGGGAACCATGACCACATAAAGATCATCTTCCCCGGCAAGCGTTCGAAGTTTAGAGGGCATTTCTTGCCCGGCATCCGAATCTATATGTATCTTTAACATACACTTGTGCGACAGCGAATACAAGAGGACTTACTCGTCCAAGGCAAGTGCGATTGATAAGCGGCCGCCAGGTCCAGGTAGTTCAGTTGGAACTCTGAAGCTGGCACGCTTATTGTCTCGCTCATTTTGACTGTCCATCCCTGTGCAGAATTAATAAGACCTGTGATGACCTTTTAAAGACTATGAAGTCTTACCTCCGGTGTAGCATCGACGCTGTAGCAGTCAGCGTACAGCTGGCGGTTTCTTTTGATCCAGATTTGAGGAATTACTAGCCGGCTAGAGACGAGGCAAGCTACCTCGCCAAGGTAGAACTGTTTTCCATTGGCCGAATACATTGGCATGAGCTCTTCAGGGCGGAACTCTTTCCAACGAGCCGCTTGCCAGACCTCCGAGACAGGGCCATTGCCCACATCTTCGGGGTAAAACTCCATGTGAGAAGCTACTAACGGATTGGCCAGCTCCTATCAGATGTTCATCAATAGATTCGTGTAGTTTTGCAAAGGAGAGCTCACCCTTTGAATCGTATCGCGGATATCATTGACGTAGAAATGATTGCCAAGTACAGACGTTTGGGCTGTGGGCTCTGAGCCACATCGCTTCCTCAGGGATTTTTGAAGCTGACGAAACGAATCAAAAGATGGAACATTTTGGACATTACACTCTTCCAGAACCCAAAGGATGAGACGCAGCTGTGCGCCTGAAATTCGAAGCCGAGGTAAATTATCGATGACGTCGAGCAGCATGGTCTGAGAATGTGATATGTCAGTACAATTTAATCGCTCAGAAGCTTGAAGCACGCACAACTTTGCTGGGGTAAGGAGCGTAGTCCGAGTCCATCTGGACATTGGCATTGAAGAAGTCGTGCACATCTTCTTCAGAAGGTCCGTGCTGTAAATCTAATTTACAACATGTTAGATAGTTAGCAGTATATGATGCTGTAAAAAGCACGCACCCATATCTCGAAAGTCGTGGACAACGTTCGACAGAGTGACATCGTCCTCATGGTCAGTCGAGTCCATGAAGTCCGCGCTCTGGGCATCCATCAGCAGGAGCTGAATTTGCTCCTGGATGCGTTCGCGCTCCAGAGCCATTCTCTCAGCTTCAATTGCCAAAGCATCCACGGAAGGGGGAGCCTGGAGATCTATAATCATGTCATTAGAGCAGTCGTCGTGATCTTGAGGTGTGTCGAGCGCAGAGAGCATGTGTGGGCGAGGGTTCCTAGCGATCAAAGGCGGTGGAATCAAGCTCATTGAGACACCTCCAGCGGTGCGATAGAAGAGTTCATAAGGATCTGAGACAGCCTGCAGATTGGCTGCCTCTGCTTGCTCAAAATTTCTCTGAACAGCCGTATGATGCTCTTGACTCTCGCAATGCTTCTTTTGGCTCGCTCTGGAGATCCATGTGGACTTGGGCCACACGCGAATACATTCCCGGCATCGAATCTTTTTGCTGTCATCGGGTTTTTCTTCGAAGACTGAAAGAGTTCCATTCAAAGTGAGCAAGATGACATGTTCACCGGCTATAATAACTTGCTTACCATCTGGCAGAGTATTCTTCGCAGTGCGCGGCATGCTGAAGCTAAGTTCAGTCAGCTCAGAAATCACTCTTGATTGCTGGGCTTTTGATCTTTTCACTGGCACTGTCAAAGCACTGTGGGGACAGGGGCGTCAAGTCGAAGTCGAAGCACGCCTGATTTGGTATTTCCCAAATCAGGCATTGATCGCACCAATGTTAATCTATTTACCCCTGATCGAACCTCGTCCGGACGTCTCGGGCACATCGACAGGGCCTCGCTCTGAGCTTGGACGGACGGGACAAAAATGAACCTTTATTGTTCATGCTTTGTTTATCGCTTTTTCCCTCCGCTTTCTCTCTCTCTCGCTTTTCCCCTCTCCCGCTTTCTTTCATGCGCAGTCAACGCACGTCTGGTGGCTTGGTCAAAGTGACCATCGCAAAGTGCGTACTCTGCTTGTGTTCTTTCTTTGTTTGCACTGACAGCATTGACTCTCGACCGGAGGGTTAAAATGGGCGAGAATTCCTTTCCCCCCTCTCCAGTGGCATTCGCCTCTCTCCCCCTCTCATCATCCATTGAATGTCCCAACAACCAGATTCACGTCCATCAACCCCCGCAGACGGTGATCTCGACCCCTTGGCAAGGTTGAGGGCCAGCCGGATGTCCTCGTCCTCCAACCTCTCGACAAACTCACGCAACATGCTGATCTCCGAGCCCGCTCTAACCCAAGAAGCACCTCTCACCTTCTTTCCTGACGTTCAACTTGACGCCAGTTTCTCTTCCCAAGACAGCTTCACCTTCGGCGGCTCAGCCACTTCAACAGCCACTTCCGCCTCTCCATGCGACATTCTGGCCAATATCCAGCTCGGAAACACCCTCAAGTCCGGCTTCAAGCTTTCTGCACAGGCCGAGAGGGACTTCGATGCATGGTGCAAGGTACGTGGCATTCCAATTGTCCTCGGGGACTTGAGCTCATCGCTAATATCATCTCAGAGTCCTACTTATCAGCACCAGCTCACGCTGTTGTGCCTATTCATCCTCTCCAGGGATCAGGCGGCTCCCCAAGTTGATCCAGGGCTGTGGAAGCCATCCAACGCGCTTTTGGTGAGTCATCCTTCCTCACGTCGCGTTGTCTTTCTGTAACTGGAGGTTTTTGGATAGGTCGACATCAAGACTTATGCAAGGGCGTTCGTGCTCTGTCCGTCCGTCTCACACTACCTAGGGAACTCGGCGAAATATGTATTGGTAAGTCCGTCTGTTGGGACGCCCTCGAGATAGCTAATAATCCAGATATGCAGGATGCAATGCGCTCGCTGCGGGTCACCTCGGTGCCTCCCGAGCACGAGAACTTTCAGATTACCAGCTCCCAATCTGCCATCAGCACCAAGCTCACGCATGTCCGAAGCAGGCTCAAGGGCATTGTAAGCACCCTTTGCATGCTATCGCTTCGTTTCTGATGCGTTATTAGGTGGGGTCCTGTAGCGAGTTGGGGTCTGAACACGCGAACATCGCAGACTTTGCGGTGCAAGCTCAAGCGCTTTGCAAAAGGACCAAGATCACTGTGGCGATGTATATTCGTCTCGCTTTCCTTGTGAGTCTCTAATATAATACATGCGATATCGTCTTGGTCCACTCAATGTGCTTAGCGTTGGGTTTATAACTCGTATCCCCAGAGTAAAGGCGATACATATTGGCAGAAGGTCGATGAATGCTTGAAGGACATGAGTAAGAAGTGTACTAATCTGACATTGAGCCAGTAAGTGTTCGCGTTTTCACCTTACTTCGCGATCGCCTGATTTATTTTCCCAATCTTAGGGATATGATAGATATATACAACAACGACGTCGAGAAGTACGGCGATCCCTCAAGTACTTCGCACAACGTCGTCGACAGCCACTCAATCGATGAGTGGCAGACGCGCTTGAATACTTATGCAGCAAAGGTGCAGCCGGAGACGAAGAGAGGGGCAAAGCGTACGAGGACTAGTACATGATGTCTATTAGATTTCGCTTAGTTCAGTCCAAATATGAATATGTTTAATTTCCAATTGCGATCGATATGTTAGAAAGTCTAATAACATACGGAGGTGACAGAGAATAATCAAACATACGGAACATAATCGGTTGACCAAATATATCATACCCGGCTTGTATGTCCATGGGACATCTCATGTACTTGGATGTCCAGTAGACATCGGGTATCCACCGGGCATCACGAAAACTCATTCCGATCTGAAAGCATTACATAAACTGTCCATCAGATGGACATCACGCGCGGGCCCTCATGACAGCCCCCGCTGTACATCCATTGGACATCCACACACGAGTGCGGTGTAGAGCATTAGACCTTGTCCATCGCATATACTCAGTGCCATCGCGTCCCTCTGCACCCCCTATCCAAGTCGTCTCTTAGTTGTCTAAGTATTCGCAACGACACTTCTCAAGGAGCCCGAGTCCTCTTAGTGAGGCTCCCGATGAAGCCCCAGCAGTGATTCAAGCAATCGAACCTGAAACCCCAGCCCGACCCGTGCAAGCTGAACCGGTAAAACGCGGTCGAGGACATTGGTGTGAGGGTGCGAGGGCGGCCAGGGGCACCTAGATTGCGACGTACAACATCACCCGTTTCAGAGTCCCTGAGCCTGAGAGAGCGGTAGAATGTGCTCTCAGAGAAGCCAACGCGCTGCAGGAAAGTCTCAGTGGGAATGTCGCAGTTGTCGTGGAGGTTGAGAGCGGCAATTTTGACGTTTCGGCTGATTTCACGGTATGGCATAGTTGAGACGTTCGACTCAGAGGAGCATATATTAGAGCACTCGTTCACTCTCTTGCGCAGCCACGGCTTGCGGCTACTCAATGTACATGCCATTTTCTGATTTTAGGTATTTTTATACTTAATCGCGCCGCGGCGACCACCTGTCAACCTTTTCGCAAATAGCTGTAATATAAGTGCACTAGGATTGATGCGACACTACACGACCAATCATCTGGGTAGGAGAGTGGTAACATTGGTGTAATTTAGGGATTAGATTAGATTTCAGATGGTGTGCTTGTGTCACCTCTCTCGGGATCCTGAGCTCGACAACTTGACGACTTTACACAATGATCATAACTCACGGTGGTTTATACCGCAACATATGCGAAAATGGTTTTACATCTCTATGATGGGTCTAAAAAGTGTATTAGCGGCTAGTCAATAAAGCACAAATAAAATATCAGATTTGACGTACGCAACAAGCAATGGCGAAGGAGCAAGCGAAGGAGTCAAGAAGGAATTGTAACAAGGCGTGGTGTCTCGACGCGTCGAGTGAGCAAAGCACTGCCACCAAGGAAATGCATCGCGCCCTCTGGAATTCCACTCTCCAGTTCGAACAGTCTCCAGCCATCCAAGTTGAACGTTTCGCTCGCTTCTCCGGGTCTTCAACCTCTTCAAAGGCCAGCGGAGGCTCATCTTCCTGCGACTCTCACTCCAGTAACAACCAAATCACTGCCTTGTGAACATCGCATCAACCATGACCCTCACACTACGCTCGCCATCGCAGTGCTATCCAGCTCTTCCATGAATCCCAGTAGGGCATCATCCTCACACCTTCGACATTACATCGCAGGTCATCGAGAACTAGCACGGAAGCTGGTGGTAACGTGGGCTCCTCTGTGATGAGTGATGGGCTAGGAGGAGGAGGCGGGGGCGAGGGAGAACTGGAGTTGGCATCATGCTTATGGGACAACTGAGGGCAGTGGTTTTCGGAGCCTGCGAGTGCGGTGTATAATTGCAATGGTGCGTTGTGGCACCTTGCTTATTTGCCTTATTTGTTGTAGGCTAGCACTTACGATGAACTTCGTGATCTTGGTCTTATGTTGCTTCGCTTCTGCCCGCCTCGTCACCTGGGCATGTGTCGTATCCTCAAACTCGTCTATCTCTCTTCTCACTCCCCAACATGCACCTCCAGCAATATCCTTCTCTATCTCGCCATACATGCCCGATGCACGTCTGGCGGCCACACCACAATGGTCACATCCTAGCAGATCCCATCGGCATGCACAAATCTATCTATGCATGCGAGTGGGCGACGTGCGCGTTCACATGCATCACGCTCATCTCGCATTTCCACTCGTACATCGAGCAGATGCTGCTAGCTTGCATGTGGCCAGTTCAGCATCGTTTCCATTACCATACACAGCTTCATAACCGTCTATCTTCGCCTTCTCGTGCTCCTCTCTCCTTGTTCTTCCCCTAATCTCCCTGCCAACCCATGCCCGTGTTCGTGTCGTGGCGAGCCTTGACCTTTCCGCTCCGCGTGCCTAGCTGTTTTCGCTCTTATCAATGCTTCTTAGTTTCCTCACTCTGAGGAATAGAGCCGCTGACACCCTTTTCTTGCAGAGGCTCTTCTCGTCGTTGCGGTGACCTGCCCGATCAACTGCGCACGTCGGCCGTCTCTTAACCTTAACCAAAGAGCACTCAGGCGCCACCGCCGCCCTCATCCGGACCCACGTTCGCACACGAAGCCGCTTCCCGTTATCTTTTCCCGCCCCCAATGTCGACACAACCTATCCCCGCCCTTCCACCGATACTTGAGCCCCGAAGTCAGTGCACCAACGAAACTACGGATCACCGTCACCTTCCTCGCCATTATCGCTTGCACACTCGCAATGTCTCCGATCCCGCAACATGACTCCTCACGCCATTCACCCGCTCAGACGCGTTCGCCAGCAAACGCGGGTGCAGCATGACATACCCAATGCAGTGGACCAGGTCGACAGACGCACGCCGGCGTGGGCTGCGTACACTATCAAGGCCGAACACTGCCTATCGTTGGAACAACATGTCATTTGCACGGGCAGCGGTGGACAGTCGGGTGCGAGGCGAGGTGTGTGAAGGGCGAGAAGGAGTAGGAGCTGGATGTAGTGCTTGAGATTACGTTTGGGTGAGTGAGTTTATCCTGGTATTGCCCAAAAACTAGGCAATGGCTTAATGCTTGTATAGGCCGCCATCGGAGGGCATGATAGCGGACGGCGAGGTCGATCCCGTCGGCGCGTATACACTCTAGGGGTGTGGTGACTGTTCGCGCTTACAATCACTCTCGGCGCATTTGTGTTTGCGTTCCCGTCCGAGAAGAAAAATACATTTTTATTATTGAATAAATATTCCATTTTCTTATCTCCAGCCGCATCCTTGTCCGCTACCAGCACCACCACCAGTCGTCGTAGCGAGATCATCTAGTAGCACGCACCGGTACTCTAATGAAAGCTTTCTTCCAAAGGCGAACGCCAATTGAACCCTTCGCGCTCCACGCGCATGGCCCGCATTTTCTCACGTTCCGCGCCCTCTCCCAGAGCTCGCCCGTTTTCTCGCACTCTCAGCTTTCCATGACCCTGAGATGGCTGGCTGGCGAGCGTTACATGGTGAGTCTATCAGTGATATTCCTCAGCGACCTAATTATGACTCCAGCGTTCTAAACTTGTGCCTCGTGCGATCCATCTGCACAGGCTCGATTCCTTCTCACTCTTAATCGTATGTCTCGCTCACGTCCTTCATCTCATGTTTAGCCGAGATTGCTCTATATTCACTGCCGTATACGCTGGGCGCGCAACTTCTCAGCATGTCGATTCAACCAAGAGCTCGTGAGTCGCTAATGACCCTTCGTTCTTTGTTTTTCCCGATGCCATTTGAGTTGTTGCGCTCGCAAACGCCACGTCCGTCTCGGCGCCTTGAAGTCGCAGCAAGCGTGCACTGCACTGGCACCATAACCGCCGTACCTCTTTCTCTGCCCTCGAATGTAACCCCAAACCGATACATCATACCACTTCTCAGACTAAATGACGCATCAACATCTCCAGCAAAGGCGTCTCCGTGAAAACGAAACAGTACAACCGCAGCGATTACCTCGACTCGACGCAACGGTGAGCCCCACCTCTGCCACTCCCTTCCCTCTGTGCCCGTGTCCGTCGCCCCTTCCCCCCTTTCGTATTGTCCACCGTAACCTGCATGCGATGATGAGCATATCTGTTCTCCTCGCCCTCCCCGTCTCCCTTCCCGCTTACAGCAGCGTCATCAAAGCCCTGAATGCCTCATCCTTCGGCAGGGAACAAAAACAGAAAGCAGACGCCAGCCTCGGTGTGTGTCCCGCAGCGTCTTGTTCGCCCGCATCCGTGAACGCTGTCGGCTCGAAATAGAGCCGCGCTTGTGGAGCACTCGGCGCACAGGGCTGAGGTAAAGGCACTGCTGGGGCTGTTCTTACTTACTCGCATCTTCTTTCCGCTTTTTATTCCCTTTCCTTCCTCGCATACATTGTCCATCGAGCTCTCTTCGTTTCGTCGTTGATTTATCATCTGACCAAAGTTCTCGGTATACTCGTCGTCGATACCGATAGCTTGTAGTGCATACGCGTTTAGGGTCTCGGTGTGACATGTGGCGCACACACGGGACTTCGAACCTCGATGTTTGTTATTTATCACGCCTATGCCAGCAGTGCGCACAATGTTCGTGCTGATGGCGAGTCTACAAAGGATGGATTATGACGCCGACGGCATTGTACAAGCCCCTGAGTTATACCCCTGAATCGGACCCAGTCTCCGTCTCGCGACTTTACACGACCTGATTCAGAGGCTTCTTCTCTGAGTCTGCCTCTTCACTAGTACATCACCCGAGCCGATGAGTAGAACGGATTTTGACATGACAGGTCCCAAGAACACGATGCTCGTGCCATGATGTCAATGGCTCGGGCCTTAGGAGACTGTGGGTATTGCCATCGCACTTCGTCCTTTTTCTCGACTCATCATCACTTAGATAACTCTGAGTGTCCTGGTGAGTGGCTGGACATCATGTCCGCTGGTGACGCCTTTGCCGCAACCCATCAGTGGTGTCAGTACCACGCACCTGGTCAAGCATATTCTCCCGAAAGAAACGAGCACGTAGTATGTTCAACATCCACGACGAGGCAGCCGATCCCTTTGTGCGTGTCCCTTCTCTTGCTGTATCTCGCTGCGCAGCGCTTTACCCGCTAGTGCCCGACTCTAGGATTTCACCGTCGCACCCACATCCGTGACATTCACACCAGCCTCCCACCTCACCTCACCCTTCGACCTGTCCTGCACGACGAGTTTCAAAGACTCCTCATCGCTGCCCGACTCGGCCGCAGAGGACCCTCCTCCGTAATGCCCGCCCGAATCCATACAAGGAATGCGTCGAGGTCCTGCAGTCCTTCATGTAGAAGCTAATATACGCGTTGAGAACCCAGATGCGCGTAAAGCAGAAAGTCCATGTATTCACCTAATATACGCGTTGAGAACTACGAGGGACAGTAAGTACGCGGCTGTGAATACATGAGTGAAATAAATGTACCCCAGACGCGCGTAAAGCAGAAAGTCTGGGGATCAGAAACGAAACGCTACTGGTATAAGTAACCGGATGAGGCCAACAGAGACCGTACAGCTGGTAACTACGGATAATGACAGCTGTAGCCTAAACGTCAATACGAAAGAGGCAGAATGAAAGAAACAACAACGCGCCAGCAAAGAGCTAGCGAATATATGCACAGAAAAGGTATAGTGAGGTACAAACAGCCTAACGAACGCTGACGAACACGTCGACCGACGCGCGAGATCTCCGGCATCCGGCTTGTAACTCCAACACTCCATCCCCAAGGAGGTCTATTTCAGCGGTGCGAGCCTTATCACGCAGCGCAACGGGCTCGTGCACATGCTCCTCGAGGCGTACAACCAGCACTGCGCGCTCGTGCTCCGCCCGGACGACGTGTGGCTTGCCATTCTCACGCAGTTCTCGTTCTTTGTGAACGCGCACGCTGAGGAGCTGCACTCCGCCTTCGTTTCTCATGAGGGGAATAAGGAGCTGAACGTTAGCGCTGTCGGGTCGTGGTACAGTGTCGACTTTGGGAGCATGGCGCGGCAGATGGCAGGCGAGCTCGAGAAGAACATGAGCGATCCGAAGCTGCGCGAGTGGGCGACGCTGACGTTCAGCACGGGACGCGCGACAACTGGGTCGCGATTCTGGAGAGGATCGGGAAGCTGGAGGAGTACGGCACGGAGTACGGCACGGAGACAACGGCGTGGTTCTACCTTCTCAAGCCTATCGTCGAGCGCTTTGTGCATGCTTTCGACGAACCCAGTGGGTCGGAGAATATCGATTTCTAGGGCAAGGTCGCGGATGGGCACAGCGGTGGTAGCGGGCCTACCTATCTCATGGGCTGAGTCACCGCGTTCTGCGTATTCACCACCGAGGGGAAGTGGCAGGGTCCGCGTCTGCAGAACCTGCCCTCGTCGTCCTCTGACAAGAGCTACACGGACCTCAGCGGCGAAGTGTTCGCTGCGAAACACTTCGTCTCGCACCCGGAGGGCGACCCCTTCATCGGCGACCTGTACCTCACGCTCAACGATGTATCGTACCCGCACGTCAACACCGACCAGATTCCGCCAGGCACGGTCGAGGTGGACGTGAAGCTGGACGACAACGGGCAGGTGTTCTCGACACTGCTCGTTGCAGGCGGCGTGGGCAGCGTGGTGTCGTCGAGTGGGGACAAGGCGCTGTCGGGGTCAGGAGAAAGGGATACGGTGAGGCCTGTGCCTGAGTGGTGGATGTTTGTGAAGAATAAGAAGAGCAATGAGGAGCCCGCGAGGCTATCGAGCATGGAGTAAGGGATTGTTCCACCGGTTGTATTCTAGTTCGGATATTGTAGTCGTAGCCTATATGCTTTCACTGTAGCCAACAATGGCATGCGTGTCTTTTAACTGAATGCGCGTTTTATCAACAATCGACATGGCTATTCGTACACAGTATCATTTTCCCTGATCCAAATTTCGTCTTCACACTTTTCCCCTGTGCAAATTCGACTCTAAACCCTACTAGTGCTCGCCTCACCCTCGTGAGCAGGTGCTTTGTCGCACGCCTTCTTCAATTCCTCCTAGCCAGAAATCAGGAGCTACATAAGCAGACAAAAGAAGACACATACCGCGGCGGAAAGGGCAATCCGAAGGATAGTTTGAGCCTGTTCCTCCTCATATGCATCCTCGACAAACTGCTGGTGAACCATGTCTTGAATGTATTTCTTCACTTGAGGCGACCTCTTGAAGCGTTCGAAAGACCACTCCCACGGGTCCTCTTCTACTTTCCACATGGGGAAAGAATCTGCACCTAGCATGATAGCCGCTTAAAATGGTCAAAATGAGTTGTAACCAGTGTCAAAGAGGTGAAATTGGATACCAGCTGCAATCTCTTGTCTCACTATTTCCCCTCCCTAACAGTAAAGGTTCAGCTGGTGAAACCCGACAACATCAAACGCTTACTTACCCTGGACTCCTTATACTAGTGTCATGGGTTGATTGACATGCCCACCAGCACAAGTGACATCAGGTGTCAAGACACTATGTTTATTAAACAAATGCATACCAGCTATATCACCCAAGTTAGCAAAAAATATTATAAAAAAGGAAAGCAATCTCACATCAATAAGCTGCACAATTAAACTCATGATCAGAAGCTGCACTGTGTACAAGAATAAGCCCACCTAAAGTGAAATGTATTAAATAGAAATAACGATAAATATAGGTTAATTTATGCTCACCTCCTAATTTTATCAGTTTGTGATCACTATAGTTAGGAAATGACCTAGGAATGGAGGACAGTACCTGCTGGTAAAGTATGAACATCAGCCACATGCAGGATATAACACCAGGACTCACCCACTGGCAGATGAGAGTGGCCATATGAGAATCAACCACATGCAAGAGATAACACCAACACTCACTGCCTGGCAGATGAGAGTGGCCAGATGAGCATCAGCCACATGCAGGACATGACACCAGGACTCACCCGCTGGCAGATAGGGGTGGCCAGATGAGCATCAGCCACATGCAAGATATAACACCAACACTCACTGCCTGGCAGATGAGATTGGGCAATGAGTATCAGCCACATGCAGGATATGACACCAGGACTCACCCACTGGCATATGAGGGTGGCCAGATGAGCATCAGCCACATGCAATACATGACATCAGGACTCACCCGCTGCCAGATAAGAGTGGCCAGATGAGCATCAGCCACATGCAGGACATGACACCAAGACTCACTGCCTGGCAGATAAGAGTGGCCAGATGAGCTTCAGCCACATGCAGGACATGACAATAGGACTCACTGCCTGGCAGATGAGGGTGGCCAGATGAGCATCAGCCACATGCAAGAGATAACACCAACACTCACCATCTAGCAGATAAGAGTGGCAAGATGAGCATCAGCCACATGCAGGACATGACACCAGGACTCACCTGCTGGCAGATAGGAGTTGCGAGATGAGCATCAGTGACATACAAGATATAACACCAACACTTACTGCCTGGCAGATGAAAGTGGTGAGATGAGCATCAGCCACATACAAGATATAACACCAACACTCACCCCCTGGCATATAGGAGTAGCAAGATGACCATCAGCCACATGCAGGACATGACACCAGGACTCACCCGCTACCAGATAGGAGTCATGAGATGAACATCAGCCACATGCAAGACATGACACCAGGACTCACCATCTGGCAGATAAGAGTGGCCAGATGAGCATCAGTCACATGCAGGACATGACACCAGGACTCACCATCTGGCAGATAAGAGTGGCAAAATGAGCATCAGCCACATGCAGGACATTGACACCAGGACTCACCCGCTGGCAGATAGGAGTCATGAGATGAGCATCAGCCACATGCAGGACATGACACCAGGACTCACCGCCTGGCAGATAAAAATGGTGAGATGAGCATCAGCCACATACAAGATATAACACCAACACTCACTGCCTGGCAGATAATGGATAGATGAGCATCAGCCACATGCAGGATATGACACCAGGACTCACCCCCTAGCAGATGAGAGTGACCAGATGAGCATCAATTATATGCAGAGTATATCACTAGAACTCACTCCCTTATCATTTAAAGCACCAAAGCCTGTCAGTTCAAAGTCTGTGATGATGTGTAATAGCAGCTTATACCTTTTTCACTTCTTTTGCATCCTTCACCCACTATTGGAAATAAAGTCATTTTGTGCAGTTGATTTATATAATGACTTACTTCTTCTGGCTAATATTTGTGGTATACCTTAGCATAAACCAGATATTTAGTACCACTGATACTTACCATAACCTGGCACAGAAAAAAACGAGAGGTTACTTAAGCAGGTTTTGATCAAGGTAGATCCCATACCTGGTCATTGTCCTGCACAAAAATACTGATTAATTTTGCATTTGATCCAAGTATCACAGTAAACACACCCAGTTGTGTGGATAAATGAGCCAAATGTTCGCTATTACTGTGGATATACTATTTGATTGTGTTGACACTCTAAATCACTATTAACAGACAAAAACCAGATATGACTCAAGACATGCACTTGCCTTGCTGCTTCTTGCATGCACAGATGTATGTTATTCTGCTGCACATAGACAAACAGCTGGCGTAGAGACAGATCGTCTATTGCCACAGCTGTCTGCTCAGACAGTTCTGGACACTGTGTCTCAGCTTTGTCCATTCCTACCATATCTTAGTGGGTGTGATGATCACCATAGGATAGTTACTCACTCTGGAGCCTCACAGTGGCTTTGGGTGGATTGACAGTCTTCATGATGCGGCTACAATAATGCTCTTGATATCTGGCCTCTGCTGCCTTGTCGACATCGGCCTGGCTCTGCTCTGTCATCTCAATAATATCGAGGTCATTGGCTACCCGATCCAGCAGTGCATCATATTTGGTGAACACCACTACCACCGGTACTACACAATAAAATATGAGTTTAGCCTGTTCCAAACCTGATAATGACGCTCATACCATCTGCAGTATCCTTGTTGAAAAACGCGAGCTCAGCCTCAACCAACGGACGCATGTTGTCCATTGAGACGCAAAACCTGTCAATATCCCATTATCAGCATGTTCAGAAGAATGTGGTCGATCAAATATATCACCAGATGGCATGCAAGCGCTCTGCTAGCGAAGGCCTGGACGCTCGCTCACGTATAAAATTGTGTATGGTCTGGAACTCATTGACAGAGCCAGCCTCAATCCCCCTCGAATCATGAAAGATAAAGCGACTGCCTGAGTATGTGATCTGATTCGTGATATCATGGCGTCCGCGCTGTCGCCAACAGTAAGACAGCGAGACTCGGAACAAAGTGTCGTTACCTGGTCTGAAGGCCGAAGGATGTCTGTGTTGCTCATTCGAGTCTCAGACTTGCTGCGTTTCTGTAGGTTCAAGTTAAGAGCCATCATCAGAGTAGTAGACCATGACGAATCCTTACCGTGTGCATCCACGACGGAGGGCGAAGACCTTTCTTAACCCTTGACCACGTCAATCCGCGCTTCGGCTCCGTTATCTGTAGGAGAAACAAATGAAGCATGTAACTAGCTAGCTGAGCGAGTTCACTCGCCTCGACGCTTTTTACTTCCATGTCTGGTGTAGACGGGGCGTTCCAGTGTTCGAGCTATGGGGACTAAGCTTGCAATGACGGTAGCGGCAGTGGTCAGCATGTCCACATACCTTATTCCCATCTGCGTCGTACACTACAGGCTCGGTGTCCTTGTCGACGTTGCATACCTTTTGGAGGATCGTTGTCTTCCCTGCGTTCGCTCGTCCGATAATAAGGACTCGGAAAACGGGGCAGGTCGCCCGAATTTTCGACATTTCGTCGAGCGAAGCTGAGTCTGAATTACTATCATAATCGAGGATCTGACCCAGGGGTGGAGATGAGTCGGACATTATGGGACGTGGGCTGAGGATTCTTTTCTGGCGAGAGAGAAGTGGGCCGGAGTCGACGAATATGTAGGCGACAACAAGAAGAGAGAGTCAAGGGCGTCGAGGCAAGGAGCAGAACCCACGGTCGAGCGTCTATCTGCATAGCAATTCTCACAACGCTTTCACTACTTTGGGCGCGATCTTACGATCTCGCTTTGCAATGAAGTCGATATGGCTTATTTTATCCTGAGGCACAAGCTGCAAATCGGTGGGGCGCAAGAACTAGCTGCATCGGTCAGTGCAAACGGCGCCCATATTATGCTAACACTCTTGCGAACACAATTTTGGCCGGATCTTGGCCTCGACTTACTTAGTCGCTGATGGCTCTCTCGTGATACGGGGAGCAGCTGTGTGGTTAGCATTGAAAGATATGTTGTTATATTGTCTTGCGCTCGTTTAGTGTGTTCATGACGAAGTTAGCAAAATGATAACTGGTGCTCGGCGAGCACGCGTGGATGTATAGCAGCGTTCGATATTGAATGTGATAGGCCACTCACCCGCTCAGATGCGCTCGCCAATGACGTCCGACTGCAGCAAATTAACATACCCACTGCACCGGACCTGATCGGCGGGAACATGCCGGCACGAGTTGCGTACATCACCATGGTCGGGCGCGCGGCGAGTCGTATGAGGGACGAAGGGATTAGGCGCTGAGTGCATACTTGCGATTACGTTCGGGTGCGCGAGTTTACCTCGGTGTTGTGCCAAATCTGGGCAGTAGATAATGATCCACATACAGGCTGCAAGCGGACATCCTGGCGGGAGGCGAGAACGATCCCCCCGGTGTATATGCGCTTGGAGGACAAGTTGGTGAAAGTTTGCATTTGCGCTCGCACTCGGTGCTTCCGTATTCGTGTTGCCCAATACTGAGTTCTGGCAGGTATCATCTCCAGTCGCAGTGTCACCATCCATACCACCACCACCAGTACCCGTCCGTAGCGGCATAATATCAGCACGCACCGGCAATGCTATCGCCACCATGTGGATCCGCAGGTCTACTGATGTTATGGCTGCACTCACAGGCGTGAACATCCTGGGTGGCTACTAGTATCTCAGGGTCTTCAGATATGGTGATGACGGATATTAGTGTGCTCTCAATGTTCTTACTAGCTTAGGTACATCAATGTAATCTGGATCGCTTGCGGAGACGTTTATCATTTAGTCCCTCTGGATGCTCATGACATTGATGTGTAGTGTATTTTTGACCTTAGTAGTGAACGAAGGCGCTTCTAGCCAAGTTCTTGGTGTCTGCTCATTTGATGATGAGTTCTCTCGTGATACGGGAGCAGGGAGCATGTAGTGAGCAGCAAACATATTGGGCGGCAACAGATGCCACTCTTTCATCCATGACCGTGGCAAACGAGAGATGGACTTGCGGTATACATGCGTCGATTCAGCGCTCAACCGGTCCAGCACCCTCTGACCTGCTTGCCTGTGCTTCACTTCCAATTGGCGCTCTCGAAGACAGTCATGGCCAAAGTATTGTTCGAAACGTGTGTGGCTCACAAAGTAGACTGGAACAATGCAGATGGGATAGGAAGGAAGCCCAGACATGCTCAAGTTCTCTTTCGAGGGATCGGAGATGATCGATACTTCGATATTCAAGAAAAGCTACGTGTGGTTCATATTGGTAAGGACGGCACTGTAACGACTTGGTTGTAAACTAAAAGAAGAGCATGACTGCATAACAATTAAGTCAGCTTGACGTCCTACATAATGTGAAATCGAGGGGTACGATAACAGCGGTACGCCTTACAGGCCTACGCCGATCGTTTTGGGGTACCGATGAATGCCGTCCTCCCACCCTGTCACGGAGCCATAGGAAGGTTATAGCTGCAGAGTCCCTATGCTAGTTTTGGCACTCCACGAGGTTGCACTTTTTTTTTGGACGCGAACGTTTCTTGAGCGTCAAATGAGACAGCATGTGAGGAGCATTGTATCAGCAAGCAAGCAACGGTCTCGCAAGTCGGGCTTACCGTCGTGGAGCCTTTGAAGCATGAAACATTATTCGATCAAGTAATATATCCATGCGGCATGCGCTACGAGATGCACTGTGGGACGTCGATACTAAGACCTGGAAATAATGGAAAACTATAGTAGTACTCGCTATCGTATGCGAGCTTCCGTGTAGAACACGACTAATTTAATCCCCGGGTGGCATCAGAGTGGAGCATCATCGTCCTTTGTTATCTCATTCTACATAATGATGAGAACGTGAATTGCTGTGGTGGGTGTCAGATCGAGCTGCGCGCAGTTCATTGATGTCTCGTGGATCAAGAGGACCTGCGTAATCCACGATAGGCGTCCAAACAATCAGAAATAGAAATGCATATGCACCAATTGAAGGAACACGCTCAGATTGGGAGCTGTGGGCGTCCAAAGATGTTAGAACGTGCCGGCGCACGGTGACTGATTCACGGCTAGTCTAACCTTGGTCGCACGCAGACTCGGACACATCTCGCTCGAGAATCGAGATCTTTCACCTGCCACCCCGTCCAGACAAATTCGCATCACCGTGATTGGTCAAAGAAGTCCTCCGGCTCTACAGGTGGTGCTCGCCTTGAGGTTGAGACTCACATAGTCTACGAGGCTTTTTATGCGCTCTTGCAAGGCGTCGACGTAACTCCGAGTCTCACATTGTGGTCTTTGCTTCCCTCACATGTTGCTTTACTGATGACCAAACCAGGTAGACATGTATGACGAGGCTCGACATGATCGAGCAAAGGCTGAATAGAAACAGGTTTCTGTCTTCTGCTTGCGCAGGTCAAGGTCTGATGGGCTGAGCTTGAAGCGGGACTGAGGAGGGCTGAGATCATAACTCTGAGCTCGGTCATGATACATGCACAAATAGGACCTACCTTCCGTGCATTTCATACATTGGCCGTGGCGTATTAAATCATATGCGAACTGTTAGTGGAAGCTACACTACTTACTCTTGGTGACGCAAGGTGCTCGCCGCTCAGGGGGAAAGCTAACCTCAAGAATAGCGCTGAATTATTCCACCAGTCCAAGTCGAACAGGAAGCTCATGGTGACGGCATATTGAGAAAATCGCAATGATACATAGCTGTACATGAGGACAGAGATGAAAGTCCAATCATCGAGACATTTGATGTCGGTCAAAGTCTTAGTCAAAGTCTCAAACAACTATGAACGGCTCAGTGAGTGAGCACGGTATGCAAGGTGGAATAGACGAACCTCCCGCACCGACGTTACCTGAGTTCATCGCGATCGCCCGCGCCGTGTGCGACACTCCAAACCCCAACAAGCTCATCTCTAAGATCTTCGACATGCGCTATGATCATTGCCCTCCCTGTCTTTCCTGAGAGCGACGACACGTCCCACCATGACCCACCCGTCTTGGTTTTGAATACCTCACCGCACCAGCGCCAGCCGAAGTAACGTTGGATCACCTCTTCTCTGGTGTTCATTGAAGTAGCCCCGAGCCAGAGTCGTGGCATCAACCGTCCGTGTCCGCCTGGATAGTGCAGGACCATACCACCAGGCCGACTGCTCGGAGAGAAAGCAGGCTTCCGTTGCCTTTCGTACTTACAACCTTCACTAGAGCATCTGGGGGAATGATACCCGTCGGCGAGAAACGGTGACGACGAGAGTGAGAGAAAATGTCAACGTACTCTCGAGAACAGTGGGAGTGTCCTCGACCTTGGGGATGATCGATGGAGTAAGGAACGACTATCTTCCGCAATTTATAAAGGTCTGCCTACTACGGGAGACTATCGACGGAGGTCGGACGCGTCGACCCAACTGAGCTCGGCCCGGCCCGGAGACTCAATTAATGTTTGATGCACAAGACATGCCGTGCTCCGCTACGGCACAGTTGAATGCTGATGGCCTGAACAATTAGAACATGTCTAATTAGCCTTCTCACACGTGTGGCTAGTCACACTGGAAAAAAAAAGGGTAGAACTGCCACTGCTGCCCGAGCCTAAGCGCAAATGGTACATTGGACGCGTAGACATGTGGACTAAAATACATGGCGAGAGTGATTAGGTACGGACATATGAAATAAACCATAACTTGTAATGGTACGATGCCGGCAGCCGTGAGGGTGGGTACTCGAATCTGGCCGAGCGCGGGGATGAGTGAATCACCCCGAGGGGCGAATACCCAATCGATCGTCTGCGGCGGATCGTGCCACACCGTTAGGCGAGTGTCATCCGGTCTCCTATCTCGTCTGGGCCAATCCAAGCGCGACGATTTCCCGTATAGTTAACCTTCTTACCGTTATTAGTTTGGCTCTATTTGGCTTTCGCGTTGGACTGGAGGCCCGAGGGCCACTGATCCACCCGCTTTGAATGCTCCTATGGGTAATACTGAGGCCCCTCACGATGAATTGATGTGTAATCAAACAGTAAACCACTTAGAAAGCTTTCTTGGCATCTTATTCACTTTACAGTCTCCTGTGCTATACCGCTGCTGCGCATGCCTGCTTTTCGTCAGCAGACCCCGACTTCAAGTCATCTAGGCCCTCCTTTGGTTTACTGTTAAATGACACTACCCCTTGATTGATGTTTGCCAGCCATCCTAATCCGGCTCTTCATTTAATCTGTCGAAAGCTCCTTTCCTAATCCTAAGACAAGAACCCTCTGTACGTGTACATGAAGCCCCTGGGTTTTCCTGTATATAAGGAGGCCTGTCCCCGCACAAAATCGCTATCCGCTGGTCTCCTCCTGCATCTACCCCTACTCCTCGTGATAACGTCTGTGCCCCGTTCTCCCCGTCGGCGTGTGTATAATGTAGTTCGTAGGCAATGTCGAGTGCTGAATTCGTATCGAATATTGTTCCAGCCGCCATGCCTCCCCCAACCATTATGCTTCGTGTCCAACCTGTCAATTTCGCCGCCACTCACTGCTATTTACGATTCTTTCAGTACATATTCCCTATGATATACCGTATGAAATGCGTCTCTGCGCACTATTTTACTGTGTTGGTATGTCCAATAATTTTGCATACACATTTACGCAAATCAATAAGCTGGATGCGATCAGAGGTGAGTTTTTATCAACGCCTGAGCCATAATGGTGAACTAGTCTGCCTTGGTTCTGACGTGTTGTCAGCTCGTATGCCTTTGACTCCGAGAAGCCATCAAACACACTTGATTTGCGCTGAAAGGGTTCGAAAAAAGAGCAATCTCAATTTCTAATAAGCTTGAAACACCGCCTGTAGTATATACCCTAAAAGCAGACGTCCAACAAAGATAATGTTGATTAATCGTTTGAAAATCTGGCATGTAATCTTATAGTTGTGTCCAGCTTGGCCACTGACAGATCCCCCCATTCGCAATTAAGGGTACCTTTTTGAACGCGTATAAGTTTTGGCTTGCATTCTGGATTTCACACGCACTTGCCCGTTGTCATCTTCAACACAAGCTTATTTACGAACAAACTTTGCTACAGATTGTTAGTCACTCCTTGACCTGAAAACGTTGTGCTTCCCGTGTCCTTGCGTAACTAGGTATTGTTGTATTAAAATAACGTGTTCCCTACCCTTGCCGTCTAAATGCCGGAGAGCAGCGGAGGCGTGTCTTGTACACGGATATTTGTATGCAGGCAGAGCGTGGGGAGGACGCCAGTCGCTCCTTCCCCGCACTCTGCCAGGTAAGCCCACGTTCAGATTCCTTATTCCTTATGGCAGCCCAGAGGACTGCGAGGCACACGGCAGGCGCGTTCTTAGCGAGAACGCGGGCGCAGGAGGTTGCTCGCAGGGCTGGCGTTGTGCAAGCTGGTCTCTCGCTGGCGGATCGCAGGTGGCACGCGCTCGGGCAGGTGTGACTCATTAGACTAGGTAAATTCAGTTTAAACTCGAGAAAAGTGGAAAACGCGAGCAGCGTACGTACGGGATTGCGCTAACAGGATCCAAGGTGCGGAATTAGGGAGGAGAGAGAAGGGGGGAAAGAAAGGACGCTGATAACAACCATGGCCAGCGCGAGCCTATTATCATGACAGGGGATTAGACCATAAATGGATAGATAGATGCCGAGATAAGGAGGCCAAATATGAACATCACCAAGCCAAGATAAATATTGAAGATACGGGTAACGAGGTGACTGCACGCAATTTGGTACGTACAATGTTTGGCGCGCTATGCCACATCAAGTATTGTCACTTGGGGTGTCCTGAACTAGTGGTTCTCATCCGTCGCTGTCTTTTTTTTTTTTTGCAATGTCCTTATCACTGCTGTTTTCACCACATTTGTGACGACCCAATATCTTTCTCGTTCCCATCCATTGGGTCAGTACTACCATTACCCACACTTGCACCCTTTAGCTTGCTATGAACTACCACTCTGATGTCATTGCCGCACCTCATGGTTCCCAATTGATGATAACGAACTTGAAGTGCACCCTGATATCCTTATTGAGTTCTTTGCCGATGTATAGAGTGTGACATACAGGTCTAAGGGTAGATGAATCTAAGGAATTACTGTAACTGAGATGTGACGGATCACTTCATACCACACCAATTGTCTTTATGTCTGCTTATTGGTGCAAGGTTCGAGGAGAATCAGGGCTTGAAAGAATCCATGTGTGCGATTGGACAGGATATCTTCACGCTCCCCTTCCTCCGTCCCTACGCCCTTTTTGCACATGCTTAATAGTAGATTAAGTGGACGACTAGCTTCAGATTGAGGAGCGAACGTTCTTTGCCCGTGTTTCTCTCGGTGCGAGCCGTGCCCTTAGGTTTCAGGATAAGTGCATAAGAGAGAGGAGGAGCGGGACATGACAGAAAATGAGAGGTCTAAATGCAAGATTATTCAACGTGATGGCCAGGATCTTAAGGACCACCCAAGAGGGAACGTTTACCGAGCACACTGTACTAAGCTGGAGGACTATGCAGCATGATTGGGACGAGGGAAGTGAGCACGTGCTTCACCTAGCGTCGTGAGCACCGTGACGCATGATACCAGTAAGATTAGAGGCGAAAGGAAGAGTAGATGTCAGACTGGGACGCCAGTACTATCTAGTCTGGAGAATCCAACCTGCTTCTGATGCGGCACATGCCTCCCTGAACATCAAAGTGACTTACCATTGAATGGGTTAGCCAGAAAGATTAAGTTTACCCAGAAGCGTGCTATCACCAGTGCGGCAGTGGCATGACTCAAACTCTCCCTTGAATCAGCGCCAATGAAACGTGTTGATGCAGCGGTTTGATTGATCAATGTGGTATCAACATACTCAATTAGCTGCGGAAACCGGTGGGTACAAGAACCGACGGTCCTCCTATTGTCCAACACGTACGTTAGCCACTGCCCCGTCTGTGCTACTGCGCATTCTGTTTCAGTCCTTGGACTTTCCGTTTATACGTGCTCGCATGTACCCCCTAAATAGGTTCCCCTGCAATAGCAGTGACACGCTCAAAAAAGAACAAGAACCGACGGAGTGGTTTATCTTTCTTGAGAGGCACCAAATGGTTCATTCAAAAAACAGCAGGGACACACGCAAATACACATAATGAAAACTTCGTTTGATGTGTCTGACTTTTCTAAAAGGGGATTTTAATGTTTCCTTAGAGCCCACCATTTCGACGCGTTGGAATGCCATAGAAATGCCGCCATATTGTAACCAAGCCAAAAAAAACCGAATTTAACAGCAAGTTGTTACCACATGGGTCTGTAAGAATTCCCGGGGCACCATTTCAAAACCCAATGTAACGCCATTTTATTGCCGTTGACAGCGTGTTATAATGAAAAATCAATTATCGCGCGTTGTAATGGTGGTCTCGGGTATCAAAATGTGCTAGAATTCAAAACATTTTCCCCTGAGATTTTTCCGACAATTGGTGCTCGAGAAGCTGGAGCGGGAGGTAAGAATAGATGGATTCAAAAAAAGTTGATGCAAAGCTACTGCAAGAAGCCCTAGTGGTACCCACCGGCCGGGAGGCACCGACACCGGCACGCAAACGGGACATCAAGAAGTACTAGTTGGTAAAGGGTTGCGCTGGATATTTTAGCCGCGTGAATAAACTTCAATCGTAGACTGATTGATCGAGGTAGAGGGAAATCAATTAACGCATGAGCAAATCGATAAGATAATGTACCAGCCTATCTGGGTTTGCAATAGCTACTCTAGAGTCATTTCGCTCCTTTAGTACTTTGCAGCCTGGCCGATGCATAAAGAGCTTCGAGTTCCTAGTCCCTAACACTCTCAAGTCTACGAATCCTCTAAAATGGTCCAGTACGTTAAAACAGTCAAGATCCATTACGGTTTTCAATGGGCACCTGGTACCGTAGACATCAATGGCAAAATGGGGGGTACGTTCATCACGAGTACTTTGCTGTTTGAATGTTTGGTCCATGTTCTCACCTGCTTAATAGGCGAATACGTCTACATCATTCCCGAATTCACCTCTAACAGAGCTGAGGCCGCCTCGTTGTTCTCGTTTACGAAGACTCATACCAAGGACTTCTGTGCTGGAGATATATCGAAAGGCGATGGGAAGGAGTGGTTCCGGTATATCGTGGCTTACTACACGTTTGGCGCCCACGCTGCGATCACAAGTGTCTGGATCAGTAAAAACAGGGACACGACCGAAGGTGATGGGCGCACAGAGGATTTTAATAAAGGACGCGGCGGCGACTTTCTTTATCTTTGTTGGGAATACGAAAAGAACAGTGAGTAGATCCTGAAGAAATGGCGACCTAACTCGTATTCTCAATGTTTGTTCGTGACAGCTTCGCATAGCCTCTCGATTCCGCTTTTCACGATGTTCCCGGGTTGGGTAGTATTGCATCACCTCTTGAAAAACAAGGCAGTCACCGCAGGTAAGCACTCATCTCCGAATGTAAGCAGTTTCTGAGTCTATCTTAGACCACCCATACTATACGGTGGATGAAAGCAGGGATAACCTGCCTGAAAATCAGCTCTTCAATGTTCGGCTGGGAAACCTTGTCTTTTCTCAAGACAGCGTCGCGCCCATATTCAGCAACAACACTAGCGAGGAAGTAGTGAAGATGATCAATGAACTCCTAGATATACCAAATCTAGAGGATCGCAGGCGAGTTATAGAGGCTCGCTTCAAAGAGCTAAACGTCGTGCCTATTCGCCGCCACAGCGGGGACCAGTTCACCGATCAGCTTGTCCTTTCGCTAGACAACAGAAGATTGGTGGTCATGCGCTCCGTTCTTCCTGAAGATTCAATGATCGCCGTCCGCGTGGCACCGCGTGGCGAGAGGGAGAAGATTAAATGGAGGTGGACATCTAATGACGAAGGGTTTTGGATCAAAGTACGAAGTGCACATCGGCGTGAGTGTCCTTCTCCTTCCCGCTGATACCTCGGAACCCGCTTAGCTCATGGCGATGATGTCTATCCCCAGCGCCGCCTAAGCATGACGAGCTGTGATGGCATGATCGATTGTGGAGATTCGATGTTCTGTCATAGCTACTCGCGTTTGTACAGCAAATCTTGTGATTTTTCTTTACCTTCGTTTCTATCTGCCTTTCACGACGTAAAATGTATATTAAGCACAAGTATGGAGCAAGTAGTATTGCTCTAGCCTAACCAGTGCCCCCAACGGGCCCGTCGTTACTTTCATTCATCCGGTATCGCAAATATGTATGCCAAATTGACTATGTTTCATCAGCAAAAAGCACCTCCTTCCGAACCATCTTGCAAGTTAGCTGTCATCATGCACCATCAGCGGCACGAACACGATATATCATCCAGCGATTCGCTTCGATTCCCACACCGCCGAAAGCAAGTGCATGGGAAATTTACCAGGTGGATCAAGGCTTTGCTTTGGCTTTGCTGCTTCAATACGAGCTGCTCAGCTGTTAACGCTGTTAACGCGTGACGTGTAACGGACTTCTCCCTCTTCTTAAGCTTATACTTAAGGTCTTCGATATTCGAACAGAAAATGCCCACTGCAAACGCGTAAATACCTGATTTTAATGTACTCGGTATTTGAGTTGCTAGAATCACGTACCTTTGAACTGATTTTGAAGTCATGTACCCGAACCTGGTATGTCGAGCTATGTACTTGGACCTGAAATGCGAAACCATGTTTACGGTGACGTCAGGTGGCGTCGGCGTTTGGAGAGGGCTCCACACCTAGTGACATCAGCAATTTATTTGGTGTCTGGGAGGTCCATAGCCAGACCTACCAGACGCTCAGATGGTCACCTGGTCGAAAGTCAGGCTATCTGTCACTGAGAGTCGACTGGACACAGATGCGGAGGATATATTGACAGATGGGCCGCTGTAATGCACAGGTTTGCCCCAGGTCTATACCAGAAGCGGACAGGGTCTCTTACAGCTTCGAAATCATGCAGCCAAATCCGGAATTTCACATAAAACATATCATATTTGGTATATCATAGCTCTAGATATCATAGAATAGCCAATAATGTATCATAATTATCGAAACAGAAAGAGAAAAACCTATTCATCGTCAGAGATGGCTATCTCTCCCATGGTTGGGAGAGTTGCCTCTCCATTAGTCGCCGGCGCCGGGGGATTATTAGTAGGGAGATATGGGGCCGTCGCGTCAAACACCTTTACCCAACCCGTTGCCGAAATGATTTTTGTACCCTTCTTGACGAACTCGCTCGTCCGCGGTGCCCACATCCCATCAAAGGAGACCCCGGGTATCTTGAGCCTACTACCATCGGACCCGCGCTTCTCCTTGGCATTATCTCCGTCCTTGAAGACGAAGAGCGCCCGCTCGACCTGTAAATACCAAATTATAATTAAGCCCAAAAAAGATTAAAGGAAGCGCTTACCGCAGCGGCACTCAACGCGAGTGCGCCAACAGGGAACGGTGGCAGCCGATCTTCTGCAGCCTGTGCGTGAGGCTTGTCACCGTGACCACTGGCCGCCGCCGCGCCCCAGGCCGTCGGCACTGCCGCGCGCCTGATGTGAAGGGCGAATGTCTGCAATACCAGTGGGGACCTCCATGCCCCCGTGCGATCCTATCAAAGCAGCGAATAGAGAAATAATAGTAGTGAGTATGGACGTCGACTTCATAAACAACGCGACAACATACGTGGGGTGCCGCATACAGAAAGGGAGGGCGTGGATCCCCTGGCGATGCCGACATGAGGCTGACCCACTTCGCGCGCTTGTCCTGCAAGTCCTTGTGCGTCAACGAACTTTGAAAGAAGTTGTGAAGGAGTTTGATGGCCCGCTTTCCGAACTCGCTCCTCCACGTGTTGAGGGAATCGGTTACCTAGGTATACAATAAGGTCAGTGGATCATCATAAACAAAAAGTCTGGGTCGTTACTTACCAGTTTCAGGATGACCTGGTTGCCATCTGTGTTGAATATGCGTACGTCGGGGCGCGGATGGTCAGCAAAAGCTGCTGCCCAAGCAGCTTGGATGGTATGCGAAAGGTCGGGGTGGGTGTTGGTACCCCACGGGTCATCAACCGTGCCGGCCCAGTTGCACGTGCGGCGGATAACTACCTCCCAGCGCCTCTTGAAGCCCTCCTCGTTCACGAAAGGAAGGTCAGCATACATGGAACGGCCACCACCTGGGGGGTCGCCGCCTGGTGTACCAGCACTGGTGCCGGTGATCACCTTCTCGATGGCGGTGTCTGCATTTACAGCAGTGATGACCAGTCCCATCTAGCGACATGTAGACCGTCAACAAGTGAGTGGCCATATACCATGATGACAATGGGATAGGAACGAAACTCACCTGAGCAGTTGAGCGGGAATTAGGCTTGAGTGACTCTCCCGCGTTGGCGGAGCGATCAGCTGTAGCACCTTGCGAAACCTTTGACGCCTTTGAAGCTCTGGCCCTGGCCAGAGCGGCCTCGCTTTCATCTTCATCGAATTTGCCACCAATGTCTGGAGCGTCATCAGTGCGGGCCGTTGGGTCGTAGAAGGATGAGCGAGATGATGCACGTGACAGTTCGAGGGGATCGGGAATGGGTATGAAGGTGTCCGCATCTTCCAAATTGTTGTGAACGTCAGCATCATGTGAGTGAGCCTTAGACTTGACCTTGTTGCCCTTCGCTTGCTTCTGCCAGTCTGCGGCCAGGCCACTTGCGACGCTTCTTTTGACACGCTTTCCCTTGCTGCCTTTCCTGGAAGCAATCCTGAACCACGGTACACAATTTCCTCCTCGAGACGCTGACACGCGGCGACACTTACTTTGAATTCTTTACAGGCTCATCTTCTTCGTTATCTCCATTGTCCTCAGATGAAGACTCTACCGACATCCTCTTACGCTTGGTAGCAGCTGCAAGGGCCATCTTCAAGGCCTTCACCTCGTCACGGATAGATCGCGTCTAACATGCAAGGTAAGCACAACAGTAAGCAGCCGTCGTAAAATGTGCTCACCTTCTTGCTTGTTTTCTGCTTGCCTTTGGCCTTAGTAGACCTTTTACTGGGCTTGACAGGAGACGACTCCTCATCGTTGTCATCATTGTCGCCCCCATCATTGTCTGATTCCTCTGTATACTTGTCCGAGTCTTCTGTGATATTTTAATGTGAGTAATGTGTCAATGATAGAGCGGTATACAAGATCCTCACCTCCATCGTCTTCCTCCCATTTCTCGTCCATGGCGTCCACACAATCAAGGGTGGTGACCTTCTTCGAACATTGAGACAGCTCGCGAGTAGCCACGGCATTCGCACTCAAGTTCCCATAGGTTTGGTCATCTTGAAGTTGCGCGTTTTCGATTTCGGCAATACGGTGAATATTCTTCTGACGTTTTTTTGCGACAGATGCTTTGGTAGCTTGCTTGGCAAGCTCGTTCGCAGCGTTGTCCTGCTGCTTTTGCGCTGAGGTGCGTTGTTGCCCTCCCGGCTGAAGGTTACGGATGGCCTGAGCATATTCTGCCGTCTGCTTGCCTCGTTTGAAGCGTGCTGGAGTAGAGTCGGTGGTGTCCATGGATCAGGGAGAGGGATTGTACCGGATTAAAATGGTTAGTTGATTTGGTTTCAGTGGATTCAGTAATAACGTTTCGGTGGACTGACTCGGAGGGGAGGAGTTTGAACCTTGGACAGATGCCGTTCAACAAAACTGCCAAGTTTTCGCAAAGGCCCGCTCGCGGCAGCTGCGGCACACTCCGATACTGTGCATCAGGCCCTAATATCACGCAACACGAATTAGGCCTGAGCCGCTGCTGGTACGGGTCTTTTGTCTAGTTTCCCTCCACCGCCTCACGACTTCATCCGCAGCCATGAATCAGTTCCTACCATGCACATATCATAAAAAAGGCTGCATCGCGATGTTTAAGGATCACAGGGCACGATCACGGCACATCAACGCCTACCACGTACAGTAAGTCATCTTACTCTGTTTGCGGAATTTCTGTGTTTTTAATGGCTCCAGACGTTCAAGTCCTCGCCAGCCTCAACCTTTGTCCTCGCCTCAAAATCAGCCAGCAGCATGGCCAGAGTCTTCATCGCTTGTTGGCGCATTTGATGATCTCCTCGTTCATGATGATGGCATTCCCTCGCCCACCGAACCTGAAGATTTGTCCCATCTATCCCCCAGTCCCTCTCCCCCGAAGCGGAACCAAAGGATCATACATCCTCATCTGACCGGTGCGTGATCACTTTGACTGTGTGGTACAGCTTTACCGGTGGTGACGTATAGTTGTTATTGGTCATATCAGGACGGCCGTGCAACGAGTATGGCGAGTTCTTGGAGGATGGAACACATGCCCCACCACGGAATGAAGACATTGATGATTGGAGCCCATTCGCTGATAAAGTGAGTAAGGATCTACTGGAACGGAGATCTTTGTCATATCTAATCGTGCATGTAGACTTTGTTTCTTTTCGCTGACTTTGTCTAGCATAAAGTAGAGATGTCCGCACCAAATATAGATTTCTTACTTGAGCTCTGGGCTTTTGACGCGGCCCAAAAAGAAGTAGAGGGTCCATTTATCTCTCATCGTGATGTGTACAGCACGATTGACTCTGTGAGGGAGGGCGGCGTACCATGGGAGTGTTTGTCTGTGGGTTTCACGGGAGATGTCACTCCTGATTCTCCATCATGGAAAGCGCAGGAATACCACATCTGGTACCAAAACCCCAACAATGTCATCCAAACAATGCTCAGCAACCGAGACTTTGCTGGTCAATTTGATGCGGCACCATATCAGTTATTTGATCAGAAAGGTGATAGGAGGTGGGATAACGTTATGGCTGGTAACTACTCTTGGCGCCAGAGCGTACGATCCTCCTCTGCTTGGTGTGGCTCTTACTGACTATGATATTGGTAGTCACAGATCTATGAAGATGATCCGACCACCGATGGCGCTATGTACTGCCCGGTCATCCTAGGTAGTGATAAGACAACGGTATCAGTGGCTACGGGACACGTTGAATATCACCCTCTCTACCTTTCAATCGGCAATGTGCACAACGGTGCTTGATGCGCTCATCGTAATGCGGTCATCCCGATCGCCTTCTTGGCCATCCCCAAGTGTGCGCATTCCATTCTTGTATATAATGATTTGATATAAGCACTGACTCAGTCCCTACTTGCAGCAGATTGTAAATACGATAATGATCCCGAGTTCCGTACCTTCAAACGGAAACTGTTTCATTCCTCTCTTAGCGCTGTCCTGCAGCCTCTCAGAGGAGGGATGACAGTGCCCGTCGTACGTCGCTGTCCAGACGGGCATTACCGTTGTGTGATATACGACTTAGCAGCATATATTGCTGACTACCCGGAGCAAGTGATGCTAGCGGGTGTTGTTCAAGGCTGGTGTGCGCGGTGAGTGTCTAAAATTGTCTTCATGGGGGCAAGAATGAAATTAAACTTACCTTTCGGATGTTTCTTTGGTTTAGATGTCAAGCACCTTCGGACGACCTTGATGGCGATCCCAATGCAGGCCGCCGTACAAAACGGTGGACAGACGCAGTAATCAATGCATTCTCTTCGATGGAGGTGTGGGACCAACTCAGCATTGATGACGATGTTGTGGTGAATTAGCTTTTCCTGGTCAATGTTAATTTTCTTGTTACTAATTCTCGCTTTCTCCAGCCATTTACTTATGACTTTCCACGGGCCGACATCCACGCCATGCTCGCACCCGACCTTCTCCACCAGATCATTAAAGGGTCTTTCAAGGACCACCTTGTAACCTGGGTAGAAGACTTCCTGAAAAGCGAACACGGCGAGAAGAGAGCAGGCAAGATTATGGACGATATAGATCGACGGTGCGCACAATGTCGTCATTTACATACTTATTCACCCTGATTAAATACATAGAATTGCGCTTACCCCATCCTTCCCTGGCCTACGTTGCTTTCCTCACGGGCGACGTTTCAAGCAGTGGACCGGAGACAATTCTAAGGCTCTGATGAAGGTTCGTACTCCATCTAAGTTTTAACATATATAAGCGAACAATTTTTCTATACAGGTTATTATTCCTGCCCTCGTCGAGTATGTGCCCGCGGGTATTATTAGATGCCTGTACGCCTTCATGGACTTCTGTTATATTGTTCGGCGCTCCGAGCTAGGTCAACGCGACCTTATCGACATACAGGATGCTCTGAAGCGCTTCCACACAGAGCGCGAGATTTTTCGCGATTCCGGGGTTCGCGGTCACTTCAATCTTCCCCGTCAACACTCACTCTCCCACTACTGGTATCTTGTTCAGGAATTTGGGCCGCCGAACGGGCTCTGTTCCTCTATCACAGAGTCTCGACATATCACGGCAGTCAAGCGACCATGGCGTCGTTCCAGTCGCTTCAAGGCACTGGGGCAAATGCTGCTTACTAACCAGCGACTTGATAAGCTGGCGGCGGCCCGAACTGACTTTATTGCACGTGGTTTATTACCGGCATGCTATGGTCTTTCGCGTTGATTGGTGGCGGAGGCAGCAGCCAGAGCATCGTCGAATGCTGAGGCAGATGATATTGAGCCCAAGGATGTAGATGGCGTCATGGCTGACGTCTTCTTGGCTCGACACCCGCGTGAGTTTTTCCACGATATTATTTTGCTCAAGCAGTCTCACATGTCGGTACTAGAACCAAAATACCCAAAGGCCTTACATCAGCTATCAAGTTATATGGCTGTACCGGAGCTCCCCGCTCTTGTCCGCGAATTCCTCGAGGACAAAGTCAGCGACTATCCCAGTCCCCCGCCCATACCCCCTGTTCTTCACGCCTCCATCTCCATTTTCCACTCGGCAACAGCAATATACCGTGCCCCTAGTGACGTATCGGGCGCTCAAGGCATGCGTCGTGAGATAATCAGGTCTACACCTGTTTGGAGAGGCGACCAAAACGGCCGCCACGATTGTGTTTTCATTGCCGAAGACGAGGAGAAGGGCGGCATGTGAGGAATGCTTGTTGGGCGAGTTAAATTGTTATTTTCTTTTGTGTTCCATGGGAAACAGCATAATTGCGCGCTTGTCGACAGGTTCTCGCGAGTGGGCCGCATACCAGACCCTCTTACGGGCATGTGGAAGGTGCGCCCGGAGAGGTTTCGAACGCGCTTGGCCGGCCGCGTGCGCTCGGTCGTGAGCATTGACACCATTTATCGCAGCGCGCACCTGATTCCTGTGTTTGGCAGAGGTGAAGTACCTCGCGCCTTGTCCCACTCTCAAACATTAGACATATTTAGGGAGTTTTATGTCAACAAATACGCTGACCATCATGCATTCGAGATCGCATATTAGTACTTATTATACTACTGAGTTATATTTGTATGAATCATTATTTTATTATCAAGCTAAAACATACGTGGTGGATCTTGTTGGCACCGTCTCACTGTACGACGTGTAAATACCAGTTCTTGTTTTATATATGTCTCTTGTTGCAATAGTGTTTGTTTGACGAGCGGTCGACATTTCAACGCACACTTGGACAAGTGCCTCGGACAAGAGTATTTGCTGCTGTTTGGTTGCGCGTTTCAAACTCCGCTGATATAACCGCGCGCGCGTGTCGCGTCCTTTCTTCACCTCTACTACTTCTACCTTGACACTCACGGAGGTGGCGCGGGGGCCACATTCCGCAAACCCAACCAGCCGTCATCGTGGGGCTCTACGCTGCCCAGGGCGCCCTTCGCCACTCGCGGCTGGCTCCGTGGACATGCACTCTGGATAAGGTGTATTCTCCACGAGCTGGCCGCAAGCACAAGGCAAGGCCACCTGCAGCTCGGATGGGCATGAAACCAACTGCCAACCGCGTGCACACATACCTGTACGCCTGCACGCATACCTGTGCACATAAATGCACACAACTACACGCATGCATGTGGACACACGCCTCGCCTGCACCCATGTCCCCTCGAACTTAGATGATAATCCATAGTGTGTATAGTGATGTCAATCAATGGTCTTAAAACAAATGAAAATCATTATCCTCCATTCTATTCTATCGTACAGATTGAGCTTGTGCCTAACAGGTGTTGACAGTTGTAACAGAGCACGTTGCATGACCACACATATGGACAGTGTAGCCAGTGTCGGGCTTCGGAAGCGTGGGAAATTCTACGCACTTGGTGTATCTCATGACTGAGGCCAAAACTGCATATAACACGGGAATTCAGCCGCCTTTCCTTCATTATCTTGATGTATACGAGCGATGGACTAAAGCACGGCATGACACAACACTTAAATCGGGTTTTCAAGCAATGTTTATATTACAGGTCCTGGCGCTGCCAGAGAGACAGACCTGCCAGACAGCCAGATCCCTATCAGGCTGAGCCAGAGCTTGACTAAATTGCTGATGTAACAAACAAATCCAAATGTTGAACTTGGTCTTCTCGCGTTGTCTTCTCATCCTCCTCAACATCTCTGTTGACCTCTGGCATATCATACTTCTTCTTCCTGGTCACCGCATTCGCACCTTGCGCCTCCTGCTCTCGCGTTCAATGGCAGCTCCGGACACAGGCTGCTTACCAGCCTGTTAAGTACGTTCCACTGCACCATGCTGACTTTTTGTCACTCAACATGTTTGTTTTACCAGCAGAAACGATTCCATATTACTATGGCCCGTCTGTGACCACCATCCATATCTTCGTCTCTTCCACCAACGGTCCATTCTTTCTCGCAATATCTTACGACTTGATGCCGACACAATGGGCACACATGTCAACCTTCATGGGTGGGCAATCAAGACTCTTGGTGAGCACAACACGGTTCACGTGGGTTGAGATGACGGGCTGATTAAACAAGGTGCCAACCCCGCCATAGGATGATGAACACCATCGCCAGCGTGGGTAAGTACACGATTGGGTGTGACGCATATCGAGGTCCTTGCGATGTGCGTCAGATTTATCGACGTTCTCATGGGTAGCACGCCCGTGCCCTCCAGCGGCGGTGTCCCCCTGCTGTGGTGCAAGTGCTCGCTTTGTGAGCAGTTCCGGTGGGCACCACATCTCATTCAGTTTGCAGACTGCCCTCGCGGTGGGCGACAAGCAGAGGGAGCTCGCGTTGAAACAGTCGCCGCACGCGAAGGCACTGGCACGTGCACGCGCGGACATGGTCCATATCAAGGAGAGCCAGATGTGCTGCATGCGCGCAGCGTATCGTGGACGGTGGCGGGCAAGCGTGAGCGTGCCACAGTGGCGCTTACAACCAGATGAACATTGATGCACTTGCACCACCCCTGCACCTCGTGTTTCCTCGCCTGGAGGCCCCGGTAACAGCAGTGGTACGAGACCGGAGGAGCGAGCGGACATCTGTCATATTCAGTGTGTCTTCATTATTTATCACTATTTTGTTTACTTACTTTCACTGTCATCTAATTAGTGTCTATGTTACACCGTTCCCGTCAATACATTAGTCTCGCGAGAGGAGCCTCGACTGACAGTCCCCGTCGCGGCGCTCAAGAACAGGCATGTCCTCACGTCTTGCCATGTATTTGATATTGACAAGTTAGATGATGGTGGCGGCAGCGACCCTGCGCCGGCTCCGCCGAAGAATCTTCAGGTAGTGGGTGGTTCAGAGGGTCGGTTGTAGCTCTATGTGTTGAGTAGATCAGTCACTCACTTGGTTAGAAATACATGAATGTCATCGCATTTGCAGTGAATTTTGCTTGCTTAATTGTGTGATACTCACTATGTGTTACCATTAAAACCATTGACTACGTATCTGATCCTGTCCTCAAAAATCATGTTCTTTCAACATGAGAAAGTACATTGAATCCTGCAAAAACGTTAGTTCACTAGAAAAATATTCCAATACAATTTGCCAATTTAGTTAAAATACCATGGCTGAGTAGTTTAAATAATCTTTGCATACCTGTCCGAGAATTATCCGATCCAGGCACCGAGTTTTATTTAAAATAAAGTTTGTGAAAGTATGCTTATGATTGTGTGACGGGTGACAGCAGATATTTTAAATACAATCTGGTATAGCAGCCGAGTCATGAACCGGACTGGGCTGTCAAACGTGGCTCAGAATCTGAGCCGATTGCGGATTTTTGACAGCCCAGAAAGGCTATTAGCCAATAAAAATATGAGAAAAGGAAAATCAAACAATTTACATTGGGCAGCAAACCATTAATCAAACGCCTGTCAAACGCCCGTCAAACGCCCGTCAAACGCCCGGCAAACGCCATTCAAACGCCCGGCAAACGCCATTCAAACGCCCGGCAAACATCATTCAAACGCCCGTCAAACGCCTGTCAAACGCCAGTGAAATGCCAGTTTAAATGCCAGTCTATTGAACAATTATATTATATTGATTGGCATTTAACTGTCGTTTGACAGGTATTTGACGGGTGTTGGGATGATGTTTGCGGGCGTTCGACGGGCGTTTGAATGGCGTTTGCCGGGCGTTTGACGGGCGTTTGACAGGCGTTTGACAGGCGTTTGACAGGCGTTTGACAGGCGTTTGATTAATGGTTTGCTGCCCAATGTAAATTGTTTGATTTTCCTTTTCTCATATTTTTATTGGCTAATAGCCTTTCTGGGCTGTCAAAAATCCGCAATCGGCTCAGATTCTGAGCCACGTTTGACAGCCCAGTCCGGTTCATGACTCGGCTGCTATACCAGATTGTATTTAAAATATCTGCTGTCACCCGTCACACAATCATAAGCATACTTTCACAAACTTTATTTTAAATAAAACTCGGTGCCTGGATCGGATAATTCTCGGACAGGTATGCAAAGATTATTTAAACTACTCAGCCATGGTATTTTAACTAAATTGGCAAATTGTATTGGAATATTTTTCTAGTGGTTGTTAGATCTCAGGCTTGTACATGATTATCATGGATTATCTGCATTATAACTGTGTTCCGAAGACATGAATAAGACATGAAAACTACTAATGTATGGGCATACTTTACGTACATGATTTTCAGGTATCTCCGCCCTCACAGTGTCCCACCTTCACCTCACGCTGACCTGCTGTGTCTTGTCACTCTTTTGCTTGGCTCCTCACATTGCTCTTGCTTTACCCACTCTTCCGCTCGTTTCCTCGTCTCTCTTCCCTTTTCTCCCATCCTCCCGCTTGCAATACCCATGTGCTTGCTCACCTCTCACCTCTGATGGCTTGTTTACTCTCTGACCCGGCACTGAACAAGTGCCCCAATTTTGCCCTCAACAAGTACACCGGGAACTGCTCCATATTCGAGCTGGAAGGCATCTCTCAGAAAGGCGCAATCATGAACACCTTGGAGGGTGAGCACGGTGTGGAAGGTAGAGTAGAAGATCCCGCACCAACGCTGCATGAGCCCATTGAGTCCGTTTGTACCATGTACGGCATTGGGCTTCTTTCCAGCATCATCGCCTTCCGCTAAGATCCTTGTAGCCCTCCTGGTCTCTCCTTATAGTGACGGTGCGTCTCACCCGCCTCGGTTTTGTATTGTACGTACACCTTACTGCACCAATGATAGCCAAAGAAAGGTCGGAGCACCTCTTCTCCGGTGCTCTTTGAGGCAATCCCGAGCCAGAGTCGTGGCATCAACCGCCCATGTTTGCCTAGATAGCGCAGGCCACTGGGCTGCATCTCTGGCGACCGCTCGTGGAGAAAGCAAGTTTCCATCACCTTTCGCACTTGTATCTTTCCCCAATGAATAAGAAATATTGGCGTGCTCTGAAGAACGGTGAGAAGGTGTCCTCCGTTGGAGATGGAGGCTGGACGTGTCGACTCAACTGAGCTCAAGAATTGTGCATTCCACGGTTTTCCAACACCAACCTCTTGGTCTACCGACCCCCCCCCC